GGAGGGGGGGAGGGGGGAGGGGGGGTGTGTGGATGTCTTGGGGATGGCGGACTACCGAGCCATCGACAGACGGGCGGTGGAGGCTTCGTCGGGCGGTGGAGCGACGGCGAGCGAGGGGATGTGCCGTCGGCTTCGCTGGAGACACTGCCGGAGATCGGACGGGGCGGTGTTGGCGATGGAAGGCCGGGGTGGTGAGCTGATGCGCTGATGCGCTGGGAGGTTCGCGAAATTTGGCGGACTCCCGAGCTAGTCTGCCAACCGGGCGGTGGCAGAATATGCCCATGTCTCGAGGGCCGCCACAGCCAGCACAGCCAAGTCCAATGACGCGGTTTCACGCCGTCTCACGGGTCTCACGGGTCTCACGGGTCTCACGCGTCTCACGCGTCTCACGCGTCTCACGCACAAACAAGACACTGCGCGATTCCTTCACTATGCCGCTGCTACGGCGCAGGATCCGCTGCCACTTCTGCAACCAGCAGTCGCGCCACACTGTGTCACACGTGCCCAGCACGTATCTGTGCCCGCAATGCGACGCGGTGAATCACTTCGACGAGGTACCTTCGTGCACATGGCCGCTCCGTGAAGCGACTCGACTGACGGGACTCGCAGCGTGGGACCATCACCGACCCGCCCACGGAAGAAATCGCAACTGCAGCCTCGCCGTCTTGCCACTACGCAAACGCACTTCCGCGTTCCTCCTCCCCCATCGTGCCCCCCGAACCCCCGTCGCTGTTCTGCAACTCTTGTCAGCGCAACCAGCTCCTCCTCAACAAGACACTCGCCGAATACCTCCCCGACGAAGACGATCCCGAATACGACAAGTACGCGTCCTCGCTAGACGCATACCGCAACGAGCTCGAGCACCGCTACCCGCAAGTGTGCCAGGACTGTCTCCCTCGAGTCCAGGACCAGATACGGGCGGCAGGATATGCAGCAAAAGCAGACAACCTTCGGCGCATCATCGACAGGAGCAGGGAACACAGCAGGACCGTGCAGACGTCGCGGCAGACATGGACGCTGAGACTCATCGCGCTGGCGAAATGGGTATACTTGTCCAGTGTCGTCGTGGGGCTGTTGTGGCATGCTATGGGGCTGACAATCGCCCCGGCACACAGCACCGACGCGGGCGAGCAGGCCCGTTGGAGCACTTGTCTCGCACAGGCTTTCGCTGCCCGCCGGGCCCATCAGAGCTGTGTCGTGTCTCCCCTCGCCCGGAAGCTGCTCCAAGGCTCGTTGGTCGCTGATCTGCTGACCACGTGGTGGAATCCAAAACTGGCTAGCAAGACGAACAGCATCACCGGTCGGATGCGAGGTCTGAAGTCACTGTGGTCCATCCGCGTCATCGTGCTCATGCTGCGGACGGCTAGCTTCGTCTACTGGAACGCCGCTCCGCTGTACTCGTCGAACCTGACATTGTTCCACAACACAAACATCGTCCTTCTCATCGCCATATCCCTCTCCTTCGCCCTGACGTGGAGGACGGTCCGCATAGTCTACACCCCCGTCGCCCTCCCCGAGGAAACCTACCTCCCCAGCGCTCCCAACTCGCCCCAGCGTCCACAGTCTAGCTACAAGCCCGCACACCCACAGACCTCAACCTTCGACACCATGGCTCAAGGCTTCACCTCGAGCTTCCAGGTCGATTCAACCTCGGCGCTCCCTCCATCTCCAACCCTCACCGAGGCTTCGACAACGAGCCACTACACCGAATTCACCACACCAGCACGCAAATCCGTCTACCAAGACGACAGCATGGACTGGACGCCCACGACACGGCGCTTCGCTCCATCTGCGCCAGAAATCCTGCCTCCGCAATTCGGCACACGGAGCCCCGTCCAACCACAGGCCGCCTCACCGAGCCTGCCAAGGCGACAAGAGCCCGTCTCCTTGTTTGCAAAACCCGACCCAAACCCATTCAGACACAAAGTCCCCGCTGCGCCCAAAGCACCCGCCCAAGCCACTCTCGATCCGTGGAAGCGCGGCGCCTGGGTTCCGCCGCTGAAGGAAACGACGCCGAATTTCTTCAAGACGGAACGGCAGACGCGGAGTCAGTCGAAGGCCAATAGCACTAGCGGAGACGGAGGTGCAGAGGCCCCAAACAAAGGGGGCAGAGGGGCCGGCAAGGGACTAGAGGGCTTCGGGGTGCCGAAGAATGTCCAAAGGGACGCGGAGCTGTTTGCGAGTCCCAAGTTCAAGTACGATTACTATGGGACGATGAAGGATACTGGTTTGGAGGAGACGTTTAATGGACTATTCTCCAAGTGAGCAGTCGAGAGGGTGCGGTTACGATTTCATGTGGCATCTGACGGTGTTTTGGCTGGCGATACCCCTGGCATTTTGGGGCTGGTTGTATGCATTGCTGGTGTTGGTCTGCTTCATGTTGGATTGAGCGTGCATAACGGGACGCTTTGCGTACGCAGTCTGGAAGGCATCGTGAGATGAATCTCGTCCAAAATGCTAGACAATGAAGAGTGACGCTTTCAACGCAACGAGGCCGTCGCAGTACAAATAACAACTGTCCAGCTGAATACGACACGTGAGATGTGTCGAAGCTGGGTATTGTCACGGCCAACTGCTAGCTGTACGTCGGGGCGGCAGGGTGACCTGTCTACAATTAATACTGTATTGACATGACTCAAGTTGAGTCGAGTCGAGTCGAGTCGCTATCTATCAAGCATGGTTGCCGTTGGATGTGTCTGGGTACATAAGACGAGAAGCACCCATGTGCCGATGAAGTCAGGGGGGTTGCGCACCGAAGCTCAGTACATCAGTCAATGCACATCACATCACATCATGCAAGCCATGTTTGGGCGCTTGAATCAGTCAGATTCTCTAACTAACCGACAAGCCTGTCATGACTTTTCATATGCCGAGTGGAAGCACATTGAATATCCCCAATGTAAAGACTCCGGTAACCTCCCAAATGATCCGCTGGGTTCCATCATTCGTTCATGGCGGGCTTCGCTTGACGTTCGTACTCTCAACTGCAGTAGTCGAGCTGTTTACGACCTGGGCTTCTCCTTCTTCTCCTTCCACAGAGCGGACAGACCGACACCGGAAACCTTGACGACCTTGAAACGAACACCGGGAATATCACCCTTGGCCTTGCCCTTGCGACCGAAACCGGCGAGGAGGACTTCGTCGTTCTCGTCGACGAAGTTCAAGCAACCGTCGTTGGGGACTGTGGGTGCCGTTAGCCAATGCTCGATTCTTCCCTGTTGCCACCACGGCTCATCTTCATCCTCCTTCCATCGTCTGATATCCCGGGGGGCCTTCTTCGTGTGTACGTACCGAAAGCAGTGACCTTCTTTCCATTCTTGATCAACTGGACACGGACACACTTTCGGATAGCGGAGTTGGGCTGCTTGGCCTCAACACCGACCTTCTCGAGGACGATACCCTTGGCGTGGGAGGATCCACCGAACGGCGAGGACTTGAAGGCGGTTCCCAAAAGACGCTTCTTGAAGGACAGATCGGCCCAGCGCTGCTCACGGCGGTGGTTGCGCAGCTTGCGCGCGGCGTTGAGGCCTCTTGGCTTTCCTGCAGTACATTGTGAGCATGCGTCCTGTGTGGGGAGTGTGTGCTGCGGGCGAGCGTCGAGAATATCGTCGTCGGTGGTATTTCGAGGCAATCGGGAGGGCGTGCTGCGTACCTTTACCCATGTTTGCGGTGTTGACGTGGGATTGCTGGGGACGTGAAGTTAGTAGGCTGGCGAACGAAGAGATGAAATTCAGTCCTAAGCGACGCTGCTCGAGTGTGCGTCGCCAAGGCCTAAGCGTAAAACGGAATGGTGCGCGCTCGGGCCACTAACACTAGCATCATCGGCAGGAACATCTCGACATCGCGGACACCAACATGCGTTGCGTACCTCCAGCCTAAGAAAAGTGTATCACATGCACCGATGTGATCATTACTCCGCGCGTCTGGTTGCTGAAGTAGCAACTTGACACCCGCAACACGAACGATTCCCACAACCACACTACACCACCAACATGGCTACGAGCAGCAGCAAGACCACCAAGTTGCAGGCCAACCGCCTCCCAGCGCCTGCACTCTTCGTCGGACCGCCATCGCACAATGCCTCAAACACCTCCCTGCTCTCGCCCAGCACAGAGACCAGGAGTCCGACCAAGACCCCTCTCGTCCGTCAGCGCTCACTCCTCGCGCCAGACGCAAAGCGGCCACTACCACCCACGACCGACACCTATGATGGCGACCATCTCAGCCTCATCAACTCGAGTTCAACAGGTACTGCACCATTCGTCAGGCGCCAGCGCCAGCAAAACCAGGTAGCAGATGCCGAGGCATCGTCTCGAGCTGAGGCGATATGGACGGAGATGCAGAACACGCTGGAGGAGGTCGAGTTGAGTGCTATCAAAGAATCAGGGATGACCGTGTTTGGCTCTGAACATTCGCGTGCTCTGGACGAGTTGCGTAGGGCACAGATCGAACTTGCGAAGGCGTGGGCTCGCTCGGAAGACGACGGAGCTACGGCTGAGCAACAGCGCAAAGTGTCTGATGCAGCATCCCTGGCTCCGCCGGGCAAGCTTACGAGACCGAGGGGTGGGTCTAGTCCTGGGAAGGGGGATAAGCTGTTTGACAGGATCAAGCTGGAAGAGGAGACGGAGAAGGACATTGAGTTGAGTCGGAAGCGGAGAGAGGAGAATGATCGGTATTTTGAGAAGGTCAACAAGGGTGTGCAGGAGGTGGTCGTACGGCTGGAAGAAGTTGCTAAGGCGATGAGGGGTGTGGAAAACGAGAGCAATGAGATCTGGGGTCGCAGTGAGGACGGGACTGCGGAGACCGCAAGTGTGCACTCTACAGCGTGTCTTACATGAACGTCAATCAATAACATACCTTGGAGTCCTTCAAATGCAATGTAAAATCCTTTGCTGTAATGTCAGCAGTGTGAGAAAGCTCTAGGTACGGAAATGCATGCACGGCTACAACAGAACGTGGATGAGCAGACCATCCGCAAGGAACAACATCTTTGGGTATCTCCACTCAATCCAACTGCTGGGCGCAGCCAGTGTCTATTATACAATATTAAATGCGTAGTACATGAACGCTCAGTCGTATATGCAGCTGCCTCGTCAGGCCGACGACGGCATCCCTTGGCGAAGGGCAAGCAGCGCGCGCACATCAGTTACGTACTGCAGACCTTCAAGCAAAGGAATGAGGTGCAGCAATTCGTAGTCTGTAGGGTCGCTAATCCAGCCTTCGATAGGAATGGCGTTGTCTATATATTTGTTAGGACGTGGCTATTAGGTATCAGTATCGTGAAGCTTACCTTCGTGGAAGATGTAGCTCATGGGACTGTTGTCCAGAATCATGACTTTGCTAAGATCAGGCTCCACCTGAGCGAGATCCTTGATGTATGCGCCATTACGGAAAGTGCAGTGCTGGCGGTAGTATCGACCGGCAAAATACTTGCGCTCAACCTCTAGCCAGTCGATGACAGGATCGGCGTACTCTTGGACGGAGGCCGTGAATATAATGAGATTGTACCACTTCGAGATCTTGACATTTGTCAGCAAAGTGTTAAACGGTAGCTGTAATCTCTACACACCTTCTTCAAAAACTCGTCACAAAATGGTCGCTTATGAACGTAGTATAGAATGGGCACCTGAGGGCCGATGATCTGCCCGCCTGCGCCAACCGAGGCCTGGAGTTTCACCTCCACCATATGGCCGGTCTGAAAGCGACCACCCTTCGCCATACTGTGAATCAAAGTCTCATCAAGATCGAGGATGAGTGTCTTCTGATGAGGTCCAACAGCAGATGCTCCTTTTGCAGAGTAGGACGGTTGTCGTCGTGGTACTAGCGGGCGTGGGGGTTGCGGCGCTCGCGGGAACTTGTGCTTTGCAGCAGCAGTCATGGGCCCGGTAGGGGATTTGAGTGCATTCGCTGCTTCTGGCGACACCTGGCTGTTCGACTGCGCATTCTTCGCCGCCTTGCGCTGTCTCAGTGCGTCTTCGTTATGCAGCTTGATTCGGATGGATCGCTTCGCTGGGGCGATCTCCTCGCCAGCCGATGAGGCATTTGACTTGGAGCGGGTGTGGCGTGACGGAAAGTCTACATCCTCGTCGCGCGTGCGTGGTCGATCAGGTTCGATCTCGGAGTCAGACGTGATGGCTGTCGACGTCGAGGCAATCGAGGGAGACCGTCGTGTCAATTTTCGCGTCTGAGACTGTGTGACACTCAGCCGCCTACTTCCACGCTGCCCCATTCCATTGCTGTCAGCGGATTCAGACGAGCGCATTGCCTTCGAGGTTGTTTTCTTCCGTCGCGGACCTCTGATGACTCGTGTCATATGATACAAGGGCGCCGCCAAGGAGAAGCGTCCATCCTCTTCGTAATAGAAGCATGCGACCAGGTACTGGCCCGTGTAGACAATGGGGCTTAGTAGCACCGCAACACCTCCAACAATCCCCTCATAAACGCGCTTGGGAAATAGCCATCGCTTCTTAGGCTTTGATTGTTCGAACGGACCATTTGAGTGGTTGAGCAGCGGCGTCTTCTCGTCGTGTTCGTACGCAGGCGCATTGGTGGTAGAGGTGCTACTTCCATCTGCTCTTTCCGAAGCCATGGTGCCCTCCAACTTCTCGTCGAGTGATGCTATATTTGCGCTCGCATTATCAGGAGGTTGCGACAAGCTGGACCGAGGTTGCGCTTGCAGTAGGTTGCTCTCAGATCCGGTTCGCGATCGAGCTGGACTTGGAGGGGGCGTGCCAATGTTCGCAAGAGCACTCAGAGAGTTCATACTCTGGCCTGAGCCATGCACAGATCGTATGTGTGTGAGCAAAGACGTCTGTGTACAATGTACGAGAGGGCCGGAGTGTGGGGTAGCCGGGACGTTTGTTTGCTGGGAGGCTGGTGCTTATCTTGTGGTTGGCAGGAACGCAGCTTACAGCGCAAACAGGAGAGGCACAGATGGGGAAGGTCTACGGTCGATGCAGTGAATGTCACGTCAAAGGAAAGGAAGACCCTGAGGGCCAGCGGCAGGGCGAGGCGTTCTGAACGATGGCGGAGCTGTGCAGTGGTTCGGCCTCGCAGGGAGTGACGTCCCAGCGAAACTAGCGTCGTTTTCAGATTCCAAACTCTAGAGATCCGTGACTCTAACTTTTGGAGATTACACACTGACAGCTCCAAATATACCGCGTCGACACAACACACTTCTCTAAACGAAGAAGGCGCTTTAAAGGATTTGGAGCTCTTTAAGTAACGCCCTAGACCACTCAGACTTTGAAAAATTTGTCAGAAATCCACACAACGAGGAAGACAGACTGCCCCTCCACCCCACGCACGCATATAGCCGCATTCTATTGTAGCCTCCAAAATCACTCTAGCAATAAGAGCGCACAGTAACTTCACACTATGGCTCAGTCAACCGTGATACAGGCCCCGGGCCTGTCGACATTTCTCAAGTCGCTCAAGACAACTCCAGTCGATCCCTCTGTGGAGCACCTCATATCGTAAAGTTACCAGCCAACAGTGCGCACGCACGTCATGCTAATATTTCCAGATTACTCAAGCGACGACAAATCCGAAACTCGAGACCATGCGCCATTGCGACAACGGCGCTGCTTCTGCGCGTGGTGGGCGAGTTCAAGGGAAGGGATGCCGCAAAGCTCGTGGAGCGGATTCGACAAGTTGGCAGGCGCTTGACTTCAGCGCAACCGCGCGAGGTTGTGGTTGGAAATATCGTCAGGCGTGTATTGGGCTTGGTGCGCGAGGTCGTCGATGAGAACGCAGACGGACAGACACCAACAGGGAGCGAGGCACCTACGCCAGTGCCGCAGCACGACTCATTACATCGACCAACCCTTGCCTCGAGCATGTCGACATTCAGCCCTCTAAAGCATGCCGCTGCCGAGCCTATGCATGTCGGTGTATACGACGGGAACATGTCCGACTCGGGAGAGCTCTCGCGGCGACCACCCCTGCTCACCTCACACACCTCATACGCGCCTCCCTCCGCTGGGCCGCTTGTGAACTCTTTGTTCGGCCTCTTCTCGCAGCCCATCGACACACCTTCAGCTACAAGTACGCCATCAGGCGCTCAGTCACCTAATGGCAAGACCACATTCACGCAACAGAACCTAGAGCGTCTAGGAGAGTTGAGCAGAGGGCAGACTAGCCTTGACTTGAAGGGCGAAGTTATGGAGGGTATAAGAGAGCTACAAGACGAGTTGGAGACATCAGATAAGCAGATTGCCGAAGTCGCGCTTGAGCATATCCACGCAAACGAGATCATCCTCACCCACACTGCGTCGACAACAGTCCAGAAGTTCCTCATGTACGCTGCAAGGAAGCGAAAGTTTACAGTCGTACACGCCGAAACATACCCGCACGACCACACAGCTACACATGGAGTACTGCTTACCGGAAAGAAGCGCGAGTCGCACGCAGACGAAGACGACGAGGACGACAAATGGAAGCCGCTCACCGAAGCTGGTATCCAGGTCTATGTCATCCCTGATTCTCACGTGTTCGCAATCATGTCTCGCGTCAATAAGGTCATCTTGGCCACACACACGGTTCTCGCAAATGGCAGCCTCGTTGCAGCAGCAGGAGCGCACATGATTGCCAAGGCAGCGAAGGAGCACCAGACACCCGTCGTTGTGCTTAGTGGTGTCTACAAACTTAGCCCAGTATACCCATTCGACATCGATGAGCTCATCGAGCACGGCGATGCTGGAGGTGTAGTACCCTACGAGGATGGCGACTTCGTCGACAAGGTTGATGTCGAGAACCCTCTGTACGACTACGTCCCTGCAGATCTTGTGGATCTCTACATCACCAACCTGTGAGTCTGCCAAAGTGACTGAATATTGATTGTGTACTAACGAAAGCAGTGGCGGCCATGCACCATCGTATCTGTACCGTATCGTGGCGGATCACTACCGGTCAGAGGACATTACACTGTAGAAGTATCTTCGGCATTGACAAGCAATAATGCAAAAAGCTAACAAGATGTGACCTTGTCATCTGACTTATATGTCCTCTACAATCTTCACATCTTTCTATCATGCATTGGTCTTGTCTTTGTGGACACTCTTTGAGAGCTGGTGCCGGCCAGTGTGCGGTCAGCGAGCTGAAAACGAGGAAAGAGCCACTTGCCCACAAGAGAAAGGAAAGGACAGGTGCAGCGAACAAAATTTTCTCGCCAGCACCACCTTCGTACTGACATTCCAATACAGCACAACCCATGCACATGCCACCGATATCATCCTCCCCTTCCTCAGATCCTTTCGTCTCAAAGGCTCCCGTACCTTATGTGTCCTGATGCAGCTTACCAACATCCGCTCCCTTCCTTCTATGTTATGAGTCAGCTACTGCCCCAGGACCCAGACTACGAATGAGCATACCTTTTAGGCAAGCTCGTACACTTTTACCGCCATGGATTTACGCTGCCGCATCATACGTCGAAGTTGAAGAGCCGCTACGACTACACCAGCAATAGCGACCACAATCCCCAGTGTGCCGAAGACGATCATCTCGTTTGAGGAGTTGGAGATGTTGGATTTGATGAGATTGCTTGTCGGTGATGGGGCAGCTGCCATTGGGGTCCAAGCTTGGTGTAGTGTAATTGAGTGTGGAAGTACTCATGTTGTCAACGGTTGCTATGAAGCAGCAGGAGGTCCCGAGAGGGCTGTGAAAAGAGTAGAAGCTGTTTAGAAAAGGTATCAACACCAGAGTTGCTGGCAAACATGCTGATCATCCAGGGTTTACATACTCAACTGACAGCACAGGCCAATCCTTCCGCACGCATGATCGTAGCCTGCATGCACTAGCTCAATAACGAGGAGTCGGGCCCTTCCGCCTTGTCGCACTTATATCGTTTTGCTGAGCCTCACTTATGATATATCTGTAACCCCTAAGAGAGGCTGTCGTAGCTCAGCGCACTTGGACCCTTTTCTGAAAAATCCACTTACCAGACACATGAATACAAACTCTCAGCACTTCAGTCATACTGAACATAAACTGAGCCACATGAAAAGTAATTCGACCAAATCTGGAGGACGACTGAGGGTTTCCAGGAAGCTGGATAGTGTTAAATGCACCAGATGTCGACTGGACAAAGTCAAGGTACGCTTCGATACTTATGTTTGAGACAGAAGACAAAAGGTAACATTCGTAACTGTGGCAGCGTTTTCGTGAGTGTCCGTGGTCATGTTTAGGATGTACAGCTATCGAATGTGGTTTGCTGTGCTTATTTTTCATCTTTTAGCCTTGTCTCATCGAAACCTGATTCGCTCAAAGCTGCCCCTCCGCGCAGGAGTAGACATGATATCATGGTCCAACCGCCTTCCTCCATCGAAACACCTAATCAACGCGAATACAGTCCAAAACTCACCCAGAGTCTCCGTTCGTGGTACGTGTTGATGTCCTTCTTCCTTCCGACTCACAGAGTGGACTTTGGCTATGTCTCTCTGGTGTTATGTTGGCCCATCAAGTCTTGTAAAAGCACCTGAGTTGCTTTGTCCTATCGTGGAGCGTTTGAGGATCTCCAGTACTATACTCTCTTATGGAATCAGCCCAAACGTCTCAAATGTACTCCCTTATTTGTAGATGTTAAGCAACCATAGCACTTCACGCGGGAGATTTAACACCTGAGAGCATGCTGACAAATGCAGGAACATCTTGCTAGGCTACTACAAGAACACCGAGATGGGTGTCAAGCAGCTGGAACGACTACAGAGAGAATCCACGAAACCTTGCTTTGACAACGGGACTGTAACCGATCATGGTTCTGAAGCAGCAACACTCAAGCTGCTCCTCCGTTCTTTGCACACAGCTCTGATGAAAGCTGCAACTAATCCACGGCTTCTTGGAGACGATACCGCCCCTACCTTGTTGGTCCCATATTTAGTTGGGCAGCTTGCTGCTATCGATCCGCCACGGGAGACCTGCCCAATATGTGTACGAGATGATGGACCATCCAACCACGCTATGCTAGAGTTGGTCCGTCAGAGCCGCATTATTGGTGGCGAACTACTGGCTTTTCACAGTCAGCTACTTTGCCACTACGATGACCAGGATATACAAGATCATACGACCGTCACAGAACGAGTGGGAGAAGAATTTAAACGGAACCTTGACGTTCTCCGTGAGGTGCTAGAGAAAGTGGAGCCTCTATTCAACAAACTTGGTACCGAGGGCAGCCTGGGAGCTGCGAAGCTCAACCAGCAATTGGGGTGTACTATAGCGAGTGGGAAGTTTCTCATTATCGATGGAGAGTTGTTCCGATTGACTACCTCGGACAGGGTTCGCTTCACTATTGGCTAAGGTCAAATATCTCTTTTGCTCAGGAAGTCGGTGACTTCGTGGTCTACTTAAAGTTCCTGGCATGACGGAAGAACTTTACCGGCGCCATATCCTCGGTCGAACTCCGCTCCACATCGCGTGCCGAAGGGCATCACCGGAGATACTGAACGAGCTGTTAGTAGCGGGTGCGCATCCAGGTACTACAACCGTATATGGACACTTGCCTCTCCACTATGGAGCAGCATCAGGATCTTTTGGGATATGCAAAGAGCTGCTCAACTACCAAGGTGAATTTGACATTGGTAAGCGAGATTGCAAGGGTTGGAGGACACGCAGGATAGGCTGGCACTATCCAATTTTCAAGCTAGACGATACTTTCGAGCTCAACAGCCCCTCAACATCAACGTAGAACTATAACTACCGGGATTTGATTCGGTCATGCCCGTTGACTATACTCTCGGGTCAATCGCTATACAACAGGGGCAGCATTATCTAAAGGAGCATTTTGCCTATTTGGCGGACCTTTTCTCTGTACAGTGTATAAGCACCAATTTTGTTCTAGACCTAAATGCGCCTATAAGATAATGTAGACTTTAGCGGTCTTGTTACATTGCAGATAAGCTGCAAATCAGCACTAAGTACCTTCTATAAACTTAGGTATATCTGCCACTTACGGTTGAGGGTCTGCTGAGCAGGTAGAATGCTCCTCCAGATAGTGCTGCCGTACAAAAGGCTCCCCTGATGTTTACATATGGAGATTGCAGCGATGATCTTACAGGTGTCGTCAGGTCTCAGAAACGGGGTGATGTATATGTAACTATAACACTTGCTTGTACCTAATCCTGTTATTGCACACAGTCTGCACTAAGTTGAAAGACACATTCGAGCTAACTGTAACCCACTCTCTTCCTTCAACTTCATGCCCTCAGTTTTACCGGATCTAGGGTTGTAGCCGGCTTTTCTGATCAAGCCCTTGACTCCAGCAGGCGCACGAGCGAGCTCCCGGTCGACAGTATACTTGAACGTCCAGCACCTGCAGCCAGTTCCAAGAAGCCACACGAGGCAAACTCAACATGTTCGAATGTACTCGATGTCGACTCGACAAGGCCAATGTCCGTCTCTAGTCTCAACGACATCATTACCCGATGCTGACACTCATAGTGCGCACCCAAAGATCATATTTGGGCCGGCCAAGTGTGAAAGATGCACCCGGAGTCCAGCGCAAAAAGCAAAAACACTGCTGCGGCGTCGGGACCATCTCCATCAAGCGACGCAGTGTGCGAGGTCCACATTGATCTCACCGCCATGAGATTCTTGTATTGTATTTGAAACACCAGGTGAGGGTGTAATTTAAATCGATGTACATTACATTCTGAGCCAATGAAGATAACAAAACATGGACTTTGGCTTCAGCCCAGCTCACTGACTTCTCCTCTCACTCCTTCGGTACCGGTGAAAACATTTAGCAGTAAGCCTTACCGGACACTACAGGCTTGATGACGCCCTGATTGATCAAGTCGACATAGCTCCAATACTCCCTCTGAGTTCCCTCCCCTTCAACAGCAGATGTCGCATACGACACGGCCGTCCAGAAAGCTGTTTCTGTCAGCACAATCCCACTCAAGGCCACGAACAGTACTTACTTCCACCACTCAGATACTCATTCCAAGCGTACCTCTGGGTATTGAAGATCTCCTCCCTTCCAGCGAAAGTGTTGTTATACCTTGTCTGCAGAGACCACTCGCCCACAAAGTTCGGGAACTTCGTCTGGTTCGCAATGTACTGCGCCTGGCCACAGACGGCAGGGTTGACGTAGTTAGCGTAGACACCGGCAGCGGCGAAGTAGTAGACGTGAGGGCTTATAACAACGTTGTCAGTCGCGTTGAAGAAGGGCGCCCAGAAATCTGTGCCCTTGAAATTATCTTGGATGATCATGGGAATACGGCTGTCAACTTTCTTGATACGGTCCAAGACTCCGAATAGGTATTTGTTGATCCAGTCAGCGCCCTGGTCAGTCAGACCGGCTGGGGTGCCGAAGCCGACGAGGTTTGTGTCTGAGGCTTCGTTGAGGGGGGAGATGGAGAACTTGTTGAGACCGAGGGGTGAGGTTTTGATGTAATCAAGGACGCGATCAATGGCGAGCCAGGAGTACTCCAAGTGGGTCTGGTTGAAGAACCACTCATCGTGGCCGATGGCCTCGCCAATGTCGAGGGAGTTCACTCCTCCGGGCAGGGAGTGGAGACCAATGATGATGTGCATGTTGTAGCGCTGGACAGCATAGCTGACGATGCGATCGAGGTATTGGACTTGATTGCCAGAGTAGAGCTCAGAGCTAGGCACCTTGACCCATGCTGCGTATGTCAGAGGGATACGCAGCGTGTTGACACCGACGCTGGCAAGCGTATCGATGGTTGAGAGGTTAAGGAAACTGGCGTAACGTGCCTCGAAGACCGGACCGCACCGCTTGCCTAGAGTTTGGCATAGAGACTTCGATCTTAGCAGGAGACTTCTTCAGGAGAGGGAGTTCAGGTGCTTACCCACTCATCCGAGACATTCACACCTCCTACATTAACCCTATATGGGCAGTCAGTTGTTGTGTCATCTCTAGGTTTCCAGTTTCGCAACTCACCACCAGATGGGATCATGGGTGCGTTCCTTCTCGAGCCAGCTGCCAAGGTTCACGCCATTGGACTTGTATGTCCTCCAGTTGATGAATTCGCCACCGGTGTTGTAAGGGTTTGGAGGTGGCTTGTAGTCCGACAAGGGATCAACAAACGGGTAACCTTTTGTGTTTCCCTTTCGGCTTGGGTACCCTTGAGGCGAGGCGAAGGCGAGGCCAGCCAGAAGAGCGGCCGCAAACAGGTTGCAGACCATGATGAGGGGAAGGACGAGTGACAGAGGCAAAGGGATAGGGACTTCGCATCAAAAGGGTACAAAAGAAGAGTCAATACTTATGGACCCTCTCATGTTGACCGCCAAGGCTATATAGTGCAACAATCTTACCCTTTGGTGCCAATCAGGAATGGAGAATATGGAGTCTTGATCGATACTGACGTCGTGATGTTTCCTGCGTTCTTCGTACCCTGGAATGCAAGTATTGAAGTGTACTGTAGTTGGCTAGTATCCTTAGAACCCCTCACGAACTTTTACGGCTTCTTTGCGATCAATGACACGTCGACGCAGCGTGAACCATACTCTATTGTCAGGCTTGCCCATGAATATTATAGAGGCACATATATGCTGCAGTATGAGAAGCAGCGACAGGGTGAAGCGTAACAAGCTCACCTTGATGCTCATTAACGACAGACCGTGGTATGCGTAATGGCGATTTGAGTCAGACCTTTCCTCTTGCTGTTCTTTCGACATGACCATCCATGCAAATTTTGGAAATTCCATGATCACGACGTCCGGGTACCGTGGTAGGGCTGATGGGTGTTCATTGCCCTGGCGACGAACAACGCGGACTTACCTCCGACAAACGTCAAACTCTAGGAACTCGAGATGGACTGCATCCCATGTCACTCACCCAGTAAACAGGCCAAAGAGTATACGTGCGTGGCATATCACCATCTTGAGCGGTCTGAACAATGCTACCAATGTCGAAACAAGACAAGGATACGTCGTTGGACGGTGATGTCGCATCTGAAGAACGTCCAGTAATTGAAGATGTCATCAGAACCTCCGTTACCTGCGACAGGAATGTAAGCACAACATGCCTGATGTTGTCGCCCCCAGCCTGTAAAGTCCGACTACACGTTTGATAGTGGTATTGTTCAGCACTTTACGAGTCGGACGATGACCGTACAGCATGAAGGCCATCGTGGGAGGATAAATATCAAGATTTGAGAAAGAATGACAGCCCAGGTGGCCTGCCATCAATCACGTGACGCATGCTGATTGAGAGGAGAGTGATAGTGTATGCATGACGATAACGGGCGAGACAATAATGCAGCCCTTCGACAAGCACATACACCTGAACCGTCGATAGCAAGATGAATAGAAACAAATGTGCCTGACACCACAGCACTATACATAACCTTCAATAGTCAGCAATACGAAACATGGAGACTCTGACTGTCGTGGTAGGAACCAGAAGGTCTCGAGTAATCTCCACAGTCGCATGTGCTGGCGTGGACTTTGGGCGTGGTGTCTCGCTTTAACAACTGGTTGGAAGTGTTTCTGGTTGCCGAGCCCTGTCGATACTGCTAATGTCGCTCTACCATACCTGGTGTTTAGGTCCCATAGTATCCCACCATGTACGACAAGGCTAGTTGTGTCGTCTGCAAGTAAGATACCCGAGGCAGATTGCGATGTTGTGTACGCGGGCACTTCCTGGTCACTCGCTTGAGACCGTGAGCTGGCATTGATCGACAGAGGAGCCACATGCTGGTGGCAGATCTCAACTGCGTCAAACTTCACATGTCCTTGTAGTTGCGGTGTGCTACACAACTGGTGTGTGATGGAACATGCGCACTTACGAGCAACTTAGGTGAGGTGACGTTCTCCAAAGCCACAACGTGTCGTGGTCGAGCTTTCGGCCGCCCCACAAGCCGATATGTGTATGGCTCGGCATGGCGTTTGACAGATGTCTTGCTCGTGTATGCAAGAGCCGACAAGTTCTTGTCGGCGGTCTCGGCAGGTGTCGAAAAGGTTGGGAGTGGAATGCAAGATGACTGGCAGAACGGTCTCGCTGTCAGTCCCGAACCATGGGACAAGATGAGTCCAGCGATTGAACGTCTAGAAATGTGTTCCACGACCTTGCCCTTTCTCGCCGGCGATGAGCATCCGGTCAAGTGCTCGCCATGGTTGCTTTTACCCCGCCTGGAGGACTTGGAGGTGCCGTAGAGTAATGTTGACGTTCTCTAGTCGGCAGCACAGTAATCTCGCTCTGCAGTGAAGGAGTGCGCGGCCTCGAGGCGGGTGAGCACACCAGAGCATGCACAACGACGCAACAAAGAAATTTCTGTCTCTGCCGAGAACAACGGCAGAATGCTCTTCTGCGACCACGATAGGCCCAACATGCCGGGTATGGAGATGGGTAGCTATCGGTATCGATAAGTGGATAAGCAGAGAGCGCAAACTCTGAGCGTCCCTGCCGCGCGGAAAGCAGCCGCACCCAGTAGGAAAACGCCCAACGTGCAGCAGGCCCACAAGTAATTTCCTGCGCATGGTGAGCGCTTTTGGTGGTGATGCGATGAAGAGAGTCCAGAAAGCTGTGGGGATGCGGAACAGTGGGTTGAGTCGAGAAGCGAACGAGTCGCAGTGAGACGGGCGGTCACAGTGTTGTCACATTGACGCTCGACTCGATGCCCTACAGACGCTACGTCGCAAATCGGCGCACAGCAGGTTTTGGCAGTCGCTGGCAGCAGTGGAGCGACAAGAGGGCCAATTGGGCGCCTGTTGAAGCAGATTTTGAGTGCCCACGGCTCCACGCAGTGTGAGTGGCAGACCAGCTTTCATGATGCGCCGCTCTGGGCTCACAGCATCACTCATCCACCCTCTTGAGCGACTCTGGCATTTCCACGTGTTTCGTGATTGACGTGTGGTGAAAATTTGTGCCTCCCCCAGAGCTGATTGAGGGTGAGGCGCAGACTTGCTTATTCTGGCATGTTTCGCTGTGCGTTTCGCTCAGCTCACAGCCATCCCCTGGCAGGGCAAAACGCAAAATCGAGTGTTCCTGACGATCAGTGCAGCGCCGCGCAGCGATTCGTCGGCTCCTCGGGCGGAATCATGCACTTGCAGAAACGTGAGACAGGTCAGCTTGCGGTGCCTGAGAGCTTGACCACATCGAGTGACGGGCTTGAACGCCTCTGGCAGCGCAGTGAGAAGTAACTTGGTTCCGACCACAATCTTCGCCGTCGCACGCAACAATGGTTCAAAGGGTACGATTTGAGATGCTGCCCCAGGATCAAAGGGTCCTTTGACATGTGCCATCTGCCAGCGGTAAAGCAGCGGGCGCGCAGGCAGTCTCGAGCGCGACGGTGGATGACGGCACCAGTCTGTTGTTGAGTCTGACCAAGGCAGCGCCGTTCCCTCAAAGGCAGCCGGGCCGAAGGCGTGGACCTGCAGCGCCACGTTGGACGGGCGCCCAGTGGGCTGCTAGGCGACATGGGTGCAAGCGGGCGTGAAAGTGAGCGGAGGATGCGAGCGCAGCGCTGTGCGTTGCCAGGGGTCGCAGGCGCTAGGCACGCCAGCCCACAAGTTGCTTTGCGCTCCACTGCGTAGCTCCTTCTTTCTCTCCTCCACCCAACACACTCACTCATTCTTTATAACCCGCCGCTCCTCCTGCTCTGTCCACTCTCTACAGGCTTGAGGTCTAGCACTTGTTCACTTTCGTTTTCCACCGCACATTCCTTCCCAGAGATCTAGTATCTCTATCAGTCATTACGACACAAAAACCACCAGTCTCTACACTGAACTGCTAGCCGGTTCACCAACAGACTCACTCTCTACCAACATCTGCTATCCAGCAAATCAAAGCTTAACCAGCAAATCTATCACCAACAACATGAAGTCCTCTCAGGTTCTCGCTTCCGTCCTTTTCGGCTCCATCGCCGCTGCTTTCCCCTTCAAGCGCGACCTCATCACCAAAACTGAGGTCCAGGTTGAGACCGTCATCGTCTACACCACCATCTGGGAAGACGACGTCCCCGTAGCTGAGGCCACTACCACCGCTGGAGGCTACTTCTACGAGCAGCCCGCCAGCTCCGCTGCTGAGACCACCCCTGCTGCTACCTCCACTCCCGCCTCCACTCCCTCTGCTGTCCAGGAGCCTACTTCCGTCTACACTCCTCCTGTTCAGACCTCTACGTTTTCCTCCACCGTAGTCGTTGTCTCCTCCGCCGCGCCTGCTCCAAAGCCTGTCGAGACCTCGTCCGCACCTGCCCCAGCTACGTCAACCACCACTGAGGCTGCCTACACTCCTGCTCCTGTTTCCTCTGCTGCCCCTGTCTCCTCTGCTGCCCCTGTCTCCTCTGCTGCCCCTGCTACCACCACCGCCGCTGCTGCCCCTGTTACTCAGCAGCAGTCGTCCTCTGGCTCCACCAGCACTGGCGAGAACTTCTCTAGCGTCGACCTGACCATCAACCCGCTCACCGGTGCTCTCGGAGCTTGCGGTGAGCCCATGCACGCCACCGACTTCTACGTTGCCCTCGCTGCGCCTGCCTGGGGAGCCTCTACCTACGACTCTCAGACTGGCAAGGCTACCAACAAGTGGTGTGGACAGAAGATCAAGATCGAGTACAACGGCAAGTCGGTCGATGCCACCATCATGGACCTGTGCCCTGGCTGCTCCGGCCACGACCTTGACCTCTCTGACGCGGCCTGGGCAGCCATTGGCATGACCGAGTGGACTCGCGTCCAGGGTAGCTGGTCCATCGTCAACTAAGCACCCACTCCACCACCTCTCCTCCTTTGCCAGCCTTTAGCACAGCTAGCCAGGTGTAGTAAGGCTACACTATGATCAATATACCCAAGATTTCGCTAGCGCAGGCTGGTCAGCGCTTTGCACGACACGTTACGATATGCCTTCCCATGTTTTGCATCAAGCGGATCAATCATCCGGAGTCAAGAAAAAATAACCATTGAGGTTTTGGTTTGGTTCGCTCGGAACGTCACTTCTACCACTTAGATCTCATGAAGTATATGGGGATTCGCTGGTCGTTAGAAGTTGACTGTTCTTTTCACATATTCTTGTCTCTCCTTGACAAACATTCTTTTCTCTTCGTGTATACACATTTATCTAGGGTCGGTGTATGGATTGGATACCCATATACTTTGAACGTTGAGATCTGGAGGCTACTCAATCAACAATCGTTTGATTTACTCAGAATGAAAATCATGCAAACAAACACATCTTTTCTTGCCCCTTTTGCAAAACCCCTTGTGATGCCGCGAGTCGCGCTCACCCAAACAGGCACCAGACAGCTATTTTCGCATACAAAGGATTGCGATCGTCGACTCTCACCTCCGAGCTTGTGGCAGTGCTCGCACGTTCCTAAGATCCACATTTCAACTTCAGCCGCAACACCGCATCTATGCACCCAGTCCCCATTGTCAAAGCGCGCGTTGCCGGGGCACCAGCTCACGGCCTTTTCTCGTGAAAGCTGAACCTGGGACATCACGTCATGCTCTCCACTGCGTTACGCAGACTTAACGAGCTGAAAGAAGTCAATGAATCGCGAATTCACCGGTCGCAATTTTTCGTTCAGTGTGAGCCCGGGTAAATTCTACGAATTCAAGGAGCTGTTCGACAAGCTTGGCAGGGGTCCTGACTCTCGAAGTCTGGACGGGCTACTCTTAGTTTGTCACCTCCGCGATCTTTCGAAGGTTCGTCCTGTAATAGTTTGGGTTTGGATGGTCTGGATGGCTGCGTTCGTGGCGCAGTGTGAGGCTGTGCAATGTCGGGAAGTGTATGGTAACGTCACGTGAGCGTGCACTTGCGGTTTTGCATCATTCGGATGCATTGCGGCAGCAATGTTGGAATCCTGGTCTGAGATCTGACCCATTGATGATACTGGTTCGCTAGATCTGGTAGGCACAGATCATATCCTTCAACATCGAGGTAAGTACACGAGAACAATTTCACGGAGTAACTTACCAGTGCAGTTACCAGAAATCCTGTCAAATCATGAATTCGATCGTATGAAAGGGTGACTAGTAGTAAGGGCTCTTACTGTGTACTGCCACCTTGCAAATGCATGTCTGGCTGCGTCAGGCCGCCAATGCACCAATAATTCTGAAGAGATACTGCTCTCCAGGGCCACTGATAGCAGATGTAGCACATCTTTGCGAATACATTCATACGCTGATTCTTGGCAGAAGGGAAGCTGTCACTCACCTTATAAGTGTCTGACCGCACCAAGCTGCCACCGCTGTACTCGCAGCACCAGTCCCTGCCACTGGTAAGTATTATGGAAGACGTTAAACTGATATCGGATGATTGATGACTTCCTAGTCGAAGATGCTGGTATTGCTCCGTGTCAAGTCTGCGAGCAAAATAGATGACGAAACCATCGTCTTGAGGCTGCGTTCAGCGTGAGGTCCCAACGCACAAATTCTTCGGTTACATGTCGAATTGGGCGAAGAGAGACCATACTGGATGAAGGCATGGCAGACTGAGACGTTGCGAAATGCAAAGAGAGCAAATCAATATTTACCCACTCTGTACTTACTTCGTCCTCCATTGATATCTATTGTAAGCAGACATGACATCCACAAGACTACTGATGTAGTGTGACCTTGTCCATACCTGAAAAAATGTTTAGTCGTCCGCCGTGGAGTAAGTCGAATGAGGTAGATCAAAAGTGCTCATCACTGAGGCTTACCAGTTTCGACTCCATGGTGCGAGAGACTGATACCACCAGATAGCCTGATCGACAAATGATGGCTTGAGCGAGCTAAAGAGTCACGATGCTCGAGGTGGCCGACGATACATTGACAAACTTCGGTGGAAGGTGCAAGATGGATACTGGTGTCTGACGAGTATAAGTATGTAACCCTCCAGCAGAGCTTTGACGGCAACAACATCGTTTCAGTCATCACGAAGCTTTCCATCGCTCTTGCCTCTGCCTTCGCAGCAGCAGCACTGACAGCTCTTTTGAAGCCGCACCTGACGCTCGATGGGACTACGGCAGCTCCAGCGACAAGAGAGATGCCAGCAAACCTGTCGCCAGATGGGATTGATTGATTGGTTGGTTTAACGTCCTATGTGAGTCTGAGACTATGGAAGACGAGAGGAGCAGTAGCTCCTCTGGTAATGCAGAGATTTAGTTACAGGAGTTTGAGTTCAATGAGAGTACAAGGGATGGTGTGGGCTCTTGCCCTCGCCAGATGGGACAACGGCAGTACTGAGGATAAGGGTGACGTTGTTGATAAGGATTGGCCTGAGATCATGGTAGCTTTGAGGACAAGTGAGGAATTGCGTCTTACATGGTGACAAGTGCCAAAAGTGTCAGCGTGCTGATTGTGGGGGGATAACAAAGGGTATATACTGGGGTATAGACACAAGGAAATGGTTGAAGAGCAGCAGTTATTACGTGCCCTCAGACCTACTGTGTGTATCCTTCATGACATTTTCCACAATCGAAGCATCTTATAACATCGTACACGGCGGAGCTCCTCCATCAACCTGACTCGCAGCAAACACTGCTCTGTCAGCAACTCAACTCAACTCAACCTTTACTGATCCACCTCGCCTTCCTCCACCGAATGTTCTCGAATACCACGTTGAGTTCAACAACGGTACAACAGAAAACTCCACTCTCCACTTCTTGCCTTCTTCAACCGCTCACTACACCTGCCCAATCCAGCAAGCCTAACAACTCGGTCCACTCCACTTCCAAGCTTACGAAGGTAGTTTTTCTCGCGTGCGAGTTGCTCAACTGTGGATGTGAAAATGCACCAGTTGTAGCGTGTTTGTGGGTGTGCTAGCAGAGCCGAGGCGGGCGCATGTGAAATGGTGTTGACTGATAGGAATTGGAAGTGTGGTGGCGGCAAGTGCCGGCCGAGCACGTGGGGTCGTGTCGGTGCTCGAAGCCGGGTGAGTGGGCGAAGGACGGAGAACTGGAGGTTGGTGGACGCGCCCGTCCGAGGACGCCATTGTCCGATGTTATTCATGATATTGTGTCGTCTGGCGTGATTGGTCGTCATGGTATTGCGGTATTGTTCAGATATCAATGACGTCTCTAACTGATGTGGTGGCTTGCATGTGGTTGCGCCTGAGAGCTTGGGTACGTTACCGAGAGCACACGTTCATGTGGCAGCATGTCAAGTCAATCTTAAAAATAGTGGTGTATCTTTGTATTGATGTTGAGTATCTCATGATAGTGTTGAGTGTGGCAGTCCCGTTCGTCATATGATGCTTCCAAATCCTAGCCCAGAGCTTTTCCTAGCAGTTCCTCATCCCAGATGTCAGTCTTGAAGGGTATAATACGCAAGCAGTTGCAGTCCATCTCGCTTTTGTGTTCAAGTCGTTCGCCCAAGTCCCATCGCGCCAAAGCGCTCGTCCTCCCTCGTGATCAATCATCTATGTTCTGATGCGTGTAGTGTATGTACAATGCTGACACGTCCTGACGTGTCTCCTCCATTGTTCATCATGCTAGTTCATCTATGCAAACATGCTGGCACCGCCGGACTCGATGGCGTCGATCTCAGCCTGAGACCAAGTCATCCGCTGGAAGCGTGCGGGAAGCTCGGAACGGTCGAAAAAGAAGCCCTTGCCCGCCTCAACGGGGCCCAAGGAAGAACCAGGAGTGCTGCCGACGCCGCTAGAGTAGTCCCGGGACTGGTTCAGAGGGCCGTGCTGCTGTGCTTTCTGGCGGTAGCTGGCAAAAGACTCAGGAAGCGAGTGAGTTGGGGAAGCTGGGTGGGCCTGAGGAGTATGGTCGACGTCTGCATACACTTGTTAGAATTGGAACTGATGCAGTGGACAAACATCACGTACGAGAAGGAGTAGTGCGCTTGCCCAGGAAGCGGATCATGGGCTGGCGGCCAGCCTGGAGAATCTTGGTTGCGTTCATTGTGGGATGGATGAGGTGAGGTTGTATGAGTCGAGGTCGGCGATTGCAGTTGTGTGTAGGTAGTAAAAGTGGTAATTACAAGGTGGTAGTGGTGGATGAAAACACGTAGGCTGATGGCAGCAAGTTGATTGAGAGAGCGGAGGGAGCGTAGGCAGTGGTGGTGACGGAGGGGAGCCGGTGTGATGATGAAGCATAAATATTAACCACTTTCGCGGCGCGAGCTGCGATGCGCTAAACGCCGAAGACGCCATTTCTCCCACATTCCGGCCCTCTCCACAAATGCCTGCGCCCGGAGAAGATCGTCTCACAATCGACTGACATTTGCTGTCGTGCTCGCACACATTCCTAAGCGATTTTGCACGGCACTGTGCGGAACAGACATCCCGTTGTGCGGAGCTCCATATTCTTTGCGCTGCAATCGCGTTTTCTTGCCAGATTGGTGTTCCAGGCCACTGCCAGGCCATAGCTCCATGCAGCCGCCGCTGCCATTTTCACTGGATCTCTGCAAGTGCACCCCTCCCCCCGCCAATTACGTGTGAGCTTTCCTTATCAACCCCACGGTTTACAACGGGAATTGCATATCGATTGTCTTGTGCCCGAGTGCGGCTCTTTCTTCCCTGCTCTCTCCAAAACACTCGATGCACGAGTTGCTCCTCTATGGCCAAGTGTCGGCCGCGCGCCATGATCAGGTCCTGAAGATTCTCGCGGGGTTTGCTGCTATGCAGCCCCGCCGTATACTCCAGCGGCGCATCATCTACAAGCCTGAGCGCGAGCCTGAAGAGCCTGGTTCTCACTTGCGCCGCGGTGGTACTCAGGCCGTTGCTGTGAAGCAGAAGCTACAGGCTACCACGCCTACACAGCTCTACTATACCCACTTGGTGCAGAAACTCTCAGAAGAGGACTTTGGGCAAGGTGATAGTAAAACAAGTGACACTTTGTCTGCCGATGTGGACTTTGAGGGCGGCGAAGAGCCACGATGGTCGACCTTGTTCGAGGATATACCAGACACTGGGGATAGAGGGGTATCGATACGCTTCACCAACAACACTGATCTCATTGGGGGAGATCCTCATACCTTCATGACTACCTCTGGACCGAACCGGTAATATTGTCCCTTGCGCCCTGTTAGCATGTCTGACCAGATTGTAGCTTTGTTACAGAGTACTACATCGAGGGACACCGCTTCGTCCATGGCAACGTCGTAATTTTCCTCCACCGCATCCTCCACGAGCCCGGCGTCCGGAACCTGCAAACAGAACCGAAGGTCAACCCCCCAGCATTTGAAGCCCTGCAGCTTCTAGATCAGAGCGGCACTTATATACTTGAGGCAAAAGTGCGCGTGCAAGACTTCAAAGATGCATCTGTGTTGGAGTCTGGTGTCAACGAGCTGAAGGGGTTCCAGATATCAATGAGGGGTTGCGTAGAACTGTCATTGCCTGACCGCCTCACCATGGACACACGGGTCAAGTACACGCCGCCACCAGGAGTTGTCACGAAGGCGCAGGTACAAGCACAGGCGCAAGTGCAAGGTCAACAGAACAATCGTTGAGGCGTTCCGTTTGAAGCCTTGTTAGCACTGTGGGTAGACTCAGCGACATGTGTCTGGAAGCTCTATGCATAAATTGACGCATACATGGAAGCCAAAATGGACTGAACAAGTCCTGAGCATGCAGGAGGCTACCGGTGTCTCTCCATCGCATGCTTAACATACAATTCCACTCAGGAAGCACGTTCAGTGTGTATTGATTCATCTATGCAGGGCTGGTCACAAAGTCAGATTGTGATAACGTGGCTTTTCACTACAAGAACTAGTCCACGCAGATAGAAGGTTCCTGAACCTTATGCAGACCACAGCTCCACGGCTCCAGAGCCGCACAAGTCCAAGATAGAGTTTATTAGGACGGATCTTAAAGCTTATGCACTGCAAGCTGCGTATGGATGACTATAATTATGATGTTGCTGTGACCAGTACAGCTAAGTTCCCACATTCAATTTTGCGTCTTTTTAGATGCATCCCCACTTCACGTTGCGTGTTCGATGGCTGGGGTGCAGGTGTACGTTGAGATCAGTACTGTACTTGAGCTGATAGCATAATGAATATGTCAATTCCACCACCACAACCATGCTTAGAGCGAAGTGTCTCGCGATGAAGAGACGTGAAGTGTACTAATGGCAGCAGCGACATTGCAGTGAAGCACGTGCTAGCGCGTCTCGCGTCAGCGTTGCACATGCTGAACAGCAGCCTTGCCTGACCCAATCAACTACAACAACACAACACAAAGATCACAACTTGTACGAAACTGTTTTGGAGCCGACCATAGCGGTTGAAGTGCGAATATGCCTGAGAGGCCCGGGGCGAGAAAGCGACCCAGCGCCAGCAAAAAGGAAGTTTCTCCTCCTCCAGCGAAGAGGCGACAGCAGTCGCACACCACAAGTGAGCTGCAACACTACAACCGCAACTGCTTCCATTGACACACAACGCAGACAAAGCAGTTGCTAGTTTCTTCACACCCACGTCAAAGAAAGAGCCTGAAAAGATGACGTGGCGGGTCGTGAAGGACAGCCTTCTTGTTGGGCGATACAATACCTCAGCTGTAGCTCAGTCGGCCAGTAAAGCCAGGCGGAGAATAGCAGCTTTTGACTTCGTATGTCTGCCTGGAAATGCGACCAGCTTCTCATGTTTGCATGCACTTCGTTGCTAATGTTAACATTGCAGGACTCAACTTTAGTAATACCTGCATCTGGAAAGAAATTTGGCCGCGATGCTAGCGATTGGAAATGGTGGCATGAGAGCATTCCAGGAAAACTTACGCAGCTCCACGAGGAAGGGTGAGACACAACATGAAGCGTCTGCACCTCACGATGTGTGTACTGACACGGTCATCTCGAACAGATACCTTCTTGCGGTGGTGAGCAATCAAGGTGGTATCAGCCTCAAGTCAGATCCGAAGACCGTCAAGTCTGACCAGAAACGATTGGCAGACTTCAAGGGGAAAGTCTCAGCAGTGCTTAGCCAGCTTGACCTACCTGTTACTGTGTATGCAGCTACGGGCCGCGACGAGTACCGCAAACCACGAGTGGGGATGTGGCGGGAACTCTTGGAAGACCACGACCTTGGCATTGTGGAATCTGTTGACCTCGAAAACTCCTTCTTTGTTGGCGACGCCGGTGGCCGCGAGGCGGTGGCTGAGATAACTGTGAAGGACCACTCATGTGTCGACAGGTATGCTGCAGCCTCCAAAGCATGCATTGCGACAAGGGGGTATATTGTACTAAAGTTATACCAGGGATTTTGCAGCCAACGTGGGCTTACCATTTCATACGCCAGAGGAGTACTTCCTGCAACAGACTCCTCAGCGATTCGTGAGGGACTTCGATCCAGCCACCTACATGAACAGATTGGCTGAGAGCTCAACATCTGCAAGTACGTTGAGGGATCAGCAGCCACACGGAATATAGTGCTATCAACAGAAGAGCACAGACACTGACTTGTGTGTAGATCCTATCATTACGAAAACTGACGTTTTGGACATTATCCTTCTTGTCGGTAGCCCTGGTGCTGGCAAGTCATCGTTCTATTGGAGGCATTTGCAGCCACTGGGCTATGGTCGCGTAAACCAGGACATCCTCAAGACTGTAAGTGCTTAGGAATCGTTTGCGTGCATGGCAGCACGTGCTGTACCGCCTCTCGGCACTTTAAGTAACATCTTGAACCAGCGCGAGAAATGCGTGAAAGCCGCCACGGCGCTCATTGAAGAAGTAAGAAGTGTAGTGGTTGGTATGTTCTTCGGCACCCCGCCTTGTCGACATGACTCTGCATATCGCAAATATACTGAAGGCTTCTAGATAACACCAATGCCGATCAAGACGTACGCGCCGTATGGGTAAATCTGGCAAAGAAACACTCGATACCTATTCGCTGTGTACTCTTTACAGCATCGGCTAAACTGTGCGAACACAACGACACCGTTCGTGCGTTGAATTTTGGTTCAGAAGTAGGTTTCTCAACACCTGCCGCTAGCCCAGGTACCGGCTCAATGTGCCTGCCCGATCAAGTTACCCTGACACGCGACGAAATCCTAGCTAGTGCCAACGGCGTTGCGGATCATGGTTCCCTGGCTTCTATCGGTATTCGCTTGTGAACTATTGACATCAATCACTAACTGCCTTCAGACCAATCCCGAGAACAGGACCATGTTGCCGAAGCTTGCGTTTACGAGCTTCGCGTCAAGATACCGTGCGCCAAAGCTAGAGGAGGGCTTCAAAGAGATCATCAAGGTAGACTTCGAGGTAAGTGTTGTACAACCGCGAATTAGAAGATCCGTCGCGCTGGTGTGGTGTGTAAGACCTAGTTGCTGACCAAGGAAAGTTGACTGGCTCTGATGACCAAAAGGAGCTATGGAGTAGATACTGGATTTGAGTGGAGAAAGAAGGCTCCACGATATCGAACGCTAGGATCATCCTGAGGTCAGAAGAATTCCTGGCGCGAACGCTTACGACGACTCGCTGCGCCTGGTATGAATGCAGCGATTCTATTCTGCCAATTGGTTGGTATTCGCTGCAGGGCATTACGGAGCTGCAAAATATATTGTAGGGCTTGCTCGAAGCGAGCTCTTGCTCGCAGCACTAGTACCTCCGAAGTGTTGAGTAGTCTTCGGTTAAGTCAGCATTCTACCACATGGCATGTTCCACGCTCAATGGTCCGCGGTACATGCAATGCAGTGAAGCTGCAGCCCAGGCTGAGGTACATATACATGACAGACGATCAAACATGAGGAGATTGCGTACGCCGGCAGTCAGATGGGAACATACATGGGTTTTCACGCGACAACTCATCGTGGCCATCGAATTATTGACCACACTGATGATGTGAAGGGTTCCTTGTGCGACATTAGCGCGCAGATACTCGGAGTGCAATTGTCCGGCGGTACTTCTGTTATCGATAGCAAAGCGGTGCTTTTCCACTTCTGCCTTTTTCGGGTAGTCAATCTTCGCAGAAAGATCGGCGAGAGCTAGGCCAGAGAGGCCCACGTTGCGTGTTCGAGACCGCCAGACGCAACAAGCCGTCTGTTCCATCATCGGAAGATCTCAACCGGCATTGTCGTCACTGACAGATCGCAATGCCGTTGACCGGTGGGCAATCGCATGAAAGCACGTGGTTGTGAAGTCACGAAGTACCTAGGTATCCATTCTGAGCTTTAATGTTTGTAAACGAGCGGTGCGGGCGAGCACATGCTCACCGGCTAACTTCATGCAAGTTGAGCGTTGCAGACCTAAGCAAACGCCGTTCTCCCGCCTGTCTCTGCATGTTGGTGCAGGCAGTTGCCGTGCCGCGGTCGCTTGTATCAGGGCAGCGAGGAAGAAAGTCCGTTGAAGTGCTGTGAAAACGCCGGGCGATTGCCGACTTGAGACCGGTCCGACACGGCGAGCTTTTTGTCGTCATGATCTGAGCAGCAAGCATGGTGTGGGCGTTCAGCCCACGGTTCCCAAGCACCTGTTACCGAGCGTGAAATCGCGCACTAGTATCTCGATATAGTATGGTGTCGCCCAGCATCAGAGATTTTGCGTGAACTGCGATTCCAGACACGGCACGGTTTTCCACCCACATGAATCAGCAGACTTGTCCACTGTGGTTTTGAGTTGGAACATCTGGCAACCTTTACAAGAGGGTGTGAGCACTATCGCAGGAACCCGCTTGTAAAGAGAGAAAAAGGAAAGGTTCAAACGTTTTCGCAAGCGATGCGTTGGCCGCTGAGGTCAGTGAGGCTTGCAGCATTGAGGAATCAGAGGTCGAGAAACCACACTAAGTCCTAGTCAGTAAGTGCGACAAGGGCCGGTGCCAATTAGGTACCGTTTAACAGTTAGCGTTCCAACAAATCCTTCCGATTTGTCTGGACACTGCTGGCTTTTCGAGGGGCTAAAAGGTTCTCCCAGCCTTCCCCAGGCACACCCGCGATGTCACAGGTTTATTGTGAGACTTGCCAGTGTCACAAGAGTCAGGTGCCAGAGAGTTCGCGAAAAGGGACTCAGATCGTGGGAAACTGGGCAAATAGGAGCACCCAGTGTTTGAGTGTTTTGCGGCTCTGACAGCGGGATGTTTGTTTGTTTTTTTTTCCAGAATTTTGGCGTCTCCGCAGCGCAATCCGCCAGTGTGTATTGACCAAGCGGGAAAACGACGGGAGGGAAACCGATGTCCACAGCCAAACCTTGCCTGTCGATGTCATCGCCGCAACGCGGACAGGGGCGAGCAGAAAGCGTCCCAGTCAAGCAGAGGAATGCAACCGCCGGCACAGCACCTGTTGAACCACTCTTCATCCTTGCGCTGCCCCGTAGTCTGTCAAGTTGAGCCACGGTTGCACGCACATGGAAGAACTGTCAGACACCACAGCGCTGGTAACACAGGCACCTCAGGTCGGCAAAGCAGTGAGAAAGCGCAGCCTCAACACCTGCAAATGAACGGCAAAGTTCGTGAAAATAGAAAATGCATCGACTGTTCTGGGGGAACCGTTGTTCCTGCATGGCTTACCCACCCGCAAAGGCTTTTTCGTAGACTCGTCAACAGCAGACGATAGTTCGCATGGGACCGGGGCATTTTCAACGCCTCCACCAACGACAGGCCTCGCATTTAGATTCGGGAGGATGAAAACTCAGAATGTCCAGACCAGAGGATGTGCGGAGCAGGTGGACATCAAGTGCCTGCTACTACAGCAACAAGTGCATCAAGTGCACGACGATCCATGTTAACGCCCAAAACAGCGGCGCAAATGCTGCGAGCAACCACAGCGGCGTCGATGCGTGAACTTTGCGAGGGAGCCCTTGGAGCAGCTTGCACAGGGCGGTGGCAGGGCATCACCGGTGCTGTGTACCGGCGAGACGACTCATGACGGCCCGCACGAACCCGGGGAGGCAGAGTGAATGTGCCGCCAGTTGGCTAGACAAAGACGGGAATAGCTGCGGTCGAGGGTGTTGCTTTCTGGTGAGGGCTTGGCGTGCAGTCCCAGTGGGAAGGAGCTACCGCCGTGCGCCGCTGCCCACACACAAATCGTGCCGCATCCCCCGACTTTGGTCGCTGTCCTGCTTGCCCACGTCAGTCGTCGCTCTTTGCCAACTTGCATCCGCTTTATCGCTGCGCTGTCTCTCCCTCGAATCAACTCTGCGCTGGACTCTCGGATCACGAGCATACGAAACGTCAGTCGTGAGTGGCCTATCCCAACTGCCCACCGCTCTCACGTGTTTTCCGCATTGGGTGCGCCAGCCGACGGGCGCTGACTTTGCTAGATCTTTTTTGCAGCATAAACAGGCCAAAAGCTACATACGTGGTCCTGCTTCGTGGCACCCTCCAAGGCTCTCTTCCAAACAATCCGCGACCGCCATTCTCTGGGTAGTCAACAACTGGCGATCAGCCATACGGCGCGAGGTTTACTCTTAAGCTGGTGATGGGATCCCAGCACCCATCGTCAACACTCACGTCACGCTTTGGCAACCAAACATCAACATGCACGACCTCAAACCACTGATTCTCCCCAAACTCGTTGCAGCGCGTAAATCGTCCAAGAGCTCACTCGACACGTCTGCCGAGCCAACATCCTCGGTCTACTCCTGCACTGACTCTGGTTTCTACTCGGCTTCTGAGTGCTCCACGCCGCCCACGCCAAGTCTCTACGCGCGTGGTCACTTCCGCTTTCCCAGCTCAGCTTCCTCACTCTCGTCAAGTCCGCCCACCCACGAGGTCATCGAAGCTCCCAATGCCTCTGGCAAGCTTCCTAAGCTAACCGAGGAGCCTGTTGAGCAAGAGTACCACTACGGAACCGAAGACACCCACCGTTGCTCATGTAGGTCGTCTCAATGCTCTAACACGTTTGCAAGTACTCATTCATCATTAGGTGACACTGAGAACGGCCACGAAACCAACTGTGAGATTGCCAGAGCCTATGAATTCCAGGATGAGTACTTCCGCTCCGTGGATGCGGAGATCCGTATGGCCAAGCGTCGACGTTCCTTGGAGTCATCAGCCAACAGCATTACCAACAAGATCGAACGACGCTTCCCTTCCTTATCGCGCAAAGTCAAAGAGCGCAAGAGGGCCTCGTCAAGCTTCACCAGGGTTTCGAGGAGTGAGACACCATCTCGTGTTTCATCCACGCGATCATCGTCAATCACCAGCTCTATTCGCCATGTCGCCTCCTTCGATGTCTCCCAACAGTACTCTCAGGTTCCCACTCCTGCTCACAGCATGGAGCAGCTCAGCGAAGCCTCAGCATCACCCATGGAGATTGACGTCGCCAAAGCCAATGCCATCGACATCGACATCGACCCTGAGCAGGTCGATGCTGAACGCTATGCGACCACTCCTCTTCTGCCTCCACTACTGATGTGCCGGGACGACTTGCCAACATCTTCCCCCCTTCAGTCACCCACCATTGCCGATGCATCGCAGTCCTGCGTTCCAACGCCCATGGGCACTCCGCCGGTTCGCGCTTACCCTACCCCTACGCTGTCGGCCAAGCCATCTTTTGCATCTATCAAGACATCCCGCCCTGGATACACAGTGTCTTCTGCCGATATTCCACCTATGATGTTGGCCGACCCTAACGACAAGTGGACCAACCTCCTTGGCCACGCGAACTTTACCATCCTGCCGGAACCCTACGTACCCGAGCGCCTTGACGCAGCGTCATTGAGACAACTTTTCGCCGACTGGGAGTCAGCACGCTGCAACTACGCAAAGCACCAAGTCCGGACTGCAGAGCACTACGGTGTGACCTCCAAGCACTACACACTCACTGAACAGAAGTGGGCAGAGATCGACGCCGAGTGGAAGAGGAACCATGAGTTGGCCACCTCCTCCCACGCTGCCAACATTGGTCACTTCTCGCCAGTGGAGCCATTGTCGCCCGTCGAGCCAGCTCCTCTCAGCAAGATGCCTACGCTCAATGATCCCAAAAGCGAGGGCAAATTCCCCAAGCTCGGCGACGAGGACGTTGTCGGCCCAATGGTCCAGATTGCATCACCGATGATGCTCAAGACCCCTTCGCGCAAGCGCGCTTTTTTTAAATTCCTTAGTGACCTGCTCCCCGGTTCTCTCCTCGGCCGATCCTCGGTCGGCATTCGAGGCCACTAGACCCCGCAGTCGCAACCATTCTACCTTGTTTATATTTTTGTGCGATTATAACCCATTGCGAGGCGTTTGCAGCATCAACTGCTGCCAGGGGTTTAACGATGTACGACTTGTATGACCATATCACGGCCGAGCATTCGCGCCACGACCGATCCTTATCACGAATTTCCTTTGTCACCTTACGAATTTAGAGAGGTAAACTCCTTCACAGTACAACGGTTGGTATCTGTGTATCCCTTCAATGGGATCTTTGCGGAGTTACAAGCGGGGTTGGAGGCAACCAGTCCTGTCAAAAAAGTGTATCACGACATGTCACACGCAGCGAGGCTCTTCCGCCATTTGTTCTGCTTTCTTTTCCTTTCTGTCAAATTCAAGAGACAGCTCTCTTGTCGACGGCTATACCCCATCGTCCTAGTCTGGGACTGATGGTGGCAAGCGCAGTCGTGGGTCATGCGGCGTATGTGCCCATACCTAAACGAGCCTTATGCTCCTTTCGAATGGTTCAATGTATAACTCTAATGGGTGGACATGGGGCGGAGCCTGGCCATGGGACCTAACGAGTGGCAGATGAGACAACTGGTTTTGTGTAGCTCAAGCATACAGGTGTAACGCACGTGGTCAATCCAGTCAAGAGGCGAACAGTCAGTCAGTCAACAACCATCAATTGAAACGTTTACTACCATCACAATGTGTGTTTGCCCATCTTCAGATCTTTGACTCGCAGTTTCCCAGCCTTGCATCGACGCCGACCGCGAACAGAGCGACCGCTACCAACAAATTCTGCATCACATGATGCATCTGTCACCCTCGCAGTACACCTGCGTAGCCTGTACTCACCGCCTGTACGCCATCATCTCGCATACCAACCTCCACGCCTCAACAATCTACCCACAACATTGTCTCGCGGCAATAACAGATCATTCTCACGCCACCATAACCGGCCTGACGTAGTCTAGAAGCTTCTTCGAGGGTGCCATGTCTCTCCACATCTCCACTCATCCTCCCCACACGTACATCTCAACCTCGAAAATCTTCCCTGACAATCCCATGCCATGTATCAAAATCTACAAGGCTGGACCGGGAAAAGCGGGGGCGGGTGAGATGGTACAAGGCCCTCGTTTGGCCAGTGACCGGCTTTTGGTGCTACCATGCTGTACTGCATTGGGTTGATGGCAGACAAGCGTGACGCAAGTGTCGCCTTGCTGTGCACTGAAGCGAACCGTCGTGCAACGATCGAAAGCGGGAAGATCGTCATTACGGGGAGTCTGCAGATGGGCTTTGCTGGGGCTGTGTGGAGTGTGACTTGTGAAGTGTAATGTCGCTAGGCATGTGGCTAGAAATGTATGTCGAGATGCTAAACTTGGTATTGAAGGAGAGAAGGCCAGACGGTATACACTCAGCCCCTCCCCAACATTCCGTTGCAGCCCTTGTGCACATAGCACTCAAGCGTGGAAAGAGCGAAGCCAGTCAACGCACCTTACGGTGCATCGATCTCGGGAACATCTTGCATGCTGATGCGCCGAGACGTGCGACATGCTATTCCAGTCGCAAAATACGGATAGTGTGGAGCAGTGGGGTTTGCAAACTGCCCGTAATGTCAGAAGTGTTCGGCAATGCTGTCTCAGGTAATGCAGGTATGTCGTCTTCTAGCTCGTGCTGCCCCTCCTATCAGCCTTCTACGTTGCTCACCGAAGCCACAGAACTGGCTGCCGCAAAACACACTCGTATACGTGTATACATTTTCTAGCCGCATGCGTGGATGGCACTTCTGACACCTGTCCAGTCGTTCTCTCTGTCCACGGCCTGCCCACTATCCCACCCATCCACACCTTAGACTCTGCCAGATGCCCGGTTCACACTTCACCATACATCTCTCTCATTCAACCATAGTCTTCTCTCTGCCGCTCCTCATCCGCTGTCTCACAACATCGCCCTACACACCCTTACACAACCACTACATCAATCCAGCCCTCCACCGGACGCAGCGTCTAGACCCTCTTCGGAGCGACGAAACGACACAGACGCAGTGTCGTCTTTCGGCTCCGCTGACCTGGATCGCGGTCGGATGCGGGTGTAGATGAGGCCTGCTCACCCCGCTCACTACTCGGCAGACTACATCATGCTGTGTAACGATGCTGAAACGATGGTTATGTAGGCAATCTGTAGGGCGGTAAGCGAGGTGGGAAAGCATGTGATGGTTGTGTCTTTTACTTTTTTTGCACCTTCGGGGAAGGTGTGCGTGGGTTTGTGGGTGCCGAGCGGATGGGGAGTGAACGTGGGTCATGGGTTGAACTTGGGGGCTGACGCGTACGGAGAAATGAGGAATAAGAAACGTGTACACGGATTGTTTGCAGGTGGCTTGCAGATTCTGATCGAGTATGACTTCCGCGTGTCGAGTCGAGGCATGGCGTGAGATAATACTATATTGCGTCTGTTTGGTAGACGGTACTTCGCGGCGGCAAACATCCCTCGCAGTGAAGTCATCGTCGAGTGGTCGGTGTTCGAGGTATTTTCGGGAAGGTATATGTTTGAAAAGGAACGGCCTCCTGTGACTTCGCTACTCCCTTCGTAATCTGGCATTCGTAACATTTTCGATTGAAGGAACAGGATGTATGGAGACACTGATCATTCGCATCTTTCTCTGATCACGGTAAATCTTAGTCAATTATGCAAACCATGTTAGATGGCCAGTATCTTTACTTCCAGTGAAGTAGGTATGCTGTGTTGTTCGATATTGCTTTTAGACAACGGATGGTATATGGGTCCTCAATCTTCTCGAGCGTCCTCCTAAGAATTCAACGTGTGGATCAGCGAGGGCATACGAGATGGCGACATTGTGGGCTCCATTGCTGCAGTTATGTAAATTGATCGATGAGACATTTCGAGCGCGTCTTGAGCGAGGTCAAGATTGCCGTAAAGATGTCGATTAACACGCTGGAAAAGTCGATGCTCTGACGTCATCGATGTTACTCACCAAAGGGAGCTTCGATTTCGAAGAAAGCATAGTCGTCGGAAACAACAACGTCGGCTTTCGAGTCATAAGGATTTTGGGAAGTTGCGCGATGCTATCGATGCGCCTTTGAAATCGCAGCACCTTCTTACCCCGCTCGCTGTACTTTCCGCGTCTCATCACCCCCCGGGCAACCGCCTTCCCCAAGCTAGTAAGCCGGCCAGCATTGTTTCCGCCTTGTAACCTCGCCACCACTACTCCCGGGTATCTTTTTCCTCTTTCCCATGCAACTTGATCGCTTATGCAGCCCTTTCATAGCTTATGATGTGGGCCGCAGGACCTTGGCTCTCAGATGGACGAATAATGACGGCAGTGTGTATCGATTGCCTTGGGGTATGGGGGATGTGATTCGAAATCTGGGGAAAGGTGCATCCTCGTAACGAGGAAGCTCAGAAACATCATCTATTATGCCGGTCGACAGACGACATTATTCTACAAGCCCCTCCTGTGTACCGTATAAAAGGTGCCGATCTCGCCGTACTGAATCCTGAATGACTGCGAACGTCCTTATCCTTCGAATTGTGGCTTTGTACGATCCTTCATAGAGCCTTGCAACCCTGAACTGTATGTTTATACATGTCCTAAGCGAAGCAGCCGTAGAAGCGATCGGCCCCAATCAAGCATCAGCAAACATGCCACGCAAGTACCTTGGAGGGTCAGGCGAAAGGCTTACGGTCTGGATATCGATTGCAGCCTCGACTGTCTTGATGTAAGTAACCATCGCAGATAGTTGGAGTCACAGCAATTGACAGAGCACAGTTTCTATGGATATGATCAGGGCGTCTTCGGCAATGTAATCATCTCAGAAAACTTTCTCCATACGTTCGGCTACCCGTCCGCGAACATGCAGGGTGCGTAGACCCGAAGTTCTAGAAGGCATATTCTAGTGTGATGACAGCTGATACAGGGGTAATGACTTCGATTTACAACATTGGCTGCTTTATTGGTGCCATGAGCACAATATGGACTGGCGATATGCTGGGCCGACCTCGTCAGATCATACTTGGCTCCACCGTCATCGGCATCGGCGCCGTCATACAGACGTGCAGTTGGTCTGTCGCAAGTATGATGGTCGGACGAATCGTAGCGGGGATAGGAACTGGCATGAACACTGCTACAGCTGGTGTCTGGCAAGCGGAGACAAGTAAGATGAACAGTAGAGGAAAGCTGGTCATCATTCAGATGGGTGAGAACAACCTCCAAATTCCTCGTAGCATCTGACTGATCTAGCTCACTAGCCAACTGTATCACGGGCTTCAGCATCTCGAACTGGCTTACCCTTGGATTCTCGTTTGCGCCACGAGACGTAGCATGGAGATTCCCACTCGCGTTTCAGTTGTTCTTCACCTTCTGCATTTATGCCATGTGCCCGTTCTTGCCGGACTCGCCTCGACTCCTCATCCGCAAAGGCAAGCACGAAGAAGCCCTAGAAGTCATCGCTGCTCTAGAAGGTCACGACGCAACTCCTGAGTCTCCGACGGTTATCACGCAGTACAACATCATCAAGGACATCCTTGACCGTGAGCATATGAACACATACACTTGGTGGCAATTGCTCAGTGGCAAGGGCCCAAGTGGAGTTCTAAGACGTATGATCCTCGGCGCATGGATGCAGGCCATGAACCAGATCTCAGGAATTAATGTATGTTGAAGTGATGAGGTATTGCTCTGCAACCTAACAAAGTTTCAGGTCACCAGCTACTACATGAGCTACATCTTCATCAACTCGCTGGGCATATCTGAGCTGTTGTCAAGAATATTGGCTGCTGCTGGGTCTCTTGATTATCTTCTGTTCGCTTGTCTGGCGTACTTTGTGATCGAACGCTACGGAAGGCGCAAGGTGAGTGCTTCTTCGCAAGCTGCTGGACCGCGCTGACATATGACAGGTCATGATGGTTTCGGCTGCGGCTTGCTCAATATGCTGGATTGTCATTGCAGCAGCTCAAGGTCAAACCGAAGCCGGCGGAGACTTTTACAAGTTTGGCATAGTGGCGGTCTCATTCTTCTTCGTCTTCTTTGCGAGCTTCGGCATGGGTGTTCTTGGTGTACCATGGCTGTACCCTACTGAGTGCGTATTGGATCCTGTGACTACCTTCACCAGCTGATGTGTCAACAGAATTAACGCCCTCGAGATGCGAACGAAAGGTGCATCATTGGCAATGAGCACGAACTGTGAGTATCAGTGACGCTAAGATTGGCAAAACAGCTAACTTATGAAGGGATCTGCAACTACGTCGTTGTTCAAGCCACATTGCCAGGAATACAGAACTTGAAATACAAGTTCTGGATCATTTGGGCTGTGATCTGTTTCGCCTTCATTCCGATCACCTACTTCCTATACCCAGAAACTGCGAACAGAACACTTGAAGATATCGATCGTTTCTTCGAGACTCAGCCTGGCATCTTAATCCACAAGAATACGCTGGCAGTACAATTGCATCGACCAGCTGAGTTCATCGAAGCGGACGCACGTATCGCAAGAGGTGAAGTAGGCGATATGGGTGAAAAGAAACGGCGCAGCGTCAGTACTGAACGTGTGCAGACCAAAGAAGCTGTATAAATCGTCTGGATGTGTCTGGTGGTTGTTAGTCCTCGCGCAGTGTTGTTACCCTGCCTCTTTCGATTGCCGAAGCTATTTCAGACTGTGGGAGCCATGCTATGATGATGAACGCACTGCTTGGAAGCGGCAATTGCTCCCGAATAAGTAGTCGTAGTGCGCTCCGCAAGACTTCTTATCATCGTTGTGTGGGTATGCCAGGAGGCGTTCTTCGTTTTCTCATCAAGCAAGCGAACTTTGATATATGATCTGACGTATCCCTATGTGTACTCCAGATTTGAAGTCAGAGACCTAAGATTCAGAACGGCGTATGCTACGAAGTCTGCATGCCGACGCACGGACACTTCATTTGTTTCATGTTTCCGTCGGCATCTCCACTTCACACCCCCACTGCGCTCCTGATCTCATCAACACCAACGACGCGATGCCACATCCATGTCGGCGTTACCTAAGCCAAGCCTGTGCGAGGAGCGCAGGTCTTGTCCATGCAACGCATTGCTTTCACGATTAATGACAGGCACGTGGCAATTCTGGAAATGCCCCAATCCGTCTGTCAAGGGCTCGGCATAGATGCCTCTTTCCTGTTTCCCTCTACGATGAATTACGCGTTAAGCTGCCAGACTTGAATCGGTTCAGCAAGAACCCAGGACCGCCAACAACAGAAGCTACAGCATCATCATGTGAGCTATCAGCATCAACGCAGCTTTGTCAATGCTACACTACAAGAAGACAACTTCCACGGTAGTCCGCCACCGTTGTCGTCTCGATGGTCCCGGGTAGCTCTACCGCCCATCGCTTCGTTCCCACTGACCCGGCACCGTTAAAGTGGAGACCACAATGTCTCAGACATCTGGGTAAGAACCAATACGACTGGATCCTGGATCCTGGTCAGGAAGGATCAAAACGACGAAGTCGACAAGTCGCCAGCCTTCGACAAGGCTTGGCCCATTTGCCCTGTGGAACCAGCGAAATTTCGGCGGTTGCTGTGCTTTGCTCATAAGGTCAATGGAGCTGCTGTGATGTTCTCACCACTTTGGCAGTCCAATCTTCTTCTGTTTTCTTGTCTTTGCTTTTGCAGCTGTGCTGCGTCCTCTCCTTACGATGATCTTCAATTCAAGCGACAATGCGCTAGCCGCACGAGCTCACATTCAGAGCGAGGAGGGCACCGCAGTCCATTACTGGGGCTATGCGACTCGATATCTTCCATGCACCAACGATGCTGGGTCCTGCGAGTACCTCGACTCGGTATATGAAGCTCATGAGAAGTCGATGATCTACACCTTCATCATGTGGGTAGTCTTTGGTATGCTGTTACTCGCGACGGTCTTCTCGCGACTCCTTCGGCCAAGCAAGAAGAACGGAGACGGTGCTAGACAAGGCTTCTGTTATCGACTGGTTCGACTTGTGGCTGCTATTGTCAGAAGGTATCTGGTACCTGAGTGTCAAAAGGTGTTCAAGCACACAACAAGATTACAGATTCTGGTTCTGTTCGTTCTTTGTGCCTATCTCACCGCATTCTCGTAAGTTCAGGTGGCGGCTGCTACTTTTCAATTGAATAACCCACCACACCCAGTCTGGCCGGTATTACATATAAGACATGGGTGACTCCAGTCAAAGGCACCAATCTGCACAACATTCGCAGCGGCATTGGTGGCTTTGCCGACCGCCTTGGTGCGTTTGCGTTTGCCTTGACTCCCTTGACAATCGCGTTGTGCGCCCGCGATTCAGTACTCAGCTTGCTCACTGGTATCCCATACCAGAGCTTCAACTTCTTGCACCGCTGGACGGGGCGAATCATCTTAGTCCAAAGCTTTATCCATGCTATCATATGGACCATCGTCGAAGGACGACTCTACCAGCCCCAACCGACCGTATACATTGAGTGGATTAAACAGAAGTACATGATTTGGGGCATTGTGGCACAGAGCTTTATCACCTTTCTCTTCGTCTTCAGCCTGAGGCCTGTAATCCGCTGGACAGGTTACGAGTTCTTTCGCAAGTCCCACTTGATTGTTGCTGGCCTGTACGATGAAAACTTACCTTCCCTCTCTATGAGTTCCGCTAACCAAGGTCCAGATACATCGGGGCATGCTGGGGCCACTGGGAACAACTATCATGTTGGATGATAGCATCTTCAGCCATCATGGGTTTTGACCTCGTCGCACGCACAGTCCGTACCTGCCTCATACACTTCAGGTACAAAGATGGAAGCAGCGGCTTCGGCTTCCGTTCCATTCCTGCGAAGATGGAGGTCCTCAAAGACCCAACAGGGACAATCATCCGCATGACGTTCTCCTACAGCCATCAACCCTGGGAACTTGGTCAACACTTCTACCTTACCTTCCCAGCGCTCAGCATCTGGCAATCGCACCCTTTCACACCAGCATCGAATCCAACTACAATCTCTCCAGTGCAAAGCCATGTTTACATCATCCGCGCCTGCAACGGCGAGACCAAAAAACTAGCCGAACTTGCGGAGGCAGCTGCAAGCCGCTACCCTTACGGCGACGACACGACACCAGTTATTCTGCAAGGACCATACGGCGGCTCAATCCTGAACGATGAGGTCTCAAACATCCTCGCCATCTCCGGCGGCACAGGCATCACCTATACCCTCCCCATCATCATGGCCGCGGTCGCCGACTCGTCACCCATAAGCAACATCGAACTCGTATGGACTATTCGGCATCTCGAGAATCTGGCGTGGATCAGCCCCGAGCTGGCGTACCTGAAGTCGCAGCTCGACCAGACGCTCACACGAACGACTAATAGTCATGACAAGGATAAGATTGGAAAAGCGCCGATTGTGAGCGTGGAGACGAAGAAGCGCTTCCGGATCCGGATCTTTGTTACAAGGCCTGACGCTAGGATGCTTTCGCGACAGCAACAGCCTCACCAGCAATACGGAGAGAAGAGCAAGGATTACGGGTTCAATGACAAGCTTTCACCTGTACCATCAGCGTCAAGTACTTACTCAGCGCCTCTGAACCGCGGACTCGAAGATCTGATTCAAGAGCATCCCAACTTTAGCATCACGTACCTCGACAACACACGGCCGGAGGTTTCGTCGTTGGTCGATGCGTTCCTGGATGAGACAGTGGAGAAGGGGAGGACGCAGGTCATTGGCTCTGGGCCGCCGGAACTGGGATCGCAGATCAGGACCGCTGTTGCGGCAAAGAACCGGCCTGGCGATGTGTGGCGCGGGGATGATAAGCGGGATGTCGAATGCGTATGGGATGATAGGATGGGTTGAGATGGTGTACATGAGTTTCACGCTGCATTGCTTCCTACCGCAGCGAGTGCTACGACCGTTCTTCAGAAGAGCACCGAGTCCAAAAAGACTGGCGCTGAGTGCATCCATCGCTTTACCTACCCATGAGAATGGAGAATCTGACCACGACAGAATTTAATCGTCATAGACTACAGGACGAATCAATATTTCGCGAGTCACATTATCTAGCTTTTCGAGGTCTCGGGAGCTCCCAAGAGGCCTTGTTGCTCAAACTCAGCAACCGTGAGTGACATACTTTACTTGCACACGTAGTAATTCTCCTTCAACGCATCATGTAGTCGTGCGAAGACTCCGCCGTGCCATGTTCTGAAGTCCTTCCACTCATCTGCCGGCGTGCATTCAGAAAACATGTTCAGCCATCCTCCCACGATCAGATCAGCATAGTTGGCCTCCTTGCCCTCCAGGTACGGGCCATCTTCGTGAACAGTAAACAGCTGAGCCAATGAGGTGAGTGCCTCCTTGAACGATGCCTTGATCCGCTCCCTTCCCTCACCCTGGACGGAAAAGTCATCCCAGGAGCTCAGATGTGCGCGTTTGAGAAAGACCGCTCTCGTGGCCTCGGCCGTCTCGGGATTGAAGGGCATGTAGTATGCGACCAGTATTACATGAGCTGTGAAGGTTGCATCGACATGCCAATTGAACCGAGCGTAGGCTTCATTCTTTGCGCCCTCGTTGGTAGTCAAAGGTATGAGGATTGTTGTGTCCTTCTGAGGGCTCTCGTAGTCGAGTCCTGTGCGTGTGGAATCCTGAGGAAAGAGGCGGCCGCCTGAGTCCGGGAACGTTTCCTCGAGGTAATTGGCGATGTCGAAGGAGTCACCAATGACCTTGCCTGAAGGGTCTTGCAGCATAGGTAGCGTATAAAAGTTGGAGCCTATGACCATAGTAAACATTGGCATACTCATAGATAGGTAGATCCGTACCATCATCAAACTTGCGAGTGGCCGGGCAATGAAGACCCTGTCGGACCTTGGGAATGTCGGGAATCTCGACCCAGGTCGTCTTGAAAGGCACGTCTTTGAATGACAGCGCCAATCGGCCTTTCGAGGGGTTTGGCGCATATGACCGTGGCTGGAGGGGTGAGGAGATGTCGTAGAAGATGAGGGGTTTCGGGTCTGTCATCTTGAAGGGCCGCTGGAAGTTACAATGTCAGCGTACTGTCGAAATAACCCTCGGTTGATATAGAGGAGGTAGCGAGCTGTATACCACTCCTAGCAGATGGTAGTGCAGACTCAGGTGCTGACTTGCAGCTGAACGTCTCTAGCGCGCTCGGTCATCATTCAAACACACGCTAATTCGGACGCTCCCGCACCTTCCCCGCACACACCGGTGTACCGTACCAAGCAACGAGGCAAGTGCACCTTTCGAACTGACGCCAGTCGCGGGTGCGCTGTACTGAATGTAAGCTGCCCAGACTCAGACTGTCAAGCTCCTTCCCTTTCGGGCTTGTTGAATTTCGCCACAACCCCAAAATCTTGGAACTAAATCTTCGCATTACCAGAGGAGCTACTGCCCTCTCGTCTTCCATAGTCTTAGACTCAGATAGAAGGTTAAACCAATCAATCAATCAATCAATCAATCAACTTCGCCACAACCTGGCTCGTTGCGTAACCACAAAGCGCAGTTGATGCTGGCTGTCGCAATCAGCGTCGTTGGCACCGCCTGTACGCCGAATCTGACTGCAACGCCGGCTGTCTCGATGCCTCGCAACAAGGAGCTGTATCGAATTTGATCCCAGGAGAGTCGGACAGGATGCCAATACACCAGTAGATGTAATTCTCGACCATACCCAAGTTGATACGCTCGAACATGTATACGCCGAAATCTCGACCGAAAGACTTTTGATCGCCCCAGTCCAGTACTGGTCACGTTCGACGGTACTCGATTCTCCGCAACGAGGCTGCTCGAGTCTTCCTCCTTCAAGGCTGCATTGTCTAAGAGAGGCAACATCAACAGGCACCAGCGGCTCGGCACGCTAAGAACTTTAGCTCGAATGTAGGAAGTAGGAAACCTTACGACTTCCATGTCTGGCGATTGTCTTCTCTTTGGTGGTTGCCCGACTGGTCGTGTTCGGTGTGTCATGATATCAAAGGCGCTGCGTAGATACCTAACTAGCTCAGGATCTGGTTGAGATGGTTCATCGCTGCTCGAAGCATTGGGAAACCTAGAATGTACATATCTTAGCCCAAAATGGTATCAGAATGAGTGTACAGGGCGACCTTGGGGTCAATGCCTAGATACTGTTGATGATCCACTCCATGGTTATTCTGTATATCCTGGTATGTTAAGCTTTCGAGTTAGTACTCTTGAGGAAGTTGGAGCGACTTCAGCCGCACGCACATCTGTTCGACACAAGGATCTCGGTAAACGACGCAGCAAGACTTTCCGCCACGTACGTTGGGCTGGTGGCAGCGGAAGGAGAGATTCTTCATGTTACCCCATGACTTCCACATGCATCGTGACGTTGTGACACTAGGCAGATCCTGAAGAGCATCTCTAAGCTGTCACCAACTCCAGCTGCAGTAACAGTCGTGCATTTGAAGGTTGCGTTAATTGACCTTTCTCGTGGTGTTCAACTCTGGCATCTTCGTGGTATCCTAGGATGAGTCTTGGATTGGGATGAGTGTTCTGGCTGGAATGCACGCCGGCAGGGGTTCGAGGCCTCAGCTCACCACAAGAAAACAGGCACGCCAGAGACAGCTCGACGTATTGCCCCCGTTGGATGTTCCCAGGTCAGCTACAAGGGAGGTAGAAGTTCGTGTACCGGGCGACTGCGGTGGTGCATATCTAACGCTTAAGGCTCTGCACTCTATTGGACGTGGCTGGCTGTTTTGCTGATAGCGGCCAGGAACTCACAAAGTAGACCATCTCAAACGGCGCAGCTTCGAGGCCACTCTGAGCGCGTAATGTCTTTCTGTCAGTCGTCAATGACTGGGATGTAGTTGGGTTGGGTGTGGGGAGGAGTGGGGAAAGCATTGACATGAGCCGCACCTGCCGTCGCCGCAACCCCAGCAACGGGGTTTTGTTTGGTGAATCCTTGGCTTGCTGAGGCTCAACTCAACCACATCTTGACGGCAGTCCTGTACGATCTCACGACGCTACGACTCCGTTCTATACGCATTGTTACGACTACGCACCGTCTTTTGTAGCGAGATACTCATTTGGCGCTTTCGCCTGGTGTCGCAACACTTCAGACGTCATTCGCCCTACTACACATTCCTGGCCGTCCTTCCTTGCGCCTACGCTGTCACTCCACGTCAACCCCGGTGCTTTTCGGATGTGACAGGCGTGCATCACGTGTAGTCATACATCATGCTGGGCTTCAGGCCGCAGCTCTCGGTAGCAAAGCGGAAACCGCAAGCCTACAACCAGGTGGAACGTGACCTCGAAGACGGCGAATATAACGAGAAGCGCTATGACAGCGACGACAATGACAGCTACACATCCTCGGACGCATCGAGTCCGTACTCGTCAAGGGCATCCTCTGGCGCCTATGATGTAAATCCGAACAACCCACACGAGGCCAGACCCCTCGCACCGAACCGCAAATCATCGCGCACGCATCGAAGAACACCGTCGAAGCCATCCGTAAGCGCATACAGCTACCGAAACCCTCGCGCATTCACACGATACTTTGGGTTGGCGATAGCAAGTACATTGGTCCTGTTTATATGGTTTCTGTTGCACAGCAGCTGGGACTCGATACGGAATGCAGAGCTCAAGCTGTACAAGTCACCTCCTCCGCCGCCAGTATGGGAGAGCTTTCCATTCTTAAAGCGCTATCATGGTGGCATACGGACTTTGGTCAGCCGCAAGGAGAACGTTCCCGAGTACCCTACGAAGGAAGACATTGATCCTGAGCTGCCGCCAGCGGAGAGCAAGCAGGAAACGGCCAAGGATAGACGGGCAGATGGCGCAAAGGTTCCTGACTCGGTACCCTTCAATCCGTATCCGGACTACAACAGCCTCAACTATGTGGATAAATACGGCCCTGTCGAGACCTGCTACCTGGACGCGAAAGATACGGTCGCAGTCCCTGGACTACGAGCATATAACGGGGTGACGAAGGGCATGCCTGACAACGTTATGGGCAGCTACGACCTGCTTGGTCTGAGGAACGACGTCTGCTTCGAGCGCTTCGGACGCTTGGGGCCGTACGGCATGGGCTACAGCAAGAGAAGGGGAGGTACCGGTGCTGGCATGGAAGGCGACCGCGAGGGCATCGAGAAGGTCTGGGAGGCCACACCGGAAGTTGACTACCGGAACGTCAAATGGGGTGAGGCTGTGACTCGTTGCTTGAAGAAGAACAAAGGGCGCTTCAAGACGCAGCCAAAGACTCGCGACGACGCATTCCAAGCCATGGCGGTGCAGAAGCGACAACTTGATGTCACTCTGAAGGCCGACAATCAGACCGAAGCCGATCAGCCGCTTACCGAGACTGTCCGCCAACAGCAAAAGGCTACCTACAACAAACTCATTCCACGAACCGCAGTACTCATCCGCACATGGTGGGACTATGAGTACGATGACGAAGACCTGATGTATCTGCGATCCATGATCTCTGAACTCAGTCTTGCGTCTGGCGGTGAGTATCAGGTGCATTTCCTCATACACGTCAAGGACGACAACAAGCAGATCTGGGCAGACGAGAAGGTTTATCAGGAGGTACTGAGCAAGTCTCTCCCAGCAGAGTTTGCCGGTATGGGCACTCTATGGTCCGAACGGCAGATGGGTCTCATCTACGGTGGTGTCGAGGAGTCTATGTACCGCGACCTGCCTGTTCATGGTGCATACCGTTCGACTTTCATGCCCGTCACCTACTTTGCGCACCAGCATCCCGAATTCGAGTACATCTGGCACTGGGAAATGGACGTTCGATACACCGGTCACTACTACCACCTCTTCAGCCAGATCTCTCGGTGGAGTGAAGCGCAACCTCGAAAGGGATTGTGGGAGCGCAACGCTCGTTTCTACGTCCCATCCGTCCATGGCTCCTGGGAAGACTTCACCCACATGGTGCGCGTACAGACCGAGCATGGCACCAATAGCAAAGCCAACACTTGGTCATCGCACCTCCCGCCGAACCCACATGTCACCCAGCCCGAGCTACAGAAGCCAGAGAAGCATATTTGGGGTCCGGAAAAGCCTCAGGGCTACCCTGACATCGAGATCGATGAGGATGTGATACCACCACATACTTTGATGGAGGACAAGCATGAGTGGGGTGTAGGCGAGCCAGCCGATCTCATTGTGTTCAATCCACTCTTCGACCCAGATCGAACCAATTGGATTTTGAACGAAGATGTCACTGGCTACGATCGCAAGAACGGCCTCCCGCCACGCCGAACGGCCATCAACACTTCCGGTCGTCTGTCACGCCGCCTGCTCGAGACCATGCACCGCGAACAGTCTCACTTCCGCCACACCATGTTCAGCGAGATGTGGCCCGGTTCCTGCGCGCTACATCACGGCCTGAAAGCCGTCTACGCCCCACACCCTGTCTTCATCGATCGCAAGTGGCCGACACAGTATCTCGCCGCCATCTTCAACAACGGGCGAAACGGCGCATCTGGTGGTGCCAGGCTATCTGTCTTCTCAGACGAGCGACAGCACAACTTCCTAGGTACAACATGGTACTATCACGCCGGATTCGCACCGAACCTGTGGAAGAGGTGGATGGGCTACAAAGTCGACAACGACGGCGGCGAGGAGGAAGAGCTTGCTGGTGAGGGACGAATGTGTCTCCCAGCTGTACTCCTGCATCCGGTCAAGCAGGTTGATCTTATTCAGGAGCGAGTTGAAGAGGCGAAAGATGCAGCGGAGCACGAGCACCCGTAAATGCAAAATTTGCTCATCATTGGGTATGGCGTTTATGAGCCTTTGGCGCTCTGACGAAGGAGCTTTCGATTCATATACACGATCATGATTTACAGCATTCATGTTGTACATGGAATATGAGAGCATTTCGTAGGCCCCTTCTTAGGTAGCCTTGCATTGTATGTATAATACCAGATACACTTCGCCACAACTTTGTCCACTCAAGTGTCCTTCGAGCTAGGCTGGTATCACACATGCACCAAGATGCCAAAACATTCCAGGATTCGCGCACACTCTCATATAGTCTTCCATCACTATTAGAGCATTCAACTCTTGTGAACCATGTTCTTCATGCCACGTCTTTGTGGCACAAAAGCCTCATGTAGTTATGGCCGTACGAGCTTGAGGAAGGAAAGGATAGCAGTAAGTTGTTTCTGATTATCGCCTTGAGTCTCTCAACCCTCCCACGCTGTACCCCTCAAACTGGAGGTACCAAGAATGTTCGCACCCATTCTCTATGCGTTAAGCAATTTCTCTATCAACGCCGCCCTCTTCGCCGCGTCCTCGAGACTCACCCAGCCATCTCCCGCATCTCGACCGTCAGCAAACGCATGCAAGGTCGCTGACACGGCGCGAGCCGGGACAGGAAGCGCCGCCTGCTCCGAGCTCCAGCTCCACTCCACCTTCTCGACACTATCATCCTCAAAACGATGGACCTGGATCGTGATAGGCTTGTCGTCGCTGGGATCAGCGTCGAAGAAGCTCTTTGATGGCGAGTCGACTCTGATTTCACCATTCTGAAAGTTGATCGTCCATGTTAGAGAAGATGTGCCAGGGAATGGCTGGCCGCGGCGGAAGAAGAATGCAAGGGTGGCATCGTCTGCTATGTGCGGAGAGGGTTGTAGCTGGGCGTTGAAGGAGAGGAGATCGGGGACGTCAGACTTGACTGTTTTGATGATTTTGTTTGTTGAGGAACCCCGGATGCGGATGTCTGGACGCTGGATCTGCGTCTTGGCCTGGACTGTGGAAGGCTGTACATCGCCAATGACCGACAGTAATACATCAAGGGCTGTTGTCTGTTAGGAGGCTGAATGCTCACCAGTAGGTGTTAGACTCACAATGACCGACGCCGATCGAGATAACGTTTCCACCGACTTCCTTGTGAGTGAAGTATTCGAGTCCAATCGGCAAGATCTCGCGGTCGTTCGTAGCTCCAAAGACACGTGCGTCTGCACTCAGCAATTTGCCCAGTTTTACATCGTCGCCATTTATGAGAGCCCTCACTTTCGACACGACTGGGTTCCATCGTCTTTGCAACCCAACTGCGACCCGAGAACCACTCTGCTTCGCCGCCTCAACAATCTCTTCGATATGCTCCTTCTTACCCGCGATAGGCCATTCCACAAACACGTCTTTGCCTGCCCTAATGCTTGGAATGATCACCTCGTAATGCTTGTCGACTCTTGTATTGCATATAACAAGGTCGATGTCTGGGTCCGCAGCAAGATCTTCTGGCGAGCCGTAAGCTTTGGTGTCAGCCGGGAGCTTATACTTCTCGATGGCCGAGTTTGCTGCATCAACACTGCTGTTCAGAAGTGCTTTGATGGCAAACTTGGACCGCCCTGCCTCCGAGAGCAGGCCGGGAAGGTGAGCTGCGGCGGCCCAGGAAGTGGCGCCCGAAGACGATAGTCCGATCAGCGCTGTGCGCAACGGATAAAGCTTGGTGGACATAGTGTGTCAATTTTGCGATAGTCGAAGAATGTTAGTCGTCAAGTTGGGAATCTTTGTATCTGAAGTGTACGTAGAGTCTTGCTTAGTAAGACGGTCACATTTGTCAGCTCGCGCTGAAGAAGTGCGAGCTCATGCATACATGGCGACATCGCGTGAGCTTCAGCCATGTTCCTCTGTCAGCAGTCTGATCCTCGGAGATTGCAGGGCCTCAAACTCCATGCACCGTACGTGAGAACGCTTTACTGGCCTTGCGGTCTCACGACATCTTGGTGCTGCAATGGCGCATCTGCCCCTCACGCCGAGACAGGTAGGTGGGCTGACATTGCGATATGCATCCTTGCTCCAGGAAGTGATGCAACAACGAGGATGGCTAAAAATCCGAACACCGTTGTTAGATTTTTAAACCGTGATTGTGCGTGCATGCTGAAGCCTGTCATATGCTGCAATTGTTAAGCATCATCACCCTTGATCAACAGGTACACAGTTCGAACAACCAAGCTAGTCGTAAGGTATTAGGATGCAATTTGTACACAACCGCGCTACACGAAGGGATATCTATCAGAAAGGAATGCTAGGCACGAAAAAGCTCTTCAAAACGGCCCTAAACCTTGGGCTCTTCATCGCTACCACGCTCAATGCTCTTGTTGGCAGCTGGTGCTCCCGTTATCGACTCGTTGCCCATGTCCCAGTCCATTGCGAGATCCTCCAGAGTTCTCCTCTTCGTCTCAGGGATCAGCAGAGTGGTAAAGATACCGGCGAACATGAAAGCAGAGAAGATTTGCATGACATGGTTGAGCCAAGGGTTGGCATCCTTCGAGGTAGCACCACGAGTGCGGAGAGGAGCAATAGCACCCTGGGCAATGATGGAACCGATCTTTCCGGCACCAGCAGAGATACCGTGAGAAGTTGAACGGTAGCGAGTAGGGAAGCACTCGCCGGGGACAATGAAGGTAGTGGTGTTGGGACCCCAGTTGAAGAACAGCTGGATGAGAACGTAGATGGCCAACATGGCATGGCCACTGAGGTGGTGGTAGGCGAAACCCCAGATGAGGAACAGAATGGTGAGCATGACGAAACCGACGAGCTGGAGGATCTTGCGACCAACAGTATCGATGGTCGCGACAGCCAACCAGTATCCGGGAATCGCACCAGCGCAGATGAGGATGCAGTTACCAGCGGCCAAGTTGTAGAGCTTGTGGTAGACGGTAGCACCACCTCCGTAGCCGATAGCCTGAAGGACTGTAGAAGAGTTTAGCCCGAGACCGTAGAAGGCGACATCGAGCAGAAGCCACGACATGGCAGTTCCGAAAAGAATCTTGCCGTTCCTGAGTTTGCCGTAGAAACGGAAGAAGTCAGACCATGAAGCCTTGGGGACCTCAAGCTGAGCAATGGAGGCCTGGCGGGTGGTGGCCGCAGTAATCTCATCAACATCGCCCTCGCCCCTCTTGCCGGAAACATAGTGGTTAACATCAGCGTTAGCCTTCTCGATGTCACGAGCGACATCGAAGGTGTAACGGGGCGTCTCGGGAATGGTGAGACGGAAGTAGAGAGCGCAGACGGCAGGGACGATACCGATACCGATCAAAGCACGCCACATCTTGTCAACAGCAACCTGGCATTCGCCAGTACAGTTGGCGTAAGAGCTAACGTTGTCGAGCTTGGACTTGAAGCCAACAGTCAAGCAAACCATGACGATGGCACCACCAAGCTGGCCGAAACCCTGCATGGCGAAGACAGCGCCCATCATGGCACCTCTCCACTTGGTGGTAGCGAACTCGGATGTGATGATCGACGAAAGAGGGTAGTCACCGCCAATACCTAGTATCTGTTAGACCAGTTCAGGTTGGCCTCAAGGAATGCAACTTACCAATACCCATCAGTACACGCCAGAAGATGATGAGACCAACAACGGATGTACCAGGACCGGGACCAACGAGCGACTGAGCAAGAGTTGCAACAATGATGAGAATGAGCTCAAGACCGTACATCTTCTTGCGACCAACGATATCAGCGAGGGCACCGAAGCCGACCTGACCAAGAACGGTACCGGCGGAAGTAGAAAGCTTGATGGCGGTATCCTGGGGAGTGAGGAGGACACCACTCTTGTCGTGCTTGTAGACAACACCGAGCATGATGGTCAACAAAGAGACACAGAAGATGTCGTAGCTGTCTGTGAAGAAACCAGTTCCGGCAACGAGAATGGCGCGAACATGGTACCAGCCAAAGGGGGCCTTGTCGATCTCAGCAAGTGCAAGTCTTCGGCGCTCATTAGGATCCTCGATGTGAGCCTGGTGGTGTCAGTTGGAGTCTCACAGATCCATGTCGGATTTTGCTTACGAAGTCGTTGACAGTGTTGTGGAACGCGCTGTTCCCTCCTGCTGTCTTGACGGCCATTGTGAAGGAGTGAAGCTTCGCCGAGCCTGTACCAAGAAAGTCAAGGAAATAAACGAGGCTTGACTGCGGAAGCGGATGTTGAACCTGGGTTGGATTCTGAAGCCGGGCATAAGCACAAGCTATATACAGACAGCGCAAGCTTCTGCAGTGGCATGGTGTGTTGCTTGGCTGGTGAAGGAGACTATATCTTTAGCCAATGAGAGCTCGTCACACGAGCACGCAGTCAGATTTGCAATGCGCGAGACGGACTGGCCGGGCGTTGGGAGGCCTGCTTTGCAAAGGATCATTTTCTGTCGCAAGCCCAGGACGCCACAATGCTTGTTAGTCGCGGCGGCTGTCAACCTCGAGCGTCCCAGAGTTCATGTTGGGCAAGCGCAGGCAAACGCGTCCGTGTGCAGCATCAGCTCGGCAGGCGAGTCTGGCCAATGGCGACCCCGCGTGGAGAAACGTGGGGCTTGGCAGCAACTTGAACTTCGCTGCTGATACGACGCGAAGCTTTTCGATCCTCCGGCGATGCTTGTGAATGCTTGCCAGAGCGCGGCATCACCGTGACCGCGTGGCGTGTAAATCGTGGATACCCATCTCACACTACCAAGATTGATCCTCAATGAATGTATGAACGAAGTTCCTGGCCTTCGCTGATCCGATTCACAGGTTCACGATGGACCCCTGCGCTCCCGGACCATTGCCCGCATGATGAAAACGACCTCGGAACGAATTGACACTTGACAGTGACTTGCCATCGAGCTGCAATTCGAGGCCTGATCGCGAATCAAGCCGCGCGGATGAGTGTTCGTACCGGCGCTCGAGACCTAACGGTCATAGTACAGACCACTTCTGTCTACCTACTGCATGTGATTTCGCTACAGCCAGCTACGGTTATTGGACCGAGTTTGGAAATTATTTTACATCCTTCTGTATCCACTTGGAGGGACAAGGCCCTCGTTACATTCAAGGACCATCCAATACGACACTGAACGTCTGATCTGTAATAGGCCTTACATCCAGAGAGTTTCCAACATCCAATCTCGACTCTTCACAACAAGACGCTCATGTCAACCAAATTCTCTCCCTGCAAGCGTCCCACTTTGGGGCCCCGGTGGAGTGGTGAGTCTGGACATGGTAAGCTAGCATGGCGCGAGGGCCCGCCTGCAGGTCTTCCGTGGATAGATTTAGGCAAGGGACTCGATCTCGCGGTTTTCGTTGACGCCAGCCCAGACCCTAGGAAAGTCCCACTAATGTCGTTTCTCGAACGCTTGGAAGTGGGGTCATCTCCAGCGAGGATTTGCTTTTCGAGAAGCTGTCGAAGATCAGTCAATATTGCATCCGCGTCATTACAGTCCAGTGCGGCGCGTCGAGCTGTACCACTCAGATCTCGATGTTGCTACACGCTCACCTCAAACTTCGTACATGCTCAGATCCACACAATTGTCACTACGCCAACCACGCTGAAGCACAGTGCTGCCACGAGGGTCACACAGCACAGTGGCAGACACCAGGTTCATCATCGTGCATAGGGCGATCCACGCTGCATATCCGGACCCATCTGCACCCATGTCATACCTCGCCCCTGCATCCGATCAGAACGTGGTCTGCATATGTAGACACAGTGTGGGCAATAACGCAGGCATCAAGTCTGGTTCCGCGAATAATTGGCACTGCATTCTATACCTTACCCAGCGACGTCTGAGGCGTCCGTTAACGGCGAATATTGCTTCAAGGCACTACAATAGAGTAATGGCCCTCCAGACTGTTGATACTCGAATATGTGGAACCAACAGACTGTTACAAACTGGAGACAGAGCCGACTTCGACAATTCGCAATTCCCTGCAAGTCCAGTGAAGATCTGTCTTGTGACACATGAGGCTGCCGTTCCATTTTGCAGATGCAAATCATCGTCGATCTGAGACGTCAATACAGCACATCAACTGGGTAAACATCATCAAGAGACTGTTGATCGTATCTGCCGCGATCGAGTGCGTCATTCAGCACGACCATACAAACCATACCATACGATGCTCAAGCCAGGACCAAAGCACAGGAACTGTCGTTTTCTACCTTGAACTTCATCTTTCACCCCTGCTTTGCGATCACCTCCATCCGTTCACTGCGCTGACACGATCTTCTTGCAAGTACTTCGCAGGCGCTATTAGTATGCCATCATTGCCAGTAGTCTAGAGGTCGCGAGAGCCAGAAGGTAAGTGAAGTCTGCTTCTATGGTCTAATACAGTCATCTGCCATCGGTCTATCGTCCCACTCTACAAGACACCATTCGACACTCAGACATCTAAGCCTTCTTGTAAGTCGGCTCCAGCGGCGGCTCAGCATTCTTAACCAACATCTGCACGTACTCATCAAACCATGCGCCCGCCGCTGGCGCCCCCTCCAGCCCACACCGTCCATCACTCTCACCACCAGGCTTAATCCACACAAGACTATCAACATACGTGTTGTTCGTCTTGGTAGTCGGCGGCGTGCCAAATCCACTGGGGCTAACATTGCACCATTCGCCCCACTCCTCCCTCGCACCAGGAAGCGCAACCCTTCCCTGATCAATGATGAACTTGGACGGCAGACCCTCGGCCTCGAGATACGGTGCGAGTGCGGAGGCGTAGTGCGACTCGTCCCAGCTGGGGGAGTACTCGGTGTAGTTCTCGCGGACCTTGGCGTTGAAGGAGTTGTAGTTTGACACATTGGTTGCATACCCGCGGATTTTGGCATTGGAGTTGAGTTTCTTCGCCATCGCAACGACCTTGGCGAACACCTCCGCCGTCGGCTTCAGGTTGTCGGCCCATCCGAGCCACCCGCCGTGCGCGGCGTCGATATACAGGTGGATGTTTGACGCCTGCAGCTTGGAGATTGCGTACGCGATGCCCTGCTCGTAGAAGGGCGTGGCTTTTGCGCACGTCGCGATGCCCTGGTTGGTAACCGCATTACCCAAGCTGTCTGGCTCGAGGACGATGGCGAAGGTCAGATCTTTGGCATCTTTGACGAGCTTGGCGTACTTGTCGACGAACTGCGACTTGTAGAGTCTGAAGCCGTCGTTGTCGAGGGTCAGCTCGCCCGCAGACTCACCAGCCGAGCAGTCGCGGTCGGGGAGGTTGTACAGGACGAGTCCGACGATCATGTCCTTGCCTGTCTTCTTCTGCGCGCGGGCTTCGGCGATGGTGCTGGTGATGTTGGACAGGTGGGCGCGCGAGGTCACCCATGTGAAGGTGGAGATCTTCTCTGCGACGGTACGGGTGCGGGCCGCGTTGAGGGTGTCGTTCTTAGCCTCGAACGCCGCTATGGTCTGGTCGAGCTTCTTGCCGTAGCTGGAGACGACGTGGCGATCCTTGCCCTCGAAAGGATTGGGCTCGGGCTTTGGCGCGGCAGAGACGCTGCTCACGATGGTGGCCGTAGCCAGGAGGAGGGAGGTGAGATAGACCATCTTGCTTGTCTCAAGCGTGCTTGACTATTGACTCTTGAGTGAACTGAAGCTGCAGGCTGAGCGAGCGTAGCGAACTGGTGAGTATAGCATCGAGGTACATTGACCTTATATACAAGCCATGTTTACACCTACTCTACCCTTAGTGTTGGTATACATCCCCGCCACCCAGTGCTTACCCTCTCGAGCACAATATACGGTGCTGGCGGCCCGTTCCAGAGTGCGGGATACAATCCAAGACCAACTTGCCGGGAGGAGGCTCACCATTCGACCAGGATCGCTCGGTAGGTGAAGTGTATGTAGCCAACGAACGCTGCCGCTTGTCAAGATGTCGTCTTCGGCTGCTCATAGCTTTACGATCTTTCTCATCTCGAACTGAAGCACGTCACTCGACGCCCGCAACCCATTCCTTCTTTCGCATCAAAATATCAAACCCCGAAAGCATTTCGCCAGATGTGTTATCGCGAGGACATCTCTTTTCCGAGCAAGATTCGAAGGACGATCCGTCCGCCTAATGTTCCTTGCATATGTCGTTTGCGAGTTAGATTAGGCCAAGCAAAGTTTACCAGGCACCTCAATTTGTGCATGCGATTTAGCCGCCTTGTACTCCGGAGATGTAGAGCCTCAACTCCGCTGCGACCGCGATACCATGGGTAGGTACATGTATTGCTTCAGTTTACATGTTCCCCTTTTGATCCTACGGTTATCTCGTCGATAGCTGCGTATGATCAGTACGTCTTTTGATAGTGCCAACGCTTGGAGTCCTTGTCATACCAACAGTCTAATTTCGGTGAGGTCGCATGTTGCGGCAATTCCTATTGCGACTTCCGGACCACAATAGCTGTCCAGTATGTATCGCAGCAGTACCTGCATGTACGCAATATACAGCACGTTCGACGTGTGTTCTAGCGCCATCTTGGAGAGGCGCACCCTGAGGTTGAGGTCAGATTGTACCTGCATTGATAGTGGCTGGGCGAGGGACATGGGAACATGTGATGTTCATGTGAGTGGCGTCGGCGTAACGTTGTTCAAGTCGGCAGAGTGTTGTGGCGAGAGTTGACGTGATCATGTGCAGGAAGGTCCAACATTCGATACTGGCAAATCTTCGCGCACTTCCTGCACGCTACAGCACGAGTCTGTTGCATCGTCAAACCATGACTCTGTAGTATCGTGTGCACTCTGTGCTTAATACGTGAATGGAAAACTGATGGCTGATGAATGCTTGCCGGCCAGTGACGGGCATGGATGGATATATCTACACGAACATACAATATCAGTACATGTATTCAACGCCTCTTCCTCACGCATGCGCAGGAACACCCCCTCTCGGCGCTGCTGACGCTGGCGCGTTCGGTGTAGCCGCTTGCACCGGCGCCAGTTCTGTAATCGCGTTCTCGTACTCAGCATTGCTCAAATCACCGACTCCAGCGTCCTCATTCTGCGGCCCAGAGAACATCTGGGCGCGCATGCTCTGCTCCTCCTCGATCTGCTGGTTGGCCCAGGCCTTCCAGTTCTCCCAGGCGCCGTCTTCGAGCGCCATACCGACCTCGAGAGGGCCCTTGCCGAAGTAGGCACCGACGTGCATGGCTTCTTCCTTTGCGATGCGTGTGCGGATCTCGGCAAGGTGGCGGTGGTGGTAGAATTCACGACGGGCCTGGTCATATGCGGAGGCTTTGGACATGCCTTGAACCCTCATGAGCCATAGTTGGCGCTGGACGACGCTGCTATGCATTAAAGCGTGTACATCACAAAGTGGATAGATCATGGTACCTCTCGCCGTCCAACTGTTTCCCCTTCTGCTTGATCCTTTGCCAGTCGTAGCCCTTGGCATCGTTTCCTGAGTCCTCCACCACTAGTCTTGGCCGTGCCAGTTCCCACGGGTGGTCTCCAAAGAACTCTGAGCGCAACTGATCTTCTGGGTACACGATGGGCAGAGGCTTGAACAGCTTGCTAGCCTTCTTTGCGCCTTTCACTCTCGGCGCTCGCAGGACGGGACGGGCCAAGGTCTCGCTGGTAGGGATATTGCCGACGACATCGTACCACTGGGGCAGGCTTTGGGTGCGCTTCGAGTCGTAGAGCGCCTTTGCTGTTGAGCGCACGCGAAGGGGGGCGAAGTTGTAGCGGCCCATGGCGGGCGATGTGTCGTGCTGGGGGGGCTGTCTGGGGCGGGCGATGCGCCGGTTGTACCTACTGCATACGAACAGTGGGCTGGAGGACGCGAGGAAGGAGCGACTGGCCGGGCAAAGGCGCAATGAGGCGAGTGGTGATGCTGGTCCATCGATGCTCAGCGTCACCTTCGAAAAGCCCCGACCGCGAGTTTGCCAAGACTCTCGAAATCTTTCGGCGACGCGCTGCACGTCCGCACTGCACGTCCGCGCTGCATCATCCCCGCCGTCACGCTCTCTTTCCGTCGTTACAGTGCTCCAATGGGGCCTAATTAACCAATCGACCCCATGGAACCTGCCCGACGCCGCTGCCAGTGACCACGATGCTCGAAATCTCATGTCCCTCTTCCGCACCCTCGACCGGACCTCCGCAGTCTCTCCACACCAAGCTCCCTTCCTTGCCTTCCTATGTCCCGTCCTCCAGCAGACGGAGGGGTCGCGGCGCAGCTTCAGTCATGCTGCAATAAAACATGGCTCGCGTACCAAGACTCCCACCGGCAATCCCACCGGCAATCCAATGGAGGCCTTCTTCATTCGAGCCCTCGTGCGCGCCGGCTCCTGTCAAAAACATGCACGGCACATGCACAACCTGCGCAGTGCCGTCCCTCAGCCATCACAGCAACACAAGCCCCGCCGGAAACGCGTCCCAGACCACGGCCGGCACCATGACCATCGAGGGTTCAAGACAAAGGCCGAGCATAAGGGGCCTCTGGACAAGGCCGGGCAATTTGCAAAGAAAGAGCTCAAGGCCATGGTGGACTACTACGGGATTGAGGTGGATACCCGCCCCGAGGACGACGGCATGATGGACGATGGCGGGCCGTTGATATGGAACGTGGGCGGCAACCATGAGCCGTGGCCCCTTCGTGAGGCCACCGACTTCTTCCACATACGGCGACTCAAGAAGCTGCTCAAAAACGATGAATCGCCCCACGAAGAGGTCTTCGACACGTACAGGAAGCTGCCTTCGCCAGGCGTTGTGTACCTCGAAACGGATATGATTCGGAGCCTGCTACACCATCTGTCCATCGTTGAACGCCCTTCTCCCACAGCTATGCAGCGGTTCATGTCTGTACTCGATGACATGAAAAGCGCACACATACACATCACTCAGTCAGAATGGACTACAGCAATCTACTTCGCCGGTCGCTGTATGGGCAGGGTATCTGGCGAGGAAGTGACATCCGCGTTGAGCATGTGGCGCGACATGGAGCACCGTGCTGGTGTCAAGGGCGGCTTCGTGACGCTGAACGTCCTCTTTGATGTGGCAGTCAAGGCAGGGAAATACACACTGGCCGAGACCTTCCTCAAGGAGCTGCAAGCGCGCAAGCTCAAGCTGCATCGCCACTTCCGAGTCTCGTTGCTGTATTACTACGGCGTGCTGCAAAACGGCAATGGCGTCAGACAGACGTACCAAGACCTCGTCGAAGCCGGCGACATTGTAGACACACCGGTCATGAACGCCGTCATTGCAGCTCTCTTCCGTGCTGGCGAGCCTGCAGCCGCGGAGCATGTGTTCGAGCGAATGAAAAGGCTACATGCTGCGAAAGAGCAGCCCGCGCCAGGCCACAGGTTCTTCATGAACAACTGGCGAGATCGCCGAGCAGTGGGTTTGCACTTTACTCACCAAGCTCGGCAGCTCAAGCGCGCTGGAAAGAAGGAGGAGCTGAAGGAGCTGCAGGACTACGCGCCAATCGCTCCAAATTCGCGTACGTACGCGCTGCTCATACGGCATCACTCCACAGTAACCGGGGATATCGACCGCGTGAATGAGCTGCTCCGGGAAATGCAGGTCAACTCCATTCCCATCGAGGGTACCACCTTCATCGTCATGTTCTACGGTTTCAGTTCCTTCGGCGGTGTTCGATATTCTTCCTGGACAGCCGACAAGCTGGAGAGAGTATGGGCGCAATTTCTTGTGGCCGTGACGAATAAGACAGACCGCACATGGCTCTCCAGTATGGCCGTCACTGCAGCTTTGAAAGCGTTCAAAAGATGCACGAACCCCGACCGAGCCTTGCGTGCATGGGAAGAGCTTCGGCCTAGCTGGCAGCCCAGTGAACAAGAGCTGGAAAGCGTCATGCAAGAGCTGCGGAGAATCGATGTAAAGCCTGGCTTCTTCAGCAAGAACGTCAGAGGGCGGATACGATAAGTGTACTAGTGTGTAACATATGATTGGATTTGCGACGAGTGTTGCACAGATACCCGCGCGTAAAACATTGCAAATGACTGCAATGACTGCAATGTTCAAATCTTCGCTTTCAGCTTCTCCGCTTGCTTGTGCAACTTCAACGCTTCTCTCACTCCAAGATCGATCAGGACATCTTCAGAGCCACCGGGGACCGTGTAGCTAGGTACTGCACGGTAGAACGCCTCAATGCGTGCTCCCTGGCCCGTCTTTGTCAGGCCTAACCCACCCATGATCTTCCTGCAACGACGGTTAGCCAAGATTCAAGAGAGCGAAGAGTAACAACTTACAAACACTCCTCCGCAACATACTTACACACCATCCCACTCTCAACCTTCAACAACGCCGTCGTCCCACCGAGTAACCTCGCTCCATCGGCATCAGATAAGTTCTCCAGCTCGTAGACGATCTGCTCAGTCCATGCCTGTAAACTTTCAACCATTCTCCCGCAGTTACCGAACTTGTTCCTCACGACGGGCTGTTCGATTAATGTCTTGTCGAACGCTTCGCGCTTAATCGCCCAGCTAAACGCATCCTCCAGCGCAACCCTGCACCCGCGGATGGCTTGGAACGCAATCCAGAGCCGCTCGTGGTTGAAGTTGACCATGGTTTGCTTGAACCCTTCACCTTCCTTTCCGATCAAGTATTCTGCAGGCACTTTGACGTCTTCAAACGAGACATACGTCGTTGCGCTCAGTGGGCCGGCGACGACTTCTAACTTCCGCGTTCGAAGGCCTGAGGAGCGGGGGATTAGCAGCATTGAGAGTCCGCCCGCCCCTGGGCCCCCGGTGCGCACGAGTGTCATGAAGTAGTCGCTGAACATGCCGTTGGTGATCCATTTCTTGCTCCCGTTCACGATATAATGTTTTCCATCTGCCGTTTTCTCAGCCGTGGTTTTCACGTTTCGTACGTCGCTGCCGGCGTCGGGTTCGGTGACGGCGAGACAGATGCGCTTCTCGCCCGACAGAATTTCCGGAAAGATCTTCTTCTGCAGTTCCGGCGAAGCAAACTTCTGTAAAGGTGGCGCGCCGACAACCAGCCCGATGAAAATCGAGGCGATGGGACCGGCGCGGATTAGCTCGTCCCAGAGGATGAAGTCGTGGAAGCCGTCCCACTCTTCTGGTTTGATACCCGCGGCGATGGGGTAGTTCGAATACTGAGGTGGGATCGTTTTGCCGAAGGCGATTGGGACGAGGAGCCCGGCAGAGGCGCATTTGGCGTAGATAGCTGGGTCGACGGCGCCGGATTGAACCCAGTCTTCGCTGAAGGGGGCGATATTCTGCGGTTGTTAGTGTGGTCTTGGTTTGGGCGACAGACGTAGAGTGGCAAGGAATCGCATATGGGGACCAAACTATACGCTCTTTCTTGCACAAGAGGCTGTATTGTAGGGTCTTGGAGCTGAGAAGCTGCTCGGATGGATATAAACTTGCCTCGTCACACCATGCTCGAACGTAGTCGCGCAGCTTTCGGTGGCTTTCTTTGTAGTATGGTGATGGGCGGCCGGTGTACCTGTTCGCCTTAGTCTAGGTGTCCCTCCGTAAATCCAATCGAGGATTTGATCTCACCAACTTGGTTCCGCCCACGGCAAGCTGCTTCCGTATGTTTCAGACAGCTTGCTTGCCGGTTTGTCCTCTACGATCCTGGTAGTACTGTGCGCCATGTCGTCTATGAAGTTCACGATAATTGTTCAAGAGGGAGCGTAATTGAAGTCAGAGCAGCTGTTTGATATATTGCAAGGCTATATGTTCGGTGTACAAGTTGCCGAAGCTGCTGTTCGAGTCGGTCGTTGGAGTGCAGCTGACGGGCCGAGGCTTGCCCCACAAGCGTGTTCGTCTGCATTTGCATCCCTCTGGCGGCAATTCTCGGTAATATCATCTTGATGGTATCTGAACGCACGCTTGGCGTTGGAGATGCTCGTTCCTACTCATTCTTCATAGTATTAGTTGCCTGTCGATTCGGCGCGGGATTCGACGTAATGCAGTCCGCCTCAGCTGTCCTGAAGAAGCAGCGATCGTGGCAGGGTCGATTGGAACGACTTCGACTTTACAGAGTGCTCTTCTTCGTCAAATTTGGTGAACAGCAGCCATTGCCATGAGTTTGAGGAAAGACAGGACGATCTGTGTTTGGATGCAGAAAGCGCTACTGTGCCAAATGCGCACGTGCCAACCTACATAATAGAAGGATGGCACTTCGCTCCTCCATTACTGCCGACATAGCCCCGTGGGTGCACTCAGTAGAGGGCTGCGGCTTCCGCCCAGCACATTTACAGCTCTTTGACCACTTTTTGTCTGCACGACTATCGGCCACCGTATCGGCCGCCACCTTCACTTGCGGGCACCCCAAGACCATGTGATCGGAAACGTGCAGACCCATCACACTGCGTCCCAGAAGAAAGCCTCTGCCATACCTCGATACGATCCATTGCTTCCGCTTGGGGAACTGCGGCAGTCCGGCTTCAGAGATCCCAACCTTGGCGCATCCTGGACCTGGCTGCAGAAAAAGCTGGTCTTACTGTACAAACGGTAAGTTCATCGAATTCAATGTGTTAGTCATGGATGGACGTTTGTCTAGTCACGTCCAATATGGGCTTCTTGTTCGAAGACCCTACCTGGTTGCGAAAGAACAAATCAAGAATGCGTATCCCAATCCAACCAGTAAGGAGAGCGATGCAATAACCATAGCAATGACCATGCTGGACGCGGTGGCATCAACCCAAATTTTACATGGCTTGGAATGAAGATGGTAAGTTCTTGCCTTCCAAGCAGGACATACACGCCATTGAGGACGCGGCTTCGCGTTGCGTCGCTTTAGGTCTAGTCACCAGGAGACTTCGCCTTACGACGCACTCCAAGGGGACAAAAAAGATTACCGGAAAGCCTTCTTTTGGGCCCATCATCACGTCATGAAAGGAGTAACATTCGTGGCAGCTTTGAGATTGCTCGCTCCGGAGCAACTTGATCGGCTTAAGCAAGATGAGCACAACATAGCTGCTCAGCATGTCCTTCAGCAGTTTGCGGTCCCTGCTGCAAGAAAACGTTGCGGTGTATATAACCTTTAGGACCCGAGGGTCAGAAAGGTCGGCCTTTTTGTATCGCTGCGGGGCCGCGACAGAAAACAACTACGATACATGGACTTGATAGTCGCAACGGGCGCTTCTAAAGACTTGTCTGACCTACTGATGGCCGACTTCGACTTCGTAGGGCGAACCATGGTCTCATGTAGGGAGAAAGTTTGGGAGATAAAAGAACAACGGCCGGACTGGGAGCACACCACGCCAACGAAGCTCTCTGTGGCCACGGTTCGCTTCGTTTTGTCCCAAGAAATTTTCTCCTTCGGTCTTCTGGAGAAAATCTATGCCACAGCTATTCAGATTGCCAAGAATCCCCGAATCCCTTGCCCCAAAATGAGCTGCTCGACACGTTAGAGGAGGGATGCGCAGAATACGCACGTCGGGCATCGAAAACTAAGAGGCAACATGCTTGGATGAACAAAAGAAAGTAGCATACAATGAGACTTTGAGGATGACTGCCCTTCACAATTTTTGAAGAAGGAAGAGCTCTAGAAGACGACAATAGCCTCGAGCAAAATTACCAAAGAATGGGGGTTCGTTGCGTGTCATACTCTGGCTCTAAGTTGCACATGGAAAAGAAGGCATTCAATTTGCAGCGTGTTTCGATAATTCTTCTGGTGTCATTTCTCGGGCAGGTTTCCTTCCTGATCCTTTGTGGAGGCTTCTAATGCATCATGAGCGCCACAAAGGACATCTAGCTTGTCGATGATTCAGTTAATGGAGCGACATCAACGACGCTGGGACTGAAGATCAGCCATAATCGTGAGTTGCTGGGCTACTCTCTTGGTGAAAGACAGAGGTGGAGGCGAATTTTACGGCCTCCAAACTAACGCCTGCAGCCTTCCGGTTCTCCACGCGGCGTCTCCGCCATGAAACAACCATCGGCTAGTGTGCAAGCTGGGACCGATCGATATTGCGCAAGGGAGAGCGGGACCTGCAGGATGAGATTGGCACAACAACATCGTCTACCATTGTGGCAGCTCCTTCGGATCTAAAAGATTTCTCGACAACCAACGCTTTGACTTGCAACTTCTTCCCGTCCAATCCAGCATCTAACATAACTCCTGCCTCGTGCAAACAATGCCATGAACCCCTGTGTTCTGGGCTAATGGATCCCCATATATTATGAGGCTAATACAGTGATTGGCTAGGCTAGTATCTCCATCCTGCTGCGACGATCCTGCTGTTTTCCTTCCAACACATCTCAAAAGTCATGAAATCACCGCCAGATCCTCCATACAACTGCGATCTGTCCAGGCTGCATCTCGTCGAGCTGTAACAACAGATGAGCATTCCTTGTTATCAGGGCGCTAGGTCAAGGTCTTCGACGTTCCGTCTACCAGTGTATCATGGAGCCCTCCAAGTTTTGCTCAAAACATTTGTGCAGATCTGCACATGCGACTAATGATGCTGGCCACAAAAAGGTAGGAGATGAGCCTCAAGGCCTGCCAATAGGTATGGCACGGACATACATCATGAGTATCCAAAGAGGAAGGTGCACGGGCATACCCAACTCGTGCGGCGGTATCTGTGCCTGCCGCCAACTTCGCTTATCTACAAACGGCAAGGGTGCATGCAGTCGGTCCAACTGTCCGGGCATCTGGTCCCTGGTAGACATGCGGGACGAAGTCAACATGTGGATAGAATGGTGCCATCACGAATCGCATACCAACAGGACGGAGGAAGGGTTCCCCTGCCAGCCTTAAGAAGCACGCTTAGAAGCTGCAGCTAGATGGTGGGCCAGAAAGCTGTTCCCTTCTCACCATCCCGACGGTCACTACTCTGCGCACAGTGATTTCTTCGTAAGATATCGATGTCGGCGTTGTCGAGTTGGGATGTTTTGCTTGCTGAAGCGATTAAGAAGGCTCCGGATCCATATGAGCCTTTACCCATCTCAAATCGCAAGGAGACTGTTTACGGATCGACCATTCCGTTCTTAGTACGTTCGACTTTGTAGTAGCTGATGGTTGTGTATTGACTAAAGCGGCAGGTCGCAACCTGGATCGCGGTCGCCTTTCGATTGTGGGTGCGGTTCAGAGTTGTTCGAGAACCAGGCTGGGACGACTTATTAGTGCTTCTAGCAGCAGTACGAACATTTGTCTTCGTTGCCATAGGCTATGCGACCGATGCTGATGCTTTTGTAGGTTTTGAACACTGCAGCCACAATTACTGTCTGCCTTTGTAAGTCCAAAGTTGCATACCCTTTTGTGCGTTGCAGGCTAACGGTCGACCACAGCAATTCAATATGGATTTGGACAACATATGCTGTATATTGATACAGATAAGATTGAGACCTACCTCTTGGTACGTGTTGCTGTTTGCCTTGTTTCTCGTTACTAATCGAGATAGACTTTTTATATCGAACACAATATCTACCTCACCGAGACTGCGATCATCAAAGTGTCGCTGCTACTACAATATCTCCGCATATTCAAGGCTGGACGCATGAGATGGCTTTGCTTGAGCCTATTGGTCATTGTTAGCCTTTGGGGTTTGGCTTTCAGTATCGTGGGCTGGTTCTCCTGCACTCCTGTCAGTGCTTACTGGCGTCGCTCAGCTGGGGCGAAGTGCTATGGCTTCGGTTTCGACGACCGCGAAAGCTTCATAGCCATGTTCCAGGCTCACTCCGCCACAAATATGTTCTTCGACCTTATCATCTTTGCGACGCCCCTGGTGCTGTTTCGCACACCAAATCTCAAGTTCGAGAACGTGTTGGCCCTAGCTAGCATGTTTACATTTGGAGCAGTGTAAGTGTCCTTGGTCTTCCATGTCGTGACATTCAACTTTCATGCTTGGGCAACTACTTACCGCAACAGGGTTGTTATGATATCGGTATGGCGTTTGCAGTCCATCGTATACCATAGTGCCGGTCTGTCGCCCTACCCTGATTTCACCTGGTGGACGCCGATCAGCATTATCCTATCCTGTCTCGAGATCGACTTGGCTATCATATGCGCATCGATACCTATCTTCTGGCCCGTCATCCAAAAGTCGTTCTCCGCCATTTTCGTCAGCCACGAGATCGAGGTAGTTGAGACTCGAGTAGACGACCACGGATTAGCTTACGAACTGGAACACATGAAGACTAGAGGGCATCACAGCTTGAACAGTAGCAGCGGAACTTCAACACATGAGCTGACCAATGAAATGGAAGATGGCTACAAGGAGTCGTATTCTGTTGGTATTGACCCTCTCAGCATCGAAGCGCAGAGTGGTCGAGGTTTGCATACCAACATCAACAGTGAGCCGAAAAAGAAGTGGGAAATCTAGTACACCCTATATGATACTCTTCACGCTTACATACCAATGTGCCATGTTGCCTATTCAATGTGTTGTGAGTGTGTCGAGGCATGTTAACAGTATCTTACATCAAATCATCCAAAACGGTTTTGTGGTGTAGTTGGTTATCACGTTCGCCTCACATCTTGTGAACGCGAAAGGTCCCGAGTTCGAACCTCGGCGAAATCAAATCGTTATTTTTGCCAATTGTACTTATTACTTGTACTCTCAGTGAACCCAATTTCTTGTTATTGCTCCTCTCGTTTTCCATAGTCTTAGACTCACATAGGACGTTAAACCAATCAATCAACAGTATCCTACTCGACAGCGGTCGAGATACAACACTGAAGCACCGCAAACAACGTCACCATATATCCAATCCACTAAAATGAACTTGGATAACTAGGCCCGAGGCTTTTAGATTGTGGCAGAATTATGATCCTTCGTAACGACATTGCTATTTGACCCTGCAGACCCTACCAAGCCTCTTGCCGCCTGCAATGAAATTCAGTGTAACTGCTTTGTAACTGATTTGAAGCAGGGATGCAGCGACTTCGAGCACAACAACGAGTGCAGGCCACACGAACAGGCCAACTGATTTGCTTCGTGATAGAGAAGTGAGGTTTTCGCGACGTCTGGCGGACATAGGCCCCCATCTCGTTTACAATCCCGAGGTCGTTCGCACCGCCTCACGGACAACGATGACAAGTTCGGACTTTGCAAGTTACTTCTTTGGCCCACGCCTAGGCTTTGTGCGCCTTTTAGCTACGTTCCTCTGTTGCGGCTGCTGCACATGTCCTACGGACTGCGCCTGCCGCAAGAGACCACAATGCAAGCAAGGAAGAAAGTCCAGCCCGCACCTTCCCTCTGCACCTTGTATAGAGCGTTGCCGCGTTTCAGATTGACTTTGATTCACGTTGAACATGAGTGAGCCTGGCTGAGCATGCGAAGCTTTGGCCCTGGAGTAGGCCTTACAGAGAAGCAAAAACTGTTCAGCGCCGCTCGTCGATCGCACTCAAATCTGTTCCAAGCTTCCGTACCTCTCAATATCTTCTTTCATAAAGCCTTTAGCTTGTCGGTATGTCGCAATTAATTCCAGAAGGCCTCCAGATTCCACCTGGCGTGGACGCCAGACAGTTCTTGCTTTCTCTGCCCGCACTGGGCGCTGATCAAATACCCGAGGGGGCAGACATTGTGATGACCACTGATGGCCCTGATCAGGTCTGGTTCTTGGTTGTCGCAATAATATGCATTGCGGTCCCGGGGCTCTTCCTGATCCTGCGGGTCTATACCAGGCTTGCGATTATGCGGTGCTTGGAGCCAGCGGATTGTGAGTGCGATTCAAGTGAGCTACTATTGGCGCTGACTGTTGGCAGACTTCTTGTGCTTGGCTTTTGTATGGTAAACCTGCGCATTGTTAAACTTGGTGTGCTGACCTTGAATAGCCCTTGATCGTAGCTGAGATCGCTATGGGATACCAGATGGTAAAATGGGGAGCAGGAGTGCATCAGTGGCAGATCACCCTGGGTCAACTGTTCAATCAGCTTTACGTATGTCCACCTTCTGCCATGTCTGTTTAGTATGCTAACAGTTATGACAGTGGGCAAACGTCGCTCAGATCATATACTGTCCGCTCAGCTTCGTGGTCAAGATGGCCATCCTCATGCAGTACCTCCGGCTCTTCGCGCCCTCACGCAGCAGCAACAAGTTCATGTGGTATGGAGCATGGGCCACGATAGTAGCGACATTCATTGTCTACACCTTCTTTACATTTTGGACTATGTTCTACTGTAAGCCTCGACGCATGATCTGGGACAAGCTTACACCGGGCGGCAAGTGTTACGATGTGAACGACATCATCCTGAGTCAGGGTGTTTTCAACATGGCGTCCGACGTCGTCATCCTCTTTCTCCCAACTTTGTCGTTATGGCAGCTCAACGTACCACTGGCTCGCAAGATGTTCATAACACTGCTGTTTGCGACCGGATTGGTGTGAGTGTACATACAACTTGGAGGCGGTAGCCAGCTGACAGAGAACGTAGAGCATGTATTGCCTCGGTCATGCGCATCTGGTTCACTCTCAACATCTCCGCGGTCATTGCCGAGGCTGATGTATCCTGGAACGGCCTATTCATCGGGATCTGGACGACGCTCGAGGTCTCTCTTGTCTTCGTCGTAGCGTGCACTCTATGCTTGCCCAAGCTGATCCAAGCGAAGGGCGAGAAGTTCAGGGTGGCGTTGTCGTATGCTTCAGCCCCCTTTACCGCAGTTGCAGGAGTCGTTCGCAGGAAGACAGGTTCACATGAGGATTTTGAGCCGAGTGCTTCGCAGAGTGGCCCAAGGGTTGGGCGAACTTCGACATGGGAGGATATCGAGCTGGACGACAAAGGGCCCAAGTACTTCGAGGAGCGCGAGCATACGCATTGGCAAGAAGAGATCGACTCTCATCCGAGAAAACCACTAAGCAGGATGCACCGAATGTGCAGCGCTGCAGGCAGTAGCGAATACTCACAACGCAACGGATCGAGGTTTTCGAATCAACACTATGATGGATTTCATCAGCAACCACTCCACACACCGGAGCTCTCGAAGCAGCAGCAACCATGGAAGTCTGCCTTTAGTCCATAGCACAAAGACAGCAAAAGCACAGAGACTAAAGTAGAAGTCCGTCTCCCACAATGTGGATCTGGATCGCTCTTGTTTTACCTGTAGCACCTTCACGAAGTCCAGTGCTTCGCCTAGTTTGGGAAATGGATGTTTAATCGAGCCGTACCGAACCGTCTCTGTTCATCGAAGGCTTGTCCTCGTAAATGCCCCATGCAACCCGGCATGGTTTCCAGTCGATGGGATCGTTCAACAGCCAGTGGTCAATTTGGCGGTAGTGGTGGTCGAAGTCGACGACTTTCTTGCGCTCGCGCTTATCACGAGCTTCCTAGGCTTTGCGCACTTTCCCGGCCTCTTCTGCTTCTGTATGGACGCGCGTGTGATGGAGGTCCAGTACTTGGAACGTCATCTGAGGAAGAGTGATGTTGCCCAATGTTGCGTGGTGAGCAGCCTCGCGCAAAATTTGCACATCCACCGTACTGATGGTCTTCCATAGGTCGTTCGGGTCGATTGCCTGCCGCTGAGCTTGTGCAAGATCGCTGCCTGCAAAAGTTGTCCGTTGGACTTTTCGTAATCGCTCTCCAATCGACTCGACCACTTCAGCGTGAGGCCTCCAGAACAGGAAACCCTCGTGACATAGCAAGGGAAGTTGTCTCCGGCTAAGACATCGAAGAAAGGTAGTGGTCTTTGTCATTGGTGCTTGTCAAGCCTGCACCTGGCATAGAGCCTCTTTGGCATGCCATTGAACATTGAACAGCTTGTTATAGTGGTTAATCTTTTACTGTAAGATCAATGACTTCGTTGACCAAATGTCCGATCTGGCTGTACTCTGGATGTCTGTCGATTGCGCGTGAAACGCTATCGCGGCTCGGCTCGCGCTTCACAGGGATGGTTGACGACTGCCTGTTCTGTACCGTAGATGATCAGTAGCACCCTAAATTCAAGATTCACAAGCTTTACCTTCAGCTGTCGAACGAGCTCTCGAAGTTCGTCTCTGCTCATGTTGTCCTCCGACCTCTCGTGCAGTGGATCAGACTTGGTGATCTAGAAATGATTTGGAGTGATTGAAGAGCCGCTACGCGATGATAGTCAGCGAACACACTGACCGCAGAGTGTATGGCGTTCTTGCCTCTTGACCGGTACTTGAAAGGATACTCGGCAAATGGTGCGCGCGCTTCGTCTACATAATTATAAACCCATTCGTGCCCCGTAGATGTCGTTTCCACTTGTTTCCCGAGGCTATGCATGCGTCAACCTTAGGGCGAAGATAGTAGCATAAATGCGTACGTAGTCTGATGTGAGCGAGTGTCTCCTTTCATGCGTTTTTCCGACACGCACTTGACCTTTTCGAGGCGCTTCGTGTTCCTCGTCCTTGCCGTCGGAGGCTTACGTCGTGTATCGATCTTAATGCCCCACAAGAATGCCATAGTCAGTGTCGAAAGCATCATCGAAAGAAAGCTTGGATGCCGAACCTGCGACCGGATCTAGCTTCGATGTACTTCGTCATCTGGTACTGTCGCAAGCCTTCATCCTGATCGAGCACCGACTCTGTCTCATCGTCATTGTACTACTGAAGAGTCTGTCGACTAGAGTCTACGATTTCGACCTTCAGACCAAACACTTGATCGAGGACTGCCATTGTAGAGTTCCGGTCGTAAAAAGGGGCGATGAATTGTTGACGAGCTCCTGAAGGCACGATGTTAAATGAGTAACATGTAAAAGTCCGCTTTACACCCTGCCCAAGAATCGTCCACTCGAATGGGAGTGTGAACCTATAGATCAACCTGTATTGCCGCGTCCAGAAGAGGGGTTGCACGTCACCAAAGGAACGTGTTTGCGAAAGGCTCGACCTATCAGCCGGCGTTGGTAACGCGAACCATGGTACGTTCAGCAGCACCTGCTTGGACACGGACCTAATTACTACTGTGAAGACGTCAAACTGGTCTGACGTAACGCCCTGTGAGAGTGGAGGTCTCTTAAACCTTCGGGGTTTGAGCCGTTCTTGGAGTAAATGCACGACTATAGGCAACGATTCAACCTGTAAAAGACTTGCAATAAACTCGAAGATCTTGCAATGATAATTTTATAGGAGAGATTTAAATATTCTGGGAAGAGGCTGAGTGAAGGACCAGGTCACGAGAGGCCTCGAACCACACGTGACGTTATCGATAAGGAAAGCGCGTCGGACGCGCCTGCCATCTTCGTGTCGCGACTGCATCATTACTTCCATCCCAATTATAAAAAGTTTCAACACGATACAGCAACGCGTGCGCACACACTGCATCCTCATCCGAAAACCACGTCTAGAAACTGAACGATCACAATGCTGCTCACGAGCACATACTATTCCCAGATGCCGAACCAGCATTACGCCACCCACGCACCAATTCGGTCCTCTCCACTTCGCGAACGCTCCGTGAATGCTGGTGCAGGCTTGTTCGACTTCAGCATGACGTCGCAGTCTAGCGAAAATCAAAATTCACAACCACAACGCGCGTTCAAAGCCAATCCGGTAATGCAGACGCGCGATGCTGCTACCAAGAGACGGCGAGACATGTTCTACAAGCGCGTGCAGAACAATCGCGAGGACAAGAAATGGGAGTCACGAGGCGAACAGGTATGCCGCAGACATCCTTATAGTCAAACGCGTATACTAACGCGATACAGATCCAGCAACTAGACTTTGTCTCAGAGCGCAGACGGTGGGAAATTAAGAAGGCACAAGAAGCACCACCAGAAGAAGACGAGATCGACGACGAGCTTCTGAGCGACGTAACATTACCACAGTCTTCAAGCAGCGCACCGCAATTAGAGCCAGGAATGACCGAAGCGGACTACCTACTTGCACAGGAGGAGTACGAGCTGCAACAGCTGGTTGCTTCGATGGAGCAAGAGCAGAGTCAGAATGCAACGCCACAGCAGCATTACGGAAGCGATGATGAGGACTACGATCAGATCTTCATGGAGTGTACGACAGATGTTGATATGCGGTACCAGCAACAACCGCAGGCTCATGATGGCGGCTACAGAGACGTGGATGACATGGACATGACCGACGGCTAAGAAGCAACATGCTCCTCGAGTGACGTGCTCCAAAAAGAGGTCAGAGGTTCGTGCCAGCTGGACTTGACAGCCAGGCACCCTGGCATGGAGGTCGAGGCTAGGCACATGTGTAGTGTCTCAAGTATATTGTTGAGATATCTATTGTAGACGGTGAACTATTGCGTCGGACATCCTTCGTCCATTCCCGCCAGCGCTTCCTGCGCAGCATTCATATCACCGACAAGATCGGGCGGCGGCGAGCCAGCGGCTTGCATCTAGAGATGGTCAGTAATATGAACGTCCAATATCAACGGGTTGGTATACCTTTTGCATCCTCTCAACAATGTACTCCCGATCTTTCGCATTATCATCACTGTACCCCTTCGTTTCGAATCGCCCTGTGATCTCCTTGACCAGCACTTGCTGCTCTTCATACCTCTTGAGATCCTCCTTCGGCACCTTGTCCTTGTTCTTCTCCATCCACGCTGGGAACTTGTCATCGAGCTCCTTCATCGGCTCGTATAGGATTTCCTTGTTGGTCAACTGCTCCATCATGCCCATCAGTATCTTGCTGAAGTCCTCATCGCTCCCCTCCCCACTGAATCCCCCGCTCTCCATCTCCTTCAGCATCTGCGCGAGGATGTCGTCCTGGTTGGCGGACGATGCGGCAGCGGAGGAAGCAGCGTCGCCGGACTCTTGCATGCGCTCCATTGTCTTCTTGATTGTGTCTTGGAAGCTCTTGTCTGCTTTGCTAGTAGATGCACCAGCTTTCGAGGGTGTCCCGTCTTTCAACGATGACGATGCTGCTGCAGCTGCTTTTGAGGCTGTGGGCCCTGGTAGGTGATCGCCGCCCATCTCGCTGTTCATCTCTTTCATAATATCCTCGAATTGCTTCTGGAAGTCGCCCTGGCCGAGAAGCTGCTCCATCTCGTCTTGCAGCTTCTTTGCGAACTCAGCTTCATCTTGAAGAAGAAGCTCGGCAGGTGAGATATCTTCTGGTCTCCCGGGGCCTGAGGCAGATGGTGCTGAGGGCTGTGGTGCGGCTTTGAGTGCTGATGCTGCGGGTGCTTTGGAATCGAGCTTTGTGTTTGCGAATTCGTCAAGCACGTCGTCGAGGTCCGAGAGGTCGTCTTCTTCGGGGTCTGATGCGATGTCGGCTGGTGGAGGGGCAGCTTTCACATGCTCCTTCTCTTGCTTTGCTGGCGCGTCCGCCATTGCTGTGTGCTTGAATCTACCTCTTACCAGTGGAATCGTAAAGGTCGGAAGTTGTGGATACGCGCGAGTGACAGACGTTGTATACGCAATTGCAGGTCACTCACGCGCCGCCTCTCTGCACCGATACCCGTCGACATTCAGCCTCGGCCGCTTCTGGGTGGGGCAGGCGCAACCGGTGCAGCGGGGCAGGGATCGCCTACTGGGCTAGACTCACGCTTAATTGTCACTGTACGTCACGTGGACCTGGAATCGCTGCGCTGAGCACGTCGACCTCACGTCGAAACCGTACTTGACGCCGCTTTCTCTCACTCTCACCGCGCACGTCACCTTATAAAGCTCGTCGTCTCGCCTGTTCTCCAGTCGTCGCACTTTCCATTCGCTCGGACTCCCACCACTCACATTGTTCGCAACGAAACATCACACACCGAAGCTTGATACCAGCCTGACGCCTAGACCATGTCTCTGTGCATGAACCGCCTCTCAGAAGAGAGGTCAGTAACGCTACTCGAAGGCTTCTGAGCTTGGCTCTAACATCGTTCTAGGAAGCAATGGAGACGCGACCACCCCTTCGGCTTCTTCGCAAAACCCATGCGCGGCGCGAACGGTATGATGGACCTCAAGAAGTGGGATTGCGGTGTGCCTGGCAAAGAGAAGACTATTTGGGAGGGTGGCCTGTTTAAGCTCGAGGTCACTTTTCCTGACGAGTACCCTACAAAGCCACCAAAGTGTACGTCTTCGAACGCCTTCATGCTCAGTCGTAGCGAGGCTGTAGCCCAGTGCGGCTCCCCACTATCCATACGTTCTAATACATGGCAGGTAAATTTGTCCCTCCTCTATTCCACCCCAACGTCTACCCGTCTGGCACCGTCTGTCTGTCCATCCTCAACGAAGAAGAAGGCTGGAAGCCTGCCATCACAATCAAGGAGATCCTGCTCGGTATCCAGTCATTGCTCGACGAGCCGAACCCAGAGTCGCCAGCTCAAGCGGATGCCTTCAACCTCTTCAAGAAGGATAGAGCGGCATACGAGAAGAAGGTGCGCGGTGTCGTCAAGGAGAACCCGGCGCCCTAGCCCCGTATAATGCGCGTGTAGAGCACGTATATGGACTCCTTATTTTGGATTGGGAGAAGAGACCAGGTGTACGTTTTTGAGCTCGGAATTGTGGGCAGAGATTGGGTAAGGAGGTAAAGCAACGTGTGTGCGGTTTACATCTACATGGTTGATGGGCCACCTGCTTGTCACGCGTTCATCATGCGGGCGGTATATCCACGGCTTCTGGCGTTAGGGAGTGATGGACATTTTGACGGCTCATTCGAGCCCTAGACGGGAGGCTTTGGGCCTATACACTTGCTTTGATTTATTGGCGATAACCTGAATCAAATAGACGACAATCATGATCTTTTCACAATTAGAACGCACTGATACTGATCAGACGTATCTTCGCGCGTGTCATTCCCTATGGTATTGCGACGGAAGTCTTGCTCATACATCTTTTGCCTCCTTTCCAGCCAACGCGTTGAGGCTGCTGAGCAAGGCAATCGCGCAAACCCCGGTCTAATGTTTTAGCGCGATTCTTGGAAGCTCCGACCAACGGCCATCGTCACTCCCTCGAAGCTACACCCCATTTACCTTCACTCCAGTGCCATTCCTTCTTTCACCAAGCCTTTGTTACTGTCGCGTCAGCTGTACGAGCTCAGAAATTGATTCTTAACAATATCTACCTCGTCACCGTTTGACAGATCCGCGTTCGAAACCGAAACAGCTCAGTAGCCTTGTACGCTCAATCACCCTTCAAAGCTTCCTCTGCATGGCACTAACGCCAAAACCAGCTCAGAAGAAGCTCCACCACTATGTCTGACGTTGATACCGAAATTAAGCGCGAGGAGGAGCTGAAGCGCGAAGAAGATGAGCGCCTTGATACCGCAGAAGACGAGCGCCGCGGAGATGATGCCACCGAAGAGGTACAACGCGCTTTGCTACAATCACACGGTCGCTTGAATTATCCAATATACGCGATAACTGCGCAACATACATCAAACCTGATCTTTCAGACAAAGGAGAGAAACTGACAATGCGCAACAGGAGGAGATCTCAGCCATGAGGCGCCGCGTGCAGGAGATGGAAGAGGAGGCACAGAAGCTGCGCGAAATGCAGCAGTCGCTCGATCACGAACGCCATGAGATGCGCGAAAGCAAAGAAGACGTCGACTCGCGGAGTATCTTCGTTGGCAACGTCGACTACGGGGCTAGCCCAGAAGAGATTCAGGCACATTTCCAGAGCGTTGGCAGCATCAATCGCGTCACCATCCTGCTCGACAAGTTCACAGGGCATCCTAAAGGGTCAGTACTAAGAGGGGGTTTTCTTTGAGCATCTATTCGCAAGCGACATGTTTTACCCATTACGAAGCTGCTATGCGCCGATCAACGCGCTGCTTAGCCCAGCGCGCGTCTGACGCGTACATCGCCCCCGACATCATCTTTCGCAACCTGGCAAGAGTTTGGCAGAAAGATTGGAACGCTAATGAGCGTATGCAGGTATGCGTATGTAGAGTTCACAGAACCCAGTCTGGTCAATGAGGCTCTTGTTCTCGACAACAGTCAGTTCCGCAACAGAAATCTGAAGGTAAGCTACAGTCACCAGATGTTGCGCATACGAACGAGCGTTGCTGATGATCACAGGTCGTACCCAAGCGAACCAATCTGCCCGGTATGACGCGAGGCGGCCGTGGCGGTCCCAGAGGAGGCCGCGGAGGATATAGTGGTCGAGGTGGTCCATATGGTGGTCGCGGCGGTGGCTACGGCGGTGGCGGCTACGCTCCTCGAGGAGGAGGCTACCGTGGCGGGTACCGCGGCGGCCGTGGAGGTTCTGGCTACCGCCCATATTAGTTGCACGGTGTCGATTGGGAAGAAGACTTCGGTCATCTTGAGAGTTGCGAGCTGCAGTTGTTTTTACTTGATATCAGGAAGACAAAATTGAGCTGAGGTCCGTAACAAGGACATTGAAAGAGCTTGTACCATATTATTATATTGTACGCTGCGAAGACTATGGTCAGCGGCAGAAATGGGCTGTCATCGTTCTTCATAAGCTACCGGCCACAGCCAACCGTTACTAGGGATAATTACTTATATTGTTGCGTTCATCTACAACAGACGCCGCCTCTGGATGCCCTGAGTTCTTACTGCCATACTACGCCCCTCAAACCTGGAATTAACGCGCCACTCGTAACGAGTACTGACACCTCGCTCCTTCGAGGCCGTTGCAAATGGATCTGCGGACACATTTCACCATGCACCGCACATGGTGGCAAAACCGGTTGCTCGAACACTAGCTCCATCCTCCAGAGCATCTGTATCCTATCACTTCCCTGCCCCTTAACAACCCTCCCCGCCAGCACCTCAAGCCGGTGCCTCAACTCTTCACTATCTTCCTCCATCGACAAGATTATCACATCCACGCGTCCAAACCGCCTGGTCCATATCCTCAGGCCAGTCAAAATACGGTTCCAAGTGTTCGAGGATTTTGGCGTCTCATATCATGGTCAGGTGCAAATTTGAGGGCGATACAAAGGGGTGTACGATTGCGAGGAAGTCTGTCCATAGACGCGCGTCGTGGGATGGTGTCACATCGTCGGCATACCACAAGGAGCGGGTGAAGGACTATCCGGTTGGGAGGCTGAGCGCGATGTTTCGTACGCTGTCTTTGTGGAGGATGAGGGACTGGGACACCGGACTGCAGATTGGGGACAAGAGCAATGCGGTCTGGGCTGGCATTGGTAGGATTGTTGTTGGGCTGAGCCGTCGCGTGACGATTATCTTGTGGCTTACGCTGTGGGTTGCTGGGCTGTGGGTTGCTGGGCTGCGGCGGCAAGGCTTGTTCGAGCTGCTGCTGTCGCTGTTCCTGTTGCAGTTGCGCTCGTTGTCGCCATGTTAGCAGCGGAGGATGCCATCCTAGCCTGCAGGAGCGACGAGGTGGTGGTATGTACAGATGGGGTCGAGCGCATGGACTAATCCATGTCGGTCGTAGCTGAAGGAGTGCTTGTAAGAGCCGAAGGCATGGGAGTAGATCAAATCTCGAATTTCAAGAGGGAGATGGAAGAAAGGAACCTTTTTGTCTGTTGTTGGCATAACAAAGACCCCTCGACGCTGAAGATTGAAACAGAGACATTCTTATATGTGTCGTGGCAATCGAAATCGCTCATACGTTAGTGATAATGAGTTGTATGTGTGCTGCGACAAGGCATGATCGACCAAAGCGTGAGTCATATGAGCCAGACCTCAACGTTCGAAAGGTTCGGTATCGGAAGGTGTGATGCCCTTTGGTGCCCTGAGGCCTACAATGTGACTGGGCTGAAGTGAGTCACTCGCATATGCATTGCGGTCGTCGTTCGAAGAAGCTATGAATCTAATGAAGGGGTTGATAGCGAAGTGAAAAGAGGCAAAGCTTGGCCGCAGTACTATACAATGCTGTCATCTTTCGAATTGGCTGACGACGGGGGACTCACAGTGCTGGGATTCAGTCGCGATCCGCCATTTGTCGAAGTCTGATCTTTGCCATCACCTACGCCTTGGTACTCTGGAGCCCATTCAGGATCTTCTTTGCTCTTAACCAACTCATGAACATCCAGTCTCGAGTCTATGATCTCTTGCCCGTTCACCAAGTCATTCTCATCAGCTCTCTTTGCCGCCTCTTCCTCGTTCTTGGCGATCCCAGCCTTGATGTGTCTGTGTATCAACCGCTTCCGCGCAACCTGGAAGTCTACATCGACAAACCACAGCTCATCCATGAGATCTGCCGCCTCCTTCCAAGGACCGTGGTTCAGTGAGCAGTAGTTGCCTTCGAAGATGACAATGCGAACGGAAGGTGCAATCGGGATGTCGTCCGCGACAGGGTCTTTCTTTGCGTGGTCGAAGCTAGGTGCATATAATGTTCTAGTTTCCGGCAGTATCGGTTCTCGCAATTTCTTCACCAATGCGAGAAATTTATCCGCGTCAAACGTGAATTCTGCGCCTCTACGTGCATGTGCGTTCTGAGGGTCAAGCATGGCGTCGAGTTGTGCACGTGAGAGGTGATAGCCATCCATCGGTATAAATGCTGCGACCGGGTTGCCATTATACGTCCCTGGGGAGTTCTGTGCATGTTTCTTGTTGAGGCCGTTGGAAACTTTGGCTGCTAGTGTGGTTTTGCCTGAACAAGTCAATCTTGCGGATTGACCACGCGACTTCAGTCAAGGTACTTGCCTGAACCTGGTATGCCAGACACTGCTACCATCAACCGCCTTGACCCACTCACACCCTGAAACTTCTCTGCATTGTCCTGTTAGTGGCCAGTCAGAAGAGTAATATCGCGTTTCTTCGTACCCCAAGTCTTCTCTACTAAGCGGTCGACTTGTTCTTGCATGCTTGAATCTGTGAATCTCGGTCTCGTTAGGAGCAGACAATTCTTTCGGACTTTGAGCAATTGATAGCTCAGTGGCGATTAGGATCAGCCAGTAACTGAACCGGGGATGTTGCTTTTGCTTTGGCGCAATCTTTGTTGACTGTGGGGGATCTACCTCTCAATCAGAGGCCGAGTTACCGCTGACGTCGTTTTGCGGGGGGAATCTTTGCACGTGATGAATATCGTGGTGTTGATGTGTCAATGTCTTGGAGATAGTGAGACATGGCGGGCGATATGAGCCTAGGGCTGATTTCTCGACTATCTTTATTATAGGTCTTTCGAGGTACGTGGTGTAGCGGTGCTGAGGTAAAGGTTGCTGCTTGAGCAAACGACCGACCAATCGGTGCTCAATACTACAGCGGAAGTAATCAGGGGTGCATGGCGCCTGACGCCGAGAAGGATGCACAAATCGAGGCTGCCGACAAACTTCTTGCGCTGTATTATGCTTGTATGCGCAAACGACAAGTATCATGGTTGAGCACTCCCCGTAGTCGTCTCTTGAATTCACCAATTGATTAGTCGGTGCGTCCAGACGCGTCATAGCTTGCTTTCAGGGACCATGCAGCTTTCAGCGGTTTTGGTAGCGCTCGCCCTTGTTGCACCTGCGCTCTCGAAGACGATCGATTCGTCCCTCTACTCCAACGAAGCGCCACTGTTATGGGGGCCATACCGACCCAATCTCTACCTGGGCATTCGCCCCAGAGTGCCCGAAAGTCTTGTTGCGGGGTTGATGTGGGGGGAGTTGGATGAGCAGGAGAAGAGTAGGTGATTGAACTTGGAGAGGAACACTTGGACAGCGCTGACTGGGATCGCAGAGTTGCGACACACAGTTGAGCAGAACGATGGCATGGCTATGTATGGCTGGACCACATACGACGCGCGCGCCGGCGGCACCCAGATCATTCAAGATGTAGGGAATCAAATCGACATCACGACCGAGTTCATAAAGAAGTTTGAGGGCCAGAGCGCGGGCAATTGGGCGCTGCGAATCAAGGGCAAACTGCGCAATGGTGCACCTGCAAACCTGAAGACATCCGTTATCTTCTACGTGGGTATGGAGGCTAAAGAGGGCTGCGCAGACTGCCAGCTGGAAGCTTTCGAGCAACTTGGCGCTGGTGATGACAAGTCTGTTGAGGCAGTGAACATCGCAATCAAACACCCCCGACTGGGTTCTGCGGGTATACATATCCCTACATCAGTTGGCGAGGATGGGCGGCATGAGGGCACAATTGTGCATACGTTGAACATCACCGAGGACAAGCTGTGGCAGGCAAAGTGTAAGTGCAGTCCGTCTTACGAGCTGAGCGTATCATGAGTTCAGTCAACAAACTGACATTTCTGTGCGCAAGAAGCCACTTTCCTAGACGCGTTGAAAGCTCAATCGAAAGATCGAACAGAGGCCGGAAAGATGGACGTGGTACTTCGCAACGCCCCTGGATCAGGCAATATGCACTTTGTGCAGATGATCGTTCATGGCAGCTTCGACTTCAACGTGCTCTATTCGAGCCGGGCAGCAACACGTGCCATGACCACTTCGGAGATGGCAAGCAGTATCCAGGAATCAGTGGTCGCATACAGAAAAGCTTATTCGCGTGTCTTCACGCCGAAAGCTCCGTTCAACACAGATCAACACGCTACGTTCGGTGAGAAGATGCTCGCAGACTTACTGGGCGGCGTTGGGTACTTCGAGGGCAAGACGAGAGTCGACATGTCGAAGAAGGCTATCTACGCTGAAACGACCGGAAAGTTCTGGGAGAAGACTGAAGACGCTAAGAAGCACTCCATACCCGAAACGAAGGGGCCATATGAGCTGTTCACGCATACTCCTGCTCGAGCTGTCTTTCCGCGAGGCTTCCTATGGGATGAAGGCTTCCACCTTCTTCCAGTATTGGACTGGGACGCCGACCTAGCCATGGAAATTGTTCGAAGCTGGCTCAAGACTATGGATGATGATGGCTGGATAGCTAGAGAGCAAGTTCTCGGCACCGAAGCCGAGAGTGGCACTCCTGGTGACTTCATTACGCAGTACCCACACATTGCCAATCCGCCAACATTGTTCTTCGTGGTCTCAAAGTTTATCGACATGTTGCAGGGCAAAGTAAAGTATTATGGGCATGAATCTACGCTCTTGAAGCCCGAAACGGGTAAGAAGTTTGTCGTGAAGCTGTACCCACTCCTGAAGAAGCACTATGAGTGGTGGCGCAGGTCTCAATCAGGAGACATCGAGGCTCACTCTGTTCCGTCAGCGAACCTCAACGAAGGGTACAGATGGCGAGGCCGTACACCAGAAACAAATTATCCCAGCGGGCTCGACGACTACCCACGCCCAGAGCCCCCAGACATCTCCGAGCTGCACCTCGATGCACTATGTTGGGTAGGTCTAATGTCTCGCACCCTCGAAAAGATCGCTTTCTTCACAGAGGCCACCCACGATGCATTCACCTACCAGAACCACATCCGCGGCGTCAAAACCAACCTCGAAACCCTCCACTGGGAAGACAAGCAAAACGTATACTGTGACACCGTCGTCCGCGACGACAAACACACCTACGTTTGCCACAAAGGCTACCTCTCCCTCTTTCCCTTCACGACCGGCTTCATCGACGCCACGCACCCACACCTTGACGCGACCTTGCGCCTGCTGCGCGACCCAAACCACCTTTGGACCGACCATGGCATCAAGTCGCTCTCGCAGGAAAGCAAAAAATACGGCGTCGGCGACAACTACTGGCGCTCCCCTATCTGGGTAAACATGAACTACCTGATCCTCACGCAACTCCTGGTCCTCGCCGAAACACCTGGCCCGCAACAGCAGCGCTGCAAGGATATCTACATCGAGCTAAGACGCAATATCGTGCACACTGTGTTCAGCGCTTGGGTGCAGACGGGGTATTCGTGGGAGCAGTACGATCCTGTTGGCGGGCATGGGCAGCGCACGCAGCACTTTACTGGCTGGACGAGCTTGGTGGTGAGTATCATGGCGATGCCGGATTTAGAGCAGGGAGACGGTGTGAAAGAGAAGGTTAAGGAGATCTATAAGGAGGCGAAGAAACAGGCGGTACAAAACCAGGGGTATAGTGTGGGCACGGTGGCATTTTTGGTTATGCTAATGGTGTTTGCGTATGTTACGCGGAGGAGATTTGCGGGAACGTGGAGGAGTTTGAGGAGGGAGAAGAGGGTTGGGGATCGTAATGTTTGATAAGTGAGAGTGACACCGGTGGTGTGTATAGTATGTGCAAGTCGTCATGTAAGGTACCAGTGTTTTAAGAAATGTCAAGATCGAGCATCTTGCGCAGGCACGTCGCGAATTTGGCATATTGAAGAGTCGATTCGACTATTTTCCATACCTGCGCGAGGTATCCTACATGTGCAACAAAGCATGTAGCCGTGCCATCCAAAAAAAAATCGTCGTAAAAACATACTCCATCCATTCCCGGTCCTTATCCATATCAAGCGTATTGCACATGAAGCGAAAGGTTCCGTGTACCCGGCAAGCCTGCATCACGGCGATATTGGTCATTAGTCAGCACCGTCCAGCAAGGAACAACCGTTGCCACAAGGCATGAGGAAACGCGCCCAAACGCCGCGGATGACGCCATAATCCGTTGTAATCGATACAGGTCAGGCCGTAAGAAAGTGTGACGAAGAAGATATTTTGATATTCCCTTTTCACATACGCCGGAAGCGAAGGAGCCAAGGCACACACCCAGATTGACGGTATGGAAGTCCCCTTAGACCTGAGCCGCCTTACTGAGCCTGAGGCTCCGCGTTCTCGGCGAAGTCGGAAGCTGAGGTCTCGCGGTTGAGACTTGTCTCGCGATGCAAGAAAGTGCCGCCCTCCTTCGATGGGCTGCCAGCCTTCAGATCTCCACTTGTTGGGGCTTGTCCGTTGCTTGGTGTGGGTGGGGCCATGTGCGGGATCTTCTCGGGGTTGGGGTGCTCGCGGCCAACTTGGGTGACGCCGACGTCTGAAGCCTTGCCGGCCTTGGAGAGTGCATAGTCGCCGCTGTCGAAGTACTTGCGCTCCTGTACGATTGGGTTAAGTGGCCATCTTGTAAGGACATGTGCTGGTGGGAGCTTACCTTGAGCTTGTTCTGCAACAGGTCCTTCTTGTTCGGCAGCTTTCCGTAGAGACGGAAGAGCTTGGCCTCCTCCGGCGACATTTTCTATGCTCTGTCAGATCTGGGGTTGGTACAGCCTACGGCGTTGCCAAAGGGGCAGCAATGCGAGCAGCAACAGAGCTGCGCATGGGCCGCGAATGACGTACGCTAATGTCCACCTTGTTCTGCTGGTGAGGGTTCATCTTCGCGGTTGATGATGCGTTGCTGTGGGTACGAGTGACGTTGGCGAGAGGGGTAGTTGCTCGTGAGACGAAGGGGATGTCGTTATTTATCCTTTGTCTTCGCAAATGTTGTCGTCAGAAATAAGGTTAAGGGTCCAGCACGTCCACAAATTGGCCGTTTGGGCAGCAGGGTCGTGGCAGGGAACAGATCAGTTATGCGTCTGGCTGCCGGCTTTCCACCGTGGGCGATTGGACGTCGAAGAAGCTCGGACGTGGCTCGCAGCTGCTGCCTGACAACACACAACAACGACACCCGGTGGCTAAGACGGGATTGTCTCTGGTGCTGTGTCGAAGTTTTGGGTGAAGGGTGTGAATGCCCCTCAATCCTCACAATACGATAAGCCTTTATCGTCCGAGGTAGCGCCTTTGTGAGAGAACACTCGGCAAGATGAACAGTGCAACAATGCAAAACAAATTGCAGTTGTCAAACAGGTGTAGCTCGGATGCGATTGGTAGAAGAAGGAACGAAGTGAAGGAGTCACAAAAGTGGTCGAGGTTGAAAATCTGCAGGGAGTAGAAGGAGCATTGGAAGACTTGCAGAGAGGGGTATGCAGCAAGATATGTAGCAGACCTTGGGTGGGCCGATAGCACGACCACCAAGGTTCCTCATTCGACAACTTTGATTGTCCCGGGAGCACAAGGAAGCATATACAGTACCGCTGCCGCGAGAGGCAAGGCAAGCTCGACGCTTGACGACCGCTGGGTGGACGACTACGTTGGACTGCTGTATGCTTTACCACTCACGGAACTCCCACAACGTCACGCGTGCTTACTAGCGTCCTGGATCGCCAGGACCGCTGTAATTCCGTCTCAAAGCTGCAGTTGCTCGAAATGATGGCGCTCGTTGTGCAATTCCTTCCACACTTCGAAGGACTCACCGCCGCTTGCAATTAATCTGGCGGACGACTCTTTGCATCCTGGAGCTACAGAGCATCAAGCCCCACTTACGCTTCCTTTACGTCTGCTCACACACGTAATAGGCTGCTTGCTAGGTCCGATCTCTTAGTGCGCTCGCCAAATCCTCGTCGGCCGTCTTCAGACCACATGCTCCGCCTAGCAAATCACTACTGCAAGGCCCGCACCATCAACGACCATCTCCAAGACCGTTCTGGGACACAATCGAACGTTCCAGGGTCCTAGTGAAGAATACTTGGCAAAGTTCCGAAAAGCTACCACCGATTGCCACGGTCTGTCCAGAGGGCAGCTGACTTGTACAACCCAAAAGAAAAAAGTTCTCGTCAGTCACAACCAGAATGGCCGGCGCGGGGAAGACTTTTGTTGTCGAGCACCTGGACCCAGAACTTGAGCAGTGGTCCTCACTGGAGTACTCTGCCATTGCTCAGGAATGCCACGACACCGGATCTCAGTTCCTCCTCTCATCAGTGCCTACTTCCCTGAAGTTGCCAGAGAAGCTTCAGCAAGCTAAAGGTCTAAATGTTGAGACGAGAGGTATCGAAGAGATTTACGCCGACCGCAAAAACCGCGTGTGTCTGCTCGACCCTGCTGCTGCCAAAGATCTCAGCCCAGAGGATGGTGACAACTTTGACATCTTTCTCTTTGGCGGCATTCTCGGTGAGTTGTGGTGCTTGTCATGCCGTTGGACCATTGACTGACGAAGATGCAGGCGACGACCCACCCAGAGGTATGCAATATGAGACTCAGGCATGCCAGCATTTCCCAGTCAACTGATCATTTGATGTCCACAGACAGAACATCTGAGCTGCGTAAGAAAGGCTATGAAGGCCGCCGACTCGGTCCTGTGCAGATGACGACCGACACCGCTGTGCGTGTCACAAGAATCTGCGTCCAGGACAGAAGTATGTTTTCTTTGTGCGTTCGAAAGCTGCAACTGACAGTGCGCAGTCCCAGTCGAGAAGATCCCGTATGTCGACCACCCAGAGATCAGGACAAACGCGAACGAGAGCACCGAAATGCCATTCCGTTACGTCGTCGGTAAAGATGGAGAACCCATCATGCCACCGGTATGTCCTTCAGCATGCAGACGTGCAGCAAGATCTGACACCCCGAATACTAACGATCAGCAGGGCATGGTTGAACTGATCAAGAAGGACTCTGAGAAGAGTCTCGATGATCTTCTCTAAGAAATTGCTGGGCCGGTTACGACCATTAAGCATCGACTCCTAAGAACGAAGTTAGAAGTATGCCGAAAGTCTATCTACGCCACTGTGGCACGCAGTCTTCAACATGTCCCAGAAGATGCCGTTTCCAGCAATGCAGGGGGAAGTCGTGCACAAGGAGAGCTGCTGTGTGTATTACGTTGTGGGATAGGGGCCCAAATCTGTGGGGAAGGGACGGGCCGACTGGAAGATGTGCTGCTGTGAGTGTCGATCCATATTCGGAGACCGTATTGAAGGCTGGACACGAATGGAAGTTGGTGACGCCTCGTGAGTTACTCAGTCATGGAAGGGAGTGCTGTCAGGCCCGACACATCCTCAAAGCAAATGCAGGGCGTATCCAGCGACGTTGTGAACTGTGATGCAAGCGACCGTTGAGCGCGGAGGACCCCCCGTGAATCAAGCTCCCTCGTATTGCGCCTTTAACGCTCGCTTGAGGCCTGGGAAGCCCATTGATACAAGGAACTCAGACTTGAACGGTCTCAGGACCGCACACTACGTGAAATGTGCCGAAAGAAAGCAAGATGCGAAACGCGGAGGTTGACGAGCCAGGAGATGGATGCTACACATGATTGGCTCGTCCCTGCGTCCCTGCGTCCTTCGGCCATTTGGTCAAGCTACACTTGGCGCCTCGGGGACAAAGCAATCGAGAACAGCCTTGAACAAGAGGGCCTTGAAAAATCTGGGGAGTTCTATCTTCTTGTATATGCAATCGTTGCGCTCTCTAACCAATTCAGCGTGCAACTGACGGTTCTCCTCTGCACCTGTGAAACCCCGGCGTTGTCTCTGTACCCACGCGCCCCTGCCCAGCTCGAGGCCTCGTCAGCTGCGGCCAGATCATCGACGCCCCAAACTCCGACCCTCAACAGCAACGAGTTGAGCGGGTAGCACCTGGCCAAAAGCAGACTGGATATCTTTTTACTCTGCCTGATACTATCCTGTGCCGACTAGATATCGTCACGACATCCATGAGATAGCGACACACGACCGACGTCGGCACCCTCGCCCATCACTATGTTCTTCACAGATTCGCGGTCGCGATGGCGGACAGCGCTCGTTGGCGGATTGCTGGCAAGTCTGTCGATGCTGCCAGGCAGCACAGCACAGGCAAAGACACAGGCGGATTACTACATACATGAGCTCCCTGGCGCGCCGCAGCCACTGCTGAAGATGCATGCTGGGTAAGGCAGACGAACAGGCACATGCATGCACCAGCTGACATTGAATTGTGAAGGCACATCGAAGTCGATGCAGCGCACAATGGCAACCTCTTCTTCTGGCACTACCAGAACCGCCACATCGCCAACAAGCAGCGCACCGTACTATGGCTCAATGGCGGGCCCGGCTGCTCCTCGATGGACGGCGCCATGATGGAGGTTGGCCCCTACAGAGTGACAGAAGATGGAAACCTGAAATACAATAACGGGTCTTGGGACGAGTTCGCCAACCTGCTCTTTGTGGACCAGCCTGTGGGCACTGGCTTCAGCTACGTGAACACAGACAGCTACTTGAGCGAGCTGGATCAAATGGCAGAGCACATGATCATCTTCCTGGAGAAGTGGTTCGCGCTGTTCCCGGAGTACGAGCACGACGATGTGAGTCTATCCAGCCGCATCAACAACAGCAGCGGCTGACAGCAAACAGTTCTACATTGCAGGCGAATCTTACGCAGGGCAACACATCCCGCACATCGCGCGCGCAATCCTCAAACGAAACAGGAGCCAGGGCAACCGACCATGGCCGCTCAAGGGCTTGCTCATCGGTAACGGTTGGATCTCGCCTGTCGACCAGTATCTCGCATACCTCCCTTTCGCATACCAGAGCGGTCTGATAGAGGCAGGGTCCGAGTCAGCGAGGCGGGTTGAGCAGCAGCAGTCTGTATGTGTCAAGGCCCTCGATGATCAAGGCAAAGACCGTGTCGACACACCAGTCTGCGAGGCTATCATGACTACTATTCTGGAGGAGACAAAGGACAAGACAGCCGACCGCATGGAACAATGCGTCAACATGTACGACATCCGTCTGCGAGACGACTCTTCCTGTGGTATGAACTGGCCCCCGGATCTCAAGCAGGTCACACCCTACCTCCGCCGCCAAGACGTCATCAACGCTCTCCACATCAACCCAGACAAGAAGACCGGATGGCAAGAATGCAACGGAGCGGTTACTGGCCACTTCCGCGCCAAAAACAGCGAGCCTTCGATTAGGTTCCTTCCTGAGTTGCTGACTGAGGTGCCCATTGTCCTCTTCTCTGGCGACAAGGATATGATCTGCAACCACGTCGGTACGGAAGCCATGATTGACAAGATGACCTGGAACGGCGGCAAGGGCTTCGAACTCTCCCCCGGTGTTGTCGCCTCGAAGCAAGATTGGGCATTCGAGGGCGAGCCAGCTGGCACCTACCAAGAAGCACGCAACCTGACTTACGTTGTCTTCTATAACGCTAGCCACATGGTGCCATTCGACTACCCGAGGCGAACCCGCGACATGCTTGATCGATTCTTGGGCGTCGATATTGGCGAGATTGGTGGAGACCCCGCCGACAGCGTCATCGACGGCGAGAAGGGCCCCTTGACCAGCGTGGGTGGTCATCCCAACTCTACCAAGGCTGAGGAAGATAAGGCACAGCAACTGAAGGAAGCTGAGTGGAAGGCTTACTACCGCTCTGGTGAAGTTGCGCTTGTTGTCGTCATCGTTGTTGCTATTCTGTGGGGCACCTTCCTCTGGCGCAGTCGACGCCGTAGCAATGGCTACCAGGGAGCGGACGGAGACGAAGGTCGGGAGTCTCTCCTCACTGGCATGGGCCTTGACAACTTCAGACGCAAGGAGCGAAGAGCAGACCTGGAGGCTGCAGACTTCGACGAGCGAGAGCTGGACGTTCTGCAGGACGTGCCGAAGAAGGCATCTAATGGGTACTCAGATAAGACACGGGGACCGCAGAATGATTCCACGTTCAGCTTGGGTATGGACAGTGACGATGAGGCGGGCGGCAGCGAGCAAGGTCGCAGGAAGGAGTAGTCACGGTCATCAAGGCGTTTTCAAAGCGTGTTGTATCATTAAGAACGGGGTGTTGGATACCTAGTACAAGCATTGCAGGCGTTGTCTATCTGGCGCAGAAATTGAGTAATTCGCCATGATGCCCATCAACTAAGTGGTAGAGTCTGTTGCTAGGCAGCACGGATGTAATGCTCCCTGGTGAGCGCCCTGGTCAAAATCCCGACGACGACATTCACGGAGACTTTTAGCCCCCTGTACATTTGCGGGTTAGCGCCCGTCTCCTCTCCTGCACGCTTTGGCCTAAGAAACAGCCTCGAGCGAACACATTCACCAGTCAACATAATTTTCAATTTGTATATCTAGTTGTGTCCCAGTGTGAGTCTCATCCCTTGTTGAATACCAACCAGCCATGTGCTGCGTGAAGTATCCCCTCCTTTCAGGTCATGCATTGCCACCAAAAGATGAGAATCCGAGCGAGGACCGTACCGCTGGCAGCGCTTAATTGCGTGAAAGACTGACAAAGATTTGGCACCAAAACACCAGGTTTGGCGGAGACAGAGAGCTATACTGACGCGGAAATAGCCTCTGAATTTGGGTTGGAGGACTGGGGAACCAACAGCAGCTGATTGCCATATAAAATATTCACATCTGACGGCTCAATTCAAGTATTTCAATCTGCAATCAAGTCAACTACACCAAACACCAGTAACAAGCAATTCAATCAAGCAACAACACCAAGCTCGCAATCATAAATCAAGCTAACAACGTCAAATCAAGCATATTTGATCTGATAATTACCTCCATTGACCTCACTCTCATGTAACTAAATCTTTGCATTACCAGAGGAGCTACTGCTCGTCTCGTCTTCCATAGTCTTAGACTCAGATAGGACGTTAAACCAATCAATCAATCAATCAATCAATCAATCAATCAATCAATCAATCAATCAATCAATCAATCAATCGATCTGATAATTTGGTGGCAACCAGACCACACTGTAGTCTGTGAATGAGGGCACATACATCAGAGAGGTCTGATCACCTATGGATCAGGATTTGATCCAGAATGATTTGATTGTTGACAACCCTGACAACTATGCGTTGACGGAAGTTAGCTTGCGAGTTCAAGAAACAACTAGACCTGCGAATTTCAGGGCATTGGCCGCCTAAGACCTTACGCCATGATGGTCATCAACCGAAGAACGGCATCCATCGCCAGGCAACATGGTCTGAATGTCTTTCTAGATGCTGAAGCCTGAAGAAAGCGGAATTGATGTGGTTAATTGCTGAGCACGTGAGTGGGCGAGGCATTAGCGCGTTCTTGCCGCCTTGAGCGCGTCACCTTTAGCCTCCCTTCAACATCAACGCGTCGCCGCTCAATGCACACCTCTTCGTGAGTGACCAACGATGCCTGCGTAAGTGACAGCGAATGCATATACCTCGCATGCGAGCATGTCACCTCAAAATGCAGATTCTAACAATGACGCAGGCCAGGCGACCAATACAGCGGCGGCAACGTCAAGAACCCATTCGAGGAACGCGTCGTTCCTAACTTCACCGCACAAGAAATCGCAACATTACAGAGCCGGCTAAACAAACAACTCGGACCTGAGTACATATCGCAAAGACCCGGTCAGGGTGGCGGTCGAGTCGCATATTTGGAGGGGAACAAGGCCATAGCTCTTGCAAACGAGGTGTTCGGGTTTAACGGCTGGTCAAGTTCCCTGGGCCAGGTCCAGATAGATTATGTGAGTACAGTCGACTTGGGACGAAAGGAGGGTGACTAACAGTGGCAGGTCGACGAGCACCAGAATGGCAAAGTCAGCCTTGGCCTATCGATTGTAGTGAGGATCACGCTGAGAGACGGCACCTACCACGAGGTAAATCAATCGTTTGCATCATAGCTCCTCGTCTGACCGGATACTAGGACATCGGCTACGGATCCATAGAGAACGGCAAGGGCAAAGCGGCATCATTCGAGAAAGCGAAGAAAGAAGCAGCAACAGACGGCCTGAAGCGTTCACTACGCACATTCGGCAATGTTCTTGGAAATTGTCTATACGACAAGGAGTATTTAAAGAAGGTCCAGGCCATGAAGGTCAAGCCGATCAAATTCGAAGAAGGCAATCTCTATCGACATCCGGACTTTGCACCACCGCCTCAGGGAGAGCAAGCACTCGTCAAGCCAGAGCCACACAAGACGCCTAGTAGGCCCAATCAGATTTTGAGGACACGAACAGACCATCTTAAAAACTCGACTACTGCGGAGTCTGCAGACTTCGATGATGAATTTGACGGAAATCTATTCGATGGCGTCGAAGTCTCTGAGGATCACGGCGAAACCATGTTCGACTCAGCATCTTCAGACACTGTAGTTGCACGAGCAATCAAAGCACCGAGACCGGGCAACGGCACCAACGGCACAAATTCTGGTCGTAACACACCTGGCCTCAACAACGGCGCCCCTCAATCTCACCCACAAAAACAGTCGGCGCCAGTAGGACGTGGACAAGGTCCGCCGCCTCAGCAATATCACCCAAACCAGGGACCTGGGCGGCCGCAAGCTAATGGACTAAATCAGCGTGGTCCTCAAACACCTCAGCAACCTCGTCCTGATCAGGCCCGACGTATGGCGCCACCAACTACTGACATTCATAAGGCACCTGGTCCACAGCAACCAAATGGTCAACAGCCTCAGCAGCAAACGCTTCGACCGACATCTTTACAAGCCCAACAAGCTAATCAGCCACGACCTGGGCCACAAGCTCCAGGCAATGCGGCTCCACCGAACAACGCTCCTAACCCTAATGTTCGGCCACCTGTAGGTTTCGTAACTTCTCGTGCCGCTGAACAAATCCAAAACGCCGAATCCGCCGCCCCCCTAAACTCCCTCGCCTTCAACCCGCACGTCGAATCCCCTGTCCCCAAAGAAAAGCGCACACCCGGACTCGACCACACTCGCAGCGTCCCCGTCAAACGCAAAGACGAGAGCAACGCACCGGTTCCTCAACCGCAAGGCTTAGGCCGCCCAGCAAACAGCGGTGCAGCTAGCTTGAACCGCCCCAGCAACTTCGTCAACCTACACCAGGACGCCAACAGACGGATTGGTATGCCCGGAGGTCCTAATTATGCCATGAGTCCTAGTGCGAATCGTGGCGCGTATAAGCCCCCGACATTTGCGAATCCGGCGGCGCCGAATGCGCTGAAGAGGGAGAGGGTTGCGCTGCAGGATGTGAGTAATGCGGGTGTTAACGGTGTGGCTGCGGAGGGAGGCGATGCGAAGAGGCAGAGAGTCGAAGTCCCGGAGGCGGAAAATGCTGGCGTTACTACTTCCTAGTTACTGTTACGGGAAGAACGGCTTTTTGGATGCGCGACGGCATGCGGTACAAGCATAGCTACGAGGCGTTTTTGGGTGTACATGGGAATGGTGTTTTGGTGCTAGACGGACGAACGGTGTTACTTCACGAGCGAGCATTTCTAGGAGGCACATAGCACTCAGTGAGCCATGACGGGTGCTCGATCAAAACCTCGATATCAGATTGAACGATGTTACCCTGCATCCGTGTGAAATCAACGTGAGTGATGAAAGATGTGATGCGTATGACTTTGATACTTTCTTTCCTATCCCATCACCCGCAGGCGATCCTTTTACGCCAATCCGCCGTATAACGCTAATGCAATACAATCAAACACCCCATTGCTCTCCCCCATTCCGTCGAAAGAGCTGCAAACCCTGCGCTCTGCTATACGTTGTGCCACGAGGTGGCTCCGAGGACGAAACCTGCGCTGATACTGTCGCTCTTCGTGCGATATTCAAATGTTCATCACTTCAGCAAGATCTACATCAGCACTAGGTCAAACAGGAAACATGCACAAAGAGAGGGATGACCCGAGTCTATATCTCAGGTCTACCTCTTCTTCGTCCCTGGCCTGGGCTTGCACTCATCTCCAATCACCGGGTGCAGCTTCAGCTTGATCGGATACTGGGGTGTGTTCCCGCTGAAGCCCTTGCTCCAGTCGTAGCTGACTGCGTAGGCGAAGATGTCTCCATTTCTCGAGAAAGCGGTTGCTGTGATGGAGCCGCCAACCTCGGGATAGCCCTTGAGACGGTGCTTGGCGTCCTTGTCCCAGAAGTGGAAGGTACCGTCTGAGCCGGCGGTGCTGAATGTGCCGTGCTGCGGGTGGAAGGAGATGGCGTTCACGGAATAGACCTTTGCGACGTCGCGCTGGGTGGGGTCTTGTTGGCGGTGGCACTTGAAGGAGAAGTTGAGGCTGTGTTCGTTGTTAGTAGAGATTTTGAAGGGGTATGACGAGTTTGCGTACCTGGTGTCCTTGTCTTCGACGTACTGAATCGCACACCGACCCTCGATACTGCCGACAGCGAAACCCGAAGCGTCGGTGAAGCAGCTGACCACGCGTGTCTGCCACTTAAGCGGGCTGACGATGGTCTTGTAGATCTTGGTGGGCTCGTTCAGGTTAATCATGTTGATGTGTCGGTCGGCGGTCGCAACAACAAGCAGCTGGTCCTTGATGTCCATGCTGTAGACGCGGTCCTGGCACGTGAGTGTGCCAACTGGTTGCGCGCCCTTCAGGTCCCAGAACTTGACTGTCTTGTCCCACGAGCCCGTTGCGACGTAGTCCTGACCGCCGGTCTGAAACCAGCGCACGCACTTGATGGCTTCATCGTGGGCTTTGGCTTGCTGTGCTTGTACTTGGCCGCTGGCAGCGACGTTACGGAAGTCTACGATGTTGAGGTGGCCGGTAGAGTCGCCTGCCGCTACCCGCGTGCCGTCCTGCACTCTGTTAGCCACTGTTGTTGTTGTTGTTGTTGTTGTTGTTGTTGTTGCTGTTGTTGTATGTCACGAGAATGGCCGGGGAGCCCACCTTTGACCAGCCGACGCCCAAGACGTGGCCCTGGCACTCAAACAGCCACTTGCCGTTCGCGCCATTTCCTGCGACCTCGTAGATGTACACTTTCTTATCCCAACTGCCTACCGCGAGGAAGTCGTTTGTGGGCGAGAATTGAAGGTCCTGAATGCTGTCCGACGGGAGCTGGCTCTGCTGCACCTCAACATCCTTGCTGGTATCGCCTGTGGTAGTGCTCGCCGCAGCCGGTGCAGCTGATCCAAAAAGCGCCATCTCTTCAAACTCTGGAGGTATTTAGGTGTGAGGTGGAGGTGGGTAGTTCGCGGTGGTCGAGCTTGCGCGAGCTCTGGTCGAGCTGGGCAGGGAAGAACTTTTGGCGTGTCGAGTCCACCGGTAAAGTCGCGACTCAATGGCGAGTGAAGTGTAGTGTGGTGGAAATGCGGTTGCTGCGCGAAGCTTTCTCGCCAGTCTTTATCTTCTCTCTCCCAACGCGAAGAAAGACAATCCAAGCTTCACAGGCACAGGCACCCATGCTGGCGCTGCCTATTGTCGCCTAGCGGCCAGCCCGGGCAATTCAGCGCCGACCTCCGCTTCGCCCTAAATAATTTCTGACGCACTGCTCCCTGCTTCTCCAACGTTCCTCGCTCAAAGAATCGCAACGAAGCACACGCACAGAGTGCCCTCGGGCATCTCGCAACGCTTTGGGAGAAAGTCCCCGGACGCCGGTCCTCTGGATCGCACTTTCAGCAACGAACCGCCATAGAGGCGCGGCCTCGTACAACTTCGGCACTTCTCGCTCTCTTCTCCGTCTGCACTCTTTTCTCGAGCTTTGCTGACGCTATGGGTGGAGGAGCTGGCACCTGGGCGATGATATGAGTCCGCTGGCCACCTTGCCCGTCGCCGACGGATCGACGAGGGTCAAGAGGAGGAAAGGGATGTCGCGCTGTGTTGGGTACGGAGGGTCTTCTCGTCCAGTTTATGGTTATGCGATTGCTTCTGCGCGTCTCGCTAACGTGGGGTGGCGGCAGCAGTAACTCAATGGGGCTTATTCTTGACGCGAGGAACGTTCACACCATTTTTCGGATCCGCTCGCGTAGGTGCATTTGCTTGCATGTTTGGTCGAACAAGCCGGGTTCCATCCAGCCACAGGTTACATGATGAGATACACGAAATAGAGTCAAGCACTGAGGCTGTCTGAATCCCAAAGTGGTAGGACGCCGATGCTGAGTATTTCAAACTATATCCTGATAGACCTTATGGCTTAGCTAGATATGTAGCCCATCTCCAAGAAGGATGTCTTTTGAATCTGCACTTGCTTTCTATTGTGTTGTGGTATCATTGCTCTATGTCGTGCTGCCTTACAGTCCCTTCTATGCATCCTCGCCAACGATGAAGGCCTTGGCCTCCTGGTACGCCTTGTCAAGATCGTCGTTGACAACGATCTTGTCGTGCGGCGCCTCAGGGCTCTTGGCAAACTCCATCTCGACCTTGGCCTGGTTGAGCCTCTTGAGGATGTCTGCCTCCTTGTCTGTAGCACGGCCCCTGAGTCGCTTCTCGAGGATGTCCATGCTCGGTGGCGAGAGGAACAGGAACCTTGGACGAGGGAATGTGGGGTGGTTTGCAACCTGCTTGACGCCCTACGCAGCTGTTAGCCGTCACATCATACGCCAGGTATGGGTGACGGTGTACGCACCTCCATCTCAATATCCAAGATGCACGTTCTTCCCTTCTTCTCAATCTCCTCTATCGCCGCAATGCTGGTGCCATAGCTGTTGCTTCCAAAGGTCGCGTGCTCGACGAATCCCTTCCTCTCCACAAGGTCGTTGAATTGCTCCTTGGTCACAAAGTGGTACTCGATGCCGTCCTTCTCTCCGCCGCGAGGGTTACGTGTGGTGTGGGACACGCTGAAGCCGAAGCGGTCGGGGTACTCTTCAAAGAGGCGCTTGAGGATGGTTGACTTTCCTGCGCCCGAGGGGCCTGATATGACAATTGCACGGGTAGAGGTTGTGGGCGCCATTGTGGAGTGTGTGGTGTAGGCACGAGTGAAGGGTGAGCTGTTGAATGCGGTGTGGGCAAGGGGTGAAGTTAAGCAGCTGCAGCCTCGACTGATGACAGTGCTGTGTGACTCTTTCAAGCTTCGGGCGAGCACTGCTGAGCTTCGAGCGGACATCAACGCAACAGCGGGCCAAAATGTGGGATGCCTGCTGGTGGAGCTGGCGTGTGATTGGCGGTGGAGCTGGCGTGTGATTGGCGGCGAAGCTAGGGAGGGGTCTTGTGTTTGCTGTGTTTGCACTGCGGGGAGCTTGGTGGGTACAAGTGATGGCGCGCTTTTCGCGTCTGTCCTGACATCACCGAGCCTCAATTGTCGTCTGTGCTGCACTTTCTTCTGCACTTCAACCACAGCCCACGCATGGTTCGGGTAGCTTCTCATATACTCTAGGAAGCTGTAGTGCTTCAAGCCATACGTCATGGTAAGCTCAATGTCACAATTGCATGTGCAGTAGAGCAACACTAACAACTGCAGTCCAAGCAATACCTCACCCTCCACACAGTCGACAATGCGCATCCAAAGGCAAGCGATATCTTCGCCGTCGCACCCACGCCAACACAGCTGCTCTCCGCCTCTGGATCCTCCTCAATAAACGTATACGACACCACCCAGCCCGACTTCCCGCTCGTCCAGACCCTCGACAAAGCCCACCCACTGGGAATCCACCACCTCGTCACCGCCAAAGAATCCACCGCACGCCGCGCGGCAAGCGCCGGCTTCGAGGGCAAAGTCAAGGTATGGTCGCAAGGCGACGACGGGCTCTGGATTGAAGACGGCGAAATTGTAGACCAGCACAAGCCCGGCGAGATATGGGCCATTGCGCTCAGCGCAGACGGCCAGTATCTGGCGAGCAGCAGCATCAACGGCAAAATCAACGTCTGGAGCCTCGACAAGGCGCAGAGCTTCCCGCGGATACGGGAGTACGAGACGAAGGGCAGCTTTGGGCTGTGCGTTGCTCTGAGCGACAATGGAAGCTTCACTGCATCAGGACACGAGAATGGGAGCATATACGTCTTCAGCAACGAAACGGGGCGTCTTGTACACTCCCTCGCCGGCCTGGTACATCCCGTGCGCAGCGTTGCCTTCTCGCCGGCATCGAAGCTGCTCGCTGCCGGAGGAGATGCGAGAGTGATTGCCCTGTACGATGTCACGTCTGGCGAACAGGTCGCCAACTTCACAGGGCACGGCGGGTGGGTGCTCACCCTCGACTGGAGCAATACGGGCGAGTACCTGCTTTCGGGCTCGCACGACTCGAAAGCGAAGGTCTGGCGGATCGAGACGAGGGCGTGTGTTGCTACCCATTCGCATGGCGACAAGCCGCTGTGGACGGCCAAGTGGCTGCCTAAGGCGCCGACGAAGAGCGAGATGTTTGCTTTGGGCGGTGGGAACAATTCGATCAGCTTCTACAGGGAGGCTGCTGGCTGAAGAGTGGTTGACGAAGACCCGCTCGGTGAGACACGAACGGTTTGCATCAAGCCTACGCAGCGGCGACCCGAACAACAGCTTTCAGGTCGCTCCGAATCTGTCGGCCTCACGCAACGCAGACCGCACAGCGTTGCGGGTACAACATATACCGACCGCCTTTACTGGAGCCATCGGAGGTATAAGCGAGACGATCTCAGATCGAAGAAAGACCGCTCATAAGCAAAATAGACAACACAATCATGCAAACCCTCCGGGCATACTCTTTGTCTTTGAATAAAATCCGTGACTTCTTAAGAGTTGGACCGACTGGTCGCATTCAGGTTCGGAGGATGTATTTCTCGGTGCTGCGCCCTTTCCTAACCCTAGAACCATGGTTCACATCTACAGGAAGTCGACCTCAACCAAAACTCCACGCTTACCGTCTACTATAAAGCTCCTACCCACCTGCCTTTCGTCCAACGATCCACGGATAAGAACACCTCACAAGACTGACACCAAAGTCCCAAAATGCACATCTGCACCATCCCCTACGCAGACGTAGCCGCCAACTACGAAGAAGTCAAAAACTTGCGAGATACATCGCACCCAACCTCGCGCTCCCAACGCTTCATACCGCACACCACACACCGCCTGGACATCCTTCCCGCCGTCCCCGAATCATCTACCTTCACGCACGAGTAACCACCCTGGACAGCCTACGGTTACGTTCTATGGCAGCTCCTCATCGCTAAGAGCCAGAACATGCGTGAGAGCAATGTGGGTCAAATTTCGATATTTTGGTACGAGGACCTGACGCGGTGCTACGCTGCATGGGTCGCCACCAACCGCTTTCCTCCAGATCTCGTCACCGAAACCGTCAAGGCATGGCAGTCCACACGCCGTGGGAAGGCTTTGCCCCCCCTCCTCAATGGAGAGAAGAAGTGGTTCATCCGCCTTTCGCAAATGTCGTCCAAGGACTCGCCCGTCGGCGGCAAAGAGCCCCCGACGTCGTTACCAAGATCTGCAGCAGTATGCGCGCCTGGGATTGTTTGCAAAACGAAAAGCAAGACGCAGCGACCGAGGAAAGAGAGATGAAGATCGAGGTGGTTCTGAATCCGTAGGAAAGACACTGGGGGTTAGAGCAGTGCATGGCTTTGCACTTGGCTGCAAGGCAGACTGTATGAATGGAGCATGGGTTGATATCGATAACAATTGAAATTTGGACATGAATTGCACTTCCTTAGCAGGAGAGCTGAGGGCTATAGTGTATGGGGTGGAGGAGGATGTAGAGTTTGTTGTTAGTGAGGAGGGCGCTGTGAGTGAGGAAGGTACGGAGGGTTGGTGAAGGGTTAGTGTTCCGCACTTAGTCGAATGGTAGAAAACGGGGGACTCGGGAGAGGGTTAGTTCCGATGGCAATTGAATTCCGATCACGAATTGTGATCTTCTTGCGCAGAGGAGCTAACCATTGACAAGCTCACACGATGTTGGGGGCGAATTGGTGAACGTTAAAAATATCAATTGAGTCGTTGCTGTCGCTAATACAGTGATATCATGATATAATGCACAACTCCTCCTCTATACATACTCATACATCCGTAGTCACTTAGACGCTCTCGTGGCGCTCAGCATCCTTAGTCTTCTCCTCAAAGTAGCCACCATCGCGGACAACCTCCATCTCCTTGAGACGTTCGAGCATGACCGGGTAAGCCTTGTGAGTGGGCTTGATCTCGAAGAGCTCGTCCATGCGCTCAAGAGGAATACCCTTGGTCTCAGGAATAAGGAAGTAGACAAAAGGAACGGACAGGATCATTAAGCTGGCGAAGAAGAAGTAGACTCCGTAGCTCATGGTCAAGAACATCTGAGGTGTGAAGCGCGAAATAATGAAGTTCCAGAACCAATTGTTGGCTGCGGCGGAGGCCTGACCGAGCGAGCGGGTTTGCTGGGAGAACATCTCTGAGTTGACGACCCAGGGTGTTCCGTTCCAGGATGGGGTGTAGAAGACGGTCCAAAGGTAGAAGAAGAAGATAGCTGCGATGCCGCCGGGGGGAAGCTTGTCACTGCCAGAAGTCGAGGTTCCGTGGAGCTTGATGTATGCGCCAATGATCCACATGCAGACTGAGCCGCCAGCAGCGCCGATCATGAGAAGCTTGGTGCGGCCGAGATGATCAATCAGGTACATGAGCCAGACAACGGTGACGACAGTCTTGACAACACCGAAGAGACCAGTAGTGAAGAAGCCAGTGTTGGTACCGGTGATACCGATGGACTTGAAGACGGTGGGCGAGTAGTAGTTGATCGCGTTGATTCCGGATCCGTTCTGCCAGAGGAAGAGCATGCCACCGAGGAAGAGACGGTATTGGACCTTGCGCTGCTTGACAGCCTTGAAGGGAGCCCAGAAACCAGGACCAACAACGAGACGGTCGTGCTCGATCTCAGCGTCGATAGCGGCAATCTCCTCAACCATGTAAGGGTGGGTGGGCTCAAGGTTACGCATCCAGCACAGATCCTTAACGGCCTTCTCGCGGTCACCGCGGGCAAACTGCCAGCGAGGAGATTCCCTCAACCAGAGAGTACCGGTGAGAAGCAGACCAGCGGGAATAAGCTGAACCGCGAAAGGAATCATCCACTGGCGGGTAGAGGGACCCATGGTCTCAACGAGACCGTAGTTGATCCAGAAGCCAACAAGACCACCAATCTGCCATCCCAGCTCGTAGATACCAACAAGACGTCCACGGACGGCAGGGGGCGACATTTCAGATATGTAGATCGGAACCATGTTACTGGCAGCACCAACACCCAGGCCGGCCAGAACACGGCCACCGATGATAAGGCCAAGTCCACGATCGCCGTTCGCGCCTAACATGAGTCCCGCACCGAGGATGAAAATCATTGTCCAGATGAGAAGAGTCAATCGGCGTCCAAGGTAGTAAGAGGTGACATAGGCACCAAAAGCACCGAAGAAAGCACCAGCCTGGTAGACGGAAACGATGTTCGCCTTCTCAAGCGCAAGCTGAGAAGCCGAGATCTGCTCTGGTGCTTTGAGTCTGAACTCCGAAACGAAGGATGGCAGCGCCAATGTGGTTCCAATGAAAGCGGAGTCATAACCGATCTGGGTGTCAATGTTAGATGAAGTTCCCAATGGGCCATTCTCCGTGATGGTAAGACTTACCATGCAAGATGCGAAGGATGCAACTGATGCGGCAGCGTACACGCGCCAGTTGTACACCTCCTTAGGCGTAGGCCTGTCTTCGACAAGAGTGAGGAGGCCCATGATGAGAGATGCAGTCTTCCTGTCCGGTCGTTGATGGGATGTATGAGGCAGGAGAGTCCTGAAGATCTGCCGATCTTACAAGAAAGGAAGGATGTGGAGGCTTTATGGGAAGCTGGGATTCTGAAGATTCTTCGTCTCCGAGCCCGGACTCTAATAGTTGAGCAGGGCTAATTGTTGCCCCGGAATCTCGCCCTCGTGGGGAAGCTAGTCTCTTGCGACGATATGCGGCGGCGTGCAGGCGAAACCCCAGATAATGCCCAGACTCTCCAGGTCTCCAGGTCTTATCCGCGCACGTCCCTGTGGAGAGGCCACGATGATGGAGCAGGGCATGCACCCCGCAATGGATGGGGATTGCCAATGGTGTTCTAGGACCAAGGTGGCGGTCATCCTGGATAAAGGTTGGACATCTCTGCGACAAGCAGGTGCTGAGAGCCTCTTCCTTGGCGCGGGTATGAATTACGAATGGAGCATGGTCATTGGCTACGGCCTGCCCTCGGCGGGCATCACGAGTCAATAGCTCAGGTGTGGGATAAATCTTCCCGATCTCGGAAGATGTCTCTACCCACTTGGCGGGGGAATATTACAAAACCACGTGAAGTATCGAGTGCGCGACAGCTGCGTTGAGTATCTTGGTATATACATGGGAAGATCCTTTACCCGCAGTCCCCAGTCCTCCTCCAAACCTCTCCACAACACTCCACAAAGCGTGTATCCGTTGGAAAAGGAATCCGTTAGGACGTAGAGCAGAGCCTTAACATACCCAATTTCCAGTCAGAGCTTACTCCGTCTCTCTGCCACTCTCTCCCTGTGAAGAATTTTGCCCACCACTGAAGCCACGCCCGCCGTTACGAGCACCGTAGTCATTGAAACCGTCACGATGCCGTCCACAACAACTATACAACAGACCGTAGTGCCCGACACTTCAAGTGTGGAGCGTCATGGGTATTTGTTCGGCTACCCGATCGCACATTCCATGTCGCCGTTGTTTCACAACACAGTGTACGCGGACCTTGGTTTGAACTGGAATCAGTTCTACCTTGAGTCGACAGATATGGAGCTCTTCCTGAAGGCCAGGCAGGATCCCAAGTTCTATGGTAAGCGACAATATCATTGTAAACCCTCGACTATCGAGGCTAACGATTTTCGAGGTGCATCAGTGACCATGCCACACAAGATGGCCATCCTCCCACACTTGGACGAAATCACAGAAGAAGGCAGGGAGGTCGGCGCTGTTAACACACTCTTTCTCAAGGAGGACCCCGCAACAGGAAAGCGGATATTCTGCGGCACCAACACTGACGTCGTTGGCGTACGAGATGCTTTCGTCTACAATGTCAAGGATCCCGCGGCAATCTACGAGAACCGGCCAGCTATGGTGGTAGGAGGTGGTGGTGCGGCCCGAAGCGCTGTCTACGCGTTAAGGAAGTGGATGAAGGCCAGCAAAATCTACCTTGTCAACCGGGACCGCAATGAAGTCAAGGCAGTTATCAACGAGTGCACAGCGAGGGGATTCGGCGACTCCCTCATCGACGTTTCGAGCGCCGCACAAGCTGAAGAGCTCGAGGGCGTGGGTGCAATTGTGGCATGTGTACCTGACTTTCCACCCAAGACACCAGAAGAGAAGGAGGCAAGGGCCGTCCTGCAGACCTTCTTGAACAAGCCACACAAGGGCGCTATCCTGGAGATGTGCTACCACCCCTCACCCTGGACAGAGATTGCCGGAATTAGTGAGAAGGCTGGCTGGCAGCTCATCTTGGGCACAGAGGCCATGATCTACCAGGGTCTCGAGCAGGACAGGTACTGGACAGGGAAGCCGGTGTCTGAGCTGCCAAAGGCAAAGGTCCAGGCGGTTATCGCGGCTAAGCTGGCTGAGGCGCGACACTAGCCATGGTGTACAAAAGTACCACTTCTTGTTCTGCTTCTTCAAGAGTTTATAGACTTACCATACGCTGTAACGCCGAATTTTACTATATTACTCTACGTACTGTCGCTGTTAATTATCGAGGTTGACATTCCGTTTCCTCTCTTCTTGAGATCCTTTAGAGGGTCTCTTGCTCAACGCAAAATAGCGCCAGCAACACCAGGAAGTACACCAGCCATTTGCCCAAAACGTCAACCCCTGTATTTTCTGAAAGTCACGACCTCTTGACGCATGTCACCTATACTTACATAGACCCTTGATGCACTTATCGGTATCAATGTTCGTTCTTACATGCACGTGAGCGGAGCTACTCCTGACAATTAGCCCTGGGAGTGCGGTCCAACGCGGCCTCGTAACGACGGCGCCTGAGGCGATGAGCCGCATCCAGCGAGGATTGTATGCAGATCAAGTAAGGATTTGGAACAACTTCCGCCACTTCTGTTAAGAAATTGCTGCCACCCAGATCCGCTTTTGCGGTTGGCTTAGTTAGCCGCTACGAAGGAGTCCGTTTCTTTTGACCGATCACCTCCGCAAAATAACTTGACCGCGCAACCCGATTAATTTTTCAAACTTCTTAATAAGCTACCTTACTATGCAAGTAGCACAACCTTTACATTTGATTTAGTTATACTGCGTTGTTGTGATGTGGTGAAATTGCGCGCAGGTAGTGGTTGATTTGATGTTCGGCCAAAAGAAACGAGCTTCTTCGTATATTGATTGGTTGGTTTAACGTCCTATGTGAGTGCTTCGTATAGAAAACCTTCCTTACTGATGGGTTGACATCTCCACCACGCGAGATCTGGAAACACCGGACAAGGCGCGCCTAGTTGATAAATCAAATCGCCAGACTGTCCTAACGTCCTGACGCTAACTCGGAATGGTGATAGGCATGCGAATTGCGAATTCCATGTGCAAGGGCAAAGGCGATCCAGACTCCTTCCGCCCCGAACCTTTGCAGAGTACCGGCGTGGGGGGCGAAAACAATTGCAGAACTGTGAGGCGCGAACCTCGCACAGCTGCTTGACACTCTCGACGCCCTCCCATCCCCTTGAGTCTGGTGCCACCTCCTGCAGAGCATGGGGCGTGAGGTAATTATCTGTTTCTCCCCGCATCTGTCAGCCCAGAGCTGTATCTCGATATGAGTCGCCCACCGCCCGCATCGCGCATCAAGCCCCTCTCAGAGAAGAAAAGAGAGCGCGAGGTCCTCCAGTATGTCGCCGCCTACCGTGACCTGCCTCACCTCGAAGGGTTGGCTGCCAGGCCAGAGTCGTCTCACCTGCCCGTCGACCACCATGCGCGGCCCTCGACAGACTCGACCCTGACTGCGCTGTGCCAGCTGGCAGCCTTGCGCATGAACGCGCAGCGAGCCTTGGTATCGCTGATAGACGATACATGCCAGCATATTCTGGCAGAGGCAACTCCTCGCTCCTCACTCCGCGGTGTAGCCCCACCTGGCGATGGATCTAACTCGTTGTGGTTGGGGAGTGTTAGCATCCCTCGAAGTTGGGGTGTCTGCGAGCAGGTCCTGGGTTTGGACACGGGAAAAGTTGCCGCGGGCAAGGGAACGTCGGTCATTATTAACAAAGACCTTCTTGACAGCGATCAATACGCGCAACGCACTTATGTTCGAGACGGTCCGCAAGTCCGGTTCTATGCGGGCGCAGCACTTGTGAGCCCGCATGGTGCCATTGTGGGCGCATTGTGTGTTTTCGATGACGCGCCCAGACCAGTAGGTATTCCAGACGAGGACGTGACTTACCTTGAGGATCTCTCAGCCACCATTGTCGAATACCTAGGCAATTACACCGTTAGGGACCGTTTCAAGCGTGGTGAGAAACTCACTCGAGGTCTTATTTCCTTTGCGGAAGGTGCATCTGCGCTGTTGCCACTCGACAGCATCGATCAGCTTAACTCAGAACCACGCTCGCCCACAACAACAACATCATCGACTTCAGGCTCTAACGTGGAGCCAAGATCTTCGCACAATGCGCCTACCGAGGATCACCCTCCGTCGCAGGCACCCGAGACAACTTACGCTGCTTCGCAGGCATCACAAGCGGGCTCTCAAGGGTCTGGACAGAACTCGTTGCGGCAAAAGCAACAGCAGTATTCCACTGGTTCGGATACTGTTCGAGTGGGCTCCACGCGCAACACATCATTACGAGCTCTACAAGATACCATTCTGCCGAGGAACTCAAAATCCATGTTTGCACGAGCCGCCAATGTCATGCTGGCATCTAGTGATCTAGATGGAGTTCTGATTCTTGACGCATCTATCGCAGCAACTGGGCATCGCCAGCATCCAGCGGCTCCGCAGCGCGAACGTTTGAGTGGAAGCCTTTCAGATGCTACAGAATCTGCAGGGCTTAACTCAAAATCGGAATCAAGCGAGGATAGCAGTTCTCACAGCAGCACCAACAGGAACCCAAATTCCTCTTCGTCATCAAAGATGTGTCAGGTTCTCGGGGCTGCGCCATCCAGACCTGTTGTAAACGCAGATGGTACACCGGGGGTGGGGTCTTTAGCCGAAACCAATTTGGCCCGCTTGTTACGAGCATATCCTCACGGAAAGGTATTCAACTATACCGCCACGGGTATTTCTATGTCCTCGACAGACGACTCGTCTTCATACAGGTCACACGAAGAAACCCTGCCCGGTGGAGACGATACACGTCCTACAGCCACTCGAAAAAATACGCGCGCGTCTAGAAGCTCAAAAGCCATATCTGAATTGCTTGTAGGCGCACGAAGCGTAGCGTTTGTGCCTTTTTGGGATTATGAGAGATCAAGATGGTTTGCAGGTTGTCTCTGTTGGACCAACAACCCCGATCGATTGCTCTCAGTTTCCGTGGATCTGGCCTACTTCAACATTTTCAGCCACTCCATCATGCGAGAATTGTCGCGCCTGGACGCCGTTGCGTTGAATCAACAGAAAACTACTTTCGTTGCTTCCATTTCACACGAATTGCGTTCGCCCTTACATGGTATCCTGGGGACATTGGAGTTTATCAAAGATACTCCACTCGACACTTTCCAAACCAGCATGCTGAACTCGCTGAATAGTTGCGGTCAAACTCTTCTTGACACAATCAATCACGTTATGGATCATTCCAAGATGAGTGAGACAACGAATAACGTTTCTACCAGACGACTCAAAAACACGAAGACCGTACGACTATCGTCTAAGCCCCTTAAGACACGGCGTCTACGAGATCCGGCCTTCGACCTAGGTATAGCCACCGAAGAGGTCGTGGAAGCTGTCTTTGCTGGATCTTCATTCCTTCCAATCATGAGTTTGAACAACGTACCTCTGTCTCCAACGGAATCGACGTCCGCATCTCTTCACACCGATGTTTCTGAGCCTACAACGAAACGCAAAACGTGCTACATCATACTAGATGTCGCACATGAGCAGGACTGGATTTACTGTTTTCCCGTGGGGTCTTGGAAGAGAACTGTCATGAAGTATGAGCCACTGTTACGGCTAATCGTCCCATGCATGCTAACAGCATCACAGCATCTTTGGCAATGCCGTCAAGTACACACAGACAGGCCATATTACCGTCTCGCTCCACGCTACAGACGCTGCCAGAACGACAGGCTCTGCCACCACAATCACTCTCACCGTCACCGACACAGGAACCGGCATGAGCCCTGCGTTCCTCGCGAACAAGGCATTCCAGCCGTTCTCGCAGGAGAATCCGCACAGTTCGGGAGTAGGTCTGGGCCTGAGTATTATCCGGCAGATCATTGAGACGAACGGTGGCAAAATCGAAGTCAGCAGTGACCATTCTTTTGGTACCAAAATCACCGTCAAGCTCTCTTTGATCAGACCTGAGACGGCGCAAATTGCTCTGCCTCAGCGAAACGAATATCTTTCCTTGTTACCGCGCTTGAAAGGTCGCAGGATATGCATATTGCATAGGGCCGAATCTAACCAAGACTTACTGGATGAGCCGCAAAATGCTGAAGGTCTCGCGAAGTTCACTCGCGCTTTGACTACGACTTTGGCCAACCACCTGGAGATGGATGTTGTGCAAACAACAAAGTGGGAAGGCAACAATGCTGACCTTGTCATTTGTCCGGAACCGTCCTTCGATTACCTCGCCTCCATCAGGCATCAAAGAGCCGACACCAAAGCCTCGAAAGCAGCAGTGACTATCTTTGTTGCGCTGGACGCACTCGAAGCGGCGACTCTACGTTCCGATGTTCGCGTCAAGAACAAGGAATCAGTGGTCGAGATTTTGACCCAGCCGTTAGTGGTACTTCAACACTTCTATCCAACTCTCGCTGACCATTGCTTAGACTCGGACCCCACAAACTAGCCTATGTGCTGAACAAATGTCTCGATCGGTTGAAACATCCGGATGAGAACGTACAGCCAGCTTCCAATCTTACCCATATTTCCACACCTAATCTCTCACAGCCACCATCCGTCGAGCGGTCCATAACGCTTTCTCCTTCACCAATCCTATCTCCTCCGCCGGTTGAGATGCCACCACTGTTGAATCAGCCTCACTGGCATTACACAGACAAGCCAGAGGCTTCCTCATCGCCGTTACCGGAATTCTCAGGCACTCCAACGCCGACTTTTGGGACACCTCCTGTCGAAGGGCGTACGCTTCCGACTCGTCCGAAACTTACAATACCTAGCAAGCCACTGCCCACCGCATCCAAAATTCTTATTACGGACGATAATGCGATCAACCGTAGGGTCAGTTTACTGCTACTAATACGCTAAGTTCTTGACGTTAAGCTAATTGTATTGCAGCTCCTCGTAGCATTTACGAAGAAATACAATCTCCAATACGCGGAAGCAGAAAACGGCCTTGAAGCACTTCGCGCATACCAGTCATCTCAAGTGCAATTCGATGTCATTCTGATGGGTAAGGTCGTGGTCTCGAACAGCATAGGATTATGATGTCTGATTATGTCTCACAGATATGTCGATGCCGGTCATGGATGGCATGTCAGCAACTCGAGCAATTCGGCAGTACGAGCAAGAGTACAACGTCCCACGGTGCTGCATCATCGCCCTGACGGGCCTGGCATCCGCGAGCGCGAAACTAGAGGCTTGGAACTCGGGGATAGACCATTTCATGACTAAGCCAGTTAACTTCAAAGCACTCGAGAAGTTTCTCAAGAAGGAGGAAGTGAGGCACGATGGAGGTGCAAATAAAGAAGTGGCTTCGGCTTCGGCTCCTGCTTCGGCTCCTGCTTCGTACGAGGAACGAAATCATTCGCCTTGAGAGAAAAAGCTCTTGGCTGATGTTGTCGCATAAACCTCTCTGTGTCTGCGTTCTCTCTCTCAGATAGACTGGCTGGTCTCGAGATAGACTGGTCAGGATGACGCGCCGCGGAACGGCGATGGATATCGTCTGGTCTGTGGACTTTGGTTCTACAGAGTAAGAACATATGTCGCCATCAACAGATTTGCAAGGCAGCAAACAGTGGGCAAAAGTATCACCTGTGGCATGGCAGAAACATCGTTAGCAGTCTGCTGGCGATGTCCGCCGTACGTATTTCCTCGTAACGCCTCAGCACACGATGACGGTGTCTCATGAAAACTATCACTTGTAAAGCGTCGTTCCTGAGTATTGTGACTGCCTCCACGAGGGACGATTCGCCTGTTAAAAGTGTATCTCTGAACGTCGCACCTGCCTCCACCAACCTTGCCTCACCCGCATCCATGCTCAACCCATCTCAAACACCAACTTCCGATCCCCCCTCCTCTCCCGCCAATAGTTCGTACTCTCAATCAGCTCCTCACACCCCCTCACAAGCCATCCCCACTTCTTCAGAAACGGTACCGTAGCCTCCCAGGCCCTAGGATCAGATGCCTCACCCCAGACAACCAAATTCGGCTTCAGTCCATCAGCCTCGTCTACATCAAGCAGGTCTTTACTGATATCGCCTTCCAGATCCGTCCAACTCAGTCTTAAAACAGCGTCGCGCAGTTCCGGCAGCGGAAAGAGGTCTATCCACGGTCTATGCTGGATCGAGGTTTGTAAGGTCGTTGGGCAAAGGGATGGTGGGAGGTTGGTGGATGGATTGCTGGGGCCTTGGTGGTTGAATGGGGAGAGGCTGTCGTAGATACAGAGAGAGCCTGGTGTGATTTTCAGGATCGAAGCATTTTGCATCAGTGCGTGGAGCACGTTCAGCTGGACGACTATGTGCAGAGCTGCTGGTCGGGGCGAGTGCAGCATGTATTCTGTGTAGGCGCGGCGGGCGTAGAAGTCTAGCCGTGCTTGGGCGCCGGGGAGCATGTTTTTGCATACTCGGCCGGGGATGTAGTTCGCTGCGTGGTCGCGGGTTATGTGGATGACTTCGGTGTTGGGAGGTTGGTCGCGGAGCGTGGGGTGAGTGTCTGTGGGTGATGCAGATGATGAGGCTTGCTGTCGTAACTTTCTCTTTCCTATGCCGAAGCCTGATCAGTAATCACAGAACATGTGGATTGATGGGGGAACTGACTCCATATCCTTTGAGCATGTCGATTCTGCAATCTTCTCCGCGTTGCAGCATTGGTCACACCGGTCCAGTCATCTCCACGGTTCGTGGCTTCCAGCTGCTGGGGCATTCGTTGCAGGATGATTGCGGACGGAGCAATCTCAGTCGATCGGTTCATGATGCAAGACGCGACAGTCGTCGATGTGTCCAGTCCGGATGAAGACTTGCATGGATGCACTGAGGTTTAGGATATGCAGCTTGCTTATATGCATTGATTGGGAAGAGAAGCCAGGAAGTATCGAAACGACCATGGTGAAGCCAATCCTTTGTCTGACCAATGACGTATAACAAAATTGGATCAATCGCGGGCGCTATAAGCAGCTTGCATTAGCGTGCGAAGCTTGACATCGGTCTTCGAGATCTTGAACTCCATCTTTGTGTTCTGTTACTGCTATCAGGACTCATCTCTGCATTTGATTCGTAATCCCATGGGGCTGGCTGTCCGACTCATTTTAGTACGGAATTGACATGGACGCCATTCATGAAGCTTCCAGCAAAACGCATCAGAGTGACCAAAACAATGCCACAGATTTTGCTTCATCAGCAAGTGCCTTCCAGGCCTTAGCTTGGTGGCTTGAAGGCGAAGCGCGGCCTTGGGATAAGAACGACAAAGTGGAAGGAAGTGTCTCTATCTATACGATAAAAAATTCGATCAATCTTCCTGCTTCACATACCCTTCAAAGCTCATCACAAGCCCCTCGGCTCCAATATCCTCAGGGTAAACCGTATCTATGTCCCCATCATCGTACTCAAAATCCCTAAGTTTCTGCTAGACCTGCAGAATAAGTCCCTATGACGTTCCTCGCCTACAACCAATCCCTTGTACTCCTCCTCCGAGACCTGCTTGATTCCCTCATCGCCCGCCAGCTTCCTGCCCAGCACGGTCACCCAGATGGCCATGATCTCACGGTAACTGATCATTTGACTGAACCCTTGCAGTCGAGTACCAGACTGTACATCTTCGACAAGTCTTTTGACCAGGGGGCCGGTGTCTCGTCGTGTCCAAACAACAGGAACAGGCTTGCGGCGATCGTCGATATGGATGTGCCAGTACCCTCCACTCACAGGAATCTTTTGGATATCGAGAGGTAAGCGCTTCTAATTGTCTGCTTAAAGACCGAAGCGGATGAAGCTGGACCTTGGACCAAGCACTGGGTCGTCGCGTCCGTACCGTTCGACGGCGGCCTTGCTGTCGCAGTGCCAGGTCTGTATGTACCGGCCGCCTGACAGCTTCGAGTGGTTTCCAAGACTGCTGTAGACGTAGCGTTCCAGCGTCTTCTGCACATCTGGGGTTCGAGCTGCAAGTGCGAGGTTCTTGCCGCACTGAATTCCGATCTCAGCGCATCGCTCTTCAGGACTGATGCCTCGCTTCCCGGCTTCAGCGCGCACGGCTGGGTCAGAGAGAGAGGAGGCTAGTAGTCTGTCATTGCGAAGATGGCGTGCGCACCGGTGAATGCAGCAGTTAGGGGTTTGACGTCGTCCACATCACCATGTACAACTTCTACGCTGCGGGAGGCCCATTCTCGTGCGGAGGTTTTAAAGGAGTGCGAGATATGATGCGAAGGCGCCACTTCTTGTCAGCTAGGAAGGCCTCGGCAACGCTACCACCTTGGTTGCGTGTGGTGCCTATGATTACTATGAGCTTCGCCATCTTGAACAAAAAGTCCAGTTGAGCGATAAGGAAAGCTGAAAACGGCAGTCAGCTCGGGCGTTAATGCTGCGGCGTGAAGTCTCAGATGCTTATACTTATCTGCGCCCACCTGCATAAAACCCAGCATGACCGTGCTGATCAAGCAAAATGAATGGCACTTAAGGGCGTGCAATAATTGCGCCAGATGAGGTAAGCAGACACTCGCAATAACAGTCGGCAGTAGGATGTTCTGTGTGCAACATTATGAGAAAGAGAATCATGTGAGAGGCCTCTAACTACACGCAAGTTTCTACTTTTCTCAAGCCTCGTTGCTGTCAACCTTGGCCGCCGTATCAGCGACCTCAGCAGCGGTCTCTGCAGCCTTGATGTCATCACTCTTGACATCGCCGCTACCAGCCACAAGATTCTGTACGACCTTGTGGGTTCCAGCAGGGCTGCCGGGCTCAGAGGCCAGCACCTTGCCTTCCTTGTTTACCACGAAGACACCCCGAGTAGTGCCCTTAGGTGCCTTCTTCAGACCAATCGCCGAAATGAGTGTCTGCGAGGGATCGCACAACAGGCTGTAAGGGAGGTTCTGCTTAGTCTTGAAGGTGGTGTTCGCCTTGGGGCTGTCGTTAGAAAGGCCGAAGATGCTGAAGCCGGTCGCGGTGAGGGGCGCGTACGAGTCGCGGAAGAGGCAGACTTGTGTAGTGCCTGCACGCATGTTAGCGATGAATCTGGTAGGTGAGACACGTCGACGTACATCCTGGTGTGGAGGCTTTGGGGTACGTGAACAGCACGACACCGCCCTTGCTCTCCTCTACAAGCTTCGCAAGCGTAGTCTTCTTTCCATCGTGTGTCTCAATCTCTCCACCAAAGTTGGTGAGATCAATCGTGTCACCCACCTTGGGTGCACCAGTGGATAAAGCAGCAGCAGCCGCTGGCTTGCTCTCGCCGTTGGTCGCGTCAGCAACAGCCTCCTTCGCAGTCTCGACAGCATCAGTCACGGCCTCGGTAACGACTGCTGCAGCTTCGGTGACAACTTCGGTAGCCTGCTCGACGACTGTCTTCTCGTTTGCAGCTTTCTTGCCCTTAGGCGCAGACGCCTTCTTAGCTGGGCGCACAGGCGCTGGAGGGGGCGTCTTGCGTTTGCGTAGCTCAACCATGGTGTAGGTGTTGTCGCGTAGCTAATGCGCGGTCGCGTCAGTATCGTGATATGGTATCAATGCTCTGATGATGATGGTTGTTATGCAAGGGTACGAAGGAGCTGAGGATTCGCGTCAACATAGGCGGCTCGATAGGCGCTTACCTGTTTGTGTCTTGTCCACGAGTCCCTGTGTGTTACCTGCACGATCTACGAATGGTACGACGGCAGCAGCGACGTGTTATTGGAGCGGATAGGGAAGAAGTATGAGCGCAATGTTAAGCTCAGGCCAGAACGACCGAGGAACTGTCAGTAGTAGTGACCTCCAGCCTCCCCTTGGCAAGCCGTACGTCCTAAGCATATTAGGCAGATTACATGAGCTTGCGTCTTTTGTTTCGCGACCTTCAGCTCCAGACCTGGGGTTGCATGTCGTTTTTGATTGGTTGCTGGCTATAGGGAGTGTGAACGCTGCAACGCAACTTCCCGTTCGGCTGCTTACCCAAATACGTCATAGCTCCCGCTCGCGCTAGCCCCACCCATTCACTACCTTCTTCACTTGTGCGACCCTGAGGTTCCCATCCAGCGATATATTCATCAAACATCCTTGAACTCGAGAGTGATGATGGGATATCATTAAAACCTCCGCTAACAATCACTTTCGGTCGTGCATGTACAGAGACCATCAATGCCGCGCGACAGATGCAGCACGTAGAGGTCAAACCTGAAGCTGTACCCTGGAGGTCTTCGCAACGTGTACACATTCGAGGCTAGATCTGTTATCTGAGTGCCAATACACCGTGATAGCGAGCGAGCAAGTTGCGAGGCCAACAATGGATATCAGTATCTCCTGAACCATGGGTCGCTTCGTACCCCACACTTGATCGAGGCCGACAAGCGTCAGCTTCGAGAGTCGTTGGGTGTGATACGTTCATCATTCACGGTGCCTTTCCTAAATTTGGTTCAAGAAGATTCAGTACCGTCGTCATTATCATCTCAAAACCCACACGACACAACACTATTTTTGTACTCGGCCCTGCCCTGTTGTCCTTTCCCCAGATTTGGCTCCGAAGCCAGATCCCTTCCTCTCGCCCAAACAGTTGCGCTCTCTTATCATAATCTCACTGCAAACAAAGTTTCTAAGTTTTCATCATGTTCCGTCGCTTGTCGAATATGGTTTCATCGAAGAGACACAGTGACTCTACAGGGTTGACCGAAACGAAACAGGAGACCGGTAAGACTGGGCGATCGAACGAGCTTGAGCTGCAGCAGCTTGCCACATTATCAGACATTGAGGGACAGGTCTTACCACCTCTTACTGAAGATGCTTTCGGCAACGAAGAAGGAGCCGAAATTCAATACAAGACGTGTGTATGGTGGTAAGTAATGTATCAGTTGAATCATCCCTGCTTCAGACCTTCACCATCGAGCATCGCTAACATCTCGAACAGGCAGACGGGAGTTTGTAAGATTCCCCTCCCTCTCATTGCAGGTGTCGTCCTAACATAGCATAGTGATGCTCGCCGAAAATGTCTCCCTGGGCGTCCTCGCTCTACCGCAAGCTCTTGCGATCCTTGGTATTGTCCCAGGTCTCTTGTGCATCTGCTTTCTGGGTCTGATTGCAACTTACACCGGTTGGCTTATTGGCGAGTTCAAGCTTGCTTACCCGAAAGTGCAATCATTCCCTGATTGTGGAGAACTTATTGCTGGGCCTATAGGAAGAGAAATCATGGCTGTTGGCTCAGTCCTCATCCTAATCTTCATCAGCGGTGCGCATGTGCTGACTTTCGCTGTCGCCATGAACGCCTTGACAGGCCACGGAGCCTGCACGATCATCTACGCTGTTGCTGGTATGATCATCTGCTTCGTCCTTGGGCTGCCAAGGACTTTCAAGAACGTCAGCCACTTGTCCATGTTTTGTAAGTGAAGCTCGCCAGGAAGAGTAGTCGAGACTAACTGTGACAGCTTGTGCAAGTATCGTTCTGGCAGTTTTCATTGCCATGATTGGCATCGGCATCTCCAAGCCAGATGCCGGCAATATCCTTGCTGTGCACCCCGATATTCCTTTCGTCAAAGGCCTGGGACCAGTTCTGAACATCATTCTGGCTTACAGTAAGTATTTTCCTGCAAGTGAATTCTCGTGGATGAGTCAAGACTGATGAAAAATAGCCGGTCACGTCGCCTTCCTATCCTTCCAGGCCGAACTGAAGGATCCACGAGAGTTCAAGAAAGCACTCTTCTTCGAGCAAGGCATCGCAGTCACGTTCTACATGACCATATCAGCCGTCATCTACTACTACGCCGGTCCTCTTGTTACGTCTCCTGCTCTCGGCTCGGCAAGCCCGGTTATCACCAAAGTTGCTTTTGCCTTCGCCATTCCCACAATTATCATCGCAGGTGTGGTCAACGGGTCAGTGGCCTGCAAGTACATCTACATCCGAATGTGGAAGGGAACAAATGTTGTACATCAGAAGAGTTTCAAGAGCCTTGGAAGCTGGGTTGGGATATGTGCTGCACTTTGGGTTGTTGCCTGGTTGCTCGCTGAGGCGATTCCAAACTTCAACCTTTTGCTTGGCCTTATCGCTGCACTCTTTGGTTCTTGGTTCAGCTGTAAGTTCGAGCACAAAGGATGAGATTATAGATGGCTGACGAGTCTTAGATGCGCTCCCTATGGTCATGTGGTTCTATCAGCATAAGGGAACCTGGTTCAAGAGCAAACGCATGACTGTGTGGTCGGTCTGCAACGCTTTCCTCTTTTGCCTTGGTGTCACAATTGTAAGTCTTGAAGATTTCTCTGCTTGCTGGACATGATCACTAACAAGCCAATAGTTCGCTCTAGGAATGTGGGCCTCAGGACATGAGCTTCAAAACGGTTCTGGAGGCAAGGTGTTCTCTTGCGCCGATAACTGGTCGCCAGTGAGCGCAGTGCTCGGGAATGGGGAGTGAAGGGCGGATAACCTTAATCATCACGCATGGACTCGCAAATGTCGACATAGAATACGCAAACTTTTAGCTTAGCTATATCATAGTAATCGTAATTTTTAGTCGTCGAACTGGGATACTGTCCTGGAGGTCTTGTGTGAATGTATGGCTCACGTGCCAGCGCGCTTCTTGGAACGCGCTTGCCATTATCGTTATCGATTGTCGTCATCGCCACGTCCACTTTCATCCATACCATCCACAAGTCGCAATTGCTCAACAGACGTCTCACCTGCCCCAAGCTGACCACGATCGCGCTGCTCCTACGCGTATTGTCTCTAAATAGCATGGAGCCCACATCCTTACCACCCTCAAGATTAACACGCAAACGCAAGGCAGCCGTTAGCTATGTCGAGTACGGCGAGGACGACTACAGCGATGAATATCAATCGCCCGTGGAGAAGTCGAAGAAATTGGCATCAGCGCCTGAGGTCGAAGCCGTCGAAGAAGCGCTCCAAAAGACCAAAAAGAAGAAGACCAAGGACGACAGGGATGCACCGCCTGTAGAGAAGCGTCTCCGGAAACACCGCGCACGCGCACCAGGCAGCTACCTCGAAATCAAAAACCGCGCACTCACACAACGTCTTACTGTCCTGTCACGCGGACGATGCGGCACCGACGAGCTTCCAGAGGAGAAGGTGGTCATTGCCGGCTCGACAGGCAACGTCTACACTGTCAATGTGGGCCTCATCCCTAGTTGCGACTGCCCACATGCGAAAAAGGGAAATCAGTGCAAGCACATTGTCTACATCATGCTCCGAGTTCTCAAGGCACGAGAAGACGTTGCTTACCAGCTAGCCCTTACCAGCACCGAGCTGCGCGAGCTGATCAAGAATGCACCGCTCATCCCAGGCGTCGAGACAGACGGCAAAGACAAGCTTGGCGAAGAGCAAGACGGCAACCGCAAGACTATCGAGGGCGAGTGTCCCATCTGCTACGACGAACTCGACACGAAGATTGACGAGATCGTATACTGCAAGGCTAGCTGTGGAAACAACGTGCACAAGGCCTGTATGCAGTCGTGGATTCAGGTGGCTGCGAAGAGCAAGGCAACTTGCCCGTACTGCCGCGCGACATGGGACACAGAAGAAGCCTTTGATGGTAATCTGGGCAATGTCGATACGAAGGGATTACAGAGGAATGAGGACGGATATCTCAATGTCGCAGGTCAACTCGGTCTGAGCGGCGAGAGAGACTATTCGACCTACCACCAATTCTGGGCGAGGCGACAATTCGGTCGTAGATGGTAAGGGAGGCTTCAAACCTGCGCGTGAGCGCTGCGCTTTCTTGATAGTTACTGGTGTTACAAGGACAGATAAGATACCTAATGACAGCTTCTGGAGGTTTGCAAGGCAGGAGTACTGATGATACATAGTAGTCGTTACATGCGCATAGTGGCGCCACGATACGAGCAGGAATTGTAAACTCAAACCTACAATGCGGAGCTGCGAGCTGCCATTCGCTTACCAGCAATGCCACACTGCCTGCAGACGATTCAGCCCAATGACCACCGAAACGCTCAGCCTCGTTGCGCAGGCTGGTGACACACTCGCCACTCCATCGCTTATCAATGCCCCAGCCCTGATCTGCAAAGAGATAGACATCTTGCCTACAGTTCATTCCAACTCCAACCTGATGGAGTCTCTTTCAGGAGTCGCCAGCGGCATAGCTGTTGCCTCTTTAGCCATACAACTTCTTCAATCTGTCAATACCATCAGGTCACTGCTTCACAACGTTCAAGACCCACCTCAGGAGCTGATTCGCATTGCCGATTTGTTGAAGAGGCTTGGGGCATTGCTTCAAGATGTTCGCAGCATCGTAGAGAAGCAGACGTCTCTACAAGGTCACCATTTTCCTGTCCCAACTATGACAATATCGACTTGTCTCAAAAGCTGCGAGGAAGCTCTCAAGCCGCTCGAACCCATCACAAAAACCTTAAGTTTGGACCACAATGCCTCGAAATTTGCCAAATTGCGCAGCGACATTAGGCTTGGATTCAAGACAAATGACATCAAAAACACGGAGATCCGGTTACAGCATGAGATAACAAGCCTCAGCACTGCCTTGGCGATAAACAATACAAACATCCAGTAAGTCACTTCCTCGCACTAATAAAGAGAAGGTCTCGGGCTGACTGTTTGCAGACTGCAGGTGCTCCCAGCCCCTCTGCGCTGCCAAAGTCCTGCAAATGCAAGATGCGTGCAAAAGGCATCAGTAACATCTGTTGCCTAAAGCAATGAGCCGGTATCCGCTCCATTGAGTCCCACAATTCGCACTGTCACGCGTCATGTGACTTCACGACTTGAGCTGCTTGGCCTCTATCAGGTTCGAAGGACTCGATATTTTGTCGGACAAAATGACTCGAACGAATGGCATAACAATGAAGCCGAATATGTCATTTCCGAAGAGAACGAATACTCCTTGTTTTGGAAGTGTTTGGCTTACGGAGCTCGATGGAGTCGCCAACGACCGTACGGTGAGATCATCCCATCGCTTAAGGTTTATCCTATCGTCCACGCCTTCCAGGAAGACATCAAAGATCTGATGGCATTTGGGAGTGTGCATGATTTCCAGCGGATGTTTCAGGAAGGATGTCTCCACCCTCATACCAGAGATCGCTTCAATCACTCGCTTTTGCATGTAAGTGGTCGTGTTCTTTTCTTCGATGGACCTTAATGATTACGGGCAGATGGCTACAGTATATTCTCGAGCTGATGTAAGCCGCCTTCTCCATGAATACCGTGTCAAACCGGATCCATACTACAAATCCCGGGACAGCAACAAGCGGTTTGGGTCCGAAGTTTTGCACTCGCGCACCGTCTTCAACCTCTGCGGCATAGACCCAGGGTGGTCTTCAAGGAAGGGAACCATGACTATGGCCGAATATCACTACAATTTTAGCGGCCGGAAGGCTACAAGAAGACACAGGGCGTTCAGTCATCTTATAGAGAGCTCGTTAGCTCCCATAACCCGTGATGTGTGGGTCACCGACTTCATGCGGTTGTGTAAGTTAAGCTCTGATTACCTTGCTGGCTCGGACCTGATCTGGTTTCGAAAGATCATTCTCCAGAGTCGTGTCAGTCGTTTCATCCTCCAAGGAAATGATCAAAGTTTGGAGTGGGTTGCACAAGGTTTAAGGTCGCCAGATGGTGCTCCTTTGCTCAATACATTGAGAAGAGGCCATTGTGGTCTCTTGAAGGACATCTTCGATGGACATGATTTGATTGATCATGAGCTCGGGGGAAGATTTCTCTCCGCACTTCGTCTGCTAAATATCGATATCGAAACCTGTATGAGCGGGGAGCTCGCGCATTTTCTTAATTATACACACAGCCTCGATGGCTGCTTGGACAGATACATCTCTTTCCAACAAGCCGAAGATGGACGGTACACACTTGATTGGGACTGGACATACAACACTGAAGCTCCTGGGTACCTGGCCGTGTCTGAATTCAGCGCTCTCACGACCGATCACACCTACGACCGATCATCAGTCTCAATTGTTCGATCGGAGGCAACTCTGAACAGTAAAGACTTGCCGTTTCAAGATCCTTACGCAACTGTGAACCGGCTCCACTTCAGACGTAAAAGGAAAGTCTACGAAGACCGTACTCGGCGCCAGGAATGCAGAAAGTTGCCAGGGTCTTGGATAGAGTGACGCGACCGCAGTGCCTGCGCGTCCGCATGAGGTATGCTTGTTTAGTGTTTGATCTAATCCGTTGGCAGGTGTTGCCGTGTTGAAGACGCTCAGTATTTTCTTAGCAATCGAGCTTGTTCTTTGCGACGCATAGCAAAACAATCATTCTACAACGTCTAATTGATGTGAGCCCTGGTTTGCTTGATGACTTCGTCGCACAACAATCCATGGATGAGTAGCCTTCCAGTCAAAGCCATGCTGACTCACTAATCTGAGATCGATCATTTTCTGAGCTTCCTGTACGTCGTCGTCTGGAACTCTCAGATAGTGTTGCACAAAGCAAAAAGGTGAACATAGCCTTGCACCGCAACCATTGGTGGAGCCAGCACAAAGTAGGGGTACAGGCACGCCATAGGTCTCGTCGTTCTCGTTTCCGCTTCGTACGGTTTGTCCGAGCACGTGTCGCATGACGTCTGCATACAAATCCACGAGGCTCTTGCTGTAATCTGGTGTACAAATCTTCTCCTTGGAAAGGCCCAACAGACCATAAAGCCGGTCAAGAGGGTTTGTGCATTCTTGATTCTGGAAAGCGTTGAGTGTTTCGATCAAATCGAATCCAGGCTTCCAGATATCGATGTTTGGCCGGCGACGATACGGGTCCAGGCGTCGACTCCAACGGATGACGTCCTCAGCTCTTCCCCAATCAACCATGGATACGAAAAATGACTGTGATTTCGGCGTCTGCATCTTGTCAAGCTTTCCTGTATACTGCAGTACAGCACGCTCTTTCTCAGCCAGGTTCAAATGAAAGTCGTCAAGGCCCGGCTCTTCATGTTGATCATCCCAAAGATCCAACACTCGAGCCCAGTCGTAGTAAAATCCACCGCACATGAGTGTGACTCGACGCGCAAGTACCACCTCTTGCACGATCCACATCCTTGTCCAATATGGTCGGTGCATCAGATACTTCAAACCTCGCAATGCACAAACTTCCTTGTCCGCGGTCGTTTCTTCGATAAGGTATTTTCGAAGATCCCTCAAGTCTCCCTCCAAGCTTGTAGGAGGCTCACCAAGCCAGCATATCACCTTATGCGCATTGCCATAGATTCGATCCATCATACCAACCTGCAGGCTCTTCTCCGTGTTGTCGTCTGCATTCTGGTTGATGCAAATCGCGTCAATCCAGAATAGACGAGGGTAGAGTAAAGGATCGACTCGGACTCGATTGAGAAACTCCCAGAGGTTCCTTCGCACCCAGAAGATTTGATCATTCAGGAGGATTTGTGTAACATCGTCCTCCACTGTAGTCTCTCCCCACTGATATGAGAGAGCCGTGTACGTGTATTCGTAGAAGGCCGTCGTACCTCTCATTTCAGCATGAATTGGGTCTGGAAATGTACCCGGACAGATGCGGACAAGGCGTATTTCTTCGCGACCGGAGTCAATCGAGGGATGAGAGAACTGACGATTTCGCTCAATGTCCAGCTGACGCAACTGCCGCGCCGAAGTGTTGCTGCTGCCTTCCAGAGTCATTCTGTGCGCGCTCGAATACTGCGTATGTCATGTCACTTGACCAACACCGAGATAGTCACCGCTGTACAGCCAGGTACGAGGATAGCGACTTTAACAATAAGAAGTGGCTGTACTGTCGAAGCTGTGGTGTTCAGCCTGGCGGATTTGGCCTGCTGCAGGTGCCCCGCATCTCGCTGTCAACAGCGCTTGCTCTCGTCAAGCCACGTCTTTCCCGTCAACATGATCTTTTGACTGCTTGTTCGCGACTTCTGCAGAGTGAGACGCCTGTTGTGTGACAGATGACAGCGCACAGCCGAGCGCCCGGAAAGACCAGGAAGTTGCAGAGATTCGGGCCGCAAGCGCCACGCTAATGTCATGCGCCGCACAGCCACGCCAGCTCATCAAGTTTCCAACCTCATTTTACACTTTTATCCTTATGTATCAGCGTGGCATTAGATGGGATCGGATGCTCTATCGAAGTTGACCACAGCCGGTGAGGCTGCCTTTAAGTCCTTTCAGCAAAGATGGTATGCACCTACCTAGGTACTAGCAACAAGTCACGTGCACCATACTAACTCTATACCATAGGCAAGGAAGGAAGAAAGGCGCACCTGATGCACAGTTAGCAGAAGCCGTTCGACAAAAGAACCTTTACCTCCGACAGATCACGGCGAAGATCACAGGCAACTCAGAGTCCGAGGTACCTCCGCTCATATGCTCACCCCAAGCGTATAGCCGTGCAGTCTTCCTAATCACTACACCAATCGCTTTCGGCAGGCTTGAACTTTCGAGGAAGACCTATGACCTTCTCGCAAAGCACGTCGGTATGAGCATGAACAGCATCTCCCATTGGGCCGTGGTAGTCGTTGATCGCGGGCTTGGGCTAACATATGCATACGACCTGATGAGCGATCAACTAAAAGTTCAGATGTTGATGAACAATTACTTCCGTGTATACGAAGCTACCGAGGAGTTTGTTGCTACATGGAGCTCGTGCTATTACGTGGGCGAGACGACAAAGAGACATGAGGAAATCCAGGCCCTTGGTAAGCCTTCGAGCACAGTAAGCACAAGTAACATACACTAATCTATAGTAGGTGAACACTTCATCGCCGCAAATAAGCGGTACAACCTGCTCTCGAACAACTGTCAACACCTCACGGAGAATCTCGTCAGAGAGCTTTGCAACGGGAAGATGATCAGCCAAGCCAAGTTGGAAGAAGAGATTCGCTTGATTTCGCCGAAGATTGCGCGTGACTTGATGGTGGCTAGGCTAAGGTCGAAGCTTGAGAAGGAGGATCAGAAAGAGGACAGCGAATCAGTGCAAAACGACGTCTTCACCATCAAGGAACTGTGGGGCAGAATCAAACATTAGGAAGCAAGGATTGTGGCGGCGTGGGCCGCTTGATGAATACGATGGAATACTGCACTGAGTTGCTATCTAGCTAGTAGAAGACGATGTATACTTGTCCTGAAACATGCTAGTCCAGAATAGTCTGAGTAGGAATAATCAGGCCTCGTACGGGCCGATTGATACCGCGACAAGAATGATACCCTACCTAGAACCTTGAACTTGTAACGTACTAAATTTCTTCGTCTAGATCCTTGTTTATAATCTATCATTACTTCGTGTTCGACTGAACCGGCCAAATATTCTGCAGAGAACCTTGCATGTCTGTTGGATTGCCTCATGCCTGCTATATCATGCTCTCACCACGACCACAGTGCAGGCGATGCATATCTCTCTCCAACTGCAGGAAATCGAGTTGAGTGCCTCCAAGCTTGCACGACAAAATTTGAAAGTACGATAGCACTCGGTCGCTTTCCTGGCCCACAAGGGTGTTCGAGTCGAAATCGCTTTCGACTTTTGGCCTACAGGAACATAAATCGAAGAAGCTCCTTTACGAGCATCAAGCTCCCAACTCGCACCGAGTGTTAATGGCAGCCTGATAGTCCGTTGCGCCAAGGTCGAGCTTCAGATAAATACCATTGTTTCACGAAGTGATACATGGACCCGCCGGCGCCACTGTACGACTGTCGAGGTCTCGCCTATGATGAGAGATGTGACTTCCTTTCACTGGGCTCCCTGCCCCATAATAAGTCTTCACCATAATAACAAGAGAGGCTTCTCCGGTTTGGATCGGCATTCATTACTTCGACAGTTCACACCAAAGCTACACACATTGTTTTGTCCTTGTGTCTTTGTTAGCGGATCCTTACCAGACAAACTATTTGCTTATGAACCGCAACCATCATCCTAGTGGTGCGCATCCACCTCCTCGCTGAGATTGTCACCACCAATCCAGTGGACAGTAGCAACGCACGCCCTATCAACGACCGATCTTGAACACAAGGACACAGATTAGGGGGAGATCGAGGATACCACCGTGCCTCTCACAACGCCAGAGGAAGAGGACAAGGTGGCAGCTCAACATACAGCGATCATTTACATAGAGAAGTTGTATCGCAGAACCAGGACGTCTGGGTTTTCCTTCTCCCCTATAGGCGCGCGATTGATCTTGTCATGGCATTCAAGCGCAGATCTCCAAATTCTAATGTGAGCCCTCAACGGGAACGACAGTCCGGTCGTTCTATGCAGCGACGCATACAATGTTACCGCATGTGGGCTAGCCTGGGTCGACAGGTTTTCAAGCTCTTTAGGGTGTGGGTCTGTAAGCCTGACTCTTGTTGTCAATCCTTTCTTCTACATTTATTTTACTTGCCTGCGTTGACAGAAAATATACTTGGAAAGACGGTCTGTGTTTTGGACTCTTACCAAAGTGGTTCACGATCTCGACCTGTTTGTTTGTCCGTCTTCCTCGACTGACCTGGAAAGCTGGGTAGCCATAGCTTATGTTTGGCTCTTTTGCGCACAGGCTCTCCATAAGAAGGTTCCTATTTCAACCTTGACTTCTGCTTCGCTCTTATGCTGTCTGCAAGTTCAAAACACCGAAAGATCCTTATAATGTCTGCTCGTCTTCCACTATCTCGATATCTAAGCTCGCAGTGGCTGAATCCCTTCGAATAAGAATGCTGTTCACCTAAGACGATGTTTCGGGTTCTGTACGTCGACAGATAATTCGAAAAGGCCATCGATACTTCTCATGTCCGTTCCGTTCCCACGAAACTTCGACCTTTAAGCGATTATTTTTCAGTGTCTACAAAGTGCTTATTCGTCTTAGTCAATATCGAAAACCTGGCTGCGATTGCCTGATGCCAGACCCTTCTGTCGTTATACATGAAAAAAACCAACATGTTCCACGTATGTCTGTCGTGGGAAGCATAGCTCACGATGACAAGAGCAGACCCATAGCACGAGGAAACCCCATCACCGAAGTTCAGACATACGGAGACTCGAAACATGTGTTGCTCGGACTGTAGGCCCAAACTTGCCGGAACATTTATGTAAGCTTTCGCTCAGCCTGGCAGATTTGGGTTTGCATGTCAAAGAATCGACTTTGAGTCTACATTGGTCTGTGCCAAAGGTCTGATATTGACCTGCATGAGTTGTTCCACCTACGCCCACCTCAAGACCATCGCTCTTGTGTGATCTGAAAGCTTCGGCGTACCCCAAGCATTGTGTATGCGTGAGCCATCGATGAATATGATGACATGTGGAGATGCTCCATTTCTTCGAACATTGGGTATCATCGTTTCATTAGGTATATAAGTAGTACTGTGTCAACCTTTTGATCTCTATCCGGCATATGCAGGCTCATACCCTCCATATGGATGCGTGTCGTACTTGCAATAAACCGACGTTGGCCATGCTGGCAGATCCGCAAATGACGTTTGTTCTGTAGTGAAACTTCTCACGCTCGCAAAATGTTCTCCAGCAGCTTCCGATGGAACTTTGGGATGTGCTCTTCGTTTGACTGGATGGTACGGAGGCGGAGCGATATATTTTGATCCGTTGCTGTAGTCCAAGTGATTTTCGACTGTACGAAGGCACATCTCGGGCTTGAAACCTGTAGCCTTTAGCCTTTTAGCTCCTGTAGACAAAAGCAGGAGACATCAAATGTCCCAGTTTAAGACAGCATTGTCGAAACAATATACAACCAAGTGACTCCTTGTGATACACGCCAGCAAGAGTAGCGAAGAAACTAAGGATGGCGAAAACTCCGAAGCAGATCTCGAATCGGAGGTCATCTAGACTATCTTTCATTTGGCACATTGTAATTCAAGCTGGATCAAAGTCAATATCAAGATAAACCTGTGTATGTTGCTCGAAATAATGTCCCGTAGAAAGGACAAGTGGGTATAGTTATACACATTGAGAGCCGCTCTAAACCGTCAAATGGTAGTTAAGTAAGCAACGACGTGAATGTGATTGAGCCTCCACACTCGGACTTGAGACTACCGCCGTAACTTCGTTACACGGAACCTTCGGACAACTGACTACACAGAAGGTTGCGTGTGCCCGTGTTACGTTCAGTGAGGAAGTATGGCAGTGCACTGCAGCCAGCACCACAGTTGTTGCCAACTCGAGCAAGCGAACGCTGCATGAAACAGGCTTATGGGAGCGAGCAGAGATAGGACTGCCAATCGCAAGCGACCGGTACAGTCGAAATGCTCCAAGGTCGTGAGGATCAGGGAATCGCGCTGACGTGGCCGGGGTTATACGTCTCTAAACCCCGGACGAACATGTGGCTGAGGCGGAGCAAGTTAAGTGCTTCACTCAGCCTCGCCATGCGGTGACTAAGTGCAACGATTGATCACTTCACTGCAAGGTAACGACGTTCGCATTTGTGATCGACAATGGAGCGTTCGATGACCGGGTAGAAGAGTGTCGCTGCTCGGTGGGTCACACTGAGTGTATCAGCGACATGCCATAAATCATACTGGCGCAAGAATGGGTAGGACCCGTGGACCTTCTATATGTTAGCGCAAGTAGATGGTAGGTTCGAATCATCTCAATGTCGGATGATTACACTCGATCTGACTTCCGCAAGAAGAAGAAACCAACACAAGGAATATCTGTGGATTACCGAGCCGAGCGAGCGAGGCTCTTGAGTTACAGCTGCTGACCAAAATCATCAGGGCAGTGCGTTGCCTCCAAGATGCCTTCGAGCAACACATCCGCGGCAGACAGACGTACTTCGAATACTTATCTATTATGAGCCTAATGCGTGGCCCATCTGATCAATGTAGTGGATAAAGTGTATATGGTAAGGCTGCGGGCAGGAGAAGTATCTGAAAAACGCCTCTTACCTCAAGCGCCTGGGCAGGGGGCACTTCGAGCAGCAACCTCCCTGAAGAGTGTACAAACGGCTTCAACCATGACGACCAGAACGGGGTATCGGTCTTGGAATCCAGCTCATAGTACTGTACCCGTGAGCCCATGCAGTCATATCGTGGACAGCGTCTGGGGCCATGGATGCAACGGCAGGTTCCTAGCGCACCTGACAACGTGCTATCCATGGATGACCACCGAAGAGTCGAGGTTCGCAGGAGTCTTCTACTTGCCAGCAACGGCCTGTCCGGAGGGTTGGTTAACGCACTCGACACGCTCAACTTCATCTCGTACAACCGAAGAATGGATTCCTGGCGAGACGGCGATAACGTGTTGCCCACAACAATACATCGGCCAAGCTGATCGGCGCATACTGGAAACCGGCGACGTCTATACAAATACGTTGTGCCAGAATGGGCGCACCTCAGAGCAGGTAGTGACGTTCACTACGGGCGGATTGATTCGTCCAGCTGCCGATTACCTGCGACTGAGGTACCAGCGATCTGATTTGTTAGCGACAGCTACGGGAGGTGTATCCAGCGGGACACTTCAGGTGCAGATCAAGGTTCCTCCGGCCTCTCGACAGGTGTCAAAGCGGCCATTGGAGCTGTCATACCCTCGGTGTTCATCATCTCACTACGTACCGGCTTTTGCTTCTGGAAACGCAGAAAGCCTCGCAGTGGCAAAGCAGAACCACAAGAGATGGTTGCAGTGGAAGGTCTTGGCGTTCATATTAAAGCAGGACTTGATGCAAATGGGACAGTGACTGCTCGAACAGGTCATGCATCGGCAGTGGACGGTGGGCGAGTGATTCCAAAACATAAGCTCCATGGAGAGTCAACTATCATCGCGATACCAACGGGGCTCGAAGATCGTTGCGAGCGGGCTGAGATGAGACCTGTGACTGTTCCACATACACGAGATCTCTGAACAAGCATATCAAGTAGTCAAATCGAGAACCGACTGGCACCGCCTCGGTCGATAATCGCCAGTCGCCAGTCTTTGCATGTGCTGCTGTTACGTGGGGTATGACGACGTTCGCAGTGCTGCAACCACTTTCATTAGACTTCTGGAACAGAGACCCAATGCCGCGGAAACGGTGCCGGGCTGCATCGATCTAGACGCTTGGAGTTGACTGTCAACATCCACGTTCCTAGCTGGTGATCCGGCAATCACGTTCGTTTCGTTTCGTGATGACTACGAGATTGCCATGTATTGTGGGGGAAGTTGATCCTTCGACGTTTGGGATCCATCTTGGCGTGTCAAGGTTATGAAGACATGTCGGCTTTCTCGTTATTGAACCAACAGCATGAACGTTGGAGATGGCGCAAGGTGGACCTGTTGAGCCTGTTTCGTTTCGAACAAAAGACTGTTTCGTAAGGCGGGACGACCCGTTTGCTGCAGTCTGACAGCCGAGGAAATCTCTGTAAGAGGTGTAATGAGAGGGAACGTCTTGGTACGGGTCCCTGATACGCAGCCTGGCAATTGACGGTGAACATCGATGGGCTCCTGGAAGGCCAATGCATGAATCAGAATCCAGCACACGGTTTCAGGTGTCATGCAACCCCGGACAGGGCGCATGTTTCGAGCGACAGGTACTTGCGCGCTGATTGGTCGAGGCGCGAATGTGTAGGTCTGAGGTTGTGTAGGGTGTGCTAGAGCGTATTGAGCACGCACACTATGGTAGTCGAACTTTGCATCGCTCAACAATCAACAGAGATCAAATTTGTCGCAGGTGCATGTTTGCACAAAGCTGTTGTTGCAGACTTGCCGACTTGAAGTTGAGCACAGTCACCGAGCCTAGATCTTGGACGGACTGCCGGAGTAATTGCATCGAAATGAAGAATACGAACAGATGAGCTGAGATGGATCGGACAGCGAGACCAGGAAAAGCAGCGAGGCTGTGGCTTCATCTCGTCGGATGTTTTCTTCTTTCTGGGCCGATGTTCGTCGTTTGTCGTACCGATACTTCTGTCATTGTTGCGCAACCATTTGTTGCAAGACGACAGGGACAAGTGTCAGGCCTCATCAAACCAGAGGCTCTGCGGATGACATTCAACGTCGTGCCCGCTCGAAAGACATATCGTCAATTGGTCACCCGGTTCAAGGTCGATCGTGAGAGTCTCGACAGTGTCTCATGAGGCTTACTCTGCCAACTGTACCGTTGAAGAGAAAGTGGCTGTGTATTCATGCGATCTGCTCTGACGTCTGCCAAGTATCGGAAGTGCTTCGGCGCGGGGACGCCCCGGCTGAGGCGTGCAAGAGCGCAGCTGAAGAGAGCTTGTGGCTTCGTTTGTGGCGGCCGTTTGAAGCGTGACATGAGCCAACTTCAACAAAGGATCACCGTCTAGCAACGGCCATGCAACGAAGATATTTCTGGTGCTGCTCGAGGCCTCGAACATACACCCTAGTTCGTTGCCAGCGCGACGATGATGTCAATCGCGATGCCGAGTGCACAGCTGATCGGTGCAGTTGTGCAAATCGTGCCGGCGAGCAGGGACGGCTGATTGAGAGTGGTGGAGGTGACTGTCGCACCGGATTAAATTAGGAAGGTTCATCCAAAGCTTGGCCACGGCGAGCACTCGCTAGCGGTGGCGCGCCCCCTCGAAGCACCCACACTGCGCTCTTATCACCCCAATGGAGCGCGGACCGCACACGAAGAACACGAGAAACGTGCCGGTCGTGTTGCTACTCTCCAACATCGCACAGGAGCTGGCGGCGAGGGATGCACCCAGAGAGCGGCGCTGGCAGTGCTGGCGCTCCTTCGAGCACAGTTCCAGCACCTCGAAGCACGGCATTGTGCTCGCCATCATCCCACGCTCCCACTAGGTACCCGCTTGCTTCCGTATCTGCTCAAGAAGGGGGGATCATCGCAGGGTAGGCTTCTATTGTCGGCCAAGCGCCATGAAACGCAATTTGGGACCGCCGCAGGCGAGTCACCGAGGCAGCAAGTGATGGTAGCGGTGGGCGGCATGAGTCGCAGGGACTGCAGCCAAACTACGGCCTCCTATCGTGGCCGCCTTCTCGCGCTGGCGGTTTGAGTGACCAGCGGCGTCAAGATGGGCGATTGATCAGCCTTACCACCCACGGCCAGCATCGTGCTGCGCTGCATCTGCGCGGGCGCCTCCAAGATGGCGACGTTGCTGCCGGACTCTCCTGACTGGCTGCCGCATGCAACACCCTAGCCGCACCCTGGTCGCGGTGCCTGGCTAGCAACACCAGGACCCACGCGCATAGAGGCAACCTTGCCGCTCACTGGTGTCCGCGACCGTCCCTGGCCGAAATTAACAGCCGCCAGGGGTATACCATCTGTGCGCCCAGTGGTTTCCTTAGCCTCCTGTAGAGACCGCCCGCTCATTCATATATCGGCTCTCTGCCGCCTCGTTGAAGCTCTCATCACGACAAGGCTCACTTTCCTTTCCACACATTCGCTTTTCCGTCAGTCTTCGGACGCGCCATTCTTTGAACAAGTCCAGTCACTCTTTCCTGGACCTTCAGACTCCCACGCGGAATTACTTGGACATCAACATCTACACATTTTTAAGAGCAAGGAACCTTTTTGATCAGCCAAAATGATGAAGCTTACTGTTGCTTTCCTCGCCGCCCTTGCGGCTGCTGATGCCGCTGAGGCTCGCTCCACCCGCCAGCAGCGTCGCGAGTACGGCACTGGCAACAGCTACGGCTACGGCACTGGCAACAGCTACGACACCAGCTACGGCTCTGAATACGGTACACCTGAGGTCTCCTCGGCCCCTGCTGTCTCTTCCGTTCCCGTTGTCTCTTCTGTCCCCGCTCCCAGCAGCACTCCTCTCGCAGAGACCACCGCTTACCCCATTGGCGGCGGCGCTTCTTCCACAGCTGTTGTTGCCAGCTCCTCCACTCCCCTCGCCGCAGAGAGCTCCTCGTACGCCCCTGAGGTTCCCGCCTCCTCTGCTCCCGCTGCCTCCTCCAGCGTGATCGACTACGGCAACGGCTACCCCGTTCCCTCTGCCCCTGCCGGTGGTGTCTCCAGCTCCGTTGTGGTCCCCGCCAGCTCATCAACCCCCGCCGCCGCCGAGAGCTCTTCATACGCCGGCGAGGTCCCCTCCAGCTCCGTTGAGGTTCCCGCCAGCAGCACTCCTGCTGCTGAGACTACCGGCTACCCTGTCGGTGGTGGTGTTTCCTCCACCCCTGCCGCGAGCTCTTCCACTCCTCTCGCCGCTGAGTCCTCTTCTTACCCTGCCTCCTCCGCTCCCGCTGCTTCCTCGAGCGTGATCGACTACGGCAACGGCTACCCTCCTGCCGGTGGTGCTAGCTCTTCCACTCCCGCTGGCGCTGAGAGCACCCCTGCCACTGGTGTCTACCCTCCCAGCTCGATCTACGCTCCTACTGGCGTTGTCGGCTCCTCCAGCTACCCCGTTGGCACTGGTGCCTCGACTCCTCTCGCATCTGAGGCTTCCAAGACCTTCTACCCCAGCGGCTACCCCACTGGCACCGGTGCTCGTCCTACTGGCGTCACTGCCTACCCTACCGGCACTGGCTCCGGTTCTTACCCCGAGACCACTCCTATGAGCGACTACGTCACCTCGGTCATCTACAGCACCCAGATCTTCACCGTCACTGCGTGCCCCTCGACCGTCTCCGACTGCCCGGCTCGTTCGACCTCGCTCGTCACCAGCGTCGTTGCCGTCGGCACCACCGTCTGCCCCGAGTCTGACCTGACGAAGGCCACACCCGCTCCTTCAGCTCCCGCCTCCAAGGACAACGTTGTTACCAGCTCCTACCCCGTCTCTGAGGTTCCCCACGAGGTCACCGAGACCCTTATCTACACCGTTGGTGTTGGCTCGACTGCTCACCCAGTTACCACTGAGGTCACCTCCACCTCCACCCAGACCATCTACTCGACCGTCGTTGTCACCAAGGAGAAGGCCTCCGAGACTCAGCCCGCTGGCTCCTACCCCACTGGCCCCGCTGGCGGTGAGGGTACCTACCCTACTTCCTCCACCCCCGCTGGTGAGGAGTCCTACCCCACCGGCCCTGCCGGCGGCGAGCAGCAGACTGGCACCACCACCCTGAAGTCCACCCAGACCCAGACCCGCTACGTTACCGTCAAGCCCACTCCTTCCGGCTCTTCTGACGTCCCCGTTGGTGAGGAGGGCTACTCTACCGGCCCTGCTGGTGGTGAGAGCTCGTACCCCACTGGCCCTGCCGGTGGCAACAGTGCTTCCACTCCCGCTGGTGAGCAGAGCACCCCCACCGCCCCTGCTGGTGGTGAGGGCGAGGACTGCGCCGCTCCCGTCACCGTCACCGTCACCGCTAAGGAGACCGTCACCGTCACCGCTGGCCAGGAGTCTGCTACCGCTACCCCCGACTCTGAGAAGCCCACTACTCCCGCTGGCGGCAACGGCGAGTACCCTGCCTCCACTCCCGCTGGTGAGCAATCCTACCCTACCGGCCCTGCTGGCGGTGTCTCCTCCGGTGCTCCCTACCCCACTGGCAACGGCACTGTTCCCTACCCTGCCGGCCCCACTGGCTTCTCTACTCTGACCAAGCCTGCCTACCCCACCGGCACCGGCGCCGTCCCCAGCGAGACTCTCCCCAGCTTCTCTTTCGTCTCTGAGGTTCCCTCCGCCTCTGCTCCTGCTTCGTCTGCCTACCCCACCTCGTCGACTCCTTCCGTCGAGACTGAGGTCCCCAGCTCCTCCACCCCTGCCGGTGAGGAGGCTACATCCAGCGCTGTCGAGTACCCTGCCTACCCCACTGGCCCTGCTGGTGGCGAGACTGCTTACCCTTCCTCCACTCCCGCTGCCGTCGAGACCCCCTCGTCTGCTCCCGCTGAGTACCCTGCCTCTACCCCCGAGGCTGCTACCTCCACCCCCGCCGCTACACCTACCGCTGGCTCCGGCTACGGTTCCGGTTACGGCTCCGGCTACGGCACCTACTAAGCGCTCCCAGCGTCTAGTATAAGTTGATGCGATATTCATTCTGTACAAACTCTCATGGGTCGCTTGACCCCTTTCATAAATGTCTTGTCTGCGTTCCGCCGTCTTGATGTCTCCTCGGGCAGGGGCTCAAAGTGTTTGGGAGGATGTTTTGTCGTTTGTAGGTATTCTCACGGGAGCTTCAGACAGTCGACAATACAAAACTGCCTTGCTTTACACATTGTCTTTTTGCGCATGGTAGGCTGACGAGCAGTGGGTGCGAAGATGGATTCACGATTGTTTCTGATCTAGATCTTAAGTCGATTTTCTTATTTCCTATGTCGTTTGTTCTGCGAGCCAAAATTTGCATGGCATTACGCGGAGTCTTTCTTGTAGCATATTTGAATTCACCTTTACACTTCACAACGACTCCCATCAACCGTGACATGCAAACATGAACTACCGATCTACAAAACCCATCAAATTTCGGGACCCTTCCAACCCATCCGCCATCCCAGTCTATAGTATGGAGCACGCCCTCCATCAGGCAAAGCGCTCTGAGCCGTGTTTCAGACCTGCCGTATTACCAAACAAGCCTACTGTCGCACGTTCACACTTCAACAAAATTACCAGCTGCTCCGCCACTGCCCCTAACAAGCATGCTGTCAATCACTGTTACAATTTTGCCACGCGTGATTCTGATCTTCAATCAGCGCATGGTTGTTGCCATGCAATTTCTCGCGTACCTGGAGCATATCACCCATGAATAGTCGGCCTGTTCACCCCGACTCCGCATGCGCTGACTCCACATAGTGGGGGGCATTTGCTTATCGCTATCAGAGCTCATTGTTTGAGCAGGTCTGTAAGGAACGCACTGGTTTTGGGTGAAGTCGGAATTGAGATTACGAGGCTGCCAACGGTGTCCGTGAGGCACTACGCCATGCGCGACTAGAGGCAAGGCGGAACGAGCTCGTGTGGATAAGGGACTATCGTATTCGATAGCGCGATCGGAGGGCTTTCCGGACTTATTCGTGGATGCTCGTTTAGGGGGGTTTGATGAGTCAATGTTGGTTGGATCAACGATGTGCTCATGATCTCTTGAGATGCTGTGAGCGGCAAAAGATAGAGAATAGCAGTACCTATTGATGAAACGATAGCTTTGGTTGTGCTTGCATGGAGGTGGAAGTTGTGTCAATGGTGCAGGTTGATGGACCCCTTTCTGGTGTGTGACGATCAGCGATATTTGACCTGCATTGCACGATGCTGTTGGACGTGAATGTGTGCATGCTGCAGGTACGCAGCTGAGATGGATGCAGGGACGTCAGCATCGTGCGACGGTTGGCTTGCGGCTGAAAGTCGTGTGCAACGGTTGTGTTCTCGTGCTTTGGCCAACCACATGGCGCAGGCCGTTGTGCCGCTGGAGGCCTGTGAGACGATGTGTGCGACGAGTGGCTTGAGGTTTTGTGTAGTTCTCGAACCATCGAATTTGACGGCGGTTGTCAGGACATCATGCCTCTGGGTGGCGAAGAGCTTTCCAGGACTCGGGCTTGGGAATGGTCGTTGCACGTGGTTTCGCGCGCTACCGTCTGTGCGCTCGTACCGTCAGCGAGGGGTCAGTGCACGCTTTGGCTCCGTGCACAATTGCTGGTAATCATCAATATTTCCTCAGTATCACAACACAGCAACAACTTCTGGCCTTTATTACCCAACTGAGGATCTACATCACTCTGAGGCCTGAAGAGTTTACCACTGAACCTCAGAAGCTTCCTTTTGCCTCTTCTTATCTCACGGCAAGGCTTTTGATTGGATTCAACCTCAACTCTCCAAGTACCAAGAACTCCTTGCTGAAGGTCAACCTGTTCTTACTGGACCTTTTACTTCCTACTCAGCCTTCATCTCTGAACTCAAGTCTACCTTTGGAGAGATTGATGAAGTAACCAATGCTGAGAGGGCCATCAGCAAGATCAGGCAAACTGTTACAATCCTATGTCCCACGATAGGACGTGTAAGGAGGTGCCTTGCACTATGCCTATATGTTAGATGCAGAGCCCAATATCAGCAGAACTGCTGATATTGATGTACTTTTTGGCCATTTGGCGCAACGGGGCTCTGCATTGTTACAGGATGGCAGAAGCAATAAGTAACCACCAACCAAACATGGGGACCTGGGGGAAGGCGCAGCACAACAAGGCCACCCGGCTGGCGCCTAGTGGGTTCAAGCAGACTCACATGACAAGCTCATCAACGAGCAAGGTCATGTGAGCACTTGTCAACAAGCATGACACGGTGCTTGTCAACAAGCATGACTGTGAGGTCACTGTAGGCAGGCAATCGGACACAGGATGGATTGGGGCCAAATGGGGCCAAATGGGATGAGGTTAGACGAATCCTTGATGGCTGAGCCTCAAGGTTTGTGAGGAATATATACAGGTGGCCCGTGAGCCTCCGGTCCAGCCCCGGAGTACATCCGAGGGCTGGCCGATACATGTAAGGGGAAATACCCGTGACAATGACACAGCGCTTGACTGAATTGAGGCACGCTAATAAGCTATACAAGGAGAAGGTTGTGCAGGAGAAGCGTGAGCAGAAGTTGAGGGAGAAGGAAGAGACGAGCCTAATGCTGTGAAGGCTGCGGAGCCGCCAAATGCAAGGCTCAAAGAGACCGTGATAAGCAAGGCCGCGACGCTGAAAAAGCTGTACAATTGTCCCAAAGAGGCAAGCGCGTGGCTTTTCCACAACCACCAAAGCCATCACCTCTTCGCGATCTGTCATCATGTCCACAGCGCATGAATGAACATGCGCCACCGACTTGAAACTGGGTGGCTTCGTGCTTGTTCCGCATTATTGAGTGTAGAGTCTCAAAAGTATCCGGTGCTTTCCGCAGCCACCTCCACACTCTACCCCGCAAAATGGCAGCGAGAAGCGGTACAGCTCGACCCGACCTGGAGGGCATAAGTTTCCGCGGCTTTCCACACGTCTTTGTCGCCATGCTAGGTGATACGGCGATTTGCAATGGATCACGATCGAAACAACCCTGGATTAATTGGAAGAAATAAGTCCAGCGAGAAGGCAAAACCTCAGTACCATCGAGCGTACAAAGGTGGGAACTTACATCAGGCTGTCGACTTTCTGTAGCTGACTCAACACTCAGCATGCATTTCGTGCCGCAACAAGAAGGCAAAATGTCAGATTACCGCTGAGGAGTATGCTGCCGGACTTCCCTGCGCCAAGTGTCGCCGCGAGATGCGTCCTTGCACTTACACCGTAACACGGCATGGCCCGAGACGACAGAGACAGAACGTTGGTCATAGCCAAGACGGTGACGAGGAAGGCATGAGCCTAGGGACTCATGCGGACATTGCGTCAGATGCGAATGCGTCTCCTACAACAGCAGCTCTGCCAAATGCTTCTCAAGGGGCTGTCCAAGGCCAAGTCAGTGCCGACTTGAACGATACCATGATGGCCACCGTCGTCTCGAACGGCAATGATGCCCTTAATCTTCTCTTCGAGGCTGCACAGCGAGAGGAGACAGATGTGAACGGTCTACGCGTGCCACTCGCTAATGATCAGGCCGCCGTCCACGCAAGCGCTTCACCACTATCGTTCATTGCAAACATGAATTCGACTTCATTGCCAGAGCTTTCTAGTGAGCTCACAGAAATCTGGAACGCATACCGCTTTGTGCGAATGGGGTGGCTTTCAGCAGGAGAGATTGTGTGGCTTCTGGAGATGTATGATTATCTGTGCGGTATTGTCGCGCACAGCCACACTGCTGACTCAATCTTCAGGTTCTTCAAGAACATTGCGCCTCTTTGCCCCATCTTGGACCAATGTAAGTGCCTCTGCACCATAGAACCCCTCTGTCTTTGTGAGGAAGTGCTAACTCGCATCAAGTTTATGCTGATCGATCGAATCACTATTTACTAGTCACGCACGAGCCGATGCTTACCTGTATGATACTGATCATATCCTCTCGCTATCATACGCTACCTATAATTGGTGGCCATTCGCGCGGCTATCTGATCCACCAGCGCCTTTGGGATCACTTCCAGCATCTGCTTATGCGGCTTGTGCTAGGGTTGGAGAAGTATTCGAAAGCAAAGACGCGAACACTCGGTAGCATCGAAGCATTGCTACTCTTGACTGAGTGGCATCCAAGAGCTCTTTACGCCCCTCCTTCCAGTGACGGTTGGGACTCTGATATACTGTTCACAGTAAAGGATCGACGAGATCAGAGTGGAAATATAGTCGACAACCCTTCCAGGACGAGGTGGCGAGAGGACGTGATCGAGCCGGCCAATCGATCAGATCGTATGTGCTGGATGGTGCTGAGCTGCGCATTGTCTCTTGGCAACGAACTTGGGATATTTGACGAACAAGATAAGCATGACAATGCAAGTGCAAACCTTCCTCAACACGAGTGGCGAATCGTACAGCAAAAAACTCGGTTGTCTAGAATCCTGTATGTCTACCAGGAGCAGCTGTCTTCAAGGCTTGGCCGGCGGTCAATGATGACACCGAGCAACAGCCACTCAGCAGCCTACTCGGATATATCTCACGAAGCGAGCGATAAGCAAAGAAACGCGTGGGTTCCTTTCGTCACGGCGTGGACACGCTTGACTAAGATTGTTCGATCCATATCAGACCTTCTGTTTCCGAACCCTGCAACAACAAGTCAGATCATTCGTAGCGGTCGCTACATTAGCATGACAGAGCATATTCAGACATTGCTCTCCGCGTGGTCAAATGATTACAAAGATATACTTTGTGAGTTTGCGTCTTCGTATCAACCCAAATCCTGGCTAATTCGCATGATTCATAGCATCTGGCTCACATCTCGCGGACCTTCTTGTTCTAGAATACGAGAGCACACGCATGCATACATACTCCTTAGGACTCCAAGCCATTCTGTTCCGGACTCTCGCTGAGTCCAGCGGCTTCATCTCAAGCTCTGCATCGTTTCAGCTGACACCTACAGATTTTGCCCATGTCCAAAAAGTGATCGACAGCACACTGACTACGCTGAGGACTACGATAAATCTGTATAATGAAGATGTTCTGCGCTTCTGTTCGATCAGAACCTTCCTCCACATTACGACAGCCTCTATCTTCCTCTTAAAAGGTCTCAGTCTGGGAGTCAGTCCTGCGAGGCTGCGCAGCGCTCTGGACATTTTGAAACAAGTCATCGTTGCGCTCAAAAACAGCAATCCAGACGACCTACATCTTGGAGGTCGATACTCGATATTGCTTGAGATGCACATGACAAGACTACAAGAGCACTTCGTACCGTCCACTCGGCCACACAACATTACGCCTCCAGATGTTGATCCCACACAGCCTGCTGACTTTGCAGGTGGTTTGGAAGGAGGCCAGTTTGACATCGTGGACTTCCAGAACATGCCAGGGACGGATATCTTGAACAGTAACTGGCTCAGTTTGCCACCTGATGCGAGCCTGATGTCTTTTGGGATGGACAATTTCCAAGGAATGCAGTGTTTGGGCGATGATACTTTGGACTTTATTTGGAACTTAGGAGTGTGAGTTTTCTTGTCGAACGAACGATATTCTACATCTTTGATGTGGCTCTGAAATGCGACTACACGAAAGTGGTCTCCCAGGCTTTTCAAAGGAACAACGGTTCCCACATTTGCACAATTTGTTCGTAACATTAGTCAATCTCAAAGCACATCTGAGCAACCGTTAGAGACCTGTCTCGTTGACACTAACATCATGAAATGGACCGCACTCAGCAGCCTTCGAAGGCCAACAAGCTTAAGTCAGATAACGGAATCTGACGTTCTTGTCTCCACCGTCTGTCACGTCCACGTGCGCGTCCGCCTCGACCTCTCCGTACAGCCGATTCCGTTTGCAATTCTCGTGCTCCAATTTGAAGTGCAATCCAAGGGCCAAGATCACGATTAGTCCGCTGAAGGCGCAACCGACAGCACAGCCTTTCACGTAGAACGGTCTGAGAAAAGTGTCAGTATATGAGCAGAAGTGCGATGTCGCCACAACTTACCCTCCGCGGGAAGGAAACAAGGTGCTACTGACAAACGACGAGCACTGCCCGAATGTTGCCAAGATACCTAGGCCAGCACCTCTTTTCGAGTCACCACCCTGGTTGTTGAGCAGCCAGGTGATGTTTATCGCCAAAGCCGGGAAGATGCCGCAGGTCGCGAAGTAAATGGCTGCATAGCGCGGACCAATCTTCAATTCATCTTGGATGGCAGCCAACATCAAGTACCCAACGGTACCCATGGTGGCGAACCCAGCAACGAACCAGCCTCGCTTGCCGTACTTGTCAGACCCCCACGCGGCGAACATGCAGCACAAGAATGCTAGGAAGTATGCAGGGGCCGTAAGGCCTTGTGCATTGACAGAGCTGTATCCCATGTCGCGAACTATTGTCGGCAAGAAATTCGAAAGCGCGGCAAAGGAGTAGTTGCAGCAGAAGTGTATCGTGGCGTGGACCCAGTTCTGGTAGTCCGTGAGGCCAGCGAATACCTGTGTCCAGCTAACTTTCGACTTCGCAGTCCGATCGACGGTCGCGAGTCGCTGGCGAGCCTGCAGCTTTTCTTCGTCTGTCAAGAATTGGGCGGTATCAGGAGAGTCGGGAAGACGATAGTAGACAAGAACTGCACACAAGACAGTGGGCGCACCCTCTGAGGGCAAGAGAGTCAGTTCAAAGTGAGGGTGGGGTCAAGAATTAGTGACGTACCAATGAGGAAGAGCAGTCGCCAAGGGGCGATCGATGCCTTGATGTGGAGGATACCATATGCCAGCGACGAGGCGAAGCAGTTTGCCAATGGTGACATGCCCGTCAGCATGGCCACACGCTTGCCCAGCTCCCGGCGCTGGTAGAAAAGCGACAGGAAGTAGGGCGCACCAGCTCCGAAAGCAGCCTCAAAGAACCCCAGGAACGCGCGAGCAGTCATCAGGCCAGCCTTGTTGTGAGCCATACCAGTCAACATCGCCGCTGCACCCCAGCTGGCATGAGATTAGTGCAATGTTTTGTGGATAAGTAGTGTAGCTCTACTCACAGAAAGCACAGAACAGCGACGTAGACATGTGCCGGAAGAATTTTCCAGAAGAGCTGTGTCCATTCGAACAGGACGTAAACGATGTAGAACACCTGAAGTACCCAGACCCAGTCGTTGTCGCTGAGGTGCAGATCTCTAAGGATACCGGCAGTCTTTGCATTGCCGATGTTGCCTCGATCAAGATATGAGAGCACGTAGAGCAGACACACAATGGACAACATCTTCTTATCGAACTGCAGAGATCAGTGAGCAGAGACTATAAACGGCGGTCAGTTTGGATCTAGTACCTTACGACGAATGCGAGCCTGAACATCTTCAGCAACTGGTACCGTCTGAGTCTCCTCCTTTGACTCTGTCGACTCCATGTACTCGGTAGTTCGCGTTTCAGGCTTTCCTTGTTCGATATCGACCATTGTCAGGTAAGGTCAACGCAATACAATACAAAGAGTCAGGTCAACTAATTGAGTAATGGAACCTGGTATGCCTGCAAATGATACGAACATCAGGCGACTTTTAACCTCCGCTGTCGCATTGCGGAATGCAGGCTATAGGAACGATAAGCGAGGTTCCCCAGATTTTACCCCGGACTGTATGCGGAAAGTTTAAAGTATCCGGTGCTTTCCTACCCACTGGGAAATCTAAGGGTTCTCCGCACCAATTATCCTCAGGTTTCCGGTCGACGCAATAACAATTTCGAACGCATTGCCGTACACATGTACATATAAATCGTTTCCAACATGCTCTATTCTCTTATAACATAAATATAAGTTTGAACAGCAATTGCATCCAACCTAACCTTACATACTTCACAAGATGTCAAAGTCCATCGTTGGCACCGTTCCCTACCCTGTGAGCATCTCTGGAACACGAAGTTAATGGCGCGATATCAATGCTGACCTTCACGATAGTTCCAATTCGATCAACGATCTATCGTCAAGTCTGGAAAGCCAGGACAAACCACTAATGAGAACATCACGCTCCCCAACGTCCGCGGACGCATTCCCTCCCTCCAAGCATCCCGACTTCGCACAATGATGCTCGAAGCCTACCGCGACCCATCTAAGATTCTCGCACATGCTTGTAGCTACGATGGACTTTCTTCTCGCCTTGTCGAAGAGGCCGGTTTTCCTATGATCTTCCTTGCCGGATACCCCTGCGCTAGCTCATACGGATTACCTGACACAGGCTACATCGCCATGGCAGAGATGTGCGACAAGATCCAAGAGGCTGTACGACAGGTATCAGTACCAGTCATGGCCGATGCAGACACCGGTTACGGCAGTCCAATGAACGTCAAGAGGACGGTGCAGTGTTTCGCAGAGGCTGGTGCGGCGGGCATTATGGTGGAAGACCAGACATGGCCGAAAAGTATATTGTCAACATGTGGTGTAGAGGACATTTAGCTGATCTGATCTGTAGGGTGTGGCCACACGAAAGGCAAAGCAGTCGTTTCGAGAGGAGAAGCATTCGCTCGTGCGCAGGCTGCTTGCGATGCTCGAAACGAAGGCAAAGACATCTTTGTTCTTGCGCGTACCGACTCACTCATTCTCGGTTGGGACGAAGCTATGACACGTGCTAAGGAGTTCAAGCGTATCGGTGTCGATGCTGTATTCGTCGAAGCGTTGCCCGACCGTGAAGCTATGAGCAAGTGTGTCAAGGAGCTAGATATGCCTGTGTTTGCCAACAGTAAGTCGTTATGTTTTAGCGGACACTGATCGATGCTTACCATTGCTAGTCATTGAGGGTGGTTTAACCCAGAACCTCTCTGCAAAGAGTCTCGCTGAGCTCGGCTTCTGTGCTGTAGCGTATCCTTGGACACTGGTTGCGGCGAAACTGAAGAGCATCCGTGAGACACTAGAAGCACTGAAGAAGAGCATGACGGAGGGTGCGCCACCGATGATACTTTCTTACTCCGAGGTTTGTGAAGGTGTGGGGTTCAACAGATACTGGGTAAGTCGTACACCGTGCTGCGCTCGACAAAGCTAACGCTAGGCAGGACGAGGAAGAAAGATACAAGTACAATGAAAGAGGACTTGTGAATGGTGCAGTAACGACGAGTGGCACCAATGGAACGAATGGGCATTGATGAGTTGCCATCGCCTGGTACCTAGTACGCTTGGCAAACTACCTCGAAACCAGAAGCTGCGACGTCGATCTTGAACCGCAACAGGTTGAAGGTGCAGAAGCTAAGTCTAAAATCATAATAAGGAAAAGTCTGCCCAACAAGCTTCTCACTCAGAGCCCACATTCATTCCGTGGCGTTTTTATCGGTGGCCCAGTCAGCAGCCTGTCCAAACTGACAATGCGACAAGTACGGGTTGTGCTTGTACTCTATTTCCCCAAGTGTCAGAAGCAAAGCAAGCTATTTTGATTCAACGTTACTCACCGTTTAGTGCAGGAGCTAGAGCAGCGACTAAAGTCGTCGATGCACCTTGATCAAAAGTCTTCATGTTCGCACCATGGATTATTGCCATAGCCTCTTTGACGACAGCCTCACCACCACAATTGCGGTTGCCGTCGGTTAGGGTATCTAGTAGATGTCAGCCAAGTCCCAGGGCGTTTTCGACCTCTTCATAGTGTGGGTATCTTCGACGAAACTGCATACAACATACCTCCAGGATCCAAACTATAGGCTACCGCCTTCTCTGTCCATCTCTTGTTGATCTCCACGCTCGTCAGAATGTTGGCAGCCTTGCTCTGTCCGTATGCTCTGTTTCCGTCATATCCATCGACTACCTCCAGCATCTCTGCTGGCAACCAGCCAGTACGGTCGGGCCCACGTTCTGACTCAGGAATCTCTGCATCGCTTTTGAGAAGGTCCCAGTCGCTAAATTGGATGGAGCTAGCTGGCTCTGTGGGCTTCAGATGATACGTTGAGGATCCTGGCTTTGCGGTTCGTAGGAAAATGTTTACCTAGCAAGTTGGTCAGGAGGAAGCCGCCGAGATTATTGGCGGTGAACTGACCCTCGATGCCCTCGGGGCTCATGATGCGCTTGCTGGTAACCATAGCCGCTTTGTTAATTAGGACATCGATGCGTGGCACCAGGGTTTTGATCTCATCTGCCGCTTTACGAACAGAGTCCTGGTAGGGGTCCACGATCACGTCAGCGAGATTGATATTGGGGTTTGAGTCGCGGATTTCTGACGCAACAGCGTCTATAATGGCTGGTCGTGAATAGCTTGGCCTTCATTTGGGGGTTGCGTTGATGCTGCATTGATGGTTTTGATGGGACGCGAAGGTACCGTGTCCATGGAACAAGGTAACTCATTCTTAAGAACACTGACATCCTCATATGTCGCAAGCAAGATAGCGATCAGAAATCCAAATAGAGTCTCAATAGTTAAAAGAGTTACCTGCCTCTGTCGCTCACGAAGTTACAGCTACTGTCAATTGTGCTGTGATGTCAAGATGCTAAAGAAGGTATGACGTCACCCGATCTAGCTTCGTGAGGTGCAAAGTCCAGACCGCAGTTCCAGCCAGCTAGACCTTTTCAGACCAGTATCGCATTCTTCACTCTCTACTAGACTCGCCACGTTACACAGGCATAGCGAATCTGATGACGGTACATTTCACCGAAAGACCTTCTCATAGCCTGGCCCAGCAGCTGGAGGAACGACCCACGCAGAACAAGAACGATCTCCCCGGCCATGGATTTGGAGATGCCCCTGCCTCCACAGTTGTCACACACGTTAAGCTCGAACGATGCAGATTCTCTGCGTGAGTTAGGGCTACTCGACTTTCTGGAACACGATCCGCGGCCAACATTTGTGCTGGATATCACAGACGCAAGAGATTCGTTCATTAGACTCAAGTTTGTCTATGGGAATACGGCGCTAGCAACTGCAGGGTCGGGTTCATTACAGGACGCCATAACTGGAATTGACATCACGGCCGATATTATTGGAGAAGACGCAGCGTCTTTCTCGCAATTTCGATACTGGTCTTATCATCAAGGTTCAACTTCAAGCGAATCTATACCGTTTTGTAACTACAGCTGGAGGAGATGTCTGATCGCAAAACGTTGGGTCGTCATCAGTGGCACATCCATAGAATCCTCCATTCTAGACGAAGAACTGAAGGCAGACGGAGGAATACTTTCCAAGAAGAGCTCAAGACCGAACTTCGCGACATTCGACTGGACCGATGATCCTCCTCCAGTAAAGTTATCCTCTCATGTTGCTTGGGCACGCAGTATCGACTGGGCAAGTACTCCTTTAGGACCTATGAGAGGATGGTCTCCACAACTGCGCAGCAATGCTAGCTTGATTATGCAGGACCCACGACCGGCCGTTGGATTCTATGGACCTGAACTCATCATGATCTATAACGAACCGTATATCGAGCTTCTTGGTGGTCTTCACCCTTGTATGGGTCGTAGTGCTCGAGTAGTCCTGGCTTCGGTTTGGGATGACTACTTCGAGCCAATCATAGAGCGGAACAAGGCTGGCGAGACTGTCGACAATTCTTATACTGAACTCCCTTTGAAGCGTAACGGCTACGTGGAGGAGACTTATTTCTCCACTCGATTTATACCGATATTCAACTCTGAAGGCGCAACGATTGGCCATTACGAACCTGTCGTTGAAATTGTAAGTATCGAGCGGTGTTTCTCTATTTTCTTTATATCAGTACCCACGACATCACAGATACTCCTAACAGCGTGTAAGAAGCTTGCAGGAGACCTCAGTATGGCGAGTTTCATCATGATCGAATCGTTAATTAGCAACAATCATATATTCTGCTGACTTTACAACAGACTAAGGAGGTGATTTTGGAGAGACGTTCGCGGACACTTCTGGAATTGAGCCAAGAGCTACCTCGAGCTCACGATCCTGACGCCTATTGGGAACATGCTGTCCAAGTGTTCTCTCGCAACAACAAAGATGTCCCATTTGCGTTGTTCTATTCCACAGAGATGGACAGCAACAGTGGGGACTCGACCGGCACGAACAAAGCAGCTGACAGCCTGCATCAATGTGGGCTTCGACGTTCCATTGGAATACTTGAAGAGCCATCTGCCGGTCTTCAACGACTCGATCTACGCCAGGATCATGGCATCATCAAGCTCTTCAAACAAGCCGCGATTGCGGATAAGCCGATCACTATAGACCTCACTGAGAACTCCGAGGCATCACAATTGGCGAAAGGGCTGCAGCCGCAAAGTTCAGGTGTGGTATGCAAAGTCGCTGTCATTTGTCCTTTGCACCCTCTGTCTTCAAAGGAAACCATACTTGGTTTTATGGTGCTTGGTCTTAGTTAGTAGTTCCGCATGGACTATGATCGAGACGTTCGCTCACACGATTGTAGATCCTCGACGGCCGTATGATGAAGAGTACTCACAATTTGTTCATGTAGCGGCCCGTTTAGTTTCGACATCACTGACTTCCATGGTATCACATCAGGAAGATATTGGACGCCGAGAACGTGCCATCACTACTGCTGAGCTCATTAAATCAGAGCTTAGGCAACAGCTAGTCGAGTCCCAGAAGGAGGCAGATCGCGGACATTCGAAGTTCCAGGTAGGTCTCGACTCAGCGGTTTGTGTATGTCGGAGGTAGCTAATTTTGTCGTTAGCGTTTCGCGGAGCGCAGCAACATCGGAATCTTTATCGTTAACATGGAAGGCATATTTTCCTATCAAAACGAAGCATGGTACGACATCTTGAGCCCTGATGACCGGGATATTGCTCTTGACGAAGCGTGGAGAGAACTCGTCGATGAAGAGTACATCCCATTGGGCCAGGCTAAATTCGAGGCGCTTGCAGTGACAAAAGAACCCCAGTAAGATGTGTACACCGCCAGTACGAATTCGATCTGACTCGAACTAGGTCTTTTGAACTGCGTCTGAAGAACACTTGGTGCACCACCACCAGCCGTATCGATGATTCATTACCTGAGCAACAGCGCAAATGGGTTTTGTGCTCGATTTTTCCTGAGCTATCCGAGGAGGGTGAAATTTTAGAAATCATCGGCTGCATAACGGAGATTTCTCAGCAGAAGTGGGGTGAGCAATTGCAAGCAATGCAAGCCACACGAGCCAAGGAGTCGAAACGACAACTCGAGAGCTTCATCGACACGACGTCGCACGAGATGCGAAATCCGCTATCCGCAATTATTCAGTGTGCTGACAGCATTATATCTTCCTACAAGACCCTGCAACAGTCAACATGTGATGAAAACTATCAAAGAACATTGCTTGCTGCGGTCGATTCTGCCGAGACGATCGTCCAGTGCTCCAAGCACATGAAGACTATAGTGGATGGTAAGTGACTCCCTTTTCTAGTGAGAAGTCATGATTGACGCTCTTAGATGTCTTAACTATATCCAAATTGGACTCTGGTCTCTTTGCGATGACCCCGATCGATGTCCAACTCGAGTCAACTGCACAAGATGCGGTCAAGATGTTCGAGGGAGAGGCCAAGTCAGCCGGTGTAGACCTGCAATTCCATATCGACGATTCCTGCAGGGAACTTGGCGTTGTCAACGTCTCGCTGGATCCCACGAGAGTTCTACAAGTACTCATTAACCTACTTACCAACGCCATCAAATTCACACGATTGGAAGCCAAGAGGCAGATTCTGGTCAGCTTAAGCATATCACTTGAGCGACCCACCCACAATGCCGACGGACGGGTTGCATACATACCAAGGTCAGGCGGCTCGGAGGCCAAAACGTTACAGGCGGATTGGGACCAGGGTCAGAGTGTAAGTTCTTCGCTGAGATTGAGCATAAACGAGTTCTGATGGAGAAGGTTTTCGTACGCTTTTCAGTACAGGATACCGGTACCGGCATGACCGATGCGGGTAAGTCCATTGATCATCAGCAACTTTCATAATACTCACCAACGGCAACAGAGCATCAACTTCTCTTTACACGCTTCTCGCAAACATCGCCGAGAACGCACATCGACTATGGTACGCTGTTTCTTTTTCCGCACTACAATTAAGCCAACATGCTGTGCAATGGCAGCCTATCCCACGATTCTCCATAGCTTGCGGGCATTAGAATCATAAGCACCTTGTCAAATGTAGACTGACCACAGGACACAGGTGGCTCCGGACTGGGTCTATTCATCTCGAGAAGATTAACAGAAATGCACGGCGGTGCCATCGGTTTCACCTCACAGAAAGAGGTGGGCAGCACTTTCTCCTTCTACGTGCAGAGCCGCAAGAGCAACCCCACTTCATTGCGACGAGAGAGTGTCGAAGAGAGCTCAGCCGCGGTTGATCTAAGCCTCAAAACCCACAAGACCGTTTTGCGCAGCAAATCGTACAGCGAAGAGAACACCCCGCACGCATCGCGTACAAACACCCCGGAGAGGACCGTTCCCGATAGCGACTTACATATCCTCATCGTTGAGGATAATCTGGTCAATCAACGCGTCCTGGCGAAGCAACTGCGTAATTTGGGCATGCATGTTGCAGTCGCCAACCACGGTGGCGAAGCTCTGAAGTACTTACGTACAACGAACTACTGCAACGCAGATGGGTCCGGGAATGAGCTGAACATGATCCTGATGGATTGGGAGATGCCAGTGATGAACGGGCTCGAATGTGTGGCGAACATCCGGAAAATGCAAGGAGAAGGTGATGTAAATGGGCATGTCCCTGTTATAGTAGTGACGGCAAACGTCAGGTCAGAGCAGGTCGAGATTGCTTTACGAGCTGGCATGGACGATGTTATCTCGAAGCCTTTCAGGATACCGGAGCTTCGTGCTTGTATACAGAAGACACTGCGCAATACAGCGCCAGCCGAACATATGACGATAGGGTAACGCTGGTGTTAGGTAGTAGTCTGATGGTTACTGAGAATTGATGCAAAAACAGAACAGACGTCTCTGTGACATACGAAAATGCACGAGTGATACTCTGTCTGAACGCTTGGTTTGAACAAGACAGAAGAAGACCGAACATGAGATTTCGCGTGTTGCATCTTCGTTATACTCAAAAGAACTGTGAAGATGGTTGAACAACACAGAAAGGAGGCACAACTTTCCATGTACCTTATCCTCCTCCAAAGTTCACAAACGGATGTGTGAGGACGGACATGTGTTTTGATAGCTAGGTCTTCCGCTGACGCCCAGACAAATATGCAAGATGATGTCCTCGGGTTTGGACAACCGTCAGATAAGAGCATACCAGAGTTGAAATCGCTTTTGGTACCAGGCCCTTGGTTCGTGCATCCACGGCCGGAAAATACGAGGGAAATGGTGTGTGTTTTGATACTGCAGCAAACGACCGGACATTGCAGCATTCTATTGTCGTTTTCGTCTGTGAACAGAATGAAGACATTGAGCAAGCCTGAGTGGAAGATATCGCCAATTCTGGAGCAACTCAGCAGCAAAGCCAACATGGATCGCTGCTGCTGTGATTCTGAGTTTACAAATAATGCTGTGCCGCAGTGAACGTAACATCGGACGTACAGGAGCACTGAACGATCATCACTCTTGACTCAGAGCGTCTTGAGTGGCACAAGGCAGGGATCTTTTGATAAGAGCGGAAGTCGAGGTTGGAAAGCAGCAACAGCAGCAGAGACCAGAAAATAAGCCATCTGTGAACTCGTTTTGAGTTCGAAGGAAAGAACTGTTAGGTGTCAAGAATGAAGGAAGGCCGTCATCAAACCGTAATATATATGCAGCGAAGATGTCCTAGGAAGCATGGTGGACCCAGTAGTGGGAATATGGACAATGAGAGGAGACAGACATCAGCCGAATGCCCATGGCCTTTTCGATGCATGCCTCTCTTGCCCCGAAGTATAGATGTAAGGGTTGAGCAAAGGAGAGAGCGGACAAAGAGTCCCTCAGCCTTGGATTTTCGTGCCAGAGCAGCGACGCGTGGGCCAACATGACATTGCTGCCGATCGCATTTGAGAAAGACAGGAGCAAGTAAACCTAGCTTCCCGGTGTGGGGATTTCGAGCTCTTGAGAGAAGGATTGAGGTGATATGAGAGTGGAAGGTGAAGGGCTGACAGAGAATTTGTAGATCTGGCCGGAAGCAAAACGCTTTTAGAACATTTCAAGGTGTGCGCAGCAATGCCACATTTGTAGTGTAAATGCATGCCGATAAGCATGCCAGAGTTGGAGCGCTGTTTGACGACTGTCACAAGAAACACACGTAGATATTGCTGCTCGCTGTTTCGAATTCAAGACGCCACAGCACAACATCACATGCATGGTGGAAACAGAGTTTTGACAGAAGCGGCAGCAGGTCAGACACATGATCAGGTTTGTTCGCGTATCTCAACGTGAGGAGGCAAAGCAGGAAGGCAGACATGCCGTCTGAACGAGTCCCTTTGGAAGGAGCAGCAGGAGACATCCTTCTCTGATAAATGCATTCTGATAAACCAAGAGAGGTTTAGAGATGATGCAAAAGGAAGAAAGCGCAGGACGCGAGGTCTGATATATCTTATATCTCCAAGCACGTGCCAAAGTCGGGCGCGCGTCCAACCGAGCTGTTCGGTACGCTTCGTTTGCCTACAAGCTCCTCGGGTCGAAAAGCGAGCGCAGTCACGCAGGCATGTGAGAAGCAGCGAACGAGGAGTAAGGTGTATGCAGTTACTCTACAAATAAGTCGTGTGTATCGGATCTACCATATCTATCATATCTAGATGCTCTTCGAAACTCCCAGAGAAGAGGGTATAAACGCCATTCCGATGCTTTTGTAACGCCAGTGAAATGGACTTTTGACCGTGAACAAGAAACGTAATCAATCGCTAAGATGTGAGAAGAAGCAGGCGAAGAGGTATCGTCGAGATGAGGTGAGTGTGTCGATGGAGTGGCGATGACTCGTGGGCGGATGAGTGGGGTATGGGAGGGGCACATATGCTTTACATCTTCGCCTCCCTCAGAATCCGGCTGCCCTGCTGCAGAGCAAGGATTTCCCGCTGCTCCTGGAACACCTGTCGCGCGCGCTCGAGAACCATCTCAAAACCCTCCTTGCCCGCCTGTGCGTTTTGCTGGAAGCGGTCGACGGTGAACTGTTCGATGCTGTTCTTGATCTTTTGCCATCCTCCGCAGAACGCTGTGATCTCGGCGCGCTGTGTGAAACTGGTCTTGTTCGACGGCGACGCGGAGTTGGGTGTGTAGACGCAGGTTTCGCGGACCTGGAGCAGGTCGGCCCATGTGATGTTCATCGAGCACATGGTGAGCTTCTTGGCGACAGGGTCAACGTAGGATGTCTCATAGACCATGGAGGTGTCGACGCCGCCTAGGATGGCGGTTACCCATTTGGGCGCGGACTGTTGGCATGTGATGAGTCGTTCTGTGCGCAGCTGTAATAATCGTGTTAGCAATTGCTCTTGGTGATGGTTCGACGCGCCCAAGTGTTGGTGATAGAAATTGTGGATGCCGCGCTTGGCATGTGATGAGGGAGTTACTCACAATTCCTGTGTTGGGATCAACAGAGCGAGACAGCGTGTCGACGGCGATAACGTGCGGTGTCTTTTCGTTCCATGGCCCATACTTTTGCCAGTTACTTGTCGAGACTTCCTCCCACGAGTAGTCGAAGTCGACCGATTGCTGAAAGTACTTCATCGTGAGGTCGTGTGTAGTCGTGTGCCGGTGTGCAGGTGGGCCGGTGTCGTGTGAGGTATCGTTTTCCGGTGCGTCGGTGCGTGTCAGACGTTCAAGTTAATGAGTCTGATGCGATGAGTCTTGATGGCGCGTGTGTGGAGGAGAGTGAGCGCGAGGGCGATTGCTGGCTTGTGAAAGGGGAGCCTTGATGAAATTCTTGAGCGCGGGCCGTGGAGCGTCTGAGCGAAAAAACGGCGTCGGGGAACTGCGGGTCGATGATAAGCCGAGACTTTTTGATGGTCGCAGGATTTGCTTGTGATCGTGAAAAACCAAATCGAAGATGTGGTGATGTACGATGGATGCACTCAAGGAGGCGGTGATAAAAGAGAGTTCAAGTTCTTAGGAATCTTCCAGCTGTTGAGAAACCACAGTTGCTTATGTTCCCGGTTCCACAGATCATCGGCTTCAAAATGCAAGCGCATTTGCGCCACAGAGCCGCTCGCCCAACGACGTGCCGCGGATGCGGATAATCAGGGCTTGAAGCTGTCATTGTCAGCGAATGAGCAGCGATGCACGTGATTTTAAGCAGCCCGAGTCCACCCGGTGACGTTTTTCATCGACAGCCGCACAGAATTTGCTGGTTGGCTGTCGGTGATCTTGCAGTTAATCTGGGCTGGGGCGTGGGGGACGGTGCCTTCGGTCCGGGGAGATGTTTGGTTCAGGGTCTTGCATGTAGGCCGTTATCGGTGAGTTTGATGTTTTGTTGTTTGGATGTCCACAGGACGGCTGCTCTTTCTCTGGTCAGGAAGGAGCGAAGCATTACTGAGGGTCACCAGTAACAGCGCTCAGTAGCAACATTGTGTTCGAGGAAGTAGAAAGATTGTAATCTCAACTGTCTAGGACGTGTCTCATGTTGATCTTAACGTCTATATAACCACATACTTGTGGTTGGTATCATAACTTTTGTAGGAAGCGCCTGAACGCCAGACCATGCATATGCAGGTAAGTAGCAGCTTTCGATGCTTCCTTTCCAATGTCACCTCATCGACTACCAATCATACAAACTTCTCATTCTATCGCCCATCTACAGCTCCAGCGCCTTCTTGGCCATGGCCAGGGTGCCATCGAAGGTCTTGTTGCCACCAATGAATCCAGCAGCGTGTACAAAGACACAGCCCTCGATACCAGAGACCTTGTCGAGCTCAGCATCACGGACACCCTTCCACGCATCAGGGAGGTCCTTGCGGTTTTGGAAACCGCCGTTCTCCTTGCTGACAGCGCGGATGCGCCACTTGCCCTGTGGCTTGTCCTCAGGGAAGAGAACGTACAGGACCTGCGGTGCGACGCCCTGGGGGATCTGTGACTCCTTCTCGAGTGTGTAAAGGTGGTCAGCCCACGGCATGCCCTCAGGCAGGACCAAGATGCGTCCCTGAGGGTCGTACTGCAGACGGTTATCGTAGGCTGCCTTGACGTTGTGACGGGCTGGGAGCCATGACTGAGCGCGGTCGGTGACCTCGATGGTGAATTGCTCGCCAACGAACTGCGACGCTTTGAGGAAGCGCTGGTCCTCTCGTGCCTGCTTCTCCTCCTCTGTGCTAGCGTCTCCGGTGGAGGGCCCGTAGTTGTAGCGGTTGACAACGCTGGCGATGCTGAAACCGCGGTCCTCGAACTGCTTCTGGATTCCTGCCTTCTCAACGTCCTTTGGCGAAAAGACGTTCACGCCGTTGTCGTTGGCGTCGAATGCCTCAATGAAGTCGGTGTAGATCTTCTCGAAGAGGAGATCGCGGTCGGCGCCCTCTGGCAGTCCAGTAATGGCTGAGATGATGTCTTTGCCGAAGTGGAGGTACACAAGACCGGCCGACGAAAGCTTGGTGTTGTGGCCCGGGAAGACGGTGTCGAAGCCGCGCTGGTGGTGGTCGTAGCGCTTCGCGTTGTCATCGTACTCGCCGCCTACATCGACAACAGTGTGGCATTCGGCCAGCTTGGCTGGGTCGCGGGTACGGACGAGCTCAGCGTCGACGTAGGTGGGAAGGTTCTTCAGCATGGCGACAGCCAGCGACTCGTCGGCGTGGAAGTGACCACTGCAGCATGTCAGTACGCAATATATGTGCCATTGAGCATAGCATATGCGCCTACTTGTGCGTTGCGATCTTAATGGTGGACATGTTGACCTTTTTGGCGGGGTGCTCTGCGGACATGAATCTGTATTGTGCTGGGGTAAATCTAAGAATGGAAGTCTTGTAGATCGCTGGTGTAGCTCTGATACTTCGTGCAAAGGCTGGCCTGAACAACGATGTCATCCAAACTAGCAGAAATATGATTCGAGAAAGTTTCCTTGCGGTGGATACAATGGTTTACCCGCGTCGAGGCTGACTTGGCAGATCCCACGATGCGGGCGCCACGCAATTCCGGCTTGGGCAAATCCCAGAGATCTTCACCGCACCGCAACTTGTCCTTTTCCTTTCTTCGCGAGGAACCGTGCGGAGGCCATCCTGGTGCTGGCAAAGTGGGTGACGATTCACTTCCTGGTTTTTGAAACTTCAACGGCCTGCTTTTCCCCTCCCGCCTGCCTAGAATCGTCCCGTGTCCTCATTGCAGCATAATTATCGTGCAGCCAGCACGCGACAGCACGCACCAATAGCCAACATCTGTGCCTGATTCCACCAACATACCTACGTAACTGCCTGCACTCTGTGTGCAGCCCGCCGACACATATCACTGCGCCTTCCTCCCCACCTGCTGACGCTCGTGAGAGTTTTTCCGCCTTCCTGCGCCTGCGAACGAGCCAGCAGCGGAGCTTCGCGCCATTTGCACGTGAAAATACGTCGCCCGCCGCCAAGAGCTATCGTTGCTACAAGCACGCAGCAACACGAACGTCACAACCAACAACGACACGCGACAGCAGCAGCGCTCGCTGCACAAGCTTGGCGACAACGGCGTCTGCAGATGTGGTTCACACGCGTGCTTTCGTCGACCTTCTTCCTCGGCGCCATCATCTTCACCATCCCATTAGCCTTCGACATCGGCGGCCGGACATGTGGACTGGCCTTCTCGCTATCGCTTAGCGTCTACTACTTCCTTTACTCGTGCCTGCGGCTAGCGACACCGGATCGCTCACGCTTCAGATGGTTCCTTTGTAACATTGTAGCTTGGGCGCAATGGCTGGCAATACCGACACTGCTCATCTGGAGCTTGAACAAGTTCTCCATCGACGCAACGAACAACGCAGGCTGGGTCGAGAGGACATTTGGGGGCAGACGATCGGACTACAAGTCGGTGCAGGATTGGATCTTTGGGTCTGAGGGGCTGTTGCAGAACTTCTCGATTGGCGCTTGGGACAAGACGCTGAGGTACAGCACACCGGCGTTCCAGATCGCTGAGGGCTTCTGCAGTCTCCTGGTCATACAGGCTGCAGGCCAGATCACTCGCTGGGTCGTGAATAGAGAGCGCGGCGACAGTTGGATGGTAAGATGCAGACGGTCTTGAACCCCTCCCAGAAGCTAACATAGGCATAGATTGGTCTCCTCGTCGCGTCTGCCTCGGTCATCTCCACCTCCGTCTACTTCCTCTGGCGCATCACCACCTTCCCTGAGATCAGCAACGTTGATGCTATTCTCATTGGCGCTGCCATCACCACAGCTATCTTCCTCGGTGGGTGGGGCATCGCAAGTGCGCGCGGCAACCCAGTGGAGTCTGCCTTGCTGGTACGTCTGAACTCGTTATAGATATAGCTAGTCACTAACATTCGTCCAGTTCGCCTACGTTACCCTCTGCATCTACCAGATCTTCACCGACTACCAGCCTACACCAGGCTCGACAGCAGCAGAGACCGCCGCACCGGAGCCAGCTCTGCCTCCTCTACCACCCATCATTATGGCATCGTACACAACTCTCCTCCATGCTTTGGGTTCGTTGCCCACCATCATCCACACCGGTTTCAACCTGATGGTCGGCGCCGTCATGACCATTACGCCCTCCGTCATCATCTCGCTCGCATACCGCGTGTTCGTCATGTACGCAGCAGCGCGTATCATACCAGCCATAAGAGAGAGCGGGGCGCGAGCGCTGTCACAGGAGCCCAGCCTGGACGACGATGACGAGACATCCAAGATCCTCGGCTTCTTGACGTGGTTCAGCCCTAGCATTATCATTGCAGTTTACACCAGTCTGCTGATGCAGCACTTCGCAAGTGGAAACGGTACAGATGGTAGCGCAGTTACGGGAGAGTGGTGGACAAATCAGGGCGGAGACGCAGGAGGCAACATGTGGAGGTGGATCAACCTTGCTATCACGATGGGTCTCTACGCAATCGAACTTCAGATTTCAAAGGCGGACGACGATGGCAGGCTCACCAGTCATTGGAAGACCGATTGAGCGAACGATGAACAGCACCTGCATTACGACTGCACAACGCAGAGGATCGCGATCAAAGCAAACATCGATCAACACGGTCGAACAGAACAACAGCTGAGGGCGAAAGCCAGACAACATATAAGATAGAAAGAAGGCAACGGAAATTAAGGCAGAAAGTAAGAGTTGGACAACCCAATAGGTAAGAGGCTGGAAAAGGCCACAAGAAGAATCACTGGCGCAAGAAGTCGAGGCGAAATGTCCACAGCTTCAGGGCCAGAAGAAGGACCTGGAACGGTTTGAGCGGACATGACAGTAATATCTGCACCGAGAGGATGGCTTGTTTCTTTTGTGTTAGCATCGCCACGTTTGAGCGCGCATTATCACTTTTCAGATACCCAATTCGAGATCTTGAATGAAACACAGATATTCCGCAATCCTCGTCATTTCCTTGCTGCAACAACATACCGAATCCGAAACGTTAAAATTTTTGCAGAACCCCTGCATGCTTGCTTCTTTCTCGACAATGCCACATCGTTACTGGTACGAAAACCCGTAGCGTCATAGATGATGTCTTGCCGCTGCGTCTGCTATATCATATGGTTGCATAGCTCTCTGGAAGTATTCAGTGCCAAAATCTCGTATACAGGTACTCCACGTGTTGCTCTGCCTTCCTATCCATCCATTTTGTCAAAGCTTTTTGTGGCTGCAGTTATTTTCTTCCACCAACATTCGCATCTCTTACTCCAGGACCAAAAATGCAGACGAGAAGTTTATGTGTGCCTCTTCCCCTGTCCATGAACGCCCTCTTCACCTGGTTATGGAGCGAAGTCCTCTGTTCCTCCGTGGCTCAAAGCTAAGTGCCTGTGCAGCATGTTCTGAGTTCTGTGGCAGATCTCAAAGCATAACGCTAACTCGTGACCCAAAAAGACAATGGCTGATGGAACATGGCCTAGAGTCTCCTCTCTTCCCGTAACCAAAGTTCAACGCATACCTGACATGTTCCAGATGTTTGCAAAAGGGCACAAAAAGAGTACGACAGTGTCTAATGACTACGGCAAGCGTTCGCCTGAGCTCGTGATAAGGCAAAAGACGGCTTCCAAAGCTTGATGTTAAGGGCTTCATGCTCTGTCCCTGCCCGAGTTTTGAGTCTCGGTGCATGAAAGCTCGCTGGTGGGCGCGTATCGCTTTTCCACCATTTGAATCAACCCCTCTTTCAACTGTCAAAAGTCTAACTCCCGTGCTGTATGTGCGCTGCTTCTCTTTTTGAGATTACTTCACTGGTGATCGAGGTTAGAAGGCCATCTGACGGGGTTGACAAAGTGAGGCAACCGAAGGCTCGTTCCGCATCAATTACTTCATGTTCACTGTCACTTCTACTAATGATTGGATTGTTACATGCTCAATGTTAATTCAAGCTCAGAACAGATTCATGCCATACATAGACTGCAATGACTGAGAGTTCTGGCGAAGACAAGCACAGAACATGTTTCGTTCGATCCCGCAATTTGACGTAAGACAAATACGAAGAGCGAGCAGATGATCCGACGTGCGAGACTGAGAGATAAGTGGATCTTGACTTCCGAGTCGCGACAGACATGAGTCCTGAAAGTTGCGGTTTTGATTTTTAGTCGCTGGAAGGTGTAGCGTTTCCCATATGCCTTTTCAAGATATGAGACTTGTGAAGCAGACAATATAATTGTAGTACATCTTCATTTCAATGTCGAAGGAAGAGGCGCAGAGGACCACGCAGACAAAGTCATCTTGTTCGAAGCTATGATTCCAGAGCAGCAAAAGCCGACATATGTGGAAGCCGACCAGTCTTTTGAGTCCTTAGATCTTGAGAAGTTCTGACATGACCATTAGTTGACCAAGAGGCTACGATTTGGACATGATCTGCAGGAGTCCACAGCCCTTTTCGAATCTGAGCGCAGCGAGGCAGACTTTAGTGCTTGGTTCAGGCTGAAAACCACAACATCGTGATGTACAGTCTCTGGCGCTCCCTGTTCCTGGAGCCAGTCAGCGTGCCGAGAGGAGCAAAGATTGATAAGACCAGAGCGCTTGCTCGAGGTTCCGACACAGTGCTCATGTGTGCGCAGACACGCCAGTCTTCGTGTTCACCAAGCAACACGAGCTCTCGTCATCGTCGTCGTCACTGTCGTCAACGTTTGTGTCCTCGTGCAGTAGAAGTTTTATCATGTAGCAACGACAGTTCGGCGCTGCGTCAACTCTATAAGCGCTACCATAAAGCAGCAGCAGCCTTGCACTCCTTACATCCGCCTCACACTCACTAATCGGTGTGCCTCTCTCACATGCATCCCCACCAGCGAACCACGAACGTGCCCTCAACGGGAGCGCATGTAACGACACAAAACGTCCTCTCCACGTGTGGAGATAGACGCGCGCTCTGTCAACACTAAGGGAGTTCGAGGCTTGACCGCTTGACGGCATGCACGGCAAGGCGTTACGTCGGCCCTACTTGACATTGCCGCTGTGGAGTTGCGCCACGTGCGTATGCGCAACACCATTTTGTGCCGTCCCAAATGTTACCTCATGTTGGTTTTGTAGCGTCTAGACTGGCGAGAAAGGGTGCGCGCTTCGAGGTGTTTCTAGAGGTGTGGTTCGAAGTCGGGATTCTGAAGTTCGGAATTCCGTTTGGAGTTGCGAAACTGGTGGGTTTTGGCCAAGTGTTGCAGGTGTCGATGAATGCCACTCAGTATAACCAAGAATAACCAAGATTATCAATCTTAGATCTGCGTTTGCCGGAAGGACTTCTTTCGCTCTAGTCAAGCCTGAAAAGATCTGTCATTGCATCAGTGTGATTGGCCGGAGCCTTTTCCGTCAGCATGTGACGCAACGAGATCCTAGTTCTTCCTACTGAGTTCTGAGGTCGAGAAGCTGACGACCATAAATCGCTCTTGCAGCATGCAGGCAGCAGGACGATGGACAGTTGTCTTGCGCAAAATTTCGTCATGTAGGTTCCAAATTGTCGGCGCTTCGTTGCGTTGGTGTTGTTGTCAATTTCGGTTCGTCTCAGATAGACGCTGTAAGTCGCAGTCAGCTTGGTTCTTGCTTCGGTACAGACGACACCTTTAGACGCCCAGGTTGGAGAAGCGCTTGGGAGCGCCTTTGATGACTCGCAGTAAGTTGCAAACAGCATGTTGATGGGGAAAGGTTGCGTTCTTGGTAAGCTCAAATAGAACACGTGAACTCAACCGGTCATCGAAGTTTCGAAAACTCGAGACCACATGGGAAGGTCGCGTCGACCAAACGTGCAACCATAAGGGCAATTTGAGCGATATGCGGAGACGATGTGTGCAATAGTCGGCATGGTACATCTGTCGAACACCAGGGCGCCTATACCATGCACATATAGGTGGATATCCGCACAAACATGGGCGCTTAGACTGCCGTTTTGAGACAAGACGGTAACGTCGATACTCGACCTCATACAACGCCAGATGTGCGGCTCTATACAGGATCGAGCTGGCACAGCTCAACAATGTCTGGAACTTTGATTAGAAATGTAGAAAAGTGGTACCGTACCATCAGCATGATAAAGCCTACGGTAGCGCAATCACTGCAAACACAGGGCTTATTGCGGCGGAAGGGTGAAATCGTAACTGTGCCACAGCCATCGCGGGGGAGATACCTTTTGACAAACTTTAAACTCAAAATAGTCAAGCCAAGAGATGGAATCGGCGAGGTTGAAGCAATCGTCGCATACCGAAGTTGTGGTGGACGCCTGAGAGCTTAAGAGATCCTTTCGGACGGTTCCCAAGCTCGATTTAGACACAATAAGCGGAAGGGAGCGTTGAGAATAACAAGCGCGTGGGTCCGCGTTTATAACCCAATGACAGCCATTCATCTCGCTAGTCGATTCGGAAGCGGTAGGATTTGAGGCGAGCGTAAGCGCACGAATCCTGTGGCCACACGATGCTCAGTGCGGCATGGTTGATTCTTCGAGTTCAGCAAGGGATGGAATCGCACTCGATGAATACCGGCACAGCGGGGGCGTACCAGTGGTTTGTTTGATCGCTAACGGGAGCGGAACGGGGCGCACGTTCAGGATACAAACTGCTGGATTATACTGGAACGACATGTGTCAGTGTTAGAAATCAGTGGGATGACTTGAGATAACACTTACAATGCAATGTCGCCGGGATGCAGCCGCGGATATCATGGCATCAGTTCGCTCGTCAGCCGATGCATGGCGACAAAAGGGGTCACAAGTTCCATTGGTCTTTTTTCGCAGAAACGCACAGATGTGTGACCGATCAGGGAACGCCTGATCATCACCAAACGCCGTATTCCAACAGAACACGGTTAGGATGCTGGAGTCCTCACTTTAACCGACAATAAATGCGGCTCGCCGGCGGCACATTTGGATGAGCGCTGGTGCTGGAGTGGGTTCCTGGGCGCAAAGTGTGCGGCTTGACAGAACGGGCCGAGCAGCCAGGAGTGAACTGTCCGCTGCAGAACACTATAAATGCTGCGACCTGATGGGAGCATTGTGGATAAGTCGGCAGGATGCAGACCGAACTGTTGTAGGCGGGTAGAGTAGCAGCGCGGCATCTGTGGGTATTGGGGTGAAGATCAAGTCAAAGGGCCGACGTGTTAGGCCCTTACTAGCCTGTGGGAGGGTGCTCGGGGTGCGGCGTGGCACTGATGAATGAAACATGGGCGAGGCCTAAGGGTGCCTTCTTGTTTGGTCATGGTGGTGAAACCCGGGCAGGCATTCGACAGGCGGTTAGGATGAGGCAGTGCCGAGTCTGCGAGTCTGCTCCTAGTCGACACCCGCGAGAAAGCAGGCGATACGCAGGAACAGCGATGACGTCCAATGTGGTGAGTCGCCGGCGCGTGGTGGTGCTGCAGCGGCGACTATGACGGCGGCCGTGAACGGCAGCGTGTGTGGTCCCTGATTATGTAGCTGCTGCAACTGGCAGGAGCAACAGGGCGCGCCTACCTGCGATGCGCGGTTGACGCAAAAATAGGAAAGCGCCCACCAGACAGCCTTGGACGCTGCGAGCCCGCTGCAGCGCACATCACGATGGGCTTTTCAATGTTCGTCGCCTGCATGAAACACCCAATCACGGCCCGCGTGCGCCTCACAGCGTGCGCAGTGTGAAAGCGTTCCGTGACGGCTGCTGGGCTAACGATGTCTGGCCGATCAACCTCGCATGCCGTGACGCCGGGAGACGCTTGGAGGGTCTGTTGTCCTGTGCCATCCTTGCGCGCTGCTCGAGGTATCACCCCTCCAGTACACCCAGCGATGGGCTTTAGGGCTGTAGACGCGATTTTTTCGCGAAAAAACGTGGTTTGGAGCTCCAATGCAGGGTCGGTTATGTGGTAGTCGAAAGAACCGCGCTTTTAGCTCGTCTACGCTGCGTTCTGTGGTCGTTCGCTGGAGATCTCGTGTGGGACAAGCGCGCAGGGACGGGCCAACACGCCCAATCACAACGTTTGACCGGGGTAGGGCATCTGTGCTCCAGGAAGTCAGAGGAACAGCCGCCTTCGTGATCTCTGCTGGCCCATCCGCTGGCAGCTGCGCCTACGTCGGGACGCCCCTCTCTCCAGGGCAGAACTCCTTTGACTTTATTGTCTTATACACTGCTCTCGCCGCTGCGGGTGGCTCTGCTCCCGATTGGCATCACCAAACCCACACCCCGCATTGACTCCAGCATCCATGGTATTTGGACTACACACAGAGTAACTCGACTGCCTGGCACGACGAATTTGCGCATTGCCGGTCTTCACCGCGCAAGAAGCCACCAACACAACGGCAGAGAGTGGTCAGACATCTGATTCACTGCAGCGTCCAGCAACCACCTCGACGCCAGCTGTAAGCGCGAAAGCCGCCTCTTGTGTGGTGGAACCGCAGAACATCAGCTCATCGTGTCACCGCCTGTCCCGTCTGTTCGGTCGCAGAAAAGATCGAAGTGCTGGATGACTAGGCAGTGAAGACTCAAGTCCACCACCTCCACATCAGAACCACCAACACAACACAACAACAACGTCTCTCAAAAGTGGTTTTTAAAGACCCACAAACAGCTTGTTAACAAGCTGCCTGGCAAATCAACTTGGACTACCCCCTCCTAGCAGCCCAGACTCAGGTACTATGTCTGCTGTGCTCCACATGCCCGCGATCAACACTGCTCCATTCATGCTGAAAGAGAAGCTTGGGGACCCATTTGCGCCTGCCTTTACTGCAGTCAATGGACGACCATCGCCATCTTCGCCACACGTATCGATTGGACCACACGGCATGACAACTTGGGGGTCTGTATCACGGGACCCCAGCTCACGTCCGGCCAGTCACTCTATCTCGCCCACCATGACCGACGGAGACAGATCCCCAGACAGCCCTTTCAAGAGGAAGCGATCACATTCAATCGAAGACCAGCGGCCACGCGGATCCTCGAGAGAGTGGCCCACACCTGCCGGACCTTCCCCAACGGTGTCCTACCCAGAGCAAAGGCCAAGCCTAGAACCACATCAGCGCACACTACCTCCAATAGATCGACTCCAACATGAGCGTCGCTGGACTGCCGATCCCAGCGAATACCAGGAACACCATCACGACCCTCGCCCCCTGGAGCCACCCCATCACATGCCACCATCACACATGAGTGATCCTAGCGAACATGATGAAGGCGCCACAGACCAGAACGTAGCCGATCAGCTTTCTGAACAGAAGAAAGTCGGGCGGAAACGGCAATTCGCCAACCGGACCAAGACAGGTTGTGGTACCTGTCGTAGACGCAAGAAGAAGTGTGATGAAGCAAAGCCAAAGTGCAACAATTGCCTACGCGGCAACTTCGAATGCGCAGGATATGCCAACAAAATCCCTTGGTCAAAGGACGGGGCTTCAAAGGCTCCGCCAGCATTGCAAGCGAAAGAGCGGGTGTCTTCGGCTGAGATCCCTGCCCATTACGCAAGGTGTGGCGTTTGCAACCAGGTGCACATTCCACATTGTGATTCGACTCAGAAGCCATATCCGAAGTCTAACGCCAGCGACGGTGCTCGAGGTAGACCTGTCAGCGTGGACGAGCAGGAACGCAAACCACGGTAAGTCTCAACCTGCATACAACTCAAGACGTTCACTAACGCACAAACTACCAGAACACCAAATAGCTGGACCAAGGCCTGGACTGAATCACCGCGATATAAGTCAGAGCATCCACCACCACCTCCTCCTCCTCCGCCTCTGCAACGACAGCACCATCCTCGTGTGTACCATCATACCCCACAAACAATGAGCCAAGCAGCCCCCACTCACCCTGCAATAGCGGCACAGCCTGCGCAGTACGCACAACCTCCACTATCTGCTCCAGCCCACGAGAGACCTCCAGTCCATGATCACCATGCGTCTCGTCCTCCGCCACCACCCCTACCAGCAATGGCTCCCATGGCAACTGCGCCACCGGCTCCTTCACCGTCACGCTACTCGCACCCATCATTACCACCAAAGAGCGAAAAGGACAAAATGCTTTCCGGAGAGCCATTCCTGCCGTACACTGAGCAGCTCATCGATGAGCGTACACTATGCTCAGGAGCAGTGTACCGCTTCAACAGCCTCAGCAACGCCGCTGTACAAATCGCTGCGAGTGAGCGCGAGCGACAGTTTGAATATATCATAGCAGCTAGGTGGATCTACTCTCGTGCTGGTGAACGCCGAGTTACCGGTCATCTTGGTGGTGGCATCAACGTTGCGATACCTTTCCATTGCGACTACGGTTACAACATCTCTATTGGAGACAACGTTGTCATTGGGCCCAACAGTCAACTCCTTGACTCTGGAAGGATCGCAATCGGCAGAAACACCAAGATCGGCGCCCGTGTGACTATTTCGACTATCAAGGCGCCCTCTGACACTAAAATGTTGAAGGGTAGCAAGGGCACTGAGATTGCCCGCGAGGTCTACATTGGCGAGAATGTTTACATCGGGGATGGATGCATTATCGAAGCTGGCGTCCGCATTGGCAATAACGCGATCGTGCGTGCTGGATCCGTTGTCGTTCGAGTAAGTTCCTCGACCCTTACGATATATCATGATCGGCCCTCGTAAACAACACTGTGAATTGAGCTGACTGTTTCCAGGACATCCCGGCAGACTGCGTTGTCCTGGGCAATCCAGCTGAAGTACGACAGGTCAACTGGAAAGACTGAGTGTCGTGTAAACACACAACATGATTAGGTTCTGCACAAGTCACCATGCCTTGATGCAGGTGAGCAGGCATATCAAGCCAACTTCAGACATGATCTGAGTTTCCGACGTCGAGCAAACAACTCGACTGTTCGTACTGTTTGAGCGCCACCGTGTGGCGCTGGCGTTTTATGGCGTTTGAGCATTTCCTTAGGAGGATACCCTGATATTTGTACTTGATTTCGGTTCATCTTGGCCTGGCGGTATCAAGAGGTGGGAAACTGGATACGGGAAAAGGTATGATATCACCAATTGAGCAGGGAAGAGCGCAAGGACGCGCAAGATGAGATGCTGGTGTGAGGGCGGCTGAACATATTGTTGTAGGTAGCAAATTCAGTAGCTGTCATATGGGCGGAAATCTGTAAGATTTGAAATCTTTACCACACAAACCCAAGCTCACCCCAAGATTTCTTTCTCTTACAATATGCATGTTTGGTGGCCCTCTGAAGCGTAGTGTATGTGATGGGAAGGAGCGCGTCGTCACGTGCACTTTTCCTTAGCGCCAACCTAAATTATCCAGACCTCGAACACCTCCGTCAGCAAACCGCCCATCACAACCCGTTCTCAAGACCCACAATGCCACCACGGGCAGCCCTCAGTTGGGGCTCATTGCCCCTCTCACCATCAGCAACACGCTCGCTCATCCCCCTCGCCCAACAAAATGCCGCCACACCAGCAGTTTCCTACACATCCACCCGCGGCATCAAATCCACATTCGGCCCCAAGCCAGACCGCTTTGCGCACCACCCCAACAAGCCCGCCCTCAATTCCACATCGACAGCGGCATTAGAGCGAAAAGCGCACTCCACACCGCTCCGCACTGGTCTCCTGGCCCTCAAGCGCGGCATGACCGCCCTTTACGACCCAGAGACAGGGAAGCGCACGCCCTGCACCGTTCTGCAAATCGATCGCAACGAAGTCGTCGCGCACAAGACGAGGGAGAAGAACGGGTACTGGGCTGTGCAGATTGGCGCGGGGCAGAAGGAGCCTAGGAACGTCACAAGGCCGCTGTTAGGGCATTTTGCCCAGGCGGGTGTGAGCCCGAAGAGGCATTTGGCAGAGTTTAAGGTCAAAGATGGGAGTGGGCTGGGAGTTAGTGTGGGCGAGAGTGTGGGCGCGAATTGGTTTGCGCTGGGGCAGTGGGTGGATGTTAGGGGTATTTCGAGGGGTATGGGCTTCGCTGGTGTAAGTCAAACATACGGAACGGGATTATTCGCTTTGGTGAGGAGATGCTGACGATTTTTCACAGGGTATGAAACGCCACGGCTTCGGCGGTCAACCCGCATCTCACGGTAACTCGCTCACCCACCGCGCCATGGGTTCCGCCGGAGGATCGCAAGGATCCGGTTCGCGTGTGCTGCCCGGAAAGCGCATGGCTGGAAACATGGGAAATGAGAGCGTCACAATCAAGAACCTGAAGGTTCTGCAGGTTGACGAGAAGAACGGATTGATTGTGGTCACTGGCTGTGTTCCAGGGCCTAAGAACCAGATTTTGAAGGTGCAGGATGCGCTGGGGAAACCCTGGCCGAAGGGTCCCATGAGCAATGCGGAGCTGGCGCCGGTTGTGGAGGCTGCTGAGCCGGTTGAGGCTGCCGCGGCGACAGCATAGGTGTGCTTTAGGAAAGAGGGAGGTAGAAGAAAGAGACTTGTAACATACAACCGCCATCTTTAGGCGTTCTGGCTGCAAGGGCAGCAGCAAAGCATGCATTGGGCGGAGCAAATGTTGTATAGATCTATGTATAACATGTAAGAGCTATGAAGCGGACTTCAAGCAAGTCTCACAAACGGGATTGAATTTGTGTGTATCACGCAACTAACTGGAAAACGCAACTTGGACCAACAATCTGTTGACCAGATTTGAGTTTCCCGCGTCGTGAGCCTAATCGCCCACTTGCATCAGCTAACGTCTTCGATATCCGTACATATAGGCATCACACCCATTGTCGATACAATCCTCCCCGTCATCGTAACTTCTACCAGCAGACAAAGACGCCACATCACTCCCTTCTCCCACATCGCTCGCCCCTTCGATATCACTCCCCACTGCGTCACTGCCCTCCCCTTCATCCTCTGACAACGAACGATCCGAGACACAGTCACTCCTTCCTGCGATATACTCATCGAGCGAGATATACCCACCCTCGCTATCACTCGCACTGACACTCCTCCTTCGTTTCTGTACATCAGATCTCACGCCCAACGATGTGATGGACCGCTGATCAGACCGCGAGTTCGAGCTGCGTCTGCTGTGTATGCTTGCAACGTCTGAGCCCATAGACCTCCTCTTTTCGTTGACTAAATCACTTCCCTCTTCTCTTTCAGAGTCATAGCTTGCAGATCTGCTATCTCGCTGCTGGGTATGTTGATATTCGTCCAGATCCTCGATGTCAGATCCATAGTGTACTTCCCTCTCTTCAGCAACACTCCGGTTATCTACTAGATCCACTCTCGAGGTATGTATTTGGTCTCTCAAGGGTCTAAGACCGGTTTCGTAAGTACTGTGACTGTAGGCGTAATTGTCGTGACGCTCTCGAGATTGAATGTATTCATCCTCCCGTGACCTTGGTTGAGTAATGTAGTCTGAGCCCAGCAAATGGTCTGGTGAGCGGCCTGGCGAATGAGAGCGAGTATTTATGTACGAATACGACGGGCAAGATGGTCTGTCCATGTATCCTGCAGCCCATCGCCTGCGCCGTGGTGGTTGAGTGCGTATGTCGTGGTCTGGACTGAAAGATCTGGAGTAGTAGTGCCTAAGTGAATCAAACTGCTCGGGATATTTTGAAGAATGCGCTGGCTCCTTTGTCTGATTGCTCCTGCTGTGACTTATGTATTGGGAGCGCTTGCGATATGCCATACCGATGGCGAGCCTTCAGCCTCGCGAGACCTGACGCCTGGTAGAATGAGGTCTTATAATTGCTGTTGAGTCGTGGAGAAAGTCGAGGTACTTGATTCGCCTCTTCCAGTGCTTCTCTTATGCCGTACAACTTCGATTTGTCGAGTTGGAAAGAGAAACACTCGTGCAGTCATGCGCCTACGTGGCACACACGCTAACCGGATTGGACGACATGCATATGTGCGCATGAACATTGAATACTGTTGCGGTGTATATAACCTTTAGGACCCAAGGGTCAGAAAGGTCAGCCTTTTTGTATCGCTGCGGAGCCGCGACAAATACGAATATTAAGTGGAACATGACTGTGAAACTTCTGTTGCAAGTAGGGGTAGAGTAGGCGAAAGGTTCAGGTTCGAAGCACATTAGATGGATGTAATGAGAACCATTCTGTGTGATAGCGTATACTCTGTGTATCGAACTATACTGCCTGGTTCCTCGTCGTGACTCTAGTAATCACTGGCTCTTGTTTCTTGTACTTGTTGTGTGTTTTCGAGATCTACGAGGCTTCCAATGTACTGTCAGTAGTCGTCGTTACCATAATAATCATCGCTGGACTCGTCGTAGGTATCGCACTGTACATCCTCATAGCTGTAGCCGCCATCAAACTACCACATCCTGTGTGGCTACCAGCATATCCGCAGTTTTGGTCACGAAAGCCAGTGTAGTGAGTATCGAAGCGCCCATCGTCACCGTTGAAGCAGCCGTGTTGGCCTCCATACTCGTTGTCAAAGGTGTTGTAACCGCCGTCGTGATTTCTAAAATTGCCACTGAAGCCACTGTCGTAGCCACTGCCGTTGTGAGTGTCCTCGAAGTTGGTACTGACGTTATTACTTATCCCGCTCGGCCTGATGTCAAAACCAGTGTACACAAGACACGTTCATGGGTTCTGTAAGTGGAGCAAAACGACACTTTGGGGCGGTAGAAAGGCGAAAGGACGAATGTATCTCCTTCTGCTCTCGTTATCACTTACCGGTGGCCGCCCGACAGGGTTCATTCCTTCGCCATAGTAGGGACTGAGATGTGGCACTCCATCGCGGACGGAATCGACATGTCGATACATGTCCAGAACAAACCTGGCTTCCTGAATATCGTCGTCCTCCCAGATCCTCAGGTTGTAAAACTCTACGAACTCCTTTGAAGCCATGCTTGGCGTCGAAGTCTTGCTCCATCCAGAGTTGGCGGTCGGACTTCTCATATGCCCTACCATACCTGAACGATGGAGTCGGCGACCTTGATGCTATCATTGAATGCTGTGCCGGCTGAGGTAGGGTCGGCGCAGATACAGAAGACTGAGAGCTGTGGATTTGGCTGTAGTTGACTCGACTGTAGTTCGAATTGTACTGATCACTGCTAACTTGTGGCCGAGTTGATATGTAGGTTAAGCCTGTAGAGACTGAGTATATCGAAGCAGTTGGGGCAGAGGTAGGGTGCTGATAGTTAGGCCCTGCTCGCGAGCGGTTACTGTTGGAGGCGGTTGGTCTAGAAGAGGTCTGCAATGCCTGCCGTCGGGACTCAAGGACTTCAACATAGCCTGTATACTGCACCTGCTGGTTTTTGTATGGAGCGCTTCGATTTTGTTGGTATGCCATGCCGTGGATGTGCTTATACAGCGTGGGTGTAGTCGGGATGTAGGCGTAAAACCAACGTCGTGTTGTTTATCTACTGCAGCACCACGCAGGCGCACTGCAATGGTGCGTGTGCCGCCGCAACGGCTTTCTCTTGCCTGCATTTGGCTTTTTGGCATTGTGATGGAAGGAGCTGTGTCCTCCACACTTCGCGGTCGCCCATCTTTGTTTCGCGCTAGCCCGACTCGACCTGACAGCGACAGGTGTCATCGAAACCACCATCGTATTCACCGTCTCTTTCTCCTGACCCGCCGCCTCGCCATCAATAACATCGCGAAACACGCTGATGCTGAACGGCTTCCGTCTCCACGTGCTGATGCCGCACAGCTTTCAGCCGCATTCTCTAGCGGCCGCGCTTGCTCTTGTTATCGACTCATGAAGTCTTCGCCAACGGCGCATTGTCAGTACCAACATCGAAACTCTGGGTACCAGAAATTGAACAACTTCTAGAATCAAAGGCGCGTTTGCTTGCGGTAATGATCTGAGAACGTCATTCGGTGTTCCTCACCTCGGCAAGGCGTCGCATGATGCACACCGCACACTTCGCCATCCTGTCACAGCCGAAGTAAGATGAGGCGCATCCAGGTCTGCTGCGTGCGCATCCCTACAATCTTAACCACCATAAGCTCATGAAATACACTGTATACTAATCTCGAATTGGTATGGTCGACCGAAACTGAAGGCGGCTGAAGGCTTTAGCGGCAGCCTTGCGCAACGTGCTTTATCAAAACTCCCTGCGCTCATGAAACATGCTAAGGCGGTTTTCTCCGATACTATCCCAGCACGCTCAATTCCTCCGGTGCTATTCTACTCGCAGTACAACCATTCCCTGAGCAAATCAACGTCCGGACTGGCACTTTCTTCTGTGTGACGGCCAACATACAGCCAATCCTACGAAACAACCTGGAAACAACGGAACAACGCCTCCACCGGGGTCATTACTTGTGGGTGCAGGTCCGATTACCATGCGTTTACCCACATTTCGGTGATGAGTGACTTGGCTATCTGCTCGTAAAAGAATTGTCCGCCAATTAAGCTGGTGTGTGCGTACAACTTCACGCCAAGGATCGCGAGTTATAAAGGTGAGATGCTTCGCCGTTCTTCAAGTTTCCAAGCCTCGCCTTGACATTCATTCACCCCTCCAACTTCAGTCTTTCGTTCAAAGCAAACTGTGTTTGCTATTCATTCATTTCTTCACCTACAACAATGAAGTTCTCCATCTTCGCCGCCGCTGCGGCACTTGCTGGCACAGCCTTTGGTACTGATGCCGTTCAGGGAGCTGCCGAGGGTTTCGCTAAGGGCGTTACCGGTAAGATCGATCTTTAGGTGACGATTGGGGACTACATACTGACAGATTGCAGGTGGTGGTTCTGCTACCCCCGTTTACCCTTCCACCACCGCCCAGCTCATCAGCTACCTCGCTGACTCCTCTCCCCGTGTCATCGTTCTGACCAAGACCTTCGACTTCACCGGAACTGAGGGTACCGCCACCTCTGCTGGTTGCGCTCCCTGGGGCACTGCCTCCGCTTGCCAGAAGGCCATCAACAAGGACGGATGGTGCGACAACTACCAGCCTAACGCTCCCAAGGTCACTGGTATCAAGTACGACAAGGCTGGTGTCCTTGGTATGACCGTTGGCTCCAACAAGTCCCTGATCGGTCAGGGCTCCAAGGGTGTCATCAAGGGCAAGGGTGTCCGCATCGTCTCCAGCGCCAAGAACATCATCATCCAGAACGTCCGCTTCACTGACATCAACCCCGAGTACGTCTGGGGTGGTGATGCTATCACCATCGATGGTGCCGATCTTGTCTGGATCGACCACGTCACCACCGACCTGATCGCCCGTCAGCACATTGTCCTCGGTAACTCTGCCTCCAACCGCGTCACCATTTCCAACAACGAGATCAACGGTGCCAGCTCCTGGTCTGCTACCTGCGACGGTCGCCACTACTGGGGCTTGTACTTCACCGGCTCCTCCGACATGGTCACCTTCAAGAACAACTACATCCACCACACCTCTGGCCGCTCCCCCAAGGTTGCTGGCAACACCCTCCTCCACGCCGTCAACAACTACTTCTACGCCATTGCTCACGCTTTCGAGGCTGACTCTGGCTCCAAGATCCTTGCTGAGGGTAACGTCTTCCAGAACGTTGATGCCCCTGCTCAGACTGGCCTTCCTGGCCAGGTCTTCGCTTCCGGCTCTGCTACTACCAACACTCAGTGCAAGACTTACCTCGGCCACAACTGCGAGATGAACGCCTACGGCAGCTCTGGCACTCTTGCTGGCTCCGACACCAGCTTTCTTTCTAACTTCAAGGGCAAGAACATTGCTTCTGCTTCCACCGCTGCCGTTGCCAAGAACGTTGTTAACACTGCTGGTTACGGACGTTTGTAAGCTATTCGCCCGTTTTGGGTGGTGGCTCGGAGGACTGTGGGTCCTGACCGCTAAGGCGGAGTTGTAGATATCTTCATTCTTTGTACATACATTAGACTTCATATATACCATCTTATTCATTCTTCAACAAGACGTACCACACTGAGTGGCCCATAAAACTGATCGTAAATCCATTGGCCACACTCAAAACGCACATCATTCTGTAATCGCAATGCATGCTCATAAACCGGCGTCATATTACATGTCGACAGGCATCGGCACGCACATGCCGCCTTGGCGTGCACGGTGTGGCAGATAAGTAACCCTTGTCGCGCATCCTTCGACCCTTGAATCTGGTCAGGGGTTGCTAGAACAGCAGGTCACAATGGCTGAAACACTTAGATGATGGAAATACAGACAGGGTCCTGTACGAGTATTCGTTTTTCGTCGCGCCGAAGACAGGGGCAGAAGTAGCACTAGAATTGCTATTTGTTTTATGTACATTGCCTTCCAACTGCACGTAATATTACGTACGCTTGAAATGTAGGTTCAATGCTCAAAAGCAATCGGTGGCATAACATCACAAGGAGGGAGGTGATGTGGGCATGTGGACGAAGGCTTTCCTAAGTAAATTACAAGATGAATGAATCGAACTAAGCCCAGTAAAGCACTGCAAACCCCAAGACCCCTCAGCACAGTACGATAACTTGAACGGAAGGGTTACGATCCCTGTAGTCTGCATGTCATCATCGTCGTCTTCTAGAGAGGTGATGCCTTCAATATATACCGGACCGACCAGTTTCCAATGCGATTGCTTTGCGCCAGTAGGCCATGACCTCAAGTAAAACGGGACATCAGTCTTCAAAAGCATAGATACTGTCTCTGATTTAGGTGATGTCTGGCCCGCTTCTTACATAGCCCGTTTCTGTAATGAAAAGGTTGCGAGGGCTGTCGTTCCAAAGTGCGGCTGCAGGCAGACGAACCTCATCGTGGTATGTACTGGCTAATAAATCTGGCGCAGTGACACGTCTTGGAGGAGTGATGTCGACGTAGCTACGGGTTTCCTGGCTCAGACTCATAGACTTCTTGAGCGTTCCGATGTTTCTTTGTTCTCATGTCCCGACAGTAAGGTCGATCCCCTACGATATGATAGAGTTGCCGTGATTTTTGTAGTGTAGTGAAGGATTAGTGATTCCTCGTTCATGAGCCAAACGCTTGCGTCGGCGAACTACTGATTCGACATCTTCTGCCCTGCCTGAGTAGAACACTGCACCAGCGTTCCGGCCTACTGCTGCAGCGTTGATGGAAATGTTTCCTGGTCCTGCCATAACAACCTGGTATGGTATGGTTAGTCGTTGTGTTCGCAGAGCGGCAATCAGATCCTCGCTTCGTCTCTTGTTACACGTTAGAACGATCGCCCAGCTCGAGAGACCATCGACTAAATCCGCTGTTGTACGCCAGTCCGCAATTGAGCAGGATTTCGAGACTCAATGAACTGAGCAGATACCGAGTCAAATCAGCAAAGACGGCGGCTCAAGGTTGCGAGTAATCGACCACTATGGCAGCCCGGTCATGCTCTGCTATGAGGCCGAGGAAGGCATAAATGCGATCTCTAGGGTTCGACGTATGTAGATGTACTCCGTCGCTGGTTCCAGCAATTAGGTAGGCGGCACCAAGATTTGTCCCAGACACTTTCATCTGAGCGCTCGTCCATACAGCTGGAGGAAACTTCCACCCAGAGAAGCCTAGAAGGTCTTTGCAGAAGGTACTTGAGAGGAGTATACTACACCTGTTATTCTTCAACGAGTCACTGGGCAACCCGAGCAATTGGGACTTGGGGGCCAAGGTTAGCCCTGAACAAGCTCGTAAACATCCTTTATGGCGTTCCATTAGGTTGTTGCTCCCTTGTGGAGTTAATGCAAGCGAATAAGCGTGGATATGTTGGTTGTAAAACCCGTCTAGTACTCACCCGTTGAAGCCTATAGAAACGCCAAGTGGCTTGTCGAAGATAATAGGTGCAGTAAGATCTCGAGCCAAACTGGGCCTCGGAGGATCAACGCTAGCCCTTAATATGATCGTCAACGTTCTGTACACCACTTGATTGGAGTCTTTTCTCACCATGAAACCGACATGAGCGAATCAACGTTCGCGTTGTAATTGCTAGTCCTGGCTTGACAGTCTCCACAAGTTCCTTTAGCTGTGTCGAGTGGCTCGTCGAAGAATAAGAGGTGCAGTAAGGTATTTAATCGGGCGCTTACTCATGGGGACCGTATATGAACGAGACGATTGGCGTCAGCAAAGCTGATCGAGCAGGTACCTACGTAAAATTGCTTGGCAGCTGCGCCGCAAACGAACAGTATGCCATAACCCGGATCTTGATGTTATGCAAATCTAAGTGCAAACTCGAACCCCGCCCCATGTCCTTCGTGGTGTTGGGAACGGTGATGGTCCTGACGGATCTTGAAAAGGAGAATATGGACGAGGAGGCTCGACCCTCGCTCGGGCAAAGGAAGGATGAATGCCCAGGGTCAATGGTCACACAAATGTCACCACGTATGAATCTACACACGTCTAGTCATCCTGCATTTGTTTTCCTTGCTCTTAGGCTTTTTCTTTCTTCTTCGATATCCGATATCTGTGAATGATTAGTTCGGCATGCATATTCAGTTCCACCTTAAGAACACTTACAAGAACAGTCTCTCTTTAGACCAAACTTCCTTATCCGGGTCATCATCTACCTCTTGCACATCGAACATCTTTCCTGCAGTCTTCATGAATGTCAAGTCGGCCCTTCTCCTCCTCTTGAAGCAGAAGTAACACACTGTGTTTGGACCAATGATGTCCTTGAGCGTTTGTTGCAGCAATGGAAACGCTGGTTCGAAATATACACAGTCAGCTGCAAGAATAACATCCGGGTGTTGTGGTAACCCGGATGGTGTTGGTTGGCCCCAGTCGTATATAGATGCGGAAACGCGGGCCGAGAGATCGTTGAGGCCAATGTTTTTCTTCATGAGTTCGAACATCTCATCTTGGTCGGTGATGTGGAGGGGCTCGGTGACGTTGCAGCCAACAGCTACAGCAAGGCCAACAAGCCCACCTCCAGCGCCCAATTCGACACTATGCGAGTCAGCCTCAAGTCCAGTCAAAACTCTTAACACAAAACTTACATTGTCTTCCCAGCAAGGTCGTCCTTATGTTTCCTCAACATGTACTTGCCGAGTACCATGCCCGCCGGCCACAGCTGTCCACCACAACCATTCTTGAGATCCTCGTGAACCTTGAGTGGGGGCGAAAGTACGCCATCAAAGTCGACCTCCGCAACTCCAGCGGGCTTGATCGGCGCCGGTGGCACGTAGTCCAGCTGATGAGTACCGAAGATATCGTTTTCTTCGTCGTCGGAGGCAGTCATGTTCGTGAAGTGTTGTAATAATCGAAGGTGTGAAGGTACATTTTATCGAGGTCTAGATCGATTCGGCTAGCGCGAGCGAGTGGGGCCTGTCCAAGTGCACTCTTCCTTCTGCTTCCATCGACCGTCCATCTTACACATGCCGTTTCATATCTCATCTCAGAATACGCAACTCGCTGCACGCAGATCTTGAAGTTCGAAGATGTAGACATCGGGTAAGGCACCTCCTGTACTCGCTGTAAACGCACCGTATCACAACCGCGGAAGATGCTTCCTTATCTTATCAGCACGCCTTGCTCACCGTCCTACGAGCTCTCCACCAATTGTAACGACGCTTCAGTGCATATCAAACGCCGCCTCTCTGGGCATGCTCCAAAGAGGAGAGGAGCTACCCTGTATGCGTTCAACCGAGGGTACCTGAAAACATGCATAAACCTGGCTTGTCCAGCGACATCTGTTTACCTGCGGTTGTTTGCCTGTTGATAAACTTGTCGTTTTGCTTCTTGAGCATCAATCGCGTTCCTAGAAGAAGACTTTGCAGTTATCAACTAAGCCCGCTATGGGTCTTCCTACGGAGGTCCTGAAAGCCTGGGAGGCATGTGATCGTACTGATACACTCTTTGTCCTCGTATGCTGTGTCTTTTGTAGGTCATCTTGCTTTTTGTCTATATTATACTCGAGCTGCTCGCCGTCCGTCTCTCACATTGTCTTTTTCCCTTCATCATCCCGTCAGAAAAAGAATCGGGAACACCATACAGCGCCACTCATGTCTTCTCTTGACTTCTCCTTCAACCCTCACAATTGGCAATGAAACGCAATGACTAATATCAGTAGGCTGGGGTATCATACCCGCCGTCGGCATCGCCTACTCCGGCTACACCACGCGCTCGAACTCGCTCGCAGCAATCATTCCTTCCATCCTGGCCGTAATCGTCTGCACAATCCAATGGTTCCTCATCGGCTACACCCTAACGTACAGCGAAGGAGGTCCAGTCTTTGGCGATTTCACATATGTCTTCCACCACAACGTGCTCTCCGAACCCGTCGGCACCATCCCAGCAATCCTATTCAGTTTTTTCCAGCTCATCTTCCAAGCCACCGTCTGTGCGATCGCTGTTGGCGGAGCTTGTGAACGCGGTCGCATCCTCCCTCTGATACCCTTCATCTTCGTGCGTGCCCACTAAACCCTCTCCAAATTCTATCAAGATTTTCTATTAACGGACTCAGCTATGGTCAACATTCATATACAACCCCCTCGCGCACATGGTCTGGGGCGGCGGCTTCCTGCAAAACCTCGGCGTTATCGACTTCGCGGGCGGCACACCCGTGCACATCAACAGTGGCGCAACCTGCACTGCCATGAGCGTCTACCTCTCATACCCGCTCTTCCGCTCTCGCAAATCAGCTGTCCGCACCCCTTCCCATCTGGTCATCCACCGGCCTGTCAACTCTCTCTGTCAACTGCTCGCTATGATAAGTATCTGGGGCTCCTGGCTCGCCTTCGACGCCGGTACGACGCTGGCGTTCAACTTTAAGTCTGTAATGGCTTTGTGTGTGACCAATTTGTGTGCTGCCAGCGGTGCGCTGACATGGATGCTGTACACGTACATCGAAGTTGGCCGCTGGAGTCTGGATAGCTGTTTCATGGGCGCCATCTCCGGGCTCATCATGATCACGCCGTCCGCAGGCTTCATCGATATGCCGTCAGCGATGCTCTTTGGTGTTGTCGGCGCGCTGTTCTGTCGGCAGACGCTGCGGGTCAAGTTCACTGCTTTTGCAAGACGCTGGCGCTGGGTCGATCACGGGGATACGTTTGCGACGCACTGTTTGGGTGGGTTTTTGGCGACGATTGGGACGGGATGTTTGGCAAGGAAGGAAGTTGCGGGGTATGATGGGGTTACTGAGATTGCCGGAGGTGTGTTCTTTGATGGGAATGTTAGGCAACTTGGGATTCAGATCGTGGAAGCAACGGTCGGATTCACCTGGTCGTTTGTGGGAAGCTACACGATTTATGCGTTGATTGACTGCGTGCCGGGATTCGAGGTGTTGGCTGAAGACAAGTGAGTGCTAGATTCCACTATGCTGGAGTAAGCTAATAGCAGTAGGGACATCATCGCTGGTCTGGACGCGAGTCAAATGGACGAGGAGACGCTGTGGACGGAGACACAGAAGTACTCTCCGTTTGCAGAGCCGAATGGTGAACTGCATCTTGATTAGTAGCGGACATCGGGGAGAGGATTCACCCGGACGTTGGTACCCAGAGTGTAGATTTGACACTCGACCTAAGTCTTGTGTGTAGGAGAGAGTGGAATGTACTCGTGAACATGCGTTGATTCTCTTGGTCTATTGTTTTCGTGATATCGTTGCGCTACCTGTCATTCCGTAAAGCGAAACAGTCAAGCAACTTTGCTGTCGTATGTAAGAACCCTCCTGTCGAATCTGGAGTCTAGTAGTCGTCACCACGACTGATGACTTCCTTGACGTTTGGTCGAAGAATGAGTGTCTGCTTTGCGTTAGCGCATCCGTCTTCTCGCTCATGACCAGTGGATGACTTACGTGCTCGCTCTGCGCTGTGTAGCTGCCCTTGATATCGCACAGCGGCGGGTAGGCCTCCACAATACCTGCAGAAACCAAGTTGTTCAGACCCAGAAGATACTTGTCGTGACCCAGGCGATCCAAATAACGCCTGCACCACGGCAGGGTACCAAAGTTCTTCGTGATAGAGTTAAGCAGCGTCTTCGCACTTGACACCCTCAGCGCAACCTTTGGCGCATCCGGGCGCAGCGCGTAGTGACTCGTCTCCATATCATCACGAACGTAACCCTTGCCGGTAGAACCGAATGTCTCAATGGCGAATGTCTCACCCTCCTCCATCTTCGTCTGATCGCCGCCCTTGACAATCGGCACCGTCTTGCCGCCGTGAATAGTGTAGTGGCCAATGCTATGCCCGTTGAGGTTGCGGATGCACTTGACAGGCAGCATCTGGCCCTTGATCTCGACCTCGTAGCTCTCCATGACTTCCTGGATCGCAGCGCCAATGTCACTCATGCGCACGTCGATACCGGCTTCCTTGACACCGGCGTTTGTGGCGGCTTTACACGCTTCGACGAGGTTGTCGTACACGGGGTCGAAGGTCATGGTGAACGCGCTGTCGACGATGCGGCCATTGATGTGGACGCCGAAATCGACTTTCATCACGTCTTCGTAGTTGACGACCATCTTGTTGCCCGCGTTGGGCGTGTAGTGGGCGGCGCAGTGGTTGATGCTGAGACCGGTGGGGAAGCCCATTCCAGCAATCTGAGCATCGCCCATCTCGAGTCCCATGTGTCCTGTGAGATGGCGCACGGAGTCTTCGATGCCTTCGGCGATCTCGGTGAGCGACATGCCCGGCTTGATCCACTTCTGCGCCCATTGCCTGACTTGTCGGTGGATTTCTGCGCCCTTGCGGTATTCGGTCAGGAAGTCATTGTTCATGCGGTCGAGGTGGCGCTTCTCCTCGCTGGTGGTGCGGTAGTTGTTCTCGTCGAGGTATTCGCAGATCTCGCCCTCGGGGTAGTCGTTGTTGGGATAGAGCTCTGAGAGAGGCACGCGAGGAGGTGAGGTCTGGGTTTTGGCACCGCCAGCGCCGGCCTTCTTCTTCTTTCTGGGCTTTCTCTTCTTCTTCTTCTTGGCTGCACCCTCGCCGGCACCCTCAGCTCCGCCTTCCTCGGCCTCGTTGTCGTCGTCTGAGTCCTCGTGGTCTGCACCCTCTGCTGTCTTCTCGCCGTTGTGTGCTGCGCCGTTTATGGGCTTGCTCTTGGAGTCGTCCACTGCTGGCTATTAGTGTGTTTCTTCTCTTGAGAGCGAGTGTGCATACACTTCAAGTCGGCGACACCATTTTCGACTTGGGCCGCCATGATGTGCTGTGTAGCAGTTGTAGTTGCGCGCGGGGCGGGATTTTATTCAGAGCTGAGCTCGAATTCCGCGCGGGCAGGGCGGCGTTCGGTCTCGGTTCAAGTTGCCCTGCGTTAGGGCAAATGGTCATGACATCAGACACACCAATTCATCTCTCGCTTCAACACTCACTTGTCACTCGGAATGGGCAATGCTACCCCGCCCTCTCCTCTTCACCCGGCCCTCCGTGCGCCCTCAATGGACATGTCAACCCTGTCTGCAGCGCCTGTTTGTTTCGCAACAACCTCAAGTCGCCCAAGCACGCTTGTTCCACGCGACAGCGCCGCGTCTCTCCGATAGCGCTCCGAACCACTACGAGACACTTCAAGTCGCACCCACCGCCGACGCAAAGGAAATCAAGAAACAGTTCTATGCGCTATCTAAGAAGAACCACCCGGACCACAATAAAGACGACCCCACAGCGTCGACGCGCTTCGTCGCCATAAGCGAGGCCTATCACACGCTCTCTGTGCCTGAGAAGCGCGAGCAGTATGACGCGCAACTGCATCAAGCCGAGCGGCGGTCAGGATGGGGAAGAAGTGGTGGAGGCGGTCATCCCCCAGGGAGCTATAGTTCGGCGAGTTACGCTGGGTCAAGGCCGGCGACGGGGTTGAACAAGAAGAGAGGCACGTTCCGCGGGCCGCCTCCTAGTTTCTACAATAGTGGTGGATATGGACGACATGGCGCGAAGAGAGCAGAGCATGCGCACCATAACCCGAATGCTGAGGGTAAGGAGGCAGGTCCTGAGAGCTATGGAGAAGAGGGAGGATACGGGCCAGGACAGCAGCGTCAGGGACAAGGAGTTCCACATTTTGACGATGTGCGACACAAGCAGGTCCACGAGCAGGTCCACAAGCACATACAGAAGGGGAGACGGCGGTCGAGGCTCTACCGCAGGGACGAAGAGTACGCAAGAGGGGGAGACCATTTGACTAGGTTCCTGATCGTTTCAGGCATTGTAGCTGTTATAGGGGCGACTGTAAAGATATTTGAAGACAAGGGGAACATCGGCCAGCGGAAAGCTATCACATAGACTTTGTCGCAAGACCAACGAAATGTCAAGACGAACTTTTGAAAATTATGCATTGAGACAATGTTGTACATGCCAGAAAGCCATACTACAGTCGCTCACTGCATTGCAGACTGAGGCGCTTCGCTACAGAACCAAAAGGAATCTAGAACGATCACGATCTTCCCACCCTACTATACACACACCGTCCGCTTAACCCTCGAAGGTGAAGCTAGTGCCGAGCTTGTGGCCGGCCTCGTTGAGCTTCTGGGTATCGAAAGAGCCACCAATACCAAAGGTCAGACCGCTGTTGACCTTGGTGTTGTAGGCGAGGGAAGCAATGCCGAGGTTGTTGATCTTGGCCTGCGAACGATTAGTTTGTGCAGATCTTGGGATTCTTCTTGATACGCACCTTAGCGAAGGAAGCAGGGTCAAGCTTGTACTTGGCGGCGAGCTCAAGACCGACGTTGGAGCCGGACTTGGAGTCCCAGGTAGCCTTAGCACCAGCCTCAACAGCGGGGTTGACCTTCTGGTAGTAGGCGGCGGAGAAGACGCTCAGGGAGTTGGTGGCAGTGATAGCGGCGTTGTAGAGAGGGGTGGTGTAGCCGACAGCGGCGCTGTACTTGGTGATGGTGGCCTTCTGGACGTCGTAGCCGACCTCACCACCAACGACGAAGCCCTCGTGGGAAACGACGGCATCGGCGACAGCACCAATGGCACCAGCGGCGGAGTAGTCAGCGAAGACGCGGCCGTGGAAGTTGGGCTGCTTGAAGTGGAAGTTGACCTTCTGGCCCTTGTTGCCGGCAGCAGGGCTGAAGTTGGAGAGGACCTCGGTCTTCAGGCCGCTGGCGAAGGTGTCGTTGAGCTCGACCTTGGTAGCAAGAACATTGGCGGTGTTCCACGACTGGGTGATGCTGATGCCTGGGCATTTTGTCGTCAGCAAGTTGATGGCATAACCGGTGACGGCAGATTTGCCGCCCGGTGGTTGAGATACGTGAAATATGCTGGAGTGGAATGTCTTCGTCTTGTGGACGTATATAAACAGTGATAGTGAACGAGGGGTGAATGAAGTGGGTGCTGTACCGTTGGAAAGAGCCTTCTTGCCCTCGAGCTGTGATACTAGTTAGCTTCCTGCAGTTCTTCTATTGAATGCGCTTCTGCTTACAGAGGAGGCGACGGGGCCAGAGTGGGGAGAGACACCCTTGGCAGTGAAGTTGACACCGTTGGGAGCCTTGAGCTTGACCTCAAGAGCAGCTAGAGAGAGGTCAGCGCGCGCCGCTGAGGCTCAATTGGTTATTCCGACCTGCGGCAGTGTGGTAGAAATCCTTGTTGATGAGCTACGCAGGCGCAAGTCAGTGATCGCGTCACTCCAGAGCTCCAGATAGGCGGCCCAAACATACGTCGTTCGATGCCTTGGCGATGTCGCCGAACGCCGGGGGCGGGAATTTGGGAACGATCTTCTCGACCTTGACGTATTCAGTCATGATGGATGATGGTGGAGGTGTGTAGGGGTGGGTGGAGGATGGGTAGATGTGGTGATAGTGGTCGAGAGGGAAAGTTTGCGAACGAAAACACCGCAGAGGTGACCTCAGGGTCCGCAAAGGCGCTAGGCGGGTTAGGTCGGGTGTGCTCGCCCAAACAGCCGACAACGTGCCCTCAATCACGATCCCCTCATTATTCCCCAGACGCTATGTCCTCTCTTCTTGGTGTCGTTGTTTGACATTGTTACAGAATTCGCAGCTTTGCTGCGCTTCACTTCTCTCATTTGTCGAGAGCTTTCTCCGCCTGTCAGTTCTGCCAGCTCTCACTCTCGACCATGGATGCATTGACCCTGAAACGCCAGGACCGCTGGTCGCTATGCATAAGATCGCCAACCTTCATACATTGGGCGACCTCCGGGTGACCAGCCGCCACACTGCAAATGCGCACTCGAACTCACCGTCTGTTCTTATTACAAGCTACTCCGCTCTCCCTTCATGCTTGCGTGATACTTTCGATTTTCTGGATCAGGTCGAAGTGAGTGTGCACAATCCACCTCTAAAGGCCTACCTGGTCCAGCGCCTGCAACAACGTGACAGAGCTCTATCAAGCGTACGCGATCCCACGATCAATGGTAAATGAGAATGCGCAGGAGTATCTGCATTTGGCAACTGCAGCTCTGGTGCTGTTGTTGCTTGTTAAAATCCCAAGAAGTCAATAACACTGCGCTTAAAATTTAGGAGTCGACAGAACTGAAGGGCCATTGTCAAGTTGCACATCACCGTCTGACGTGGATATGCCTTCTTCCAAAGGGGTGCTGATGATGCTTTCAGCCTTACGCGCTAGGGCGGACTCCGGTAGCGGATCATTCAACTGAGATCTCCGCCCCGCCAAATAATTTCACAAGTGACTCCAACATCGATTACAACAGCAACATCAATCTAGACTTTTTCTCACCTACGTCACAACTTGAGCTCGAAAACTCACGTAGGGATTGCGGCTTTTCCACAGCCGGAGAGAACAATTGAGCGCTCGCTTGAAGAACAGTAGCATCACAAAGGGAGCTGAATAGCAACCCCTCCACCACACCTCCACGGCCATGTCGACCTTCGGCCAGCACTTCAGGGTAACCACGTAAGTCAGGGCAGGTAGAGGTCTGATTGAATCGAGTCTGACAACCTACCAGCTATGGCGAGTCCCACTGCCTCAGCGTCGGCGCCATCATTGATGGCTGCCCTCCTGGCATGCAGCTCACCGAGGCCGATATCCAGCCTCAGATGACACGACGACGCCCCGGTCAGTCCGCTATCACAACTCCGCGAAACGAGAAGGACAAGGTCGAGATCCAGTCTGGTACCGAGTTTGGCCTCACATTGGGCACACCGATTGGCATCAGGGTCATGAACGAGAACCAGCGCCCCAAGGACTACGGCAACAAGACCATGGACATGTACCCCAGGCCGAGTCACGCAGACTGGACCTACCTTGAGAAGTACGGTGTTAAGGCCAGCTCTGGTGGTGGAAGGAGTAGCGCACGTGAGACCATTGGTGAGTCGCATATCAGATCTAGCTACCAGCAAGCGTCTAACATTGTCTAGGACGAGTCGCTGCCGGTGCGATCGCAGAGAAGTACCTGCGCGATGCCTATGGCATCGAAATTGTCGCGTTCACAGCCTCCATTGGCAACGAGTTCCTCTTCCCTCCCACAGCGACACACCCCACCGCTTCCACCAACCCTGAGTACTTGAAGATGATCGACACAATTGATCGCAAGACCGTTGACTCTTTCCTTCCCGTGCGATGCCCACACGAGGAGAGCAACCAGCGTATGGAGAAGCTCATTGGAGAGTTTAAGGAGAGGGAAGACAGCATTGGAGGCACAGTGACATGCGTCATCCGCAACTGTCCCACTGGGTTGGGTGAGCCGTGCTTTGACAAGCTCGAAGCCAAGCTCGCGCATGCTATGCTCTCCATTCCAGCTACCAAGGGCTTCGAAATTGGATCTGGTTTTGGCGGTGCTCAGGTACCCGGCTCCATCCACAACGATGCCTTCATCAAGGCGCCTGCTGTCCCTGCAGGTGCTAACGGCACATCAAATTACCCGCGACCAAGACTCACTACCAAGACCAACAACTCTGGTGGTATCCAGGGTGGTATCACTAACGGCGCGCCAATCTACTTCAACGTTGCTTTCAAGCCTCCTGCCACAATTGGCCAGGCCCAGGAAACTGTAACCTACGACGAAGCCGAGGGTGTTCTCGAAGCCAAGGGCCGGCACGACCCGTGTGTGGTGCCTCGTGCGGTACCCATTGTTGAGACCATGGCGGCGCTGGTGATCATGGATGCGGTCCTGGCGCAGCAGGCGAGAGCGGGTGCTAGGAGTTTGTTGCCGGTCCGTGAGGGTGTCGTGCCCGTGCAGAGGTAGATCTGTACGACGCCTTGTAACATCTTTTATTTGATTCACATAAACATATAGACGTTGATCTGGTGAAATCGAAAATGAACCAGTTTCTGTTAGTTGCACTCACATGGAGATCACTTGTCCGTTCAAGATAAGCGACGTGCGAAGATGTGTGCTTGGTGTTTGCATTCTAGATGGTCGAAGGATTCTGTGTAACCGAGTCTGTAGCTAGAACACGATGGATCCATCGTTTTCGGCCCTTCTGATAGATCGATGTGTCTCGAAACTCCGATTGTTAAGTCCAACATCCTCGCACAGACATTTAGATTCCAGCTCAGGATTCAGATGGAAGAAGGCCTGGGAATCCACGATGACGTAGCTAACTGATCCTGCGACACAATAACTACATATATTGGGCACGTATGAAGACTTTGCCGAAGTCTAGCGTGCACAAGTGTCTTCAGAGGCCGCTGTTTGCCGCAACCGGACGAGGCTGCGACACCAGGAACGACTGACACCAGGAACGACTGACACCAGGCCGCCGAGCCGCTGAACGGCATCCACATTCAACATGCCCGATGCAACCAGTACCCCAGCGGTGGATAATATCCGAGGCCCTACAGGTTGAATTCGGCCCTTCTGCCCCCGCAAAATTTGGGAGCGAACAGATACCCTGGAGATCACTACTGTCTCAAGAGCTTCCACGCACGCATTTCGTTGATGCGCAGGGTCCGTCTGCGTGTCGTCCAGTCCGAAATCCACACCACGAGCTCGTACCTGTATTGGCATCATCGATGCATCGAGATTCAGCAAATCACTGTGTGAGGTAGGCAGACACTTGCTCAGTAAACAGCGTATCAGATGTTCGCCACCCTCGTGCTAACCGCCATTTGGGTTGCAACACTCAAGGCAGATGGAGCGCTCTGGGACGCGGCGGACACGGCAATTATCATCTGGGTGGCAGCAGACCGCAGAGACTAGATCGTGCCTCGGTGTTCCCGACAGAGCCTCCACTGCACCCTGGCCATAGAAATGTCTGGGCCCGAATGGGAGGATGCAGCTCGGCTAAAACATGGGAATGTTTGGTTTTCGATACGAATTCCCATAACAAAGTGCGGTTCTCGGGATTAAGTAGTCCCCTGCCTATCGTGCATCTGGAGGATACTTCCGCCACCGGTGCCGAGTTTGATCGTTGCTTAGCCTCGCGGAACGGACAACTAAGGCAGGCGCGTTGGTTCGAAGAGAGGCTAGTCGCACGTCACATCTACCGAATCCGAGTACACCTGCCGTCGCGGGCGGGCAGTGGCTAACCCTTCGTTGCGAAATTTCCAGCTCGAGACTTAGCATGTCAAGAACTTGAATTCCTCCACCCCGGAGCGCGCGTGAGTCCCTTTCCCACCTTTTGTTGCGCACTCTAGCAGCTATGGCCCGCGGCTCTGCAGCCACCCAGCCCGATGATGGGGACGCCCAACAGGGAGAGTCTAAGGGAACCAAGAGACGATGTGTACAGTCTGCGTGCGTACCATGTCGCAAGCGCAAGTCCAAGGTCAGTAAGCATTGTGTTTGTTTTTATAGACCTCCAGACTAAGGGGTGGGCTGATCTGGAGATTCGCCTCCGCGGACTGCTCCTGCGGTTCAATCGCCCCGAAAATACATGACCAGCTGGTCTGACCTCGTGTTAAACAACGGGTCGGGTAGGTGCTGACAACACTCACAGTGTGACGGTGCGACGCCATTCTGCGCAACATGCACGGCGGTCTACAAGACTCCATGCCACTACGACGCCGAGAGCGAGAGCCGGCGGTCTAAGTCATCGTCGTCCGCGGCCTCTGTTGGCACCAAGCGTGAAGCCTCTGCCGCAGTCGCGTCGCACACAGGGGAAGCACTAACCGCCGACTCTATCATCAACTCCATCAGAACTCTCCCAGAGGAGCAAGTGCTCGACCTCATTCAGCAAATCCGAAAAGACCCCAAGGCTGACATTCCGGCTCTTGTGAACTCATGGCGTAACACTGTCGCGCTGCCCCAGCCATCCTCACCGTTCGACGTGCAAAGCCTGGAATCGGACCTAAGCGTGCTTCTAGGCAAACCAGCAGTCACTCTGACAGGGCAGAGCAGACACTTCGGCCACTCTGCTAGCTTGGGTCTGGTGACTGAAGACGAGGACTATGGCGTTGGCCTTACTCGAATGCACGCCGTTGATGCGCAGAGACGAGGAACTACCTGGACGACAGTGTCAGACGACCTGGCCTTCGTCAACCGACTGCTCACCCTCTACTTTACGTGGAGTCACCCCTTTTACATCATCTTCAGCCGCGAGAGCTTCTACAAAGACTTCAACGACGGGCGGAACAAGTATTGCTCATCCTTGCTAGTCAACGCCATCTGCGCCTACGCATGCCATCTGACAGACGAACCTGCTGGACGAACAGACCCCTCCAACTTCCGCACAGCGGGCGACCACTTCTTCGCTGAAGCCAGGAGACTACTACAAGAAGATGAATCCCCCAGTCTTACAACTACACAAGCCCTCTGTCTCATGGCCATGCGCGAGCCCAGTACTGGACGGGACAGCTCAGGTTTTGGGTACATTGGAAGATGCATTCGCATGTGTGTTGAGTTGGGCCTCCATCTCAACAACAGCGCCAGTCCTGCGCTGGGCTTGACTCCAAGTGAAGTCGAGGTCAGGAAAGTCACTTTTTGGGGCTGCTACACGGTTGACGCGTAAGTGTGCTTCTTGCATCTCGCAATCAGAGCTAACATCGTACAGAGTGTGGTCCATTTGCGCCGGTCGAATCACTCAACTGCCCCGAGCAGCTATCACACTCGAAAAGCCGATCCTGGAGGAGTCTAGTGGGCCCCTGGAAGCAAATTATGGCGCAGCAAAAGTCATCACCACACGCATGTTCTTACAGGAGTTTTCTGCGCTTTCAGAACTCATTAACGACAACAACTACATGTTCTTTGCGCCAAAAGAGCGCCTCACGAGCACCAAGCTGCTGGACTGTTACAACAAATACCAAGCGTGGTACCGAAAACTGCCATCCATCATGAGACTTGAGGGTCGATCGCCTGAGCCTCACACAATCACGTTGCAGTGCGTTCAATGCATCCCAGTCAAGATTTATTGCTGACCCTCGATAGTATGCTATACTGGACCGTAATCGTTCACCTCTTCCGTCCAATGCTGAAGGTCGACCTGCTACACTCGGACGTTCATCCTCGCGATAAATGCATCGAAGCAGCCAACAAAGTCTCAGAGCTTACTCGGCTGTACCGTTCAATGTACGACTTCCGCATGGCGCATCTCGCCATCCCGCACATACTTCTCTCAGTCACAATTGTACACCTTCTGTACTCGAAAGACAATCCGACCTCACGACAAAACCTCGTAGAAGGCTTGCAGGGTTTGGAGGCGCTTCACGAATGTCATTACTTTGGAGCAAGAAGCTTTCGGATCATACACACTCTGGCCAAAACGTGGAACCTACCGTTTCCGGAAGAGCTGAAGAACTCGAAGCTTGTGCCTCGAGATGATCCCAACAGGCCTCCAGGGACAGTCAGCCCTCCTCCCGACCCTCTTCTGGTGGCTCCCAATACGGCTGCCCTTGTCAACCGTATGGGGCCGGGTGGATATCCTCAAATTCCCGAGCCTCATAGGAGAGGTAGTCTGTCGATGTTTGCGAACAGGAATTTGCAAGTCAACACGCATCTCGCATCGCGACCGGGCTCTGTTGTTCCTAGCCAGCATCATGGTTCACCGATAGTATCGCAAACACCCAGTCAGCCATCATTCAGCGCAGGTATGCCTATGGCTTCGTACACGTATTCCCAATCCATGTCCTCCATGACGATTCCAACGACAAGCACAACGACCTCGGAAGCAACGGAGGCTATGTTCTGGACGCCCATTGCTGGAATTCCGGCTCCTATACTGCCCCGGGTCAGTTACCAGCAGATCAGCCCTATGGGTCTGGATAGTGTCCTTCACACAGGGGATACGGGCAATCGGCTAGGGCGTGATGGTTTCAAGATCAATGAAGATTGGCAACAGACTGGAGTTCACGGCTTCGGGACGGGTGCGCCAGGTGGCTACGAACAGACTGGCCAGGGTGGTGGATCATATCCCGTGTCATATCAGCGCAACAGTCATAGCGGCCAACACGGACAGGCACAGGAAGATTTTGACCCTTCGTGGTGGCAGAACGGAGCTGGGAACTCGAGCCAGATGAGTTGATGAGAGCATGGTTCACCAACAGCTTCGTCTGTCGGCAGTGCGCTTTCTCCTCTTTGTTTGATACCCCCCAAGTGGCAGAGCTTAGGCGCAACGGTGGTGCATGGATTCAGGCCAGGTGTTGTGGCGATGCAACACGCAGACTGTTATGTTTGTTGATGGCATTTTCTGGTAGTTCTGGTGGTGCCTCTGGTGAGGTGGATCTGAATGTGTCGATTCTGGGTTGGGTTCGTGTTGTTTTGTTTTGATGTCGATGGAGCTAGCATAGCAGCGCATGGAAGGCTAGACGCATTGCGGGCGTTGGGCGTCGGCGGGTGTTGTAGTTCAATTCACAATCCAAATCACGACTCGTCTGAGCTGTTCGCGGCCTCTGCACCGCGCTCTCGAACCCTGTCAACTCTCCTCGAAGCCCGATTGTTGGAGTCTGGCCCTGTGACGCCCTGACCTTGTTCCCGGCAAGGTAGCCTTGCCTTGTCATAATGACATATATTCTGGACAGCGGGCGACGCTTGTCTCGCAAACTTGAATTTTGGGATCGGCTGCCCGCAATACGTAGATTGTCCTGAACCAAGAGAAACAAGCAATGTGAAGTCGAATCAAGCGCAGCCACGTCCGAATGACGAGCGCACAGGCCGCTTAAAAGCGCCGACCATGGAGAGATTGTGGCTTGCTCCCTTCTCCTGTTCCCCAGACAGAACGTCATTTGTTTACGAGCTCAGCCCCTCCATTGCCCGCTCCTTCCTCAGCCGCACTTTGCACGTGTGAGCGCTGTGCAGGTCCACAAAGACCGTGTGCGAGCACTACTACCACCCTATACTGGCGACCTTGTTCGCTTGTCCGTCGCCATGAGCGGCATGCGTGCGCATCTCGCCAACCGCCTTCGCAGTTCGTCGCTCTCCGCTGTCCCTCCACCACGCCAGAGCTCAGATTATTCAGTCGACCTGGCCAAGGCCGCTGCTTCCATTCTCTACCGCAGTCCCGTACGGTCTAAGGAGGGGAGGCCTGTGTTTATCCTCAACGCTGCTGCCCTCCCAGATACGCACGAGACCGACTTCGACCAGCTTCTCCCCTATGTCCTCGCACGCTTGCCAGAGGAGGATGAGCTGCTGAAGGGGTACGAGTACGAGGTTGTCTTCTTTGCAGGAGACGGCGATGGCTCAGTCACGTCGAAAAAACACCGGCCGGGCTGGGGTTGGTTCCTGCAAGCGTACCATGTGCTGTCTCGTGCCATGCGGAAGAGGCTGCAGCGGCTCTACATTGTGCACGAGAAGGCTTGGGTGAGGATCTTAACCGAGATCTTCTCGACCATCGTCAGCCCCAAGTTTAGGAGGAAGATCTACCACGGTATGACCTGGCCTGGAGACTGTACGGCAAAGACGATGACTGACTTGTGCAGCCTCCAACCTGACCCAGCTTGCGCTCTACATCCCGATCGGGAATCTCCTCATACCGCCCTCGACATACCTCACCGACCGCCGCATCTCCGATGACATCTTCGTCCCGTACGCCAGCGGCCGTCGTGCGTTTGCGGCGCGCAATCCGTTCCCCAACACCAGCAGAGGCACAACGCGCTTCCCACGAGTCCTACGAGAGACTACAAGCTTCATACTGCTGGAGGAGAACATAACATCCGAGGGCTTGTTCCGCATCCCAGCACACTCCAAGCTGCGCGAGGTGCTCAAGGAGGCATACGACCGCGGCCAGAAGTACATCATATGGAAAGACAACGGTGTCACACTGCCAGTGCCAGCATACCCCGAAGCAGAATACCAGGACGAGATCATCGCAGAGGTGGACCCCAAGGATGCATACTCGGTGTTCATGGCAGCCGCGCTGATCAAAGCGTGGTACTCGAGTTTGCGCCAGCCAATCTTCCCTTCGGAGTCGTATCGGGATTTGAAGAGACTGTTTGGCGACCCTCAGCAAGTCCCTGATGTTGACCAGCTTCGAGACCTGTTCTCGCCAAGCTCTGAGTGGTCTTTCCTACCTGCTATCTCGCGAGAGGTCGTGGTCAGGCACCTTCTACCGCTTCTCCACGAGGTAGCGTCGCGGCAGGAGCAGAACAAGATGACAGCTGAGAACTTGGCTGTCTGCTTTGCGCCTGCGCTACTGTGTGGACCGGACCAGATCGAGGATGCTAAAATGTCTTCGATAATCAGGAGGATATTCACACATGCTGTCGACATGTGGGACCACGGCTTGCGGGAAGCGTGCGGTCAGGAAGTGAACGCTTTCAGAGACCAGCTGCAACTACCTAATGACATGAGCGAATGGGACGACCCAGTCGAAGTCAAGAGAGGGGACAGCAGGGATTCAATCGACGAGCAGATGAGCGGCATCACCTTGCAGGACAGCGAGAAGGCACCCGAATCGTACGCAGACTACCCCCAAGCCACATCGTCAGCGATGAAGCCTCCACACCTACCTCCTCGATCTCGCGTACCATCGGCCAAGTCCTCCGGTGACTCTGTTCAGAGGAGGCCAGCCCCTCCTCTAGCAGTACCTCCGAGGTATTCTGCAGTCGTTTCAGATGCACCTGATGATGTCGCCGAATCACCCATAACCTACGCAGCGACCACGGATGGCTTCTCGCCACGACGACAGGGGTTCGATCAAGCGCAACGGGCAACTCACCCTGATGAGAAGAAGTCCGGTACGGCAGTCCAAGTTCCTATTCTTGCTTCTTCGTCTGCTGCAAAGGATGCGAAGCCTGCTACTTCGGCTGCTCCCACCCCTGCTTCTGCTCCTCAAATCATTCTCCCTAAGAGGAAAGCCCTGACCCCAGCACAGGTTGATAATGTGGAGAAGTCCGCCGACAAGCAGGATCAAGCACGCAAGATCTCTGAACATGGCCTCGGCCGCTTCTTCCCACAGGGCCAGGCGTTGCCGGGCCTCACTGATTTGCCTGGCATTGACACAACAGGCAACAAGAGGTGGGTGAGTCCGACGTCGTATACACCAAGCGAGACTACCTCGCCGAGTACCACGCTATCTCCTACACAACTAGGCCCCAAACCTGCATCGGCAACGGAGACTCGAAGACCCAGCGTTCCCTTCGCCAACCGCACACCTCAGATCACAGGTCTCGCACGACCAGTCTATCCCGCGCCAACAACAAACACACACATCCACCCCGTCACCGGGCGCCCTCCCTCAAAGTCCACCAGCCTGCCCGTCCCCGCGCCAAAGCCTCGAGCAGTCAGTCCAGGACTGCTGAAGCGCATGCCCAGCTTGGAGCAAACCAACAAGCCCGAACCCGAGCGCTTGGCACCGCGCAAGCTGAACTTGAAGAAGGCGTCTGTGGAGGATCTGAGGAAATTGTATGAGGAGCGGGCGGGGACGGCGAACGTGTTGGTCGAGGTTAGCAGGCAGAGGAGTTTGAGCGTTAGCCCTAGTATACGGGAGTGAAGCGTGGTCTGCAGCGTGTAGTTTGTTGGATACCCTGGTTGAGCATATATTGGTGTTGTAGAATATGGGCTTGTAATCACTTTTCAAAACCGAACTTTGTGAAATCCGAACTTTGTGAAATCTTGTGGCTGCCCTATCTCTTTGAGGGGGGGGGGGGGGGACTTGTCTATCCCATGTCTAGTACCTGTCGTCTCGCGCTTCTACTCATCCGTGTCACTTCCCTCCTCCTGCGCAGCGCCTTCAGCATTCTCGCCTTGGAAAACGACCTGTACGCCAACGTCCTGTAGCCGTGCCCGGACGACCTGGAAGCGCTCGCTGTTCCGCCGGAATTCGTCGAGACTGCTTCCGCCTTCTTGTAAGGCACGAACGAGGTTCTCCTCCGTCAGTCCGCCGCCGACTAGCGCTTCGATGTCGATGCTCTGGAAATACCGCCGCAGGTCCTCCAGGTCGGAGAGGAGTTGGTTCCGATCTACGGCGGAGCGCTGGCCTCGCGGACCGGCGAGGGAGGCCATGTCGTACGAAGGCTGGTTGTCGTCGGGCGGCAGCGGGTCCGAGACGGAAGTGTACCGCTCCTTGACGCTTGTATCGAGGAGCGAGATGAGGCTCTGGTCGTCGCTGAGGATAACGTGGCGAGCCAAGTCCAACGCGTCGATGTCTGCGAGCCAATACGGGTCCAGCCCGTCCGCCAGCGGCTCATCAAAGCTGTAGCATATCTCGACAAGCAGACTCGTGCCCTCGGTTGTGTTCCACAGATCTTTCGCGCGCAGGACGTATAGGCGACACAGCAACTCTTGGTAGTCGTTGTGAGGTTCTTTGCCCCATACTGGCTTCGGGATGGGCGAAATGTCGAGTTCTTTGCATAGCCTAGCCGCGAGCCAGGGATATTCGCGCACCGCGTTCTTCAGCGTGCTGCGCGCCTTGACGGGCTCTTTGAGCCGCAAGTGTGCGAGGGAGGTGGAGAATGCGAGGTTCGGCGGGATCTTCCATGACCGTTCTAAAACGTCGGATTCCGCGATCGAGAGGAGTGATTCCGGGGACCGCCCGCGCAAGGCGAGTTGATCGGTTAGCAGGCGCATGCAGTACGGGTCGTCCTCTGGGGCGAGTGAGAGCAGGAGCCGCGCCCATTCGAGGGCGGTGCGGAAAGTTGCGCGGACGCACAGAGTGGCGATGTAGCGCCAGATGGCGAGGAAGAATTCGCGGTTCTCTGGGCGCGAGAACGATAACCGCGCTTTTCCGGCGGAGAGCGCGGAGGAGAAGGTGCTGTGCACGCTGCGCCCGAAGGCGAAGAGCGCGCGCTCGAGAAGGTCGGACGCGGATGCGTTGTCGCGCTGCTGTTTTGCGATTTCGGACACTTGGAGGAGTGTGGAGATGTGGTATGGGTTGGTAGCTAGGAGCTGTATCATGCGCTCTGGGTCCATGCTCGCAACGCAGACTTGGAACTGGCGTTGGGTTTCTTGGTAGCTGGTGTTGTGCACGAACCGGTACTCTACGCTGCCGTCGTCGTTCTTGGACACGATTTCCATGCCCAGTCCGCCGGAGGTCGCGCGGGGCCATTCCTCTTTGCCCTGGATGAAGATGTTGCGCCGCAGACTGAGGCCGGTGAGGCGCGAGCCGGGTTGGCTGCGTCCGTTGACGCGGGCGGCGATGCCTTGTTGCTGGCGCTGGCGGGGCTCGTCGTCGTCGGCGTGCTGCAAGGCAGTCCGCCCGAAGAGCTTCTTCATCTCGTTGGCGGCGTGGAGGTGTGTGGTGTCTATGCTGAGGGCGGAGAAGAGTCGCTGGGTTTCTTCGCTGATGGCGGGTGTGAGAGGCTCATCAGTGCCCTTCTTCCCGCTAGAGGTGACTTTGAGGGCAAGGAGGGCCTGGTCTATCTCATCGAGTCCGGAGTCTGTGGCGTGCTTCTGCGGGGTAGCGGTCTTGCTCTTGTTCTTGCTCTTCTTTTTCTTCTTCTTCTTGCTCCTCTTGGAGGGGTTTGATGCTGGCGTGCTTTCGACAACGGGCTTTGGTGCAGGCTCCCCTTGCTCGTCCTCGTCCTCGTCCTCGTCCTCGTCGTCTTCGTCACCATCACCGCCGGCATCTCCGAGCATGGCGAACAAACTCGGTTTTGCTTGCGGTTTTGGCGCCGCCTCTTCTTCTGACTCCTCCTCTTCCTGTTCCCACTTGGCGAGCTTCTCCTGCAGTTCCTTTTCTTCCTGCTCTTTCTGCGCTCGTCGGAGCGCGCGGGACGACATGGCTGATGCACTCTGTTGTTGTTTGCCCTCTCACTGTCGTTGACTTGTCGATTTATTTTTGTGGCGTTGAGGATGACGTCGTGGTGGTGGCGGTGGTGGTGGCGGTGGTGGTGGTGGAGTTTGGGAGCCGCTTTTGGTACGGGCTGGAGCTGATTGATTGGCTCAAGGTCCTCTGTGGGATGGGCTGCAGCTGATTGGCGGCATCGCGACGACCAACGGCTGTCGACCTCACTCTGCGAGCCTCGTGCCCTGCCACTGCCTGCTCAACTCCACAGCCACTGCCTCCAATGCGTCGGGCGGCCTTCCAAGCAGTGCGCTCCGTCCGCCGCCCGTGTCTGCGCAAGTTGGCGCTTCGTCGCGTCGCCTTCGCGGCGCCGAGCAATGGGCTAGCATACCGCGGCCTCCACCTCAGCGGCCGCTCGCGGGCATCGCCGCCCATCCTCACCTCGTCGATGCAGTTCCGCGCCATCACGGGTGCGCTGGTAGCTGCCGCCGTCGCCTCCGGTGCGTTCTATGCTTACAACGGCAACCAGTCGACCAACCCCGCCGCCTCGCCCGTCCACCAGTCGGCCACTCTGAGCACGCAGGCCGGCAGCGAGCCGACAAGAAAGGCGCTGGTCGTCGGCCAGGGCGAGCTCTACACCGGCACCATCACCGGGCCGGGCCCCATCTCAAAGGAGACAGACGAGTACGGGCGGCGGGTGGTGGAGATGCTGGACCCCGACCAGGCCACGGCCAAGCTGCGCAAGAACGAGGAGTCGTGGCTTGTGGGACGCGGACAGGGCGTTGTGCGCTACGACGTGGTCCAGATTCCCTCCAACGACCCGATAGAGGACGACCACGCGGAGAAGATCATCGAGGTGCCCTCCACCCTCGCCGCGACTGACAATGGCGCTGCTGCGAGCGACTGGATGTTCTGGGGCGTCTTCGACGGGCACAGGTGATTGACCAGCGCCAGGCTCATGGACCGCTTGCTAACACACCCATCTCTAGTGGCTGGGTCACCTCCGCAAAACTCCGCCAGACGCTCATCTCGTACGTGGCACGTGAGCTCAACACCACGTACAAGAGCGCGCTTGCAGACCCGTCCCAGCGCTTGCCCAGCCCTGAATCCATCGACAAGGCTATCAAGAGCGGCTTCGTCCTCCTCGACAACGAGATTGTGCACGAATCTGTCAAGAAGGTCAAGCAGGCCAAGTCGAAGATTGCTGCTGCCGAGTTGCTGGCCCCCGCTCTCTCTGGCTCGTGTGCCCTCCTGTCCTTCTACGACAGCCGGTCGAAGCTCCTCCGCGTTGCCTGCACTGGTGACTCCCGCGCTGTACTCGGACGCAGAGCCGCCAATGGCAAGTGGACGGCTACCCCCCTGTCCGAGGACCAGACCGGCGGCACCACCAGCGAGGCCGAGCGACTGCGCAAGGAGCACCCCGGCGAGCCCAACGTCGTCAGGAACGGTCGCATCCTCGGCGGACTGGAGCCGTCCCGTGCGTTTGGCGATGCCTCGTACAAGTGGTCGCTCGAGACCAACGCTGAGCTCAAGAAGTCCTACTTTGCCCGCTCGCCCTCGTCACTCCTAAAGACGCCTCCCTACGTCACTGCCGAGCCCATCGTCACCACCACCAAGGTCGAGCCTGAGAAGGGCGACTTCGTGGTCATGGCCACGGACGGACTGTGGGAGATGCTCACAAACGAGGAGGTCGTCGGCCTCGTCGGTCAGTGGCTCGATACGCAGGGCAGCGTGAACGGCGGAAACGCGCAGACACAGTCCTGGCTGAAGAGCTGGTGGTCCTCTGAGAAGCAGCTGCCGATCGACCAGAAGGACAACGGCGCCGGTGCCGGTCAGCGCGCGCCCATCCGCCAGCAGCAGTGGGGCACCAAGACCAACCTGAACGAGCGCTTTGTCGTTGAAGACAAGAACGTCGCAACGCACCTTGTGCGCAACGCGCTTGGTGGTAAGGACCAGGACCAGCTGAGCGCCCTGCTCACTTTGCCCAGTCCCTTCTCGAGACGCTACAGGTATGTTTTGCGTTGCGGCTGCGATAGCGACCATGAAAGTGCTGATCTGCTCTAGGGACGACTTGACGGTCGAGGTCATCTTCTTTGGTGAAGGCACAGCCAACGGCAACGTGACACTGAACAAGGAAGCCAGCGCACCGGCGCCTGGGCCGAAGGCCAAGTTGTAGATGTCGCAGCACCTGATGCTTTCCATCCCTATGCTCAGCATAAATAGCACGGCGTTCACATGGCGTGGGGAAGAGGAGCAAGTTTCGCCCTCATGGTATGTACCATAGATCTTAGCCATTCCACGAGCCACTCACGTCTTCGGACGGTTCACCTTCTGCTCGTATTCTTCTTGGAATCTTTCACCTCATTCAAGCTTTCTTCCGCCAGTCACCATCGGAGCATTCTCAACATCCCTGCTTCCGACTTTGTGCATGGACCACTCCGCTACCGCGACACAGCTCCTGCCTCATTACAGCCTGTTTCGTTTACTGACAAACGCCAAGAGCATGTTTCAGCCGCCTGTTAGCGGTTTCCGAACCACCACCACTTGGCAGCTGCCCGCTACCAAGATACTCAATCACGCATACGAAATTATAAGGGCCGGGTGCACCGTATAATGATCATGACGGCGCCGACGGGCGCTTGGTAGAGACAAGCAACGCCATTGCACCCACTCTATAAAGCGTTCTGCCTCCCCCTACAAGATGCTAACCAGCTACTACGTTCACTACCATTCTCTCACCCATTTCCACATTCGTTACTTTCAAAATGGCTAAAGGACAGGTCCTTTCTCTTCTTCTCGCGCAGTGCGCATTGCTCGCTTCCGCTGCTCCCCACGCATGCCCCAAGCGATCTTCCGTCCCAACCCTGAGCTCCTCTCTCCCCTCCTCCACCGTAGCACCCATCATCGCATCTTCCCCTGCTGCCTCCTCCACCGTCCGTGCCGAGGCCGCAGCACCCGCCGAATACACCGCCAACCCTAGCATTGGCGGCGGCGGCGGCTCCAACGTGGCCGAGTCAGCCCACTTCCGTGTGATCAGCGCCTCAACCTCTTCCATAGCCAACCAATCCCTCCAGCACCTCGAAGCCGCCCATTCCTGCTTCGTCGAGACCCTCGGATGGCGCACCTCCGGCCTGTCCTTCAACACTGGCGGCATCGGCAAGGAAGTCGGGCCCTGGTACAAGCTCAACGTGTACAGCAAGGCCGCGTCCGACATGTCTGGTGCTGCGGGTGTACAGGGCACGGATGCGGAAGCGGGCCTTGCGTACCTCAATGTTGTGGATGAGTACCTCGATGTGCCGGATGTGGTTGTGCATGAGTTTGGGCATAGCATGCATTTGAGCGAGAAGAACTGGGTTGATCAGGTGAACACGGGGGCGTGGTGGGAACCGATTGCGAATTTCATCGCGGATACGTATATTTCTACGCCGACTTGCAATGCTGCGCGCGCCGCGGCGGGCTTGTCGGGCGAGGAGGGCGAGAGCATTATTTCGCTGCAGAAAGTCATCGGAGATTCCTACCAGGTGCTGGTAGACGGCACCCAAGGAACAGGTAATTATAGCACCACTTGAGGCTTTTTAAAGCGTACCTAGCTAACTTGACAGGAAACTACTACGAATCCTGGCCCTTCATCGCATACCTAACCAATAACCCGGACTCCTACGCCGGTCTCGGCAACGATACCCTGCTCCGCATGATCCGCAAGTACAAGTTAGAGTCCAACGAAACCCCCCTCCATACGCTAGAGCGCTTGCTCTCTGAAGCGACCGGCAATGTCACCGTCCAGCATGTTGTGGGCAGGTACTGGGCGCATATGGCGTACGTCGACATCGGTCACGCCAAAGCACACGAGGCTTTCACCGCTCAGCGTAGCGGGCTGACGTATGGTAACCTCGACGGCTCCAATGGTGAATACACGGTTAAGAGTGCACGCGCACCGAGGTATTTGGGCGCTAATATTATTCCGCTCACTGCCACCGGATCCAGCGTCGATGTGGCTATCACCTCCGAGGACACTGGTTACACAGCTACCCTTGTGGTATCAAACACATCTGGTGTGAAATACACTGACGTTGTGGCTGGCAAGGGCAGCGTCCAGGTCGCTGAGGGCGACGAGGTTTCCCTCGTTGTAGCCAAGACGCCGGAGCTGGTTACGTACGACGCTTTCAACATCAGCGATGAGTTGAACCAGGGTCTGCAGTATAGCGTCAAGATTACTGGTGCGACTGCTTAGAGCGCGATAGTGGGGCAGCGAGACCGAGTGCTAGTGCGCATGTCGTGGTCGAGCTGTGAGGTTCATGTTTGGAGCTTGTATATACTGTACCTTCAAAATCTACCATTTTGCCATTTGAGTCCCTTTTCCGCGAGGTTCGTCGTACTACCTTCTTGACGTGATGTCAGCAGAATTCCGTATGTACCGACGTACGAACGTGCGAACATCGAGATTATCAACATGGCGTTGCTGTCTACAGCCTCATCGACTTCGAGGTATCGTTGTAGTATGGTGTGAGCATCACTGATGCTACCGCTAAGATGGCGTCGCCGGTGCGGGTGCGAGGGCGAGATTCGCAGTTTCGGATTGGCGGCGCAGGGGTTTTACATAGCACTTCATTCTCTTTCTACAAATCCAAAGGTGAACGAACGTTTGTGGTTGTGGAGAAGTAATGGTTCAGCTCGCATGCTGTGTCCCAATCAAGCTAGAGGCCGCGACATGCCGTTTTGATGATGTCACAGCGACGCGGAAGTTCGAAGCTACAAAACGCGCCTGTCGAGCTTCGATCCTGTCACACAAGCTACTGCCAATCGAATACTCAACGGTCCTTCGCGTATACACTTCGAAAACATGTCTGAATCTTTGGCCGCATTCCGTACTGGACGCAGCAAGGAGCTCGCCCAGCTTGCCGAAGACCACATCAACCATGAGTATGTGCTGTACAACAGCTGACGACAGCCAATTCTGACATGCTACAGCTTAAGCCAGCAGGATCAGGAGCTTCTGAAGAGCGCAGCCAAGAAGGTTGGAACCCACGCGACTGTCGCCTCCCTGGCTGGCCTTGGTCTTGGTGTCTTTGCTGCGATTCGATTGCGCAGCATGCGCGTAGCATACTTCAAGGCCTTCAGGGCGATGGAGAAGCCTGTTGAGCTTCGCTTTGCGGACGGCCGAACTGGCGGGTTACTCTAAACAGCAAGCCAGAGACCGTAGACTAACCGTTGCGCAGAGCCCATTCCTGACATCTCCGCACAGCTCGCACCCTCAAAATGGGGCGATGCTGCGACCTACTTCTTCTTCTCGGTCGCCGGCCTCTTCCTCGGTGGTGAGCTCGGTTTAATCACCGGTACTGCATCGGCGACAAGAACAATCACAAGCGACCCGGCAGCGAAAGAGCGCATCGAGAAGGCCTTCAAGAACTACCGCGTCGATGTCTTGAAGCGCGAGATCAAGCAGCTGGAGGGCAAGAGCACTTTTGAGCAGATGTTCAGCTCAAGCAGCTCGTGACTATCTGAAGTAACAGGCATGAGAAGAATCATGCACTTCCTGCTCTACTGGAAGCCTCATTGAGGGACTTGGATAATGATTACCTTGTGCATATATAATCAATTGAATAAAATAACTTTCCACAGGGCTTGGCGTATCGTATTGGGCATAAATTTGATCGACAGCTGTCAAAACGCAGGGAGCACCTCTGCAGCCCGCCAACACGCATTTTCCCCACTCCCCAGCAACCCCCAAACCCGCGACGACCCAGACTCGCAATTACGTGTTGCGCTAAAATGGACGGTCAGCAAGACTCGTGCGGCTCTGGAGGATCAGTGGCTGGATTGATGCGGCTACAAGGCTTAGCTTGCGTGGAAACGGGGCTAAGACGTCACATCAAGGAGGTCGATGCAGGCCTATTCTGGTCTTGAAAAGCACCGCCGCAGCGCTCTGACTTGGGTCTCAACAACCGCCTGCTGTCGCTTTATTGTTGCTTGTGCCTGCTAGTTCCTGTCAGGGCTCTGCCACGACTTCCTTCGCGACCGGAGTGTTTGTTTCACACTAACGAATTTTCACGACTTTGGATTTACTGCATCGTTGATAGCCGCTGCATCTTTTGAGATTGGGGTACATAATTCATCGCTATATTTACACTTGACCTTGCGTCGATCATGAGAGGCACGACTCTATCTCTGCTATGGCTCGCAGGTCTCGCTGCGGGCCAGAGTAGCTCATCTACAGCATCGCCATCTATCATCACCCTGACTGGTACACAAAGGCAGCTCACCGGCGGCGAGTTCGGCGGATCGGTCACAGTACCATCAGACTTCGAAGGCAGCACGTTCGCAACCTTGACCAGCGCGCCGCCTGGAAGTACCGCGTCCACCAATGCAACCGCTTCAGCATCTTCAAGCGAATCCGTTATTAACATCGGCGGTGGAAACAGGACGAGGACACCAATTGGATCTGGCACCGGCTCAGCAGCGCTGCCCCAGAATACACAAGCATGCAACAACTATGTCGAGTTCTGCAACCGCAAATACTCCAACATCACAGAAGTCGCCGCTCACAACTCACCGTTCACTACGGAGCGCAACGTAGGCCGTAACCAGGAATACGATGTAACTCAGCAGTTGAACGATGGTGTCCGAATGCTTCAGGGCCAGGCTCACTACGTCAACGGCACACTTTACTACTGCCATACATCTTGCGATCTCCTCAACGCCGGCACGGTCGAGGACTACCTGAAGAAGGTGGTAGCATGGGTAGAAGCGCACCCTTTCGATGTCGTTACGATCATCTTCGGCAACTACAACTATGAAGACAAGGATGCGAACGGCAACCCTCTTGTGACATCCTCCGCCTTCGACGTACCCATCAGGTCTTCCGGGCTTTACGAATACATCTACCAGCCCCCAAAGACCGCCATGGAGCTCGCCGACTGGCCCACTCTTGGACAGATGCTACTCCAGCAGAAGCGCGTTGTGACCTTCATCGACTACAACTTCGACACCGACGCTGTACCCTACCTGCTGTGGGAGTTTTACAACATGTGGGAGACACCGTACTCGCCGACCGACTTCAACTTCCCCTGCACGATCGGACGACCTGAGGGTGTCAGCGATGAGAAGGCGAGGGATCTGCTGTACATGGCCAACCACAACCTGAACGTTGAGATTGCGATTGCTGGATTGAGCTTGTTGGTGCCTAATGTTGCTGCGACAAACACCACGAACGGACTTGAGGGCAACGGCAGTCTGGGACTCATGGCCAACCAGTGCACATGTAAGCTTTCCCCCATGCTCTCGAACAATATTGAAAAATACTGACAATGTATAGCTGACTGGGGCCGCCCACCGAACTTCCTCCTCGTCGACTTCTACAATCAAGGACCCATTAACGGCTCCGTCTTCGAGGTCGCTGCCCGCGCGAACAACGTCACATATACCCGCGAGTGCTGTGGTAAGGCCACATCTCTTGCGACCGCACTGCTGACGCCATCTGCTACATACTTCGGGCTCGTAGTTGCTGTCGTTGCGGCTCTGTTGATATAGATGGAGTTACAGGCAGCGAGTATTGGATCTTGGATAGAACACGAGATTGGGTAATGAGCATCTCACGGCGTTGAGTTTGTGATTAGATTTGCATAGCGTTTTGCTAGACCTGAACAGATGTATCGATGCATCATTTCGCTGTAAAGTTTAGTCTAGTTCTCAACTATCTTCACGCAAGCAGAGGCTCACGAGCCTCATCCTCCGTCGTGTTCATTTTGTCTTTCTCTGGGTCCCTCAAGGCCATCAAAAGCCCCAACGCTACAACAAAGAGAGAACCAGCAACCAGATACGGCAGACCGAGCCAGTTTTCGCCTTTGTGTTTAAGCGCCGCAGTGTATAGCCACGCATAGATCGGCCCGCTGATCGAGCCACCAATAGCGCGCAGCATAGTGATAGCTGAGTACATAGTACTCAGATCACTTACGTGGACCATGTCGGTTGCCATTGAGCGAGTCAGAGAGTCTTGTCCGGTTCCTAGGGCAAGCACGACGATGCCGATGATAGCAATGGCAACTACGGGTGCAAACCCTAGGCACAAAGTGCCTATTGCGAGCGCAACCAGACTTCCCTGAGCGAAGGCTTTATCCTTGGCGAATGTTGAGAGTTTTCGGAATGCTGAGGGTAAGCCCGAGGTGAGCGCTGGTAGTATTACCACAAGTGCAACGAATTCGATGCTCATCTCCAAGGAGCTGAGAAAGCTGGCCTACTCAGATGGGGTGATCAGTAAGACTTATTGACAAAACGCACAATGATAGGACTTACGTCTGAGAAATCCCAGCCAAATCGTTTCGAGATGTAGATGGCCAACATCGAGGGCACGGAGTCGTAACCTAGCTGACAGAAGAACACTAAGATCAACATCGCCAATACTTGCTTGTTTCCAACAAGCAGCTTAGCAACGTTCTTCAGAGCCTTCATCGACGAAGCAACACTCCAGCTTTCGACCGACTTATCGGCATCTCGAGACGTGCTGTGGTCCTGCACAGTCATCTTTGGAATGAGCCCGGAAGTGATAGTTCCCAGCACAAGACAACCCAACCCAACGCCCCACGGCAGGAAGGTACTGACTTTCATCATGAACCCGCTAGCCGCATAGCCCAAGATACTCGCCGCGACACCTGCCGCTCTTGCACGGAAGAACATCCTCGTCCTTTCTTCCGCGCTGACAACATCGGCAATGATGACATGCAGCAGGGTAACAACGACCGTGAAACCGCCACCAACACAGCTGAATATAAAATGCAACCAGATCAATCTGATAGGAAACACATCTGGAAACCAGCAAACCAGGAACGGCCACCCATCTTCAAGAAACACGCCAAACACCGCAATAGCCAGGATGATGCTGTGTCCATATCGATCTGCCAGCGCCGCAAACGGAATCGCCAGAATACTCGGGATGATGATGGACAACCTCTCAAGACCGCCTAAAAACGCAAGTTCCTGCTGCACAGGCGCGATCTTGCAGTCGTGCGGGCCTGAAGATCGATAGTGCTGATGGCAGACGATGGATTCGTAGATTGCGATGCGGGGCGCAGGTTGCAAGGTTTCGCCGAACAAGAAGAGGAAAGACGCCAAGTAGACGAGAGGGATTGTGTAATTGGTTGTTTGGGTTGTCATGGCGGGCGGCCAAGAGATTTAGAGATTCTGAGGGATGTGGTAGTGAGGCGTATCGAAAAATCTGATTAGATGGAGGGCCGGTTAGATAGGGTTTAGGCTGCCGCTAATCTCTCGTGGGTTTACTAGCGCCCTCCTCGTCTCTGTCTTCCTCTTGTTCTTCCTAGCATGTCCAAACCGGCTTCTAGCAGGATCATTGCTGCAAATCAGGGAAGATGGCTTCACTCAGTTTCTCTGGTTGGATGCCCTGTGCATCAACCAGCAGGACGACAAGGAGAAGGGTGAACAGGTACCGAAGATGGGACATACATTTCAGACGGCTATGCAAGTCATAGCATGGCTAGAAACGAGTGAACTGGGAATTCAAAGTTTGAAAGAACTTGCCTGGGTAGCCCAGCCGTTGAACATCCGAGACGTGCACAACCCGTCGACTATGGCCATGTCCGGACAAATGCGCTTTGAATGTTCTAGAACTATTTGTTGGACTTTTCAAGAACAATGCCTTCCAGAATCTATTGGCTCCACCATGCTTCTCATGCAGAGATCTTACTGGACACGCCTGTGGATTATTCGGGGGTTGAGCTTAGCTGGAGCAGCTGTATTAGTCTGTGGCTCATATCACATATCATGGATCGACGCTCAGGCAGCATTATGACCTGTCCCTTGGATTGAAGAGTCGCGGCCGATCGGTATCTTCCATGCACTTCTACCAAAAGCCCCAACGCCTCCGGCAGTCGTGTGGCTGCGTGCTGAATTTTGGTCCATGGGTGGTATTGGTCTCGATTCGTACGATTTGCTATTTAACACGCTCAATATGGGCGATGGTACATTTTTGACCACAGCAGTTCCGCATAATCGCATATACGTCCTACCTGGTATAATGAAGGCCACGGGTCGAAATACCCTCACGTCGACTATACTGCACCACATACTGCACTCTTTGCGCAAGCTACTTTGCACCTTCTTGAGCATAATGGCCTCGATACCTTTATGTTCTGTGGGACGGCTGGTGAACATGATACATGTGGTGCAAGACCTAGCTGGGTTCTCGATTGGACCGATACCAGAGTCAAAGCCGAGAAGTTGTTGTGGAGAAGGCGGGGACGATCGACGCAAGCTATTTGTCGCCGAGCAAGGCCGTATAGGCAGTGATCCCGTAGCAACACAAGTTGGCGATAGTATTTGTGCCTTTACTAAAGCACGCTGTCCGTTCCTGTTCAGACAGGAACATCCAGGAAGAGTGACCGATAGTTGGCAATTTGTTGGTCCAACGATGGAGACGAATACGGTATGCAAAACTTTTGGGAAGAAGAGAGATATTCAAGAGTTGATATTGGTTTTATTTGCTTACAAACTTTCAACATGCCTTCCTGAAAGAATTTAATATTGCTTGTGATCCATCTTCTCTGCGTAAGAACACACTCCCTGTTACCTTGAAAGCCAAAGAACACTGCGATATTCTCCCGAGTAGTAGAAAAAGCCAGATACAACAACCTGGCCTCAAGGGTTCAGGACCAGCTTGGGGGCCTTCAGTGTGACGCCAAGTGATGTAGAGGATCTACAGAGAATACGTAGTTACTCTGGTCTTACATGGCCCCTTCAAATTGCAGATTGCTTGCGGGTCGCCCAAAGTGCCTGCCACGTACCTGGACAATCCGACTACGCGAGAGGAACTTTTGCCATCCTTCACCATCCACGCCGACGACAATCAAAAATGCGGACCCCCTTCGGCCAACCATCGGGCTCCCACCCACCGAACCTCCGCCCCACACTCCCGAACCTCCATACCAACCTACCCGAACAGGAAATTCGCACAATAAACGTTGGAAGCCTTCGGCATTGCGGGGTGAATTGCCCGATTCCTTCGGACTATTTGCGTCGCGATCGTTAAGTTGTGTGGCCGACTTTGTGTGATATCGGTGGGTGCTCGGCACCGGACTATATGTGATTTGCCGAACAGGAGAGATGGGACTTGCTGGTTCCTCGGCCAAGTGCAGAGGTAAACTTATGGTTCGCACACGACGGATAAAGGTGTTTGTAAAACTGGTGCATGTGTCTTATCTGTAGCGCGTGCGAGAGTTGCCAAAGCTGGGGAGTCGGAAACTCGGGTTTAGCATCCCTTGCATAGCAGAGAGGCGCTAAATCGGACCCTGCATGAGGGGACAGCGCTAGCTCATGCAGTGTCCTGTTGTGCCTGACCTGACCACAGTTGGAAATGCGCGCCCTCTGTCTAGGCAGACTTCAATAGTCTTGTTGGATAGATACTTGATGATCGTGTAATAAGAGCTGTTGTATTAGACATACACAAAGATAAGGTGGCTATCTGTCCTTGCGCTGGGAGTCGACGTACTTCCGGTTGAGCATCCGGAAAGCGCGTTCCGTTTACCGCAAAGGCCACGATCCATGCAGGGACAAAGGGTCTAGCCGTTCGACCGCCTCTTGCCATATCAGACTTCGAAGCAACTAATCCGGGGAAGATAACGGTGTCTCCTCGGCGTGGCTGCATGGATCAAGCCTCAGAAGGCAAGGTCAAACCTCAAGAAACAAGGCTGAATGAGTCAAGAGACCAGTAGACATAGATATAAGTTAGCCTGTTGACCTTGGGCGCGCAGTCTGGTCCTCATCGCCTCAGAAAAGCGACTGGCAAGGCTCTCCAGGGAAACATACCGATAAAGACAACTTACACAGACCAATGTGAGTCGCGAAGACTGTGATCGTTCGCTTTCATGCACTCCGCCTCGCAACCCTCCAGCTCTTCCACATGATTGGATAGGGTTCTGGGCTAGATGCTATGCATGCGGCAAATAGCTTAAGTGCATAAACATTCACAGCACGACCTGCATCAAGTAGAAAAGCGGTCAGCTAATCAGTATATAGTATTCGACCTGGGTTCGGCCATCTTCGTACCTAAGCCATACGCTCGTTTTCAAATCCCACTCAAGGTCAAGATGTGCTCCTACACATACTCCTGGTACTACTGCAACCACGATTACTACATCTGGGCCAACTCAATTGAGATCTGCGCCTCGCGCCTTCTGTCCGGCTACTCCTACGACGCCTGGAGCATCGACATGTGCAAGAACCCCACAGTCAAATGCGGTGGTTTCTCCAACTTCTATTGCAGCGATTGCTCCGAAGATGTGAATCTCGAGTTGCAGCTCGACGAATGGTGAAGAAGCATTTCATCACATCATCACTTTTCGAATGGGGATATCAACGGTCCGGTAAGTTCTCCGCAAGATTGCCTGAGAGGCGAGAAGACGGTGTGAAGCAATGTTGGAGGTGCAGATGACTGACCTGTGCACTGCAGTGAGCGGCATCTCCCCAGACGAATCATGTCTGTGCTCCGGCGTCATGTCAGCCTCACTTTTGAGAGCTGGGGTATACGGCAGTTCACCGCCTTGTCTCTCGGAGCGAAAAGAGCAGGCCATTTCGGTAGTTTTATTGTGTTCTCTGCCATTGAGCAAGGTCGTCTGCATATCCTGGTGTTCGGATATTTGGATAGCGTAAAAGCGTTCAAATGGCATTGGTATTTACAAGCGTGAGCGGGTTGCAAATACTTCACTTCTTCATTGACGCATCGAGCGTGCTGATTGTATTCATTCGTTTTGAATGTGTTGGGATCCTGTCTCTCTCAGCACGTCGTATACAAGGGTGGCATGTATGCAGCACAATGCCGGTATGGGCGCGTTCTGGTCTTACTATTCTATACAGCACAGTTAATAGACCGTGGTAATCCTCACATTAGATGAGCATACGGTGTAGCGAACGATCATCACTCCGTAAGAGATTCTGCCGCTCTCTTTGGGCTAACGCTGACACCCTCCTCCAAGGTGCGTCTGACTTGCTCGGCTCGTCTGCGCGCTTCGAGGTAGTACATGAACTCCTGGTACGTCCTCGGCATCACCCTGATGTTCTTCGGTACTATCGAACATGTTAGCATGTAGCACCAACTTCACATTCGTGTAAGACTAACCATTGAACGTATAGTTGAACTGGCCTGTTGGCTTCGAGTGACCGTGTTCCACGTCTCTGACCTTGGTATCGACCCTGATCTGTACCCTTGTGTATTCGCCGTTCTCATCAAACTGCTCTCCAGGAGCACCGATGAGAGGAGGGTCTGTGTACACCACCTGCGCTGTCATGTATAGTATACTGCCAACGGGCACCGGGTTGAGGAACGTCGAGGGATCGAGCGATACGAAAGTGGGTCGAGCGTGCGCGAATGCCGCAGCTGTGGTGAAAGCGAGCTCGAATGTCTGCTTGAGGAGGAACCCACCGAAGATCATAAAGTGGTGTCGATTGCGGTATTGTGGCTGCATAATCGTGGCGGTCTGAAGGCGTGTCGTGTCCATGAAATGGAGGTTGTCTGGCTTGCGCAACTCGTCGTGAGGGTCTGCAGAAATTAGTTCCAGCAAGATTCAGCGCAGTCGCAGAATGACTGACCGTGATATTGAAGCTGCTTTTGCCAGAATGCGTGAATGAGATCACTCTCGAGATCGTTCGGCGTATGCTTAACTAACGATGTGTTACGTCTCTCCTTGCGAATTTGTGAGTTACGCTCGCCTAAAGCATACAACCGCTTCTCTTCTTCAGTTTCTACAATTAGCGCGTTGACATTCACAGGCCTGGCTCCTCTGTTAGTTAAAAGTCTTCGTTACGATTCAGACCTCATACTTTTTAGTGCCTGGGTCCAAGGAGACCATTGTAAAGGTACAGTTGATCAAAACGTCTGTGTCCTTGACCTCTTCGCCTTTTTTGGGAGCCTTTGCAACCTGCATCGTGATTTCTAAACTGCTTCGACCGGTGGCATATGTAACACGACCAGATAGCTGGAGATCACAAATCTCGTCCAGTGGGTGATGTATAGTAATTCGGTCGCAGGAAGCGGTGACGGTCGTTACGTCTTCACCGGTGTGCTTGTACCTAGAGCAGCCTTTAGAGGGTAATTGTCAACTTTACGCAGCTCTGAAGGCTTACGCAATGACCCCAGAAAGTGCGTCAAGATCCATGAAAATGGTGCCTAGACGTATATGCCCGGAGGAATTCAGATATGTATCAAGTAACCAGGGGTCTTGAGCTAAGGGCAGCACAACAGAGTGATAGCTGTCACTCATGCGCTTGGGCGACAAGTCGCGATCCTTGGGCACCTCTGGCTTTCCAGATGCTTTGCCGGGCTGCTGGCCATCCTGCTGTTGTTTACGGAATGCCTCTACCCAAGGCGTGCGGACGCGCATCGACGTGAGCTCTCGGAAAACACCATCAGTGTTCCTAAGTAGGCTACATGTGAAGCTTCTTCGTGCCGCCGACGCCAAGAGTGCGCGTGGCTGAACGCAGTTGCTTCGCAGGATTTGGGTGGTGCGCTGCAGCGCGACCCTTGTTGAGAGGCTCATGGCGGTGTTGTTGGCTTGTTGAGCTCGAGCTTTGGAGGAAACGACGTCTGAGCTCCCTACCGAATTAGCGTCTGGGCGTGGGATAGCGTCGTACAACGATATGCCTTTTTTCTCACTCTTGTCACCTTAACATCAGATGTCTGTGCCTTGGAGTTGCTAGCGTCGTACCTCCATGGCTTAAAGCATGCACAAGTCGACTGAGCTTGGACGAGCAGTCCTCTCGACATCAACAGCGAACCTTGAGCTTTGGCTCAGAACTTTGATCACAGTCTCACCTCAACAGCACTGCACTAACCTCGAGCAGCACGATGCAACTTCTCTGCTCAGCCTGTTATCATCTGGTGAAGTATGGGTGGGCCGTGGGAATGGACTGTATATCGATCTTGACATTACCTTCAAAGGCCAGCCTCTTGCTGACGAGCAGCTTCGACAACTTTCTGAGGCCATTCTCGATGCGCCGGTGAGTGCTCTCAAAGCTTTTGTAACCTTTGTCACTGACAAAACTCTCATAGGTGTGGGATCAGCTAGATTTGCAACTATCATTACCATATGACACTACCCATGAGCCAGGAAAGTTGCGGATTGCGGTCAATCACTCAAGTGAGCGCGCAGCACCTACTGCGAGACCACGTCATCAAGTTCTATCAAACATTTGCGCCGCCGACGTGCGACCGCCTGAGGGAGTGTCTGCTTTCTTTCTCGACTCGGTGCTCCTTTCTGCAGACATCTTCGAGCTCGTTCAGCGGAGAAAAGTCACAACAGCTAAGCGATTAAAAACCTCGACAGACAGTAACGGTGTACCGCGATCAACAACCGGCCAAGCGGCCGATGACACTGAGAAAGAAGCTCCTGATGAGCTTCTGCTGGATGCCAACGAGATAACCTCCTCGCGCGCATCACTGCCCACCCTGAAAAGAATACGATCGCCAGCCTCATCTCTAGAAAGGGCAGCTTCCTTGCCAGCCACTCCACCAGGCGAAGCCCATCAGAATTGTCGACTTACCTTGGAGGCCTCTGATTCACAAAACGGGGCACCTAACCCGAAGACAAGCCTCGACATTGCAAACTTACAGACGCTGATCGATGGAGCGCTACGACTGTCGGTCGTCAGTAGCATCAATAGTAAGATGCTTCCTGGAGTCAAAGTCAAGGCAAATACGTTTGGACCAGGTCTTGCAGATGTCGCGCCTACACTGTGGAAACCAGGTTATTCATTGGTGAGAAGAGAAGCATATTTGTACACCAACGTATAAACTTACAGGTCAATAGTCCTTGTGCCAGAGAGCGAATCTGCTACCCATCATCAGCCGATCTCTCTGTCAACCAGCCGTTACTGGGAAGACTATTTCAACATCCCTAGAAAAGAAACTGTCAGCATTGACGGCCCCCTTGTGGTCCCTTCAAACAGCCGGCCGGACACTGGATCGAGAGCCAGCAAGTGCTGTAGATGGAAGCCATCTGGCTTCATGCATCGCCCCTCGGCTCTGGCTACATTTGCAAACAAACACGCCTTGCAAATCAGCGACTCCACTGCAGTCCTTTGTAACCGCAGAGCCACAAACAACATCGCACTTCCAGTCTGACGATATGCTAGAGGAGTCGCGGCATGAGGATGGAAAGAACCACAGATCTAGGCCCAGCGCAGTGGGTCCTGACGGGGGCGGGGCGTCCGATGCTGATCAAGTCCTCGAGGATGACCCTGCAGCCCCAGCGACTTGCGATGGAATTCCGTCAGAGCAGCATCTCCTCGGGGCAGAGGCCACTCCTGACCACATTTTGGAAGCCGTCGACGATGAATTACTCCTCGGAGACGAGTGTTTCGAGCCCCTGAGTCCCATCACCTGTCGCGGCAACGAAATTTCGTAAAGCCAGTTCCTTCGGACCTCGAGTTTTAAATTCCATCACATGTGCGCGGAGCAAGCCGTCTCCGCTCAGCATGCACCAAAGCTGTCACGAATCTCTGCTCCGCGCTCGACCCGAGCTAGGCTAGAGAACGTGGTTTTTCGGCGAAGACTTGCGACTTGACGGACTTCAAAGTCTGTAAACCTAATTCTGGTCATCTGAATCCTCGCTGCAGGAGTAGGACAGACTTTCGAGCATTTACAACGACTGTGAGGTTGTTACTCTTGAGCATGCTCGGCCGAGAGCTTCACAGGTCACGAACGACTCCACGACAAGATGAGTGGCGGTTCATTGATATAGACTGTTCACAGGCTGATCGGTACGATGTCGTTCTTCAGGCAGAGGTCAGAAGCACAACCCGCATTCACAGCGACTCCTTCTGCCTGCGGACATGCATGTACTATCGACGCCCCTGCCTAGACGAAAGCGAGATTAAGATCGTGCAGCTCCACGAGTCACTGTCAAGACTCTACAAAACTTTGGATACAGGGCAAAGGAAGTCGAGCAAACATCTACAGAAGCTTTCGAACGCAAGCGACCACTGACTCGAATGATAAAGACGGGTCTAACCCACAAACGGCTCGACCATCCGCGCTCTGCAATTCATCATGCACGTTCCATGTAGCGAGACCGTCGGTCCGCCAACGTGCATCCGAAGCAACCTTCGAAGTTCACACCACCGGCAATCACGGCGCACTACAGGTGTACAAACTAACCATCTGTGGATGTTAGAACGAACAGCGCGAATACATCCAGGAGGTCTTATGGAAGGATTGTCTAGCATTGTGCGTCATTGCTTGCCTTGCAACAATCAAAATTGGCTTGACTGTCTCAACACCCTGGCTGCCTGCACGACGACGAGGTTGTCATCGAGCTTCTGCTGGGGAACGAAAAACTGAGGAACACTACTGTAAGCGAGAGAGTCGTCGAAAGCTTCCTGTCACACAACGTGGCTGACATCTAATGGGCTGGTGCATCCGGGGTCTACCGAGGGACTGTGATTGGATCAGTCTAGAGAAATTGTTTCGTAGTCTAAACGCCGACGAAAGTTACTGCACCTTCACGCAGGAACAAGCGAGCATGAACTTGACGCACGCAAGAACGCAGTTACGATACTACGATACGAGTCGGCAATTTTGCAGAGCTGGCATGGGGGAGAGCAAGCTTGCGATGCGAGATCTTGGAGCTGCAGATCGTCGTTGATCGTATTTCGGTACCCCGCCAATAATTTCAGAAGGATCGTTAAGCCCATCTCATTCCTCAGGCTAGCGCCGATCATCCCAGCACAAACCAGGACCCTAAGCGCCCCCATCCCCAGCAGCCAGGTCTTGTCTTCCTTCATCCAAAGTTGGATCGACAAATATTTCATGACTCTCGCAGGACCATAAATCGAAGGCCTTTCTGGGGTGGCGAGCACGTGTTGAATCCTCCGAAGACGCTGTGATGAGATTGTCAGAATTGTTGCGATTGAAGCCATGTGTTCCACATTGGCGTTTTCATGGCTAAATGCATGCTAAATGAAACGCTAGATGTGGAAGGGCGCAGTGCAGCGATTCCGGACGCTGCAAACTGGCAGATTGCGCAACAGCGATGACATATTCTCTTTTCAACTGGCCATTCGGAACAACTGGCAGCTGATGTGGCTTGACAATAAGCAAGAGCAAGCGAAAAGCGCATTTTACTGTTGGTCGTTGACCCGTGAGGAGCTTGATCAGGGTGGATCTGCCTTCTCAACAATCGTGGCCGCAACCGCGTTGTGGCCCATGATCATGATCATGATCAACGTTTTCATAGCTTGACCTGGAAGAAACGATACAACTTCTATATCGATTCACATGTCAAAAACTTGGTCGCCTTCAACAAAGATGCACCCAATCTCATGCGAAGGGCGACTGCTGCTTTGTCAAGCGCACAGCGATGTCCGCGGAGGGTGCGCCTCGGCAATACGCCAGCTTCGCCGACTACGTTTTGGAGTACCAAGGTACTTTTTGCCGACGAACCACAACTCTGCGCTTCTAGCCGTCCGATGACACACGGGCTAAATTACCTGCCGACGTAATTTGATATGTCCGGGGCGGACCTGTCACGGGTGGGAATGGGCTTCACTGTGATGGAGTCTTAACTCATCAAACCTCTCGATCCCTGAGGGAAAATCCAAACTGCGCAGTATGCAGAGACACGGCATTGCCTTCTATACTTCCATGCTATGCATGCATAGCAAATTGCGAGCCGTCGAGGCTGCTGGTTGACTTGGCGGAGTACTCGAACCTTATCGTCACTCGAATCACGCTTGTTCACTATTTTGTCTCGGGCTCCACCCATGTCAGCGGTATTCCAATTGGTGTGGCGCTCGGGGTCGGGACTCCAATAGGTTGTGGCAATGGCTCAGGCTCTCTAGCCCAGCGGAGCTGGGCGTTCACCTGCTCGACGGGGTCAACGCTGTTACAATGGTCGCTCCAGGCTGAGGTACCCAGCCTAGTCCAAGTGACGAACGCTTACTCGAGAGTCTTGTGGATTGGCATGTCAGTACAAAACGAAACGTCCTGCATCCTAACGGAAGGCTTCCCGCGCCACGATCTTCTGCACCTCGCTTTGGGCCTCTTGTCGAAGGATTGCTGCTTGCGGGTAGGCTTTTGAAAAAGCATCGTTTAAACTCGCCTAAGCATTGCCCAAACACGAAGACAACCAATCGTACGACCAGACCTTCCAGATTCGGGTCGCAGGCACAGATGATCTAATCGCACGCCTATATCAAAGGATTCTCGAGGCACTACAACACAACTGGTGATATCTGTCACTCAAGTTGCCCATTATGAGTCCAAGCCCCGACGTTGTGGCCAAGTATCCCATCGGAAGCAGGCCAAATATCTCTTTTACACCATATCTCATCTTCTGTTCGTACCTGGTCAGCTTGATTGGATCTGTCACAACAGTAGAGCTGCTGCATCGAAGAGTATCGGGATCAGGATGGAGGGCATGGTACATTGCAAACACTCTAACTGAGAAGTACCAGCTGACAGATATAGGGTGCAAGTTGCCGGCTGTTCAGTTTCGTTCGGTCTGGTAGCGATTTGGTGCATGCATTTCGTTGGCAACCGAGCCATCGTTTTGGGTGACGGAGAAGACGAAATCCAACTGTACTACAGTCCTGCGTTCACGGCCATCTCCGCCATCATTCCGGTCGTGGTAATTTTCTTGGGGCTCATGGTCGCCGACCGCTTCTACAGACGAAGCAAGCATGCCGCCATTCGAGTTGTTTCCCTCATCGTGTGCGGCATCTGTGCAGGTGCAGCTATCACCGAGATGCACTACCTGGGAAACAACGGTACCACAAACTATCGCCTGCATCTCAGTTGGCCGCACGTTTTCGGTGCCGCAGGAATCGCAGTGGGCGCAAGTCTGCTGTCATTTGGCCTCTTCTTCCACTGGAGTGGATCGTGGCTGAACAACATCTTCAGACGTGCTATAGTTGCTTGTTTCCTGGCCTTGGCTGTTTCCGGTATGCACTGGACTGGTGCTGCTGGTACATGGTATGAAGTTCGAGGCTACCATGATGGATCGGGCCAGGAACGCAACATCACACTGATCATCGCTATTTGCTTGGTAAGAACCATTCGTTCCATTCGCGTCACCTTCGCTAACACACCAGTAGTGCTTGAGCGCTTGCGCCGTCTGCTTCCTGCTTGGCTTCCTGAAGCAACGTCACCGCCGACTTCTCAAAGACCGCGCCCAGCAGGTCGTACTCGCATGCGCTACATTTGATGAGAGTGGCAGATTGTTGGTCAGTCAAGGTGGTCTCCTGCCCTGCCAGACGATTACTCGACAGTTCCACCAAAGGGTAGGTTTGCAACAATCTCCAGCTGTACAGGTCAATAAGGCTAACTTCGAAAGACTTTTGACGATGAGTTCAATACCTCGCACCCTGTATTCCAATGGATATTCCGAGTATCTCGCCACTGGGGAGGTGTAGTCGACTTGATTCCATCTATGCGTGAACATCTACACAGCACTGGATATCTGCAGACGACTTCGCCCTCCACGGCAGCGGAAAGTCGAAGTTCTTTCAGCTCGGAGGACGATTCCACCTACTCTGCCACTTTCCGTGAACTGTTTTGTGTCACCGCTTACGACATCGCAAAGACGCTCGATACTGGTCTTCAGAACCTCGGAAACCTATACGAAGAGGTGGTAACTACTGGCACTTCGATGTCGATGGTAAGAACTGTATTTAAGGAAACGAACGACAGAAAGGAAATCCTAGCAGCAGATGTGGCAAACAAGGATATCGAGACCGGCATGGCCAGCCCAATTCTCTTCGGCCGAGGGCAAATGTTGGTCCTGACAAAGAAGGCCGATACAAGCGAAGTGAAGCGCCTGCAGAACCTAGGCTACCATTTTGCGAACATCGACCAGGTTGGCGACAATCTTGCTCGTAGCCTGCAGGTGACTCGGAATGATCTACACGATATGGTCGACCGCTGGCATGCATTTACCGAAAGGGAGCCATCCATACCCTCAAGTGGAACCTATCTCGCATCGTTCCTCCTGCAACCTGCACCAGGCATGCGAGGCCTCGACGTCATCGTACCCCGAACAAATCCTGACCGTCTGCCAATGGTCAAGCTGGCAAATGGCGAGCTCACCTTGAGTGAGTTGAAGCTTCTGACTGGCTTCAATGGCTTGTCACTGGATGACTGCCTCGCACGTACCGGCCAACGCACCGGGCTGGAAACTAAGGAAGAGGACGCGTTCTTGGAGAACTTCTGCAACAAGATACTCGATCTTCTACACGATGCACCCGAGTCCGCGCTGCATCGTGCTATCTTCTCTGCTAGGCAAGTAGATATCGCCCATGGCATCGTTGGCCAAAAAGAACGCAGCCCAGCGACCGTGTTCGCCTTCTGTGGTATCAAGGAGATCTATATTCAGTCACTTCAAAGCATAACTCTGAAGTGTATCCCCATGTCTTTCTTCCAGACATATCTCAGGTCATACCCTGGCTCACCCGATCACCAGATCCTAGCGATCCAGAATCACAAGGAGTTTGCCACACTCTTACGAACTCCCTCTATCACCAAGGAGCCTGAGAAGAGCAGCAACAGGTGGAACTTCAGGCTGCGACCACACTGGTCAGTGTCATCCGATATGACTCTACAGCCTGATTCTTGCTCGGAGAAGGGCCTAGTGAACCCAACATCACCATGCGCCGACGCAAGCAATAGTCACCCTTGGGGAGGTATCATGGTCACCTCGACTCAGCAAATCATCCACGATGAGTCGAAGAAGGGTGGGGCGACGATGGAAATGCGGGATATGGGCGTCAAGTCTGAGGCTGGTGTTGCTGATACAGAGCAGCAGACACTGGCGGAAAGACTGATGTCGATCACAACATCGTTCCGCGACCCGCACGCGACACGAGCGCTGCCCAAGGACCTATACTATGCACGGAGGTAGACGATGGAGAGGAGCATGTTTTCTTACACAAGCATATTTGCGGCGTTTTCTTTACCTTGGAATACCCACGCATCATCTGGCGCAATTGAGGGTTTATTTACAGGCGAGTAGGGGATGGAACGATGTACAACACGAAACTACTGTAGCAACTTGACGCATAATGTGTATACGAAATGGAAGATGTAGACATGATGTTATGTATGGTAATGAGTGAGTGATGACTTGTCCGATAGCGCAGGCACCCCTGTCGCGGGGCGCTTAGCAAATGACGCGCTGCCGAACTTTCTCGAGATCTGCCCCGCGACATCACCAAGCTTCACGACGTTCACCAATTGCCTCTGCGACGCTTCCAAGAGGTTCCTAGACAGTTGAGTTGAGCTTCAGCAACCTTATTTCCAGCTCTTCAGCCTCCTCGCGCCACACTGAGGCACGAAAAGACCCACGCTTCCAGTACCGCCCACGGCGGCCCCTCACAACCTCACGATGTCCACGCCAACGCCCATGATCACACGTCTCTCGACCCTCTCGCCGCCCTCGAATTCACGAACATGGCAGACTGCCCCGCATCCAACCCAACCAATTGTCGCAACAGCCTGCTCAGACCGCTCCGTGCGCATCTACAGCCTGACATCCTTCACGCTCCTCCACGCCATCACCGGCGGCCACAAGCGCTCCGTGCGCTCCTGTAGCTGGAAACCGCACACACAGGGGCAGAACGTGCTAGCAACTGGTTCCTTCGACTCGAGCGCCGGCATCTGGCGCAAAGATGACGGCGACCGCCTCGAGCACGAAGTCAGCCGGGAAATCGGCGACGAGGAAAGCGAAGACGCGGAGGAATACCAATTCTCGTGCATTCTCGACGGGCACGAGTCTGAGATCAAGAGTCTTACGTGGAGCCCGAGCGGTCAGTACTTGGCTACCTGCTCCCGCGACAAGAGCGTCTGGATATGGGAGGAGCTGGAGGATGATAATTTTGAGACGGTGGCGGTGCTGCAGGAGCATGATGGCGATGTCAAGTGTGTCGCATGGCACCCTGAAGAGGATCTGTTGGTGAGCAGTAGTTATGATGACACAGTGCGGTTTTACAGGGAGGATCAGGATGATTGGGTGCAGGTGGCCGTTGTGGAGGGGCATGGGATGACGGTCTGGTGGGTGGAGTTTGAGGGGGGTAAGGCAGACAAACACGACTTCCGTGCGCAAAGAGAAGGGCTGCAAGATACACAACTGCAACACATCGAGGCGTTGGAGCGAAGCGGACCGAGGCTGGCGACGTGTTCAGACGATTGCACAGTGCGCATTTGGAGGAGAAAGCCGAGAGAGGGTGCGAACACCCAGAACTCGGGCATGCCGTCGATTATTCGCTCCGCAGCTATCGACGAGGACTGGTACCAAGAAGCCATTCTCCCTCGCGCTCACGACCGCGCGATCTACTCTGTCAGCTGGAGTCGCACAACCGGGCTTCTTGTCAGTGCTGGCAGCGATGGCAAGATCGTGGTGTACAAGGAAAGATGGAGGAGCCAGGAGTCGAACGGCACTACGAATGGCGCAGCAATGGAGGGCGTCGAGGGAGCGGATGGTGCTGCTGCTACGGAAGAAACCGAGACGTCACCGACTGAGTGGGTTGTGGTCGCGGAGATTTTCTCTGCGCATGATGTTTTCGAGATTAACCACGTTACATGGGCAAAGAGGGCGGACAAGGGGAAGAGATGGGACGGTGAGGAGGTTGTTATCAGTACGGGAGATGAGGGCGAGGTGCGCGTATGGACACTGGACGAGGCTGTCTCACGCTTGTGAGACAAGCCAAAAACTTTGACATATGCTCTCAGCTCCTTATGCGCTCTGCCAGCACTACCAGTCATCCTGGCTTCCCAGAACACTTCAATCACGACGTCCGATCATGACCATCTCCACTGGACAATGGACTGCGATGCTCGAAGAACACAGTCACGCGAACATATGTTCTCGATAACTGTCTTGTGGTGTAATGAGAGAGCTGGAGAAGTTAGATGAGGGCTTGAAGCCTCGTTGCATGTACAGCGGCGCAGCATAACTTTGCGAAATATACCAAAGCACACCATAAATGCCTCGTCTTCCATAGTCTCAGACTCACATAGGACGTTAAACCAACCAATCAATCAGTCAACCATAAATGCCTCAGGCTTCAGGGGCTCCTGCCGTGTTGCCAACTCCTTTTTCCACCAAGCCTTTCCCTCTGCGATAGAGTGACGACCGCCAGGCTCATGTAAAACGTGACCAGGCTTGAGCCACCCTGACGACAGACTGCGTCCAGCTTGCGTCGAGAACGCCTGCACGTGGGGTTGGCCACCGTTGCGCGTCTGTGGCTATGGCCGGATTGTGGCTGCGACCTCGAAAACGTCATAGCGTTCGTGGAGGGATCTGCACTCGATCAGGGAACGGGCTTCAAAATTATGGACTGATGCAATCTTGTGTGCATCGTGTCAACTTCTCTAGACACTTCCCTACTCTGCGGTTTTCTAACACACGAATTCTTTTCCCCTTCCAACAACCTAATTGCAGCGATCAAGTCTTGTTCACTGCACCTTCTATTGCTCCACTTAAGACCGGTAGCACCCGTGTCGGCGCCTAAGCTCCTCAACCCCAGGATTAGGCGCACTCGATCACTCGTCTCTCAACAACCACCTTCCACCACACACGTGCCATTGCTGTCTACCTTGCAGCAACAGCCATTGCTCTTGTAACGCGCAACTCTCAACATCACACATATGCCACCTAAGCGCAAGAGGTCCAACACGGCTGGCTCAGTCAAGAAGGACGCCATGGACGTTGTACAACCATCATCCCGCGACGCGTCCGATGAGGGCGCCGAGGACTCCGTCCTGCAGGAAGCCACGTCCAAGAAAGAGCGCCAGGCCGAGTCGTCCAGCGCGACGAAACGCGGACGCGCCGGAAACCCCAACGAAGACAGCGACGCCGAGGATGACGACGAGCGCATGAGCAAGAAGAGCAGGCGCTCCTCCGCCGACAAGATTAAAAATGGCGAGAACGGCGAGGCAAGCACAATGCGCATGGAAGCCCCCCCAGGCGCTGGTCTGACCGACCCCGCTGGCGGTTACAAGACCAACCCTCCCTCATTAGACCGTCCTATCCGAGTGTACGCAGACGGCGTCTTCGATCTCTTCCACATTGGCCACATGCGCGCACTGCAGCAGGCCAAGAGCGCGTTCGCGCACCTGGCGCCCAACAACCCCCAGGTCGAGCTCGTAGTCGGCGTCACAGGCGACACTGAGACACACAAGCGCAAGGGTCTTACAGTGTTGTCGGCGAGAGAACGCGCTGAGAGTGTACGACACTGCAAGTGGGTTGATGAGGTCATTCCAGACTGCCCCTGGATCGTCACAACCGACTTCCTCGAGAAGCACAAGATCGACTATGTCGCACACGATGACCTTCCTTACGGCGCAGACGAGGGTGATGACATCTACGGCCCTATCAAGGAGAAGGGCATGTTCCTGGTTACCCAGCGAACCGAAGGCCTGAGCACAACGGGCATCATAACTAAGTAGGGGTCCCCGGACCAGAACAATACGAGCAGCTACTAACGACTGCTAGGATTGTCCGCGATTACGACCAGTACATTGACCGCCAACTGAAGCGCGGCACATCGCGCAAGGAGCTGAACGTCTCCTGGCTCAAAAAGAACGAGCTCGACCTCAAGCGCAACATGGTCGAGTTCCGCGACAGCATCAAGGCCAACTGGGCCACTACCGGCCAAGAACTCACAAAGGACTTCCGCCAGTTCTGGCAATCGAGTCGTCCCGCCAGCCCGGCCAGGACACCTACACGTGAGCACTCGAATGCCATGGAGCAGGCTGCAGCAGATGCACGATCGCCATCTGCTTTGTCAAGGCTCAGTCATTTGGATATCCCACGCGCGAGCAATGCGGAGAGGGGAAGTTCAGAGTTCACAGCTGGTTACAACTTGGGTCTGATCGGTGGTGTAAGGGCATGGGTATGTATCTCGCAACTACGGCCATGGGGCAATCACTAACAGCGCGCAGATGGCTAGGAGCCGCCGCAACCTCAACGACAGCAGACCGCAGAGCCCATCGAACAGCAGTGAAGACGAGCGCGAAGACCGTAGCCCGCAAGCTGAACCCCGCCGTGGACGTAGCGGCAAGAAGAACGATGACTTGGACATCGAGGCTTAGATGGCTTCTCTTGTGCTGGGTGTCATTCCGCCAACACCTGATGAAGAATACCTGTCGTTCGAACAAGCCGAGTTACGGACGTAACGAGGCGGATCGCACCAATTACTGCAACGGCGACTTGTTTGGGAGGCAACGGCATTTCAGTACGACATCGATACACACCTGTGGTAATGTGAAAATCTCCAAACTGGGACATGGGCGCAGCATCTTATTCTCATCCATACGCTTCTCCTTCGTCAGTATTGCGCTCAACCTCACAGTACTATCGTCTACCTTGTGTTTTTCTTGGTGAAACCAATATGGGATTTTGCAGGTTGATGGATCCGTTTGCATACAACGGTGCAGCGGAGCAGATTGTTCTCTTTGCGTCTCTCATGACTATACTTAATACACGACTTCATTTGCTTTGCCCAAACGATCTGTTTTCCCCCTCCAACGTTGTTTTCCGTCATACTCTGGGCTGTCGACTCTTAGCTGTGCTGATTGCAGCTTGTCTAGCAAAGGCATGCTACCACACTCTTTTCGAACGGCAGCATGCTTGATGGTGAACATACAAATGCACTTCGAACAGCTGATCAGAGGCAGGTGCTTTCTTGCAAGCAGAATCGTCCAGACGAACTCACACAGTAAGACTCCGTTACTCAAGCACACTACAAGCTCCACCTAAGGCGAAAGCATGTGCACCATCACCTTCGCTCGAGGCACTTGTGCATGCCTACCAATGCCGGACGATCGACTGTATCATCTCTGTCCAATTGCGCGATCTCGGAACCCAGTCCAAGCCTGCCCAAGAGCCAAGTGCACGATCAGGATAGCGAGGTATGCTCAGGTGTGTGAGTGGTGCTGGAAGTCAGGCCTGGCACACTACAAGAAAGTTAATCGAGACTATGTCAGAGACAGAAACATAAGACGAGGGAAGCAGGACGTAAGCAGGCTGGAAATGGGACGTATGCGAGAGGAACGGCAAAGGACATTGGAGCGGGAGAGGTGTATCGATCCGAGGTTGCTGTGAGAGATGGATTTGAAGTGAAGATGAAGCAACGAATGAGAGGAGTCAGCATTTGGGTCAGGAATGAAGGAGGATAGCGCGGCTGCCATTCAGAATAGCCGCTGCTGCCTCGATTCGTGAGTGGGGGCGCCGGGTATGCAGTTGCCGGTTTACAATACAAATTGTAGAGATGAGCTGAGACCTAGTGAGATGGGTGGTGCTGCTGGTAAGCCGGGCCATCAGATGAACAGATGCAATGATCATAGACTGCCAATACCCACCGCTCCCTGCCTACCACGTGCCGTCGTGATGGTCTGCAGTCGAAGGATCGATCCTACCTTCACGAACATGGATGAAGCAACCAATGAGATAGGTCGACATTTCGTTAGGCACAAAGCAAGCGCTAAGTGTGCCTGCTTGCCTGCCGTCCAGACAGCCGATGGTACCTCTACGCCACTTATGAGTCTTTACAAACTGATATGGTAGACTATGGGGGATAACCTCGCTTGCAGCGATGAACTGCTGAACAGAGGAGTGCTTACCAAGAGCACAAAGCGTGAATGTCAACTACATAAACATAGATGAACTAATACCGGCCAAGAGCGACCGTATAAGCGGGTGTGCGTGATCAGTCTGTATGTGAAGCGACCACAAAGATAGCTTGATCAACTAGGCGTGAGACGAGGCAAGCGCTGACTTGAGGTGTGCCTGGTGCCTTACTTTCAGACGCCCGCTGATGCCTCAACGCAAAACACCACCTCAGCCCTACATATACATATATGTGTGGGCCCTCTTCTGTCTTCTTGCTTCTTCGTCCGTGCCCCGAACCACTCTTACTGCCTCAGGAAAAGCTGGGCCCTGTCACCAACCAGTCCAGTTCGTACAAAACCCGCGCGCCTCGCCCTCGGTACCGGCATGATCCCACCTGCAGCCTCTCTTATTCACACGATGCCTGTCTCACCGGACATAAGAGGTCGCGCCATCTTTGACAACTGCAGTCTCTTACACCATCTCCACCACGGCACTGTCTGCACGGCAGATCTCACGTCGACCAGATCAGCGGCAATGTCAATCGCACGGTTGTTCATCGGTACCTTATTGAACCGGTGGAAATATTGACGTTTCACACTCCGTTGACGCAAGAACACGCTCACCGCAACCTCACGAAGTAAGGTTTGACTGACGTCGACACTCGTGTTGAAGCCAGAGTGTTGGACGCGAGTACGACGCGTGCCATTGTCAATAAACAACCGCCGGACGTCACGATAAACGAGGCCACCAACCGGTCAGCTGCTGCACACATCGACCGGGTTTGCTTTTCGTCGTCAGATGCAGTCGCAATGGTTGGCAAGGAAATGCTCCGATCTGCTCGCCCTGGTTTGTGAAAAGTGAGGCTGCTGGCGACGGTTGCGGCGCCGCCAGCCAATCTCGGCTGTGTTCTCCATTTCGGCTAACCGCATGCGCCGTTCGGAATGAAATGCTTGCATCTCGCCCTCCGCTCAGCAGCTGCGACCATGACTTTTGACAGCAGCTGAGCAAGCGCTACTGTGGCTCCACGACGACGGCAGCGACTGTGCCCGTGGTTGAACTGCGGGTAACCAGCGGTGTGTTGCCAGGAAGGCCTGTTTCGCAGCTTCACACTTTGAGTTGTTCCGAGCAACGGGTCACGAACGCCCCAGCGCCATCTGTCGGGCTGTGACGATCGGCTCCGCGTATTAGATATTGGTATTGGCTATTGCACATCTTAAGATACGGTCAGGGCATAAGCACTGAACGGCTCCTTGTTCTGCTTGTCCCCTTCTTTTCTTCCAAGTAATGCAAGGCCTGACCCTCTGACTTCAGCCTCTTTCACAACCAGCAAAACAGCTCTCTCCCCAGGAACGAGTCAGACGCTGTTTGAATTCCGCAACACGCCCTGCAGCAGCCTCACACCTTGCCGCAGCATATCCGCTACCTTCAGTAGTATCTGCCTGTCTGTCTCTCTGCTTCTGTCTTCTTTGGCTCTGTTTTGTTTTCGCTTTGCTTTTCCTGCAAAGCTGCACTGTTACGAAGCCGTCTCATCAAGCTTCCGCAAACGTCGTTGTGTTTAGTTAGCACAACTGACCTCTTTGTCCTCCCTTCTACTATGTCAACATCACACAAGCCCTAAGACTTGCGTCCGAAAGATCCTCCAGATCTACCATTGACGTGGGCACATGCTAAAAGGTACACCTCGACCAAGCGTACAGCCGCACGTTGCAAGCCTGACTCGGATCTGGCTCGCTGGTTCATGCGGGAGCCCGCGGCTTCTGTCAAACATACCGCGAACACGTTTTCAGCTTGCGTCTTGCAAACGCCTTATCTTGTACGGTTTGATCGCTGACTTGTCGCAGTTCGCGCTTGTAGCAACACATGCGCTTTATGAGCGTTTGCCTCTTCAAGATTTATCATCACCACTGCATACCCTCTTGCCACCATCACGCATAGTTCAGGGTCTTGACGCATTAAAGCACGTCGTTCACTGCAAAATAATCGCGACCACTTTCCTCAGCAAGAAGACATGGGTACCCAGACACCCAAAGCTGCAGGCAGCAACCCTTCTACCCTCAGGGCCACCGAACACACTTACGCTGTGCGACCAGCTGTAGAGAGAAAGAGGACTGCATCGGTATCGTCATGGCATGGGTCACTCACCAGTCGCGAGGCACCAGCACCACCAGAAGAAAGGCATCATACTGGACACGACAAGAGGCGGAGGGAGCAGTACGCTGTGAAGTCTACGCAATCACCATCGAACTCGCCACCACGAACTCCAGACATACCGGAACAGCTAGCCGAGTTGATCATCACTATGATCCCTGGGTCTGAAGGGGAGGAGCTAGCTGAGGCATTTCGCGAAGGATCAGACACACCACCCATCACACGACAGTCACTGAGCGAGCTCGACATCCAAAATATCATCACGAACATCAAATTACGGCACGACGTCAACTTTGACCGCGATCTGAGCTTCCGACCAAACCTCGACGGGGCAAAGGGGCAAGAGAAGGTCAAGTCAGCACAGCGGTACTGGAGGGCCTTGGTGGCAGAGCTAGAACTGTACAATCGACTATTCCGAGGAACACCACCACTGGAAGGGATGGATACTAGCGACTGGTCGACCATTGTTCGTCACGCCGAGCGACGTATCCCAAAAATCTTCCAGACTATCCGAGATGTGCTGAAGAGTCTGGTACCCGACCGCGACCACTCAAGGGTAGATGAGCATCTAGATGTGGCGATGCTGATGCAACAGATCGAGAGGGGGGTCTGTGATCTTGTAGGCTTGTCTGAGTGGATGTCATGCCTACTAAAAGAACATTGCGCGCCGATGAGGGACGAATGGGTCGACAAGATGGTCTCCTACACCAGGACGGGTGTAACGCAGAACAAGCCAGAGAGCATTGTCAAAGGATTATGTGAACTGTTGGGAATACTGGAGTCCATGAAGCTGGTAAGTTGCTCTCAGAATCCAGATGGTGTAGTGCTAACAGCTGCAAAGGACGTCGCCAACCACCAGATTCGGAACCTCAAGACTCTACTAATCGAGGATACAGTCAACTTCGAGACACACTATCACCTGGATCGACTTGTCAACGGTCGAGCACGGGTCAACATCCAAACTGCACAGAAGTGGTATTACTGTGCAACAAAAGAGTTCAGCCCACTCTGCAGTAACGAGCGCGGCTCTTCACGTCTGAACCTTGAGGTGTTTGTTCGTGGTGTCACAGCTACGTTGTTCGGGAAAGATGGTCGATCTGATTTCCCAGAAGCCATGTACCTCGACACAGACCGACTGCAGATCATTAAAGCAGAGATCGAAGATCACATCTTCTTCGAGGTTTGCCTGAATATGTTCGCAACCCTTCTCAAGCAATTCGGGTACCAAGGGCCAAGCTTGTCGACCACACGCCAGCAACTTGTGTCCTCACTCACAGCAATCATGGGCGAATCAAGCATTGGCTACGGACCGCACCAGTGGATGGCCAACTCTGAAGCCTTGTCACTGGAGATCCTTAGGCAAGCTTCCACCCTTGCCGGCCGAGTCACAACATACGATTACAACAATTTGTCAAGCGCAAATCAACATCTGCGCCATCTGTTTTTTAGCACCTTCACGACCCAAGCTCGGAACCTCGAGGCTGCTGTACTGCCCATCATCCTGGCTACGATTGAGAAATACAACAATTCGTCACCTATGGAGCTGTTCAACAACCTCGTCCCTACCACAACATCTGCAACGCTTCCATCCGCGCACCACGTACAGTCCGCTACTACTGCCGATACGTTTTCCTCTCGTCACCTTCTCCACCCAGATACTTGCAAGCTTTCGGACATCACAAACCGTATCTCTCACATTATGATCCTGCATTGGCGCGTTTGGACTAAGATTGCTTACGTGCAAGACGACACAATCGCACCACACTCTGCAACAATTTCGGCTTCTCAGGCCCCTGAAGCCCACGTCCCGTCCCGTATGAAGACTGGCGAGACAGCAGAGACTTACGAAGAAGCACCTGCTGCTCACGAAACACCTTCGCAGTAACATCGCCGCTGCTTCTCATCTGTCTTTCTCTTTCCGATCTACAACTGCATCAGCGCAACGGCGTTGCGGTGCATTCTCTTTTCTTGCGATATCACTTCCTGTAACAGATAGCATTACTGGATATACGTAGAGGGCACAGGCAAGCATTCCTGGCGTTACCTTTTCTTCTCTTGATTCCCACATAGCATTGAAAGGGGTTCAGGCGTATACATAGCTTCATCAGGTTCACCGCTGCAGGAGACAGCACCGCAGGTAGTCACTTTAGGATAGTCAAATCTAATCACATCACCACTGTTGTATCCACAAGCCTGACATGAAGTGCTGTGTGCTCGGAGCTCGGAGTGGCAATTCGGAGCTCTTTGTACGCTAATCGTATCCGGTGCCCGTGCATTCGGTAATCCTTAGCTTCTCGTTGGCTGGAGATGATTCGGCAGTCAGACGGAAGGTGCGATGCGTTAAGTAACACTCCGGGCCTTCCTTCCAGCTTGAGCGATTTATACAATCAATTCTGCTCACTTCTCAGCCTCAAATCTCTACGTCTTTCTTTCGCTGACCAATTGCTCGTGCATTTGCAAGGTTTGGACTGAAACTCGATTCCTCGGTTGCCGATCTCTGCCCGCCACCTGAGCATCCTCCTCCATCAGCTTCTGCACCTAGAACGCTTTATAACCGACGTATAAGCTCCACACTGCGCGCATTCCGTCCTGTCCCGCTTCACACGATATCACTCCAGCACCTTCACATCACACATCGCCGCCATGTCGTTCTCGTCGCTCGTCTCAGACATTGCCTACCGCAATCCAACCCGGCCGGAGCTGCGCGCAGCAGCCTCCGAGGCAGGGCGCTCATATGCCAGCACAGCTGCCACCAGCGTCAGCATATCCGGCGACATCAAGAGTCAACTGCACGGAGGATACTCGCACCCTCTCGCACGAGCATGGCAAGCAGAGCGACAACTCACAAAGGTGCGCTCGGAACGATTCCGTCTGTGTCGCGCGTCCACTGACATGATATAGTCGATGCTCATCTACCCCCTCTTCATCTCAGATCAGCCTGACGAGGAGACGCTCATTCCTTCGCTGCCAAACCAGCACCGTCGAGGTTTGAACAAGATCGTGCCCTACCTGAAACCGCTTGTCGAGAAGGGTCTGAAGTCGGTCATTCTCTTCGGTGTGCCGATCGCACCAAACGCAAAGGATGCCCTCGGTAGCAACGCAGACGACCCCAAGGGCCCCGTTATCAAGGCCATTCGCCTCCTCCGCCGCACTTTCCCCGACCTCTTCATCACCGCCGACGTCTGCCTCTGCGAGTACACATCACACGGCCACTGCGGTATTCTGAGAGACGACGGCAGCTTGAACAACCAGCTTTCAGTCGAGCGCATTAGTGATGTCGCTATCTCATACGCCATGGCCGGCGCACACTGCGTTGCACCTTCAGACATGAACGATGGCCGCATTCGCGCAATCAAGCTGAAGTTGATCGAGGCTGGAATCGCCCACCAGGTCGTGCTCATGTCATATTCCGCCAAATTCTCTGGATGCTTATACGGCCCCTTCCGCGACGCTGCAGGCTCATGCCCCTCATTCGGCGACCGACGATGCTACCAGTTGCCGCCGGGCGGTCGTGGTCTTGCCCGCCGAGCGATCACACGAGACATCAACGAGGGTGCAGACATCATCATGGTCAAGCCTGCAAGTCAGTACCTCGACATCATCAGCGACGCGAAGGATATTGGCAAGGACATGCCAGTCGCAGCATACCAGGTATCTGGCGAGTACGCCATGATCCACGCGGCAGCAGCTGCAGGCGTATTCGACCTGCGAGCCATGGCTGAGGAGGCTACGCAGGGCATTCTGCGAGCAGGTGCTACGATTATCGTCAGCTACTTCACACCAGAGTTCCTGGACTGGCTAAGCAACTAAAGCGACTGTCGCGTTTTGTTTCGCTTCGTATCTTTGTGCTCGACGATACCTTGTTTTCAGCATTTTCAAAGGATGGGTTCGGCGTTAAAATATCTACGACTACTCAATTGACGATCTACACTTCTGCATCTGCACGCCCAAATTTGCCTGTTCAGATGCTCACACAACTTCTTTGTCTTGGTGCTTTCCGGCCATTGGCGTGCTTGCAGAGGGGCCAATTACCGCAGCTGCGTGGGTTGCCTTGCCGTGCCTTGTCTGGTCATGCGCTGACGTTCTCCACAGTCGATGCACAAGGCTGAGCTCCGCCTTGACTAAACGACATCTCCAGACGCGCAAGTCTTGCTCCTCGCTATTACCATTTGTCTACCACTTACCGACCAATAGGTCAGCACCGGAATCCACGTCCTTCTCATTGGACACGCTCAGCCTTGCATCGCCAGAACGACAGCAAAACCCCACTACATCCATATACACACCTCTGAACAACACTCGAAACGAAATTTGACTGCTGGAGATCTTACCAAGAAGCTCGGACGCTGTACAAGAGCCACTCAAGTGCAAGTTTTCTGTTCATTCTTTGGATGACACACCCTCCTACACAGTGTTATCTTATGTCTGGGGCGAATCAACAGACCAGACCAGTCATGACAAATGGTTGCAAGGTGCCGGCCACACTCAACCTAGCAGATGCGTTGCTCCAGCAGCGGGAACAGGGCATACGCATGCTATGGGTCGATGCCTTGTATATAACTCAACAAGACGACACTGAGAGAGCTCAACAGATACAAAGGATGACTACGATCTATCGCTAAGCCACAAATGATGTAGTCTGGCTAGGCCACTCAGATGCAATGACCGAAAGAACTCTACAGAACATTATCAAAGTCTACAAACTGGCAAAAATTTGAGCCTCGAGATTCTCAATAACCCCAATCTCTGGACATGGGCATCGCGTGATCTTTTTCCAGTCGGCCAAAGCCTTGTACAAGCACTGTGTAACGACTCGAGGATTTGCACCTCCATGCCACACTCCACATGCTAGCCCAATACGGCTCAGGCTTTTCGAATTCTCTGGGCCCGTCTACCGAACAGCATCTCTCCTGTTGCCAAGCTGGGCCGTGGATTGGACCTGCACCCGAAAACGTGAGGCACTGATTGATATTGCGTCTGACAGGAAGTTGTCAGTTCCATATCGTTTCCAGATTATTGAGCACAACAAGATTATCCTCAATTCTGCAATAGTAGGCCACGTCGTTGCGATCATGTCTTTCTCTGGGAAGCTAGCCGATGTTCTCAGCGTTATAGGTCGCCGCGAACAATTATCCTGGCGGTATCCAGTAGCGGCAATCTTGCCAGATCGCCGTCTCTGTGCATGGTGGACTTTGCTAGATGCGTGGCCCGACCAGAGCGTAATCCGAGGAATTGGCGACTTTCTCCATCGACGCTTGGAGAGGGAACATCAAGCATCAACAATGCCTCTAGAAGCGGCGGTTGGTCAGGGGGAAACAGTCCTGCGAGCAAGAAGATGCTGGAACTAGATCCCTGAAACACCGAACGAAGATAAGGACGGCGAGTTTTATGAAATCGCACTTCGGGTATAGAACAGAAAATGTTCTTCGTCAATGATAGAAGTCATATCGGAAATACAGGTCCACACGTGAACATCCAGATCGGAGATGCGTTGTATGCATTCCCAGAGTACGGGTACCCTTTCGTTTTGAGACAGGAAACAGAAGAAGATAATACTCTCCTTTGGTGTCTCGTTGGCCGAGCTTTTGTCGGCGAATTCATCCTGAGATTGATGTAGGGCCTTATCATCATGAAGAATTCTGGGATACGGAACCCTCTATGGAGCAGATTGTACTATGTTGACGGACCGTCAAAGCGACGGTGAAAAGGATGATGAGGTCTATTAAGAGCATACCAGTTGCAAATAGCTAATCAAGCACCATACCTTCATATTATTTAAAGTAAAAGCCTTTTTTTGAGCAAGAGCCCTCGTACTCATGCCCAATAGCCAACGCCCTGTCGCTCTTTCCTCACAATACACGCTGGCGTCATGCGCAGTCTGCGGTATGAGGCTGAGCTTCAGCTCTCCCAGGCAGACATGACTTCTTCACCACCACTTCTCTTTCTCCTACTTCCGTTTTCTGCGGGTAGATGTTGCGACAATGCTTCTAAAATAGTGATACATGCCTTTCTGCGCCCTGATCAATAATGCGAGAAATTGTGTCAAGTCACGGCAGCAACGCACTGCGCTCTTGTTTCGCGATGGCGCATCAAGATGTGGCCCACACCATCCACGAACCCCTGGATGACGCATGAAACCAGATACAACTACTTCAAATCCTACCCACCGAATCATTTTAAAGCGATACGGTCCGTTGCAGACTCAGCACCTGCATCAGCATCAAGTGAGCGAACTGATGGACAGTATCTGCAGGCCATTGTTGCGTTCTTCCTCTGGGCTTTACAGAGGGAGATCTTGGTCTGATCATAACCTTTATGGGAAAAGAATACTGGACGCGCCTTTGGGTTACCAAGAAATGAGTTTGACCAGATCCGCTACATTGATCTGTGGTTCCGATCAGATCCAATGCAAAGACACTCACAAGGCCATGTCGGTGGTCAACTGGCTACATATCTGACATGACATGCCAAGACACAAAGCTGGAAAGTTCCGATCCGAGGGATTGCATCTATGCCCTGTTTGGACTTCTGCACGAGACAGATCGAGACTTCACAACGGTGGACTATTCCAAGTCATACGCGGTACTATTTGTCCAAATCACACTGTTCATGTTAAGTCGATATGGTCCCTACGTATTACTGTACGCTGGGCTCGCTTACAGAGAGGAAGTGTCGGAGGAGTGAAGATATCCACCGATCACCATCTGTTTGCTGGCGGTCCGCTGCACTGATTGTCCAGCTCATTCGGTTAGCTCGGTTTGCTTCCCCAACCCTTCACTGCTATCCCCTTCTACTATATAGTCTCGATCGATTCTAGCCAATAGCTCTTAAGATCAATCAACACAATCCACTCACTTCAACAGGAAGACCACGATGAACATAAGCTACCCAGCTGGGCAGTGGATTGGCGCTGCACTCGAGAAAGGGAGGAAAAATTGCTGAATGTCATGAACAAGATGTTGGCTAACAATACATTCCTCCTACGGGTGCTTGGAGCCAACAAGGTTGTATTTGAGGCTACATCAGGAGCTGAAGTCATCGAGATCATCCCATTCACAAACGATCTGTGCTACATTGTTGAGAGATATGAACAAATCTAACGCCAGCACCATCTGGGACGTCCAGAAGGCAAAGGTTTGCCTGTCTGTCCCCTGAAGGCCATGGTTTGGCACACATTACTATACTATGTATGATCCAGTTCTCTCGCAGAAGAAAGTGTTAACAAATTGTTCGAGAAATACGCTTGACCTCCAAATTCGGCAGGAAATTCGACTTCATTGGTTCAATCAAACTGCCATAGCCAGGATGACGAGGCAGAGGCTCTCGGCACAGCCAATCATCCTATATCGACGTTTGAGCAACTACTTTGGATCCGCAGCCCTCATAACCTCTTCGCCACCACTAAGGGCGTTAGTGGAAGCGGGCCTCCCTGCACAGGTTGGATGGGATCTATGCATTTCGAGGACTTGATGTGCCTGTGCTGTTGAGGGCCGACCATGCTTGCAAAGACAATCAGCGTTGGATATTAGTTGAGCCAGCTTATGTAGACGACATGACTACATTTGACGAGGACAAGGAATTTACATTACAAAATCTCTGGGCTACCCAATCCAAAGATTGAAGATATCGTGCTCGTTTGATCAAGCGCAACGAGACATTACCACTTTATTCCCATGTCAAGACCCCCAATCAGGCCTACGTTCCTCCAACTCCACGAGTCCCTCCCCATCACGATTTCTCAGCGCATGCCCCGCAAACGATATCACGGGCGTCGCAATCTCGACTCACTCGACTACCACTCATCCACGCCCCCTAAACGCAACGGCATCCTCAACATCCTCCGTCCACCCTCATCCAAACCCGGCAACCTCCCACCCCTAACATTTATCTGCAAACTCTGATGCAACAACCTCGGCGCACCCAGCTCAGCATCCTTCTGGCTCCGCGTCGCCACGAATTCATCCTTCGACCGGCCGGCCATGACATGCTTGTTCTGCTCTTTATGCTGCTTCACAGTCATAAACGGCACCGACTCCTTCCTCCCCTCCGGTGGATAATCATGCCCTGTCCAAATCCTCGTTTCATCCGGCATACTGAGCAGCTTCTGAGCTGAGGTCCAGAGATCGTGTGCACTACCGCCGGGAAAATCAGTTCGCGCAGTTCCAATATCCACATTGAACAGCGAGTCGCCGCAGAACACATTGCTCCCGATTTGGTAGCCCATATGGTCCAGCGTATGGCCTGGGAGATGGATTGCTTTGACTTCCATCCCACCCACTTTCACAACCTTATCATCCTCGAACAGCTTATCAAAGACGACCTCATACTCCTTGGCCGCCACACCATACCTCTTCCCAAACAACCTCTGCACCTCTCCAATCCTCTTTCCAATCCCAATCTCTGGCCTCTTCCCCGTTTTACTCAGCTGTGCCTGGAGGTATGATGCAGCGCTTAGATGGTCAGCGTGCACGTGGGTTTCGAGAATTTGTTGGACATTGTAACCTTTTTCGGCGACCAGGGTAAGGAGAGCGTCGGCGGATGTGGTTCTGATGGTGAATGTGCACGGGTCGAAGTCCAAAACGGGGTCGATGATGACGCTGGCGAGGCTTGAGGGGTCGGTGACGATGTATTGGAAGGTGCCTGTCGTGGGTTCGAAGGTGGGGTGGATCATTGGTTCAGTGCAAGGGATGGTTGGAGGTCGTTCTGAATGGTGGTGTTGGGTGCTGTGGCGCCTTTTCTGTGAGACCGTCATCTTGGACGAAGGTGTTTGCCTCCGTGGTCTCGGTAATGCAGATTGTTCTTTTGGAGACTCTCGTCCAAGATCGGTATGCTGCGAGTGTGTATTGCCAGATAGTGTACGTGAATACCGGCATACACACTTCTGAGTCGTTTTTGGAAGTTTTGTTGTTGTTCGTCGAAGCATGGTGAGGGGACTCGAATATAGAGTAGCCATGTTGAGTAGTTAAGATATTGGGACTACAGTCACAGTTCGTAGTCTGGATATTATGTGATATATTATATATCCATCACTGGAAGTCACCGAGAAGTCTACGACCACAAGCTTAATTGCTTCTGTGCATCACCGTCCGGCGACCCACTTGCAGATGAACGCCGGTGACAGTGACGGATTGTGCGCATCGTGCAACACGGGACAGGTCTTCAGTCAGCTCATTCGCATGTTTTGTAGGTGGTAATTTGCTCAACATCCATGTGCTGTGCTCTGCATCGGCGACGTTGCTTACATACGAGTTCGGCGATGTTGAGGTGGAGACGGAGCGGCGCAGATCACGTCGCAACACCACAAACAAGACGATGCATCACCGACGAGCCGACAATATTATCCGAAATGACCGACGGTCCGAACTTTCAGGGGTCAGGTCTCACGACTGATGATCGTATGTTTGCGGAGAAAAGAAACCTTGAGACCGAGAGCCAATTGCGGTGACGCTAATCCGCTAGCGCGAAGACGTGATTGTGGAGGGCTCAAATTCTACAGCTCCTGAGGGCAACGATTCCTCAGCAAACACATTAAGGGTTTGGTTGTGGGTGTAAAGCAGTGCTGAGAGAGCAAAGATAGAGCTAGTCCTGGAGAGTTGGAAATTTGGAGTTGCAAACTTGTTTCAAGAGGAAACCACCACCGACACCCAAAATGTTCTGCAGCCGCATCACGTGCCAGATGGCGCAGAAGACATCCGCCCGTACTTTCGCTACCGTCAACACCGCATCGCGAAGCCACAAGATCGTCGTAGTTGGTGCTGGTGCAGCTGGTTCTTCCATTTCGCACCAGCTTTTGCGCACCGGAAAGTTCAACGCAGATGACATCGCGGTTGTCGACCCAGCCGAGTACCACCACTACCAGCCAGGATGGACACTCGTTGGTGGCGGACTCAAGAACAAGGAGGACCTGAAGCAGCCTCTCGCACCTCTTCTCGACCCAAAACTCAAGTTATACGCCAACAAAGTTGGCAGCTTCACTCCTGAGGACAACAGCATCACACTCGGCAACGGCGACAAGCTGAACTACGAGCATCTCATTGTCGTTCCCGGCATCAAGGTCGACACGTCCAGCATTGCTGGTCTGCCCGAAGCGCTCGCAGACAACTCATCCAACGTATCCACAGTCTACACCTACGAGACGTGCGACAAGGCCAACCGCGACATCGCCGCTTTCAAGAAGGGAACCGCAATCTTCACACAGCCGGCAGGCGTCATCAAGTGCGCCGGTGCGCCGCAAAAAGTTATGTGGCTAGCCTGGGACCGCTGGTCGAACGCCGGCCTGTACAAGAAGAACGACTCGAACTCCGCCATCAACATCTCCTTCGCCACGGGCCTGCCGGCGATGTTTGGTGTACCCAAGTACGCCGCTACCCTCGAGAAGCTTCGGGTGGAGCGCGGCATCGAGGGACTCTTCGCTCACGATCTGATTTCGATTGACGGCCAGACTGCTACCTTCAAGACCGCGGCTGGCGAGAAGGTCGAGAAGAAGTTCGACCTTCTGCACGCAGTCCCTAAGATGGGTCCGCACGCATTCGTCAAGGAGAGCGCTCTTGCTGACGCAGCGGGATACGTCGATGTTGACAACGCGACACTCCGCCACAAGAAGTTCACAAACGTCTGGTCCGCAGGTGATGCTTCGTCTCTCCCCACTTCAAAGACTACTGCCGCAGTCACCGCACAGGCGCCCATTCTCATTTCCAACATCCTGAAATCGCTCGAGAACAAGCAGCAAGAGCTCAACGCAGACTACGATGGTTACACGTCTTGCCCACTTACGACCGGTGAGAAGGAAGTCTTGCTCGCAGAGTTCAAGTACGGTGGTGTGCCTAAGGAAACATTTGGACGCCTCCTTGGTCTGGACCAGGGCGTCCCGCGCAAGGCGTTTTACTACCTCAAGAAGGATTTCTTCCCATGGGTTTACCAGAACTATATGGTCAAGGGACAGTGGGGCGGACCTAAGGGTTTCATAAAATAGATCATAGGCTCACGGTCGAGAGGGCCGCGAGGTTATCATCGAGAAGCGTAGGGATGCAAAAGCATAAGATACCATGTACGTCATAGAACATTCAGAGAAGCACATAAACCATAGTCGAAACATTCACAAGCATTGACAAGTATCCATCGTGCGCAGAACGGTATTGCAACGTTGAATTCCTCGAAAATTTTCGTCGAGATGGATCGTGGTATTCCGTCTGATCAGTGTTGAGATTGCGCTCCAGGCTGCACAATGCTTGTTTCGCGCGCTTTCACCTCGACTAGTTTGTCTAGCTACAAACCACGACAAAGTACCATGGTGGTCAAAAGACAAGCTGATGCCTGATCACAGACTTCTTTCTCGCACGCCCTACAGTCAGATGTTCTTGAACCATCTGTGACATCTAGCGCCTTGCAACTTTGTAGGACAAGTCCAGCCCTTCACCTCCACACCGGCACCCATGTCCGACTCTTATACGCGCAAAAAGCAAAGCACCCCTCCGTCCCGCAATTTCTCTCACCCGAACCGCCACCGCGCACCCAACCTCTCACCCTCCCAGTATCAAAACAGTCACAACCAAAACCGCCCGCCCATGGCGCCCGACTCGCGACATATGCTTCCCCTAATACCCGGCGCCATCTTTACCCGCAGCACCTCCAACCTCAGCCTGCACTCCGAACGGCACCCTCACGACGACATCAACTTCTCCTACATCTCGCCACGCCGCCTAGGAACAAGCCATACAGCATTCTCATCTTACTCCACACCTGACCTGACCCTGACCGCGCTCCCTCAACTCCCGCCTGTGCCACCAATCCCTCAACCGTTTGGAGGCCCGCCACCGGCCACTATCAACCCGCCCAGTCCGAGGAGGTTAGTCAGGTCTCCGCCTAGGTCACCAACGAAGAGCGCGAAGAGCACAAAGGGAAGTGGATGGAGGAGACTGGGTAGGAAGGTGAAGAAGGTGTTTAGTTTCGGGAGGCAGAAGAAGAGGAACTCGACGCACAGTGATGGTGGGCAGAGGGCGATGGTGATTGGTGAGCCGTATGATTTTGTGCATAGGGAGACGCATGGTGTCGGGCCGTTGAGACCGAGTGGGCCGGCTAGAGTTGGGACGAGGACGACGACATCTGGGGTGGCTGGTGGTGAGAGTTGGAGTGAGAGTATGAGTGGTAGATTGGGTTGTGGATTGGATGATAGACCAAGTATTGGGTGTGATGGTGGAGTAGGTGCAAGAGACAAAGATATAAGCGGAGGAGCGGAATTTGGAGGGCTGGGAAACCTGGATGTCGAGGGAACAGCCGTTTCAGATGATGAAGATAGCACTTGGGAAGACTGTGAGGCGACGAGGCTCTTTATTGCGCACCAGGAAAGTCTGGGAAGGAGGACCTGATTTTGGTCAGGAGGGACAGGCGTACCTACTTTCTTGTCGTCTCTGTACTCTTGTACTTTTGTCAGATTTCTACTCCAAATCTTTAGTGTGTGTGCTTGAGTAATGGTGTGTATGGTGCTGTTGGAGCGTTGGAATCATTGGGGCTATTGGAAATTCAGATGATTGCCTGTTGTAAAGTTGCGTTCATCCCGAACCAAGCTTCAAAGAGACGAACGGTTATGTGAAGTATCATATCGCTGCAATTGTGAGACGATATTTGTTATTCTGGAGATTCGTCAAGGGTACAAAATCGCAATGCTACAACAGGCTGTTGAGATGCTGGAAACGGTGCCTTTCCATCAAAATGATGGCAAGCATTCACAAAGAGGATCTAAGTAGGGGATACAAAAGATACATGCAGACAACAGTAGAATATGACTATGTGTGTATCGAAACGCCACTAAAGTTGGAGGAGATGACCAAAACCTTTTGAGCTGCATGCTATGATGTGATGAGCCCTACCCCTCACCAAGAGAGAAAATAGAAATTGAAAGCAAACGTGTAGAAACTGAGCTCGACCACCTAGGAACGGAGGCTAAGTGCAGCGGTGTCTCGAAACAGAGACAGACGGTTGGCGTTTATGTTAGGTCCCACTGAGCATTGCGGGACAGAGAGCTTGGAATTCTTGCATCATTGCTTTGTGTTTGACAATGCCAATGTTGGCAGCGTGTCGAGTCGGTCGTTCGTTCTTCGTGATGTTCGAACGCTGCTGAGGTGAACGAGTGGGACGACATGGATAGAGGTATGCGGATTGATGTCATATGGTCCTCTGCATTCGTCTTTCCTAGGTGGAGGTTCCATTCGGGTGAAGATATTGAGACAGTATTGTTGGCAGGGAGTCGGGGATGCTCTTGCGTCTTCACGATCCGACCGCCGACTTGGTCACCATCGGTCATGTCTGCTCCGAGGTGTCTCGATCCTCTAAGTCAGGCGCGGTCGTGTCTTGTTGTGCTGGAATCTGTTGTGTGAGGTCCTGTTGTACTGTATGTTGTTGTTCCGAGTAATGTCTTGCTGAGCCAACAATTGTTACTGTTTGCCCTGCTGCGTCTTGCACTGATCCTTGCTGGGGTGCTGAACCTTTGTTGAACCACAAATGAAGATAATCCCATAGCTGCACGAGACACACTGCTAGAAGTTCCAGGAGGCTCCATACCCAATATATCAGCATCTGCCAGAGTAATGGCACCCATTCGATGTCAAGTTCTGGGAGTTTCGTCATATCCTGCTCATATGCTCCCGCGCGACCTGCGAGTTGTGGTAGGACACTGAGAGCATCTACATTCCGCGGAAGATGCGATGTAGCATTGGAAATGCAGTCTGTAGAGCTATGTAATGGTGCCGTTGGCTCTTGTCGTTTGCTCCTTCGTGCGCGAGCTACACAATGCTTGAGAGGGCGAAGGAGACGCTGAGCCCCTTTGCCAATGTAATCAGCCCAAATCTGCAGATTGGTCTTGACTGAACCCCACGTCAAGCTGAACAGCCATAGTGCTTGCACCCAAAAGCAGATAAGCAGGAAGGAGAAGAAGTTGAGCGTCGCATAACCGTACGGGTTGTATTTGAAGATGCCGCAGAAGTCGTGGCCTTGCGTTTTTTCCACGTAGCCGTCCACTGCGCCTGAGTAGATAGAGTCTTCTCCGCTGGCGACACTCTAGGCATTGATCTGAGTTCTCACAAGCGCGGTCGTGAACAAGTTTTCCATCTCACCCATCCAGTGATAGTCGCTCAATGCAGTGGAAAGATAATTTGACACCAGCTTCTGGGCGAGTAAAGCACGCCCTTGTCGTTTCTTGGCCGAATCGTAAATATCTGTGCGATCAAGTGCAAACTGTCACAACGTTGAAGTTGTGCTGGCGCGCAATTTGAGTAGCGTAGAGGCCCACGCTTGAGCTTCCACCCCATATCAATACGGAGGTCTGTTCTCCGCTCTTGCGGTCGATAGCCAGGCAGTCCTTAGAGAAGAGAGCAAGCCAACCCGTACAGCATGCCAGCGGTACAGTCGCAGCAGCTTCAAGAGAGGTCGAATTGGGCACCTTGAAGCTGATAAACTCGTTGGCGATGGTGTACTCGTTGTAAGCCCCGTGACCTTTGACTTCACCGCCCCAGATCAGAGCTGTGATGGTGTCGCCCTTCTTGTGTCGAGATACTTTCTTGCCGACTTCTTCGACTTTGCCAACGAAGTCGCAGCCTAGGGCTGTACCGTCTCCAAAGGCATTGTTGTCGAGTGATTGGACTGGGTTTGGTCAGATGTCTGTAGTCGAAATGAAGAGCTTCTCTATGACAGCATACCATCTGTGGGGTTCTGAGCAACGAAAGAGTTCTTGACGAGAACCTCATGTTCACCGGGTTGAGGGATGGAGACTTCTTCGAGTGCAAAATTAGGCTTGTCGCCTCCTCGTTAAACTTGGGCGCATGCTTTTGCAGACATCATAGGGAGTTTGAAGGTTTGGGTTGTATATCGTCAATTGATAGCCAGTTGGTCCATTGAGTGAAGTGATTGTTGAATTCGTATAAGAGACGACCGAATGATCAGATATGTTGCCTTAGTGAACTTGTTGCATTCTACGTCACTGGTGTGCAGTACATAGCCGGGCGGATAACCGACGCAATGCTGTTGGCTGTGGGTGGTGGGACGTTGATGCCACGGCTTACAAATTTCGCAGCTTACCAATGCCGCAATAACGCATTGGGCATGCCGTTAGTATCTGGAGATCGATTCAGGGTACATCTGTCGTCGAAATTCTTGTCGCTCTGGGCGACGATAAGAGTGTCGATAGTCTCGTGCTACTGTTAGACGATAGAAGTCCGTGAAGCTTGCAAGAAACGGCCCTGGTGTGTGGTTTAGTCCGGTCCTATGTTGTACAGCAGCCGAGCGACAAGTGCAACTATGCTAAACGCAACAACGGAAAATGTAACTACGTGGCTTAAGTCACATGATATCCTATTGTAGAAGGCACTGCCCGAGGGCAGGTGCACTTACCTCTGAGCCGAGAGCTTCTGTACAAGAACACCACCGAACAACAGTACATACACCAATACAATAATTGATCACAGCCACCGACCGACACTGCTCGCGCAGTTACGGAAAAGGGCGAGAGCTGAGCCAGGAGCATTGCTAATCTGATCGTAGTATTTGTACGATACTGACAATGCAGCTTGAGTCTGTTTATTTACGCTTTCCATTAGGACAACTCGACGTCTTGCACTGCTGCGTCGTTCCTGTCTTTGTGGTCTCGAGCCGCTGAGGGGTTCATCGCAAGACCCGACAGTTCCGCTGCCGGTACCGAAATTGCGATTCCTCCCCGCCGTCGCCAGAACCTTGGATCCTACCAACACACAAGCAAGGCGTAAATATCGAGCAACTCTCGTCAAACCTAGGACCCATCCTTCCGCAAGTTCTCGCTTGCTTTCTCAAACGCCTTTCCTAGTTTGTTCTCTCCCCACCTGTCTTCATTGCCCTCAGCATCATTAGAGTTGAGCCAATGTTCCAGAGCCTGTCGTTGGGGCTCGTCTCAACCAAGGCTCTTTGCTCAGTGCCCAACAGAATCTCTTTCAGCTTTTCGTTCCGTTTGAACTTGGCGTAATTACCTTCTTCGACAACCCTGTCGCAGTTGTCGTCCCATATCTTCTGTTGAAAGTTCCGAACCTCGCGACCCAGCTGCTTGGCTTTGGCAGGCGTGTCAGCTTCTGCGATCCTGTCCGCTACTTCTGTGTTGCCCATGAGTAGTGCCTTGTGATATATCATGTACTGTTCTGCTGTATGGAATTGCTTTCCATTGACTGAGAATGGCAAAGGGTACCAATGTTAAAGGCAGCATTCGGGCTCTAGGCGGCCATGGCCGAAAAAGAAGACGTGAGTGTCTGTGGCCTTGGCAGGGAGATCTTGAGCATATTGCAATTCTTTGGGAAGACCGTCGTCTAATGCCCACATCTCATCGTCTGCGCCGTCTGATTACCACAGCTCCTCTGCGAGCTCTACCCCTGATACATCAAGCTCAGCTTCTTCTGATACCTACAGTTCCACTTCTTCGGACGTTCACGTCTCCTCTACGGTTTCAGATGTCCACAGCACTACATCTTCGGTCGAGCCGTACAGCACGTCTGCATCCAGCGAGCACGCCACCTCGACCGTGCTCTCTGACTACCACAGTTCAAGCGCTTCCTCGAATTTGCACAGCAGTACGGCGGACAACTACTCCAGTTCCACTTCATCCGAACACATTAGTCCGACGTCGACCATGCTCTCGGACTCTACATCCTCAGATGTGCACATCACTTCGACCGCTACAGTCTCATCAAACTTGTCGTCAATCGCAACTGCGTCTTATCTGTCGAGCACCTCGCTTTCGCTTAACGCGACCATTACCGTATCCTCATCTGACTCATCGAAGCTGTCTACAACCTCTCTTTCGCTTAATGCTACCGTTACTGCATCTGCATCTAACTCCTTCACACTTCTGACCAGCTCGGTCTCGCTTAACGCTACCCCAACTGCGCCTATCGCACAAAACCCCACACTGTCGAGCACTTCCAGCGCCACCCCGACCCCAACTCCCGAGCCAAAGACTGGATGGTACGAGGGTTGCTACGTTGATGGAGTTGGTGGACGCTCGCTTCCCCAGGGCAGTGCTGTGCAAGGCCAAATGACGAACGAGAAGTGTCGCGACGCCTGCCGCGCAGCGGGCTTCGTTCTCGCTGGCACGGATTATAGTGGCGAGTGTTGTACGCCATAATCCCGTTATATTTCAACTGTACTTCTCACTGGTAATGTTTACAGACTGCGGAAATACACTCGTGGCTGGCGATGCTCCTGCACCCGATAGGGAGGCCCGGTGCAACATGTCTTGTAATGGCAACCAGACCGAGATTTGCGGTGGCCCCAACCGTATCTCGCTCTTCCGCTACTACTTGGGTAACGAACCTCCGCCATCGTCAACTACAGTATCCTCTTCGAGCGTCGCCCAGTATTTACCGGTCTTCCGGATGGTTTTCGAGTACAAGGGATGTTACGACGGATCCGGCTACCGTGTGATGCAAAACCAACAGCCCGATGATCAATAGATGACTGTTGCTTCCTACTTCAGCAAATGCGCTAAATTAGGTTACGATGTCGCTGGTATGGAATACCATACACAAGTAAGCTCACGTCTATCTTTGCTTACTTCCATCTCTGACCTGTTATCAGTGCTTCTGCGATACGCAACTGCGGCAGGGTGCGTACCTCGCCAGCGATGACGCTCAATGCAATACACCATGTGGTGGCAACTCTGCTCAAAAGTGTGGTGGTAGTGACCGCCTGAGTGTATACTCCAGCCAGAAGACGCTCAAGATCACCAAGAAACCAGCACCTACCCAGAAAGTTGGCAATTGGACTTACCAGGGCTGCGCCACGAGCTACAGCGGCCAGTGGGATAAACCGTTGCCTTGGAAGTTGTTCAATGCGACCGGCAACACTCCAGAACGGTAGACGAGTCTTTCTTCTTTGCGAAGGCAGCGGCTAACTCGTTTTGCGGGTGCATCAACATATGCGCAAAATATGGCTACATGACTGCTGGAATGGAGTACGGAGAAGAGTAATAAAGAGTCCTATTTCCTTGCAAAATACAGTTGCTAACTTGTTCCGCAGGTGCTACTGTGGCGACGTTGACCACGTGGTGGTCCCAACCCTGAATGGACAATCGAGCACATGCCGTCTCGTCGTGTCTTGTCCTGTATTACGACCCTACCCAACGGGACCCTTATGATCCTTAACGGCGCAGAGGAAAGTGTAGCAGGCTTCGGTCTCGCTGACAAGTCGAATTTCAACGCGGTTCTCTACGACTCTAGGAAGCCGAAACACCACCGCATGAGCATCATGGTCAACATCACGATCGCGCGCATGTACCACTCCGAGGCCATGCTCATGGACGATGGTCGTGTCCTCATCTCAGGCTCCGATCCGGAAGATGGCAAGCACCCCCAGGAATACCGCTTGGAGGTATTCAAGCCTCCGTATCTACTTTCAAACAAGCCTCGCCTTTCGTTCACTATTGAGAATAAGGATTGGATCAATAGAGTGGACTACCATTCACGGTCACAGGATCAGCAGGCACCACTGTCGCGCTGCTTGGCGTGGAGGCCAGCACTCACGGTAACTCGATGGGCTGGCGCATCCTCTTCCCTCATGTCTACTGTGACACTCGGCCTACCTGCACCGTCACCGCACCCTTGGGTCCGTATGTCGCACCACCTGGCTGTGTTCGTCCTTTACGACGACATCACGTCTGTCGTGACATGGGTCCGGTATTGGTGGCGATCCGGCTCGCTTGGGAGATTGGCCAAATGTTGCGGACTTCAAGCCGCTCCCGGGTGTTAGACCTGTAAAGGACCTCCACGCGTCGCAAACGACAGCGACGAAGACTGGTGTTCAGAAGTTCCGCGCCTAATACATAAGCATATTGAATTCCCTGCATATATCTCACAATTGTAATTGGGATGATAGGAAGAAACAAAGGTATCCGTCATAACTTCACTACCTGTCGATTCAAATCTTCCCGCTGCGATATCTGCAGTAAGATGACAGTGGCAGGGAGGGGCCGCGCAAGCGCGAGAGTTGTGCCAGGACCCTCAGGGGCTGTAATTCACACCTAGCCCACAACCTGCGGCTTGTGCATACTTATAATTGACACTACGGAGGCACACCTCGACGCGTTCCCGTGTATTAGTAAGTAGCCGGCAACTGAGCGACGGCAGGATTAGGACACGGCTCCTCTACCCCAGATTCACTTTTCACTACTGCAGATCCGGGGTAAATTGCCATTGGTGGAATCCCATGGACCACCAATGGCCGCAGTCTACCCCAGACTGACATGCCTGTCTCGATTATGTCACAATGAACTGGTGCATTCAACCGCGATGCAAGTGTGGCATCTGCACCTCGTGGCTTGAACGTGACCAAGGAACGGAGAAATTGTGAGATTGCGACGCGGCTACTGCAGCCGTCCCCGGAGCCATAAAAGTGTTGTACAAACTGTAGCCCTGGAATAAGTCAATCTACTGAAGCGGCACCTATGATGTTTTTTCATCTTTCTCTTTTTGCCTGTTTGCCCTTTTTGGCCCTTGCTGATAGCAAGAACGAGCGCATTACTCCACCTCAGGGTGCACTGGTAGTGGATGCCTCCGAAAAGCTCCAAAACAGTTACCGGAATATCAGTGCCGCAGTCACTGCCTTGAGCAACACTACCGCTGTGCAAACGATCTATATTGCCCCAGGAGTCTACACTGAGCAGGTGTACATCCCGCCTCTGGCTGGTCCACTCACTGTACAAGGCTACACCAAAGATGCCCGCTCGTACAAGGACAACAAAGTCACCATCACTGGCAACTTGTCTCGCCAAACACCTGGCCTGGCGAACAACGATGCAACAGCCACAGTCCGCCTCTGGACATCGAACGTCAAGCTCTACAACTTGAACATCGCCAACACCTTCGGTCAGGCAGCGACAGGCGGCCAAGCACTTGCCCTCAGTGCCCAGAATACCAACCAAGGATTCTATGGCTGCAGCTTTACCGGCTACCAAGATACGGTCTACTCAAATGAGGGGCACCAGCTCTACGCAAAGAGCTTTCTGAACGGTGCAGTAGACTTCATCTTCGGTCTGCGCGCATCTGCCTGGTTCGAGAAGGTCGACATCGAAACAGTCGGGACTGGTTTCATCACAGCAAACGGTCGTGACGCGGCGAACAACACTAGTATCTACGTCTTCAACCAAGCAGATGTTCGGGGCACAAGTGGAGCGAACTCGACATACCTGGGTCGCCCCTGGCGCCAGTGGAGTCGTGTTATCTTCCAGAGGAGCTACTTGGGAGACGTAATACGCCCAGAAGGATGGTCGAGGTGGGATGCTGTACAGTCTGTGGAAAATGTGGTGTACGAGGAGTACAAGAACTATGGCCCTGGTGCGGCTGGACCGAGGGCGAACTTTAGCTCACAGCTGAGCAAGCCGATTAAAATCGAGGATGTGCTTGGGCGTAACTTTGAGAAGGAGGTCTGGGTTGATACAGCATACTTGTGACCTGAGACCTGTCCATTAGCTAGGCCGGCGAACAAGCAAATGCGAGATGACGATCGTACGCAGTAAAATGCCTAAGACCCCTAAGGAATGGTACATGATGAGGTGCGTGCGGATCCGAGGATCGTTATCACCAAACACGCGTGAGAAACCGACAAGGCGGCCACGCATCCCTATTGTAGGTCGACTAATTGCAAGCCCCTCATAGCCTTCGCTTCTCTAGCTTCGATGCCCAAGTTACATGGGTGTCGACCGACGTATGAAGAGTTTGAGGTGTGCCACGCTGGAGGTTGTATAGTTTCCAGTCTGCGACAAATGTCATGGATGCTCAGGCCCAAATACGGTGACATCTCTTTGCGTAGAGCACCCAGAAGCATAACTCCACATCTTACTGATCTCACCGCAGAATAGAGAGAAGTACTCTTCGTTTTTCGTATTTATCATGCAATGACCGAAGGCCTAGATGTCATGCGTGACTCACCAGTAAACCTTTCCGGGATGGGCAAGTCAAGTGTTCGCATTGATGCACCCACCCTCTGTTTGGTTGCAACAATTGTAGCTTGTGTAAACTCTTTGGGCAAGCTGAAGATCCAAGAAATCCAGATCCATAAGATCAAGTCGCGGCCGTAAACAGATGGGATCTTGACAGTCTTCTTGAAATTCTCGATCTACAGTGTTGTAAACACTTCCATAGCCTCATCGAGATCGTAATGATCCACGATGACCGTAATCTTGGCTAGAAGCTCTAAAGTAACGACCCTTGGTACGTTACGATTACGCCAGTGGCAGATGTTCATGATCAATAGGAGCACCTCCGGATCTCAGTCTTGTGCTGTGATATGGAAACATCCATCGGACTCATCTCGAGTCGATTCTGCCCAATCCTGCTTAGTCAAAACACGCTTTAACCAGAGTGACGCAAGCATCAAATGAGGCGAACAAACACGGTGATGCATTTCCACCTCTTCACTAACTTGATTCTCCCCTTGCGTAACATCTTTGTGCTGCTCCTCCTGTGTCGTCCACCACGCAAAACACAGGCGGGTTCGTCAGAGTGATAACTGTGTCCGCCTCCGGATTGGCGCTTAAAGTTATGATTAGATGACTTGATAGATTTCTTGTTGCGATATCAATTGGTCCGTACAAGGTCTGACTATTCCTATAGCAGACTACGTAGTCTAGTGTGTTACAGGTCAGGTGTGTATTCGTCTTCTCTTAGCTAGATAGCAACTCAGCGCAGTATTCCATGGTATTCTACAGCGGCCACATTTCTCAGTTTTACGATCATGGTAAATCAGACGGCCATCGTGTACGAACTTGTCCCATTGTGCAGGAGACAAATGAAAACTGGAGCTTCTCAACTGGTGGGAAGTCGGGAAAGATGGAATGTATTGAGAAGTCACCTGCTGTGTCTCTTCCATACTCTTTCGCTCCTTTCTTCGATTGCAACCACACGATCAAACCGCCAGGACCGCATACGCGTTACATCGCAATCCATATCTCGCTTACTTTGTCTAGCTGAAACATTTGACGATGCGACGCGACCAATACATACTGATCTAGCCTTCAGCATTCAACTGAGCGACGTAGCAGCCACTCCTGCAGGTCCATCGTGTCGCCTGCTCTTTCAACGCTTAAGATCAGAAGAGCCGACAAGGAAGGGAATCAAGTCATTCATTCTTGTTGCTGCCTGGATACCTTATTATGATGTCGATATCTCTCTAAAAGTGCAGCGAACTTCTGCCAATACCACAGGCGAGCTGCGCCGTTGCCTATATTTCCTTAAGAGCGGTCCACCTGAAACAGGCACAGCTCTGTCTTTCGGCTTTCTCCTGCCTGTACCGCTTGTGTCAACACTGTCAATCGTGAAACGATAATCAACGCTCAACTACTTCGGCCCGGTTCAGGCGCCCCTCGCTAAGGAAGCAGCCCTACACCTTGCAAATCATACTGACGCTGCTGAGCAAGAAGCCTTGGGCAGCTTGCAGACGTTCCTCAAGACGTCGCATAACGACAGCATCGGACCATGTGCCGCGGAGATAGCTTCCTGGTTTACAGCTTGCCTGGCCAAGCTTTGCAACGACTTCAAGTTGGCCAAGCTGGCTTCAGGGAGGCCGAATGTACCCGTATGACGAAGATTGTAAGAGCAACCCGGGAGGCAAGTTCGTGCGCATTCCTTGCTTGGTCTTTAAACTTTGTTGCTACCGCCGGGTATGCATACTCTTGATACCTACAAGGGCAGCCAGCGAAAGCATCTTTGGTGGCGCAACAGCACTCGTAGAACCCACACTTGGGACGAGGTCGATGCGGCGAACGAGGCATTGCGTTCATGGCCAGCGGAGCAGTCCAAGGATGCAGAGTGCGTTCACACCAAACAAGGAACATAGTTCACTTCAGCAGGGTCTGTGAGGATAGACCAGTGCATTCCGAACCGGATTTGGTATGTGACGAGTATTTCCTGTCTCTACTTTCCAGCAGCGAGAACAAGCTGAGGGGTATGTGCGACTACAGGGATGTCAAATGTTAGGCGACTCGCGTGACAGCACCTCTTAGAAACGTTTCGCAGTCCAGTGCCGAATCCCCTTTCATCGGTCTGTCAAAGATTCATGGCCCTGTATCTAATGAGGAGCCAACCTTGTCGCGCGTCTTGCGGGTTGTGGGGTCCTGCGGGGCGTCCCGCCTAAGTTTCTGTTTTCAGGTAAAATTTGGTTCGCTTCGAGGGCGCGGTCACACGCAGTTCTGTACAACTCTACCCCAAGGTCGTGCTCTCTCTCGTTGTAACACTCATCGTTCGACAGCGATCGCAACAGAAACCCACAATGGTTGGCCTTATGTGGCGTTTGTGAGGCTGAAAACGTGGAAACTAGGTACTTGTGGCAACTACTGTTTCGAAGCAACCCGTCAAAACAACGGCCATGAACGGCATTCTGGAAGCAACATCGAACATCCTCGAACGTCAATGCATGAAACGCGCATACGCGTTTCTCTCCTCAATTTTGCAATTTTGAGGCTGTGAATATGGAAGAATCTCGCGCATACGATCAGCGATTATGCGGTGAAGATCAAGAGACAAGTTCACGTTGCAGCACGAGAAAAGCACGTCACGGACCGAGATCGCGATGATGCGCAATGAGGAATCCGACCCTAGAGGTTGGCCAGTATGGGAAGTTGACAAGGTCACATTCTGTAATACCGTGCTCCGTCTGCTGCGTTCTATAACGAAATTGCGAAGCCCTGCAGCGAGAACGTTTTCCTAATTGGTACATGCTATGTCATCAGATGGGCCCGCGCAGACCCAGCGAACATCATCCACGCCCCCGGACAGAAGCACGATCTGCTCAGACTTGTACGGCGATCCCCTGGCTGAGTTGCAGAGGCACTGATGAATCGTCGCTGCTCAGATTCTTTGCGTTTGCGTGAACACATATAATGCTGTCTCCTATCCGGGCGACTGTTCAGTACATCGCGCTTCTTCATCAGCAGTAGCTCGTCAATTGTCTTTGCCATCCACATATCACCATGACCGTCCGAAGCAAGCACAGCCTCATGTCTTTCATGACAGGTGGAACAACCGAGAAAAACCCCCAAACTTTACCTATCCACGAACCTTCATCCGCACCTCCATCTGAAGCGGCGCGCAAAGAGCACAGCGCAGTCCGCAGAGAAATTGCGGCTTTCCTAGGAGAGCTGATTGGTACTTTCATGTTCTTGTTCCTGGCTTTCACAGGCACACAAATTGCGCTCAACGCTGCCGGGACACAACAACTCACATCGTCCGACAAACCAGCACCTGATGTCACGAAACTCATCTACATCGCATTCGCTTTCGGTGTATCTCTCGCCATCAATGTTGCAATCTTTGCAGACATCAGCGGTGGAAAGTTTAATCCTGCGGTATGTTCAGCCGAGCACCTTGTGCATCCACCTGCCCCACTCGATGTCACCGCGCCTTCAGCTGTGCGCACGAGTAGGATGGTAACACATTGTATGACTAGAGCTAATTTGGCAACTCAGGTAACAACGGCGCTCTTTCTTACTGGCAAGATTACCTGGCATCGCGCCATTCAAACGATCATCTCCCAGATGATTGCTGGTATGACTGCTGCTGGCTTCGTGAGCGGTCTGCTGCCAGGACCACTCATCATCGCCACCACGCTCGATCCATCGATGTCTACCACCCGCGGCCTGTTTTTGGAGACTTTTGTTACCGCTCAGCTCGTGCTTACTATCCTCATGCTCAAGGGTGGATCAGCAAAGCCGATGTACATTGGTTTCTCTCTGTTCATTGCCGAGATGTGCAGTGTCTACTTCACGGGTGGTAGTCTCAACCCTGCACGGAGCTTTGGCCCGGCCGTTGTTGTGGGCTTCACAAGCTACCACTGGATCTACTGGGTTGGTCCGCTCTTAGGTGCTGTACTTGCTAGTGGCGCATATGCACTGATCAAGTGGGTACGGCAAGAGCAGGAGTGATGAAACAGACGCAATGGACGAAGACAACAGAACGCGCACCATCATTTGAGCCCTATAGCAAAACGACAAAGCTAGACAGCATCACAAGACGCCGTACGACCATCGGCAATTCCCGAAGGAAAGAGAGTCAGGCAGTTTCTTACGGTATCATTTGCAGCACCACAGTTTCCTTACACCAGAAAACTCGCTACGGCATTTGGAAGATCATTGATTTTCGCTGCATCATCGCGATGTACTTTACTACACTGCTCTGCGTCGAAAAGAAGCGAGACAGGGATTAAGAAGGCAGATTGCGGGGACCGGTGGAACGATGAGACTGAGGTGAAGGAATGTAAGATGGAGGTGTGCTTACGGTAATTTCGGCTATACCAGGTCGTTGGGTTTCGATCGAATAAGGGTCCAGTTAGATGGCAGATTGAGGTAGGGGTGTTATCTCTACCATTTCCAAGATTTTAATGAAGTGATGAACATTCACAATCTTTCCAATCATGCTTTCTTCCTAATATGACTGTGGTGCAGACAAAGATGAGGAAGTGTCACATTGACCCACCTGTCAGATTTCAACGGTTGTCAAAAACTTGCCACACGACTCATATAACGGTCGAACGGTGTGTCTCTGGTGACTCGCATTCGCGTTCGAAGATTTGACGCGTTCAAAATCTCCGAGCCATGCACTCAGTGCGTATACGTGAGACATCCTGAGGACCCCTCGGAGCCAAGAGACGTTGTGTATCACCACCTGGCTTCCGAATTCGGCTGGGTGCATACTGCATGTGATTTGCAGGATCGCATGATAGCTGAGTGTGGATTGCAGGCGTCATCATCGTGCTCAGTGTGCATTGCACGGCGTTCTCGTCAAGCTAGTATGTGGCGGCGTGGGCCGCTGGTAGCATACGATGGAGTACTGCGCTGAATTGCTATCTAGCTAGGAGAAGACGACTCTACACCTGACCTGTAACCACTAGACTAGGTTAGTTTGCTACGGGTATAGTCAGACCTTGTACGAACCAATTGATACCGCAACATGACATGTATGTAAAACTCGCTACCATACGTATATAGTACTGGGAGCTATCGCTATGGGCATTGTGCATGCATGAGGTGCAGCCATCAGAACTCACCCGTATGGTCGACCCAAGCAAAAGTATGGTACGAAAGCGGGAGTGTCGTAAGAAAAGCTCTACACCGAATACTAAAGGAATATCATAGGACAATTACTACTGGACACCGGAGATAAAGCTCATGACTGAATGTGATCACGATGTATGAGTTTGCGAGTCATGGTGTGACAGCTGCCAGGTGCTTGGCGAGCTTGTGAGACGATGACCAATGCACTAGAGCGGATGATGTCGAACGTAAAATAGTCTTTCGCAGCAATAAGCCTTAAGCATGAGTTACTTTTCGTATCAGTAGAAGGTCCAGCGGCCGGTCAGGGCGCTAGCCGCCCGTAAGTGCTGTAAACCTTGCGCCTGCCATGATCTTGGGCCTTGGATAAGGCTGAGAAAAGAAGCAAGCTTGAACACAAACTATGAGAAACATGCTTCACACATGCAGTGACGAAGTGAATGCAAGGAAAACATCACGATCCTCAAATCCCATGTGTTTGAGTGTATCATCGGTGCAGTCCTCATCGAGATCCCAACTGTGCAATCGGCTTTGGCGTCCACCTTGGGTGACCAAGAACTTGACCATCGCTGATACCTTGCTGTTGTGCTCAGCCATGTGTAGAAGTGCCTTGTGGAGATACTCGGAGCACTTTGAACGGACGTCATCGTACTTGGAAAAATACTGAAGCAGGTCGGCGTTACCTACCTACACCGCCCAATGAACCATATAGTGAATGTCTGCCTATGACCCATGCTCCAGAAGCATTCGTACGACAGCTGCGTGTCCTGATGCCGCCGCAACGTAGATTGGCTTGTGGTTTCCTTCCAAGAGTTGGCGAACGAGTTCTTGCTAGCCTCAAAGTCAACACCCTGCTTTAGGAAGGCACTGACGGCATGAGCATGGCCTATTGCATATGCAAGCTGAAAGAGCGTTGCGCAATTGTCTTTGAAGCCCCACATATTTGGATCAGCGCCAGCAGCCAAACATTCATCTGCGAGTTCGCCATGATCGGTGTCGATTGCAAGCTCCAACAGCTGCCGAGGAGACGAATCGCCAGGGTCTTGGCCGATGGCAACACCGCACTTGATAAGACAGACGATCATGTCTGGTAGACGTCTTCCCCAGGCCCTCGATAGTGGATCGATTCCACTCTTTTCCTCTAGGTTTTGCCCCTTTGTGAACTAGTAGATTCATGATATCGATACACCACTTCTGCACCGCACACATCATTGGGGTCGTTGGACAAGGGAATGGTGGGAAACTGATCTGCACTTCACGCATGGCAGTGCCGTCTGCCCCCAGTCTGGCAAAGTGTTCTGTTACCCGGGCAGCCGCCCACAACAGCGGCGAAAAATGCCGATGCCAGCTCTGCACTAGTAATGCTCATATCAGTTAACTCGAAGGGTAACGGCGGCACGATGTCAAGGCGCCAGTTACCTGCGACATATTCGAATACGTCCAGTCGAGCAGCTCGTTCGTAAAAATGTTTCATGATAACATCAAACAGCTTTCGATTGCTGACGCTCATAGTGACATTAGCTAACTTCGTCCGAGCCTTTTCGCTGAGATCTCGAATGTAGTGTTGATCAAGCAGGTTAACATGCCCTTCGCTGACAGCGTAGCGACACATGAACAACTTGAGGAAGTCAACCAATTCTTATATCTATATCTGAGATGGTTTGGTAGCGGAGCCTGGATTCTTGCCATTCGGAAGTGGTGTGTTGATGAAACACTGTATGATGGCCTGCAATGCAATTCGCAAATTGGGTCTATAAGAAGATTTTGGAGCGTGAAAGGCCGATCAGCCTCTTGTTCGTAGACGTAACTCTCCAGATCACACAAATCGTCAAGGCTATCTGGGTGTTTGCCAGGGGCGGAAAGTGGATCGGAACGCTCCATGTCGGGCTCTTTGCTGCGTGATTTGTCGCCAAGAAAAATCGCAGACTGAAGAATCTCCGGCTCCTGAACAATACCATCAACTGGTTGCGGTATATTGTCTGTCTGAGGCCCAGCTTCATTCTTGATGAATTTGACCACTCGTGCAGAGGTGTGGATTTGCCGTGGGTTCGTGGATTGGTCTTCGGAGTGCCCCTTTGGCTCCACTGCGCTGTGCAAAAGGTCGCTCGCCAGATCGAAGCACAGTCCAGTTGCACCGATGAAGAGGCCGAGGATGAAACTGGTCCATGGCAACATGAAGTTCGGGTCCGATGCGAGATATACGTTCACCATCAGTGGACTATCATAGAGCTACGAGTGTTGGTATCATATATCCGGATCAGTTACGCTCGTACTAACACGTGCAGCTTCGTTTGTGGTGTTGAGGGCCATCCTCTTCTGAAAGTGCGCCTGTGCACGAACGGTGCAATGATGGAAGATGGATTATAAGTGTCAGTGATCTGTCGCGACACTGTATGACAGCTGCAGAGACCGATGCGAGAATAAGCTGTGTTCTTGTATCTAGTATTGATCGACCTTCAAAAGTGAGTTACCAATTCTTTGAATGCTGGAGTTAAGCGCGCACAGCACGCGACACAGCCTTACCAAACACATTTGAAACGCGAAATTTCGTAATCGACCCAGGCGCTTAGGCGCACTTCAGCAACTACTGCACTCATCTCGGTCAAATGGGTGCTGCCATCCTTTGGCTGATGCAGAAATGGATATCGTGCTAAGCGCCTGTCGAGATCAGACCACATGCTCAACATTCTTGGACCGAATGTTGGACTATGCTTCACTAACATGTATGGCGACTCTGTACCTTTGGAGCGGTGCATTGTAGTAAAGTTGTAGGGTTTCTCGGGCCTCTTGATGCGGTAGATCTTCGAAGCGTTGGCGGAGGAGATATTCGAACGCTCGATGATGACCATTCCAATCCGGAGCGCCTTGGGAAGTTGAGGTCATCCTGAAGGTCTTTGCTGTTACGGATACGAAATTTGAGAGCTCGACAACGGAGCTCGTGCAGTGTGTGGGCCGGATGGAAGTCCACATAGGAGGATACTGGTAGGAAGGATCAGGGACAGGGACACACTAACTTCTTCGCGCCTGCGCGAGACGTCATTGAACAATAACAACTCTCCATTCACGACTCCCCCCCATCCGAAACTCATCATACATTGTTATCGCGCATGCTTGTTATTATGTTTTGATAACTCTGACCGTGTTGTCTCCCACCGCGTCCTTCACGATGACCCCAAGTCATGACCCGTGTGCCTCATGAATATACAACGACCTCAGAGCACCGCAGCTGCCTCCAGGCTACCATAATTCATGACGGCTGACTGACCTGATGATTTCGGTCGTTCTGGATACTCACAAGGTAGAAGTATCATTATTATAGTTACCTTCATATGCGCTAGAGGTTGTCGATCGTTTTCGAGGGACGCTGGCCTTCGGTCTTAGAAGCTCGAGCAAACCATGATTCTACCCTCGTTATTTGCCGCAAAGTCACTGAGTGTTGTGCCTTTACCTACCTTCACCTACACGACAGACAACCGCGACTGAGTTTAACACTAGCACCACGATAATCACACAATCGCTCACTCACAGTCCCAACAACTGTATCCATCACAGTTAACATTCATCCAAACCTAACATGCTCAATCATTACCAGACTCTCAACGTGAGCGCATCGGCAGACCTTGCGGCGATCAAGAAAGCGTACCACAAGATCTCGTTGCTGCACCACCCAGACAAGACCGTCCATCTAGCAGCGGCCGAGCGCGCTCAACGTGAGCACTTATTCAAGCTTGCCAATGTCGCCTTCGAAGTGCTTTCCGACCTACATAAGCGCAAGATATACGACCAGAACCTCCACGCAGGGCAAAATCGACCTAAAGCACAGGGCAGCAATACTACCGCACGCCCGACCACAGCACGCGCACCGAATAGTCAAGCTCCCCCTCCGCCGCCGCCTCCGCGTACGTCCAGAGCGAAGCCTGGAGGTACTCAGGGTTTCCAGGGTCCCCAGGACCTCCAGCGTGCGCCGCTCAGCACTCACCGATTCTCTGCCACTACGCTTGGAACGGCACCCGACTTCAACTGGTGTCACTGCGAGGTCAACGAACGAAGCGAGCTCACAATACTGACGTACAGCAACTGGCTAGGCTGGAGGTTTTCAGTAAATATCGCGCGTCACCTCAAGGTAGTAGCCAAGCCAACCATACCAGAGAAGCCAGTCTCAGAGCGCATCTTTGTTCGCCTACCTCTACAACGAAAGCCGAAGCAAGTCACCGATGCGCCTACTGACGTGGTCATGAACCTAAGAAGCACACCCAACTCCAGACACACAATTTTGTGCTTGACGCTTATCGAGACGCTGGGGGCAGGGTTAGAGTTCCTTGTGGAGATTATCATCGCATCTGAAGCGGCACAGATTGATGTTCAGGAGCCAGTTGCGTGGCAGTGGGCTTACAATATCGACCACGAGCCTTTATCTCCTGGTTTCAGGGTCAAGGTCACTAACCTCATATTCTATCCGTTCAAGCCTTACCCAGCCGTCTTGCCGAGCGGGGGCATGCCCACGACTCCCTACCCTGTTGGATCGCCTATGCGCGGCCTTGTGGGTCAATTCCCTGGCATCCTGATCGAGGAGCTTGCGCCAAACGCTTACTGCAAGAAAGAAGAACAGCAGGGCAAAACGTTCTGGCACCTGACAGCCGTCGGTTCTATGTAGCGGATACCTCCTGGAGCTCATTTGATCAAACAAATCTCTCTTCGACATCCACATTTGTACTCTTATACATTCATGAGAATCTCCCAAGCCCGCACAGTACTGTTTATCTTCTCCAGAGGCTGTGATGTTCCGATACCGGGAACAACGTGCCGCAAGTAAAGGTGAAAGACCCAGAGCCGCTGGCCAGGGACGGCAAATAATTGCGGTCGCTTGCAGAACACGACCACGCACAATTTCTACTTTGCTTTCGCTCTCACTTCCTCCTTCTAACCTGTTTATTGCTCTGCATTCAGCTACCCATTTCATCGGTACGTCCTTCACTGTCATTGTTATTCCCTGCTTGACGCCTCTGGCAACCACCGCCATGACCATGGCTCCCACCGTACACGTCATCTATCCCGACTACAATACTGTTATTATTCTGAGGAATGCGTCTACCAGATTGCAGGAGTATTGAAGAAGAAGAAAAAAACAAGAGGAAGAGGAAGAATAAGAAGAAGAAGAAAAAAGCGCGCAAACCGGCCAGTAGTGGAAGCCCAGAGCTGCTCAGAGGTGGCCCAAGGTACCTCGCCTGCCGAACTCAAGATGAGGGGGTCATTCACTACCACGTCCCTTCACGTCCCTTCACGTCACCTACAGCTCGCTTCGCCCTGATTCAAACGCGCCATGGCTAGAGAAGGCTAGGCCGAATTCAAGCTGGTTAACGGACATTACGAAGTTCTCGCTCACAATCGGGACGAGCAGGCATTCCTCATGCTACTGCAAATTTTTCACTTGCGCAATAAACAAGTGCCGCGGATCGTCTCTTTCGAGTGCCACGGATCGCCTTTTTCGAGTTGCTTGCGAAGGTGGCTGTCTTAATTGACTACTACGAGTGCGCTGAAGGGATCGAGTTGTTCACCGCGATGTGGATCGACGAGGTGAAGAAGGCTGCCATGCCTGCAACATACTGCCGCGATCCGGTGCTATAGGTCTGGGTGGCCTGGATATTCGATCTCCCAGAGCAATTCGAGGCTGCGACTGCAGTGGCGATCAATGAAGGCAAAGAAGCGCTGAACACCTTGGAGTTGCCGATTTCAAGCTCCATCTCAAGTATATACCCTAGCACAAGTATACGGAGGCCTCACTGACGAATTTGTTAGGCCAAGTGGATCTAAGACGTCAACAAGCCATAGAGTCAGCGATACGCGGTCTGCACGGTTTGCTTAAGGAATACCGTAATAACGAGTATAAGTGCAGCCAAGGATCCAAGCAAAGACGAAAAGCAATTTCGTTCCACTGACACTCATCGGTGCTGGATGCGCTTATGAAGGAGTTGCTTGGTCATTACTGTCACCACGTCCCAAGATCCCGTTCCCAGGTCTAAGCGTCAGTGATCTCCGTCAACGAACTCGAGATCTGAGGCGGAGTAAGATCGGTGGCCGCCATTGGAGTCCGTTAGATACCCTGGCTGGTGACAGTCAAAAGGGTAGCCACCAGCACACGTGCAAACCGTGAGCCTCTGTTACGTCCATCGTTGAAGGAGCAACTTCCGGGGTTCGAGGTCTGAACCTACGTCAAGCGGGTGGACCCTGTAAGCCACCAGGGAGATACGGTCCGCCTTGCTGCAGTTGTATGAGGATGTCAGGGAAAAGACGCGATTCTCTTGAGAGTTTGCTGGACTATCTCTCTGAATAGACTCACGGCGCAGCTTTTTCGCGAAGGTCCTGGTACAAAGTTAGTCCAAGCAAACAATACCGCACAGTGGAAAACACACAGAGTATGGCAGAAAAATCGAAATCTTCTGCATATCGCGTCAATCGCGACGAGAGCAACTGTAACTACGTGGCCTAAGTCACATGATATTCTATCGAGGAAGGCACTGCCCAAGGGCAAGTGCACTTACCTCTGAGCCGAGAGCTCCTGTACACGGCCTCCGACCGACACTGCTCATGCAGTGCAACCCTACCGTGCTCGGACCATTTTGCTATTGCGCTAGGCTCAATGCACTTTAGTACCCGCGGTCTGACGTAGAAGCTTCGAGCAGCTTCTCCAATATCTCGCAACATCACAAAGCAACGCGAAACGCCTCCATCTTTCTAGCACCATCTGTCTTCTTACGGAAGCCATCTCTCTAATCAAAGATTCGCAATCAGACTGCTGCCTGCAGTACCGCCACTATGGATATAAAATCCTTGCAGGCGGCTCCTTCAGGGCCCATCATTAGTCCCAAAGATCTCCAATACTACACTCGATCTACTAGATCTCCAGCTTCTTGTGAGCCTCATTGAGCCTTTACCATACTCTTTACACACTACCAAGCCCTACCAACGCCACTAAGCTCGTCAACAATGGCCTACATCCTTACTCCACGCTTTGCTCAAGCCTACCAGGCTTCGCAGTGCAACCCATTTGGTTTCTGCGCCCCAACGTCACAACCCACGCACGGCTACCGCACCGTTGAGCGCCTGCAGCCTGAGTCTCGTCCCTCGCCATTCGCCAGCTTCTTCAGTCAGCTCGACGATCTGGTCAGCGAGATCGACCGCGAGTCGCAGCGCCAGGCACAGATCGAAGCACAGCGCAAAGCACAACGCGCAGCACAGATTGAGGCTCAGCGTGAAGCATACCAAGCACACGTCGAGGCCCAGCGAGCAGCTTACCGCCAGCGCCAAGCGCAGATCGAGGCACACATCGCCGCTCAGCGAGAGGCACATCGCCAGCGACAGCTCCGCAAGCGTGCTTTGAGGGCACAGTTCGCTGTTACCCAGAACGAGCAGGGATGGCAGATCGATGCTGAGGCTCCCGGCTTCGAGCAGGACAACATCAGCATTGAGGTCACAGACGAGAATACCCTGAAGATTGCCGGCAACACCAAGTGGGGCGCAAAGCCGCAGGTCGAAGCCCAGCCAGAGGATGAGGCCACACCTGCAATCGAGCAGCCCGCTGAGGTGACCATCGAGCAGACCACCGAAGAGTCAGCAGACGAGAAGATGGAAAGCATTACTCTCGAGCCCTCTGCTGAGATCGCCGCCGAGGCTACCGAGACCGGGTCCTTCCGCCCCGCCACGCCCGACAGCGACACATCCTCACACAAGTCCTACCAGGCAACCGTTGAAGACGACTTCGAAGACCTCGGCCCCGAAGCGTCGACACTCTTCTCCACACCCTCCACACCTGCTACACCCTCTGAGCCCAAGGGGAAGGAGAAGGCTGTCGAGTCCGTCGAACACCACGAGAATGTCGAGGACCCCGAGGTCTCCGTTCCTGAGACAGCAGTCACACAGCAGCCTCAGCCCGAAGTTCCAGCTCAGCAGCAGCAAGAAGCTGAGGAGCGCCCTCACGGCTCTTTCGAGCGCACGTTCAGGTTCCCTGAGCGCATCGATGCGAGCAATGTCCGCGCAAGCATGAAGGAGGGTGTGCTCAGTATCACTGTGCCGAGGGCGCAGGCTCAGCAAGTCAGGAGGATTGCTATCTTGTAGGATGGTTCCAGGATGAAGGGTGAAAGGGCAAGGGAAGCATAAGCATGGAAAGGAGTTATACAGCATAGATAGGAGACGATGGCTTTGACATTAGTAATGAATAGTAATGAAATGATATCCGAACGTGCCCGCCTTACTTTGAGTGATGCCTTCTCCACATACCCACCCCTTCTCGCCAAACGTGCACAGGGGAGCGTGTCTGCGGGATATTATACTCCAAACATAAGGCGCATCCCAGGTGCAGAGACACTCCCCGTCACGATACAGGCTCGCAGTTCGGACCTCCGGCCTCTCCCTCGCAAGTCTGTGAAGTTGTCGTGGGTTTATTGTAGTTCTGTAACGTCCCTCCCTGCAGTTCGAATAGCCCCACGCATCGAACGACATCACCAATATTTCGACCTTGAACGCGTCTTGCTTCCACCACATCTCTTTGATCGCTATGCAGTGAACGTAATAGTTTGCCGTTGACTGTTCTGCACATGCGAAAGCCTTCGTAGCCGAAACATACGACCGCGTTGATGTCTTCCGAGCCTGTTCTGTGCAGTGTCCTGTTTAGCAGCAAAACACAATTCTTCCTCTACAGCAGCACCAAGGCAGTAAGGTCCGTCCCTACGTGCCGAGACGCACCGTGTAACGAGACAGGTTCGCACTCCGGGCCTTCGGAGCCTCTTGTTCACTCATTGACAGACCTTACGTTGATATGCAGCATTGTTGAGTTAACTCTTCACCAGTCTATTTGTCTCCGAGAACGAGTGCTGCCGTGCTGGCCGTGCTGTTGGTCGCTTCGTCAACGCCGTCAATAGACCCTTCGTCAGTGCCCCCCTGTCCATTCATGGCCGAGGGATTGTCTGTGAGGATCGGAGGGGTCAGAAGAAAGCGAAGGCGAGGAAGATGGTATCCCTGGGCATCAGAAGCTCTTTTGACTGAAAAATTGTACAGTCCGGCAGTTTCGCCGATCAGGAGACAAGATTGCAGATTGCAACCCGGCAGCTTGGAACACGCTAGGCTCGCTTGCCTTGCAAGGGGCTGCATTAGCGTATAGAGTAACTGCTGTAAGATATCGTACTGAATAAGACGCTATACCCACCGCGGGTCGGCCGCTGAGACGACCTGTGGCGCAGCCTGGTGGCTTTCTGTCCGCGTTAGCGGCTGATTAATCAGTCAGGTCGATGTACCGTGGCCTCAATCTCAGCGATGAGCCGCGTAACCTACAAACGTCTCAACTTGCTCACCGCCGTCTGTGGCTGGCCACCTCGCGACCGTAAGAACCATAATGAGTTGAGCCAGTAGATGCTCGATAATGAGAAGTGCATCGCAATACGGGCGTGGTCATCGCGAAGATGCGACTTGTTGGGGCTGTTAGGCTTGCATGAGCGCATTCAGCCGCGTCTGCCCCCGCCTCTAGATCGTCTTGAGCAGCCTTACAGAACGCAGAACATGGTGCAAAACACCGGCTTCAGCCTGCAACACTAAGATCGCAGTCTCAACCGTGTAGCTACCTGGGGCTCTGTAGCCATTCTTACACTTCTCCATTAGCTTGTCTGAGGGAGCCAGCCGCCGCACTCTCGTCCTACCAGGCTGCCGCCTCGAGCCTCTCGCGTCCCCTTCTCACCGTACACGCCTGCAACACATGCACTCGAACTGATGCGCCTCTTGCGCTACGACGAACAAGGCGAGCTCGGCATCGTCAGCTTCGACGATGGCGCAACACCGCCGTACGCAATACTGTCACACACATGGGGAGTGGATACGGAGGAGGTGACCTTCGCAGACCTCCAAAAAGGCGATGGCAAGACAAAGCCAGGCCACGAGAAGATCCTCTTCTGTGCAAAACAGGCACAGCGCGACAATCTCCAGTACTTCTGGATCGACACGTGCTGCATCGACAAGGCCAATAAGGCTGAGCTCGCCTTGTCCATCAGGTCGATGTTTCACTGGTACCGCAATGCAGCTCGGTGTTATGTATATCTGTCTGATGTCTCTAATCAACCTCTACTGGTAACGCCAGGCCACCACGATTCACGATGGTTTCTTTGGATCTGGACACTCTCTATTCTCTATACACTGTCAAGATGGTCCAGCAGCGTGATGCATCGCTACTTCTATCCGCGCCATGTAGCACGCACTCCAGTTGGCAGCGGTGTTGTGCGTAGCAAGCAGACGCCTGAGTTCCCGATCAAAGAAAGCAGATGGTTTACTCGTGGATGGACACTGCAGGAGCTTCTCGCCCCATCCACGGTAGAGTTCTTCTCCAAGGAAGGTGCCAAGCTTGGCGACAAGTTGTCGCTGGCAAAAGAAGTGCGCGAGGTCACTGGCATTCCTTGCTCAGCGTTGCAGGGCGAACCGTTGTCCGACTTCAGTGTGAATGAGCGAATCTCATGGAATGAACACCGGGTAACGAAAATTCCGACAGACCGCGCATACTCTTTGATGGGAATCTTAGGAGTTAGTCTGTCGCCGTTCGACGGTGAGAGTCCAGCTGAAGCGATGAAACGAGTCACAGATGAGGCCGAGAAGCAAGATAAGTGCCTCCGAGACATACACCAGACAGATCCTCGGAACGACAAGAAGCGCATTGAGGATACCAAAGGCGGTCTTCTCGCAGACTCCTACCGATGGGTGCTTGCCAATCCGACTTTTCAGCAATGGCAACAGCGCTCGGATAGCCGACTGTTGTGGATGAAAGGCGACCCTGGCAAAGGAAAGACGATGCTTCTGTGTGGCATCATTGACGAGCTGCACAACTCGATGCCAAGGTCCGCCCTGTTGTCGTACTTCTTTTGCCAGGCGACCGACCCGCGCATCAATAGCGCTACAGCTGTGCTACGGGGCTTGCTATATATGCTTATACACCAGCAACCGTCACTTGTATCGCATGTCTGTAAGAAGCACGATCATGCAGGCAAAGCCTTGTTTGAGGATGCAAATGCCTGGGTTGCCCTGACGGAGATCTTCACGAACGTGCTACAAGACCCCCAGCTAAGAAGTACATACCTGATCGTCGATGCGCTAGACGAGTGTGTTACTGATTTGTCGAGACTGCTTCACTTCATCGCAAAGCAGTCTTCTGCCTCTTTCCGCGTCAAGTGGATCGTGTCGAGCCGCAACTGGCCAGAGATTGAAGAGCAGCTGGATCAAGATGGGCACAAGGCCAGGCTGAGCCTTGAGCTGAATGCAGAGTCTGTATCTGCAGCTGTTGGGGTGTTCATACAGCACAAGGTGACTCAGCTGGCACAGCAGAAGAACTACGACCGACAGATGCAAGACATGGTTCTTGAGAGATTGGCGGCAAACGCAGATGGCACCTTCCTGTGGGTAGCGTTGGTGTGTCAGGAGCTTCGAGCAACAGCAAGACGGAACGTGCTGAAGAAACTGGACACCTTCCCACCTGGTCTAAAGGCGCTTTACGAGCGGATGATGCAGCAGATCAGCGCGTCGGATGATGCTATACTCTGCAAGCAGGTGCTGGCTTCAGCCGCGCTCGTGTATCGGCCAATCACTCTGCAGGAGCTAGTAGCCCTTGCTGAGCCGCTCGAAGACATAGCCGACGAAGCAGAGGTGCGGGAGACCATCGGCCTCTGTGGATCGTTTCTCACTTTGCGAGAAGACACGGTCTACTTCGTGCACCAGTCTGCAAAAGACTTCCTCTTTGCAAGTGCATATAACGAGGTCTTTCCACAGGGCGCTGAAGTCACTCATCACGTGATCTTCTCCAGGTCGCTCGCGATTCTATCCAAAACGTTGCGTAGGGACGTGTACAGCCTGAAAACGTTAGGGACTGCTATCAAAGATGTTCAACCGCCAGAGCCAGATCCGTTTGCAGCCTCACGCTACTCGTGCGTCTACTGGATCGACCATCTGTACGACTCGAAGCCTGAGCCGTGGGCTGACAGTGTTGGTGATATAGAAGTCGCAGGGGCCGTCGATGAATTCATGAGGAAGAAGTATCTCTACTGGTTAGAGGGGCTCAGTCTGTGCAGAAGCATGAGCAAAGGGGTGATTTCGATGGCGAAACTATACTCTCTGGCTCAGGTATGGCATGCAAAGACAGTACAATTGTAAGATTCACGTATTATACATGCTAACTCTTCCAGGCAATGCAAGATAGTGATGAACTGACTAAGCTTATCCAAGATGCCCGCCGATTCGTCATGTACCACAAAGGGGTAATCGAGAGCTACCCTTTGCAGACATACGCATCTGCGTTGCTGTTCAGTCCGACAGGGAGCATGACTAGAAGATTGTTTCAGCACGAAGAGCCGAATGGGATCGTTGTCCGGCCAGCGGTGAGCACCGGCTGGAGTGCCTGTCTGCAGACGCTCGAGGGCCATAGCAGCTATGTCACCTCTGTAGCCTTCTCGCACGACTCGAGCAAGCTGGCGTCGGCGTTAGAGGACAACACTGTCAAGGTGTGGGATGCGAGCAGCGGGGCGTGTCTGCAGACGCTCGAGGGCCATAGCGGAGAAGTCAGCTCTGTAGCCTTTTCGCACGACTCGAGCAAGCTGGCGTCGGGGTCATACGACAACACTGTCAAGATGTGGGATGCGAGCAGCGGGGCTTGTCTGCAGACGCTC